TGCCCTATATTTATAAATCTTAACTACTCTTATCTTTTTAAGGCAACTTTAAAGAAAAAGCATATTTTAAGATAATAAGCATAAATTAACTATTCTTTAACGATATAATAAGATAATTCTTTATTAACTTATAAATATTTATAATTAATATATTATTAAATACTATCTTAATAAAACCTTAAGCTTCTTTAATATATAGAAAAAGAAATATATAATTTATACTTAAAGAAGATTACTTATAAGCAAAGCTATTCTTTAACATAAAAAACTTAATTATTTAAAATTAAAAGCATTTAAATACTTAATGAATTTATTTTAAGGAGTGTGCATTTATAAATTAATTATAATAAAATATAAAGTATGCGCTTTTGCTAAGATTATGCAGTAAATTTATTAAGAATTAAAGGAGATTTATAAATAAAAAGGCAAAAGAATTACATTAAACTTTCATAATTATAAAAAAGGAATCCATAGCTATATATTATAACTCTTACTTATATATAAAGTCTTTAGCTATATATAAAACTATTACCTTATAAGCTAAGATAGCAATAGCTTACTTTATATCCTTAAGTTTTTTTATAAAATAATGAAATAATAATATAAAATTAAGATTAAGGTTATTAAATATAATAAGGAAGTTTTTAGCTATAAATAAGCTATTAAAAACTTCTTTAAATCTAAGCATATTAAATTAAAGCCCTTAGCACTAAATACCTAAGCATAAAATAATAACGCTAAGCGCTTAAGGAGTATAATTAAGGAGAAAATATATATAATATAAATAAGTTTAAGGCTATTATATTTATTATAGCTAAAGATTAAAAAAGCAACAATATATCTTAACAATTAAATACTAATATATAGTTTATAATAAAAAACACCCTACTTTAAATTCCATAAAGTAATTACAATCCGCATAGGAATTCCACAACCAAATTCAAAATCAAATTAAGCTTACTTACATATCTTTAAATGCAAGGCTTACACTATAACGTTTAATGCCTAGCTAAAAAAGAATAAACATTAATAATTAAAACCATAAGCATAAATAAGCTACTTAATTAACTACTCTTTATTAAACATTTATTAAATATAAATTCCCTTTATTAAAAAGATTATTAATATAAGAAATATAATTTTTAATAAATATAAATAGTTTAATAAAAATTAAAAAGGATTTAAAAATAAACTTTTTATTATAAATATTAAATATTTTGCAAAATAAATAAAAAACCATACTTTTTATAAATAAAATAAAATATTAAACCTTAAAGAAAAGGATTTCTTTAAGGATAACTCCTTAAAAAATACCTTAAAAAAGGATTAATTTATAATAAATTGCAAAGAAAGCATTAATAAAAAGATAAAGGCCCTAAAAGGAAATATAAAAAACGCTTAAGAAAGGTAGTTTGCAATAAACCAATAAAACGGCGCCTATATAAATGCAAAATTTAAATTACTTCTTATGCCTTTATAAATTCCCTTATTAGCGCTCTTAGCTTACGCCATTTAAATAAAATCAATAAAAGAAATCCCATTTTATAATAAATTCATTATAAATATATTATAATAAGCTATATTTATAGCTAGCATTAAAGTTACCTTAATAATAAAATTTAATAAAAAGATGCTAAATAAGGTATAAATTAAGAAACGCTTATATTAAAAAGTAAAATTATAAAGAAGTAGCCTCTTAAAATTATTATAATAATATAAAAACCTTAAAAACCACCCTTTTAAATATTTATTTAAATAAATAAAAGCTAATTATTTATAAAGTTATAAAGAAATAAAATTATAAATTAAGATTAAAAAGAAAGACCCTTAAGCAGCTAAAAAATAAATCCTTAATTATATATAAATTTATATTTATAAATTTAATAAGCATAAATAATTTAAGAAGTGCAAAGCTTAATTAATTATTTAAGGAAATTAATAAGCAAGAAGGTAAATATAAGATATTTATATAATTACTTTAATAAAATAATCTTTTTGCATATTTATAATAATTACGGCAAAGTTTAACTTAAAACTTATATAACACGACATTATAAACGCCTTTATATACGCTTTTATTAACTAAGATATATTTATATAAATACTATATAAATATTAATAAAGAAAAACCATTTTGCTATTAAATAAAGCGCTTTATAGCCTTTAAATCTTATTATTGCTATAATAAAAAGAATTTATAAAAATATTAGCTTAGCATAAATATAGCTAAATGCTATATAAGCTATGCTAATACATTAAAAACAACGTTTTAATCTTCTTTTATATAAATAATATTGTTATTATATATTGAAAAAATTACCAAAATTAAGTAGATAAATTAGTAAAGCAACTCCGAAAAAAGTATAAAATTACTAAAAGACACCCCATTTAATAATTCCTTGAAATAAAAATTATTTAAAATTATATAAATTAACGAATCTAGCTGGCTTAAACCGCGTATATTAAGAAAATTACTAAATTAACTAATAAAATAAACATTCCTTATAAGGTTCTCATAACTTTTAAAGAGTTATTATTACGTATCATTATTACCACAAAAGCCAAAGTCCACTCCTATTAAAAGAAAATTAAGTTACTCTTATTTACTGTAATTTCCATATAATTAAATATCGCCTTTATTATATTATAACTCGCTTAATTCCTAACTAATTTAAGCTAAAAATATTATAATATAGCTAATAAAGTATTATTATATCTTTTTTATATTAAGTATTTTGCCTTATGCTTTTAAGATTTAAAAGGATTTATAGTTGCTAGCAATATATTTTTCATTAATAACTCCTTAAATTAAAAGAGCTTATAAGCATTTACTATAAAGTTATTTAATAAACTTATTAAATAAAAAGTAAATAAGCAAGATATAATTATAACTTTCATTATGAAAGCAAAGCTATTAGCTTTAGCTTAAGCCGCAAAAGAAATACTTTTTATAAGCCAGCTTTTCACTAAGCTATTCATAAAATTAAATAATAAAACTATTAAAATTAAGTGCAATAACACCTAAATGATTAACCTAATAACCTTTAAAATCACTATACTTAAAACTAAGCTACGATATATAAATATTTATAATCACTAACTAAGACAGGAAGTTTAAGACGGCAAAATCACGATGGAATACACGCCATCAGCATAAATAATAGCAAATAAATTAATAAAAGCGCTACCCGCCGGAAAATAAAACGGGTTTTTATATTAGCTTGAATTAAAAAGCATTAAAAACAGCTTATATAAGGGAACTTTAATAAAAAATATAATAATTTAAAGGTAGTTAGCGATAAAAGATAAGTAAGGGTTTAGCCTCTTAGTTCCTGCTAATCTAAGGGGGTGTATTAAATTCAACCAATAATAAATATATCGTAATTAAACGATCCCATAGTAAATTTATTATAAATTTACTAGGGAACGGTAATTTATTGATAATTCATTATAAATTCACGATAAATACCTAAGGCACTAAGATTTACGAATAAAAACCAGCTCCTATTGTTTATTAGCTTAAAAATAAAATAATAATTAAGTAATTATCACATTAACAACCAGAATTAATTACATTTACAAGAATTCCACTATAAGACATGTATAAAATTTAATAATACCTAAAAAGAGTTATAAATTGCAATGTTATAAGAGTAACTTAGGCCCTAAAGGGCCCAAGTTAGGACTTATCTTTTATGTGTGTATTTAGTTACGTATAAGGGCTGGCCGCAATGCAGGCCCGTTGCAGGCATGCATTATAGCTTAGGTAATAACTTAAGCTTATTATATTAAAACTTACTTTAACCCTTTTTAAAAACTATAAGCTTTAAATATTTTTATAAAATTTTTATTACTTTTTTACTTTCTTTATTTAATAAATAAATATTTATAAATAATAAATTTAAGTTTAATTAATAAATTTATTTTTATATATAATTAAATAATATTTAAAAATAATAATAATAATTTTTCTTTATTTTTATTTATATTTATAAAGAAAATTTCTTTATTTTTTTAATATATTTTAAAAATAAATAATAAAGTTATTATTTTTTAATTTTTTTAATTTTTTTTTATTTAAATATTTATTAATTTTTATATATTTATAACTTATTTAACTTAATTATATATATTAAAATTAATATATTTTAAAAATTAAAAAAATAAAAGTTTTTTAATAATTATAAATAAATAATTAATTTTTAATTTTTAAAATATTAAGTTTTAATTAAAATAATTTTTATATTAAAATAATAAGAAAATTATAATATTGTGGGAATAATGGGTGTCGTTTGTATGGAGGACTGTTTGGGATTAGGTAGCTTTGGCCCGTCAGGATGCCCGGCAGGCAGCAGCCCTGGCGCTGCATATAAAATAGCTAGCACAGTTAGGCCTTCTGCCTTCCTTCCTTCCATAGTTAATAACAATCAACCACTACACCAACCAAACGTTGTATTGCAATACGTGACCCAGCCAACAAATATAATAATAAAAAATAATTAATTTATAATTAAAATTATTTAAAAAAAAAAGAAAAAAAAAGAATCATTAAAAGAATAAATTAAAATAATTTTAAAGATTAATTAAGTTTATAAAATAAGTTAATTAAATAAAGCTTAAAAGGTTTTTATATATAATTAGCTTTATAGCCTTAATACTTACCTTTATAAAAACTTATATTAATAAAAATAACTATTAATACCTTAATTAAAACCTTTAACCACAATCTTAAAACCTTAATGCTTTAATAAGGGACTTCTCTCAATCTAATAGGCAACCACTGTTGGAAGGAACTAGGGAACTCTCGGTAAATTCCCCGTGATAGAATACAACATTGAGAGGTATGTCACAAACGGACCCGAGGAGTTGTTCTCATTCCCCACAGTGCGACTACGAAGCCCGCCCCATGCCGCCTAGCAAAGAAATTTAGAGTAGGCACAATCCCACCACGAATCAAAACTTTGGAAGACGGACCAGACCAGCACAAGGGAAAACAGAAAATGGCGTCTCAAATACCGCCCCTACTAGAGTCGTACCTCGCCCTGCCGCCCGAGACCTCCCAGATCGTGCTCGCCGGCATCCTCGGCGCGAGCACCAACTGGCTGGCTCTGCGGTACCTCTACAGCCTGCTCCGGTCCGCGAACGCCGCGGCACCGCAGCGCAACGGCGGCGGCGATGCAGACGGGGCCGGCGAGGACGTCAAGGTGCTGCTCGTGAGCTTCATGAGGGACCACGCGTTCTGGAAGGAAGGGGCCGGACGGCTGGTATGTCTTCCTTTTCTCACACCCTCTCACTGCCTACAACGGCCTTTTCCCACACAAACCATTCCCATGTGCGAAATACACACATTGACACGGTGCTCCCTTAGGGTCTCAACCTCGACGCCCTGGCGGCTCGAGGCAGGTTCCTCTTCGTCGACGGTCTCAGCAGGCTGTTCCTTGGTGCTGACGGGCCCGTTGCACCGGCCGCTGGGCGTGGCCCAGGCCAGCAGCAGCATTTGTACCTCGACAGTCCGCGCCTCGCTGACGTCGCGAGGGTGCTCGGTGCCGCCATCGAGAGGCTGCAGGCTGCGGGTGGCAAGGTCGTCCTGATACTGGACCAGCCGGACGTGCTGCTCGCGGCTGCGTCGCCTGGGGACGGCGTCACGGGGACGGCATGGAAGGACGTGCTACTTGGTTTACGAGAGGTACGTTCTCTTCACCCCTTCAAGGCTTCGATGTGACACTGTTTGGGGCAATGTGTGGGAATGCCCCGTCGTCCGGGCATCTGCTGTCGTCCATTGGATGGGGCTTCTGGCAGCAGCACACTGCTCTGCAGTCACATTCACGGCTCCGGACAGTGCTAACTAGGTGCGAAACAGAAAGTTCACGCGGCCGTTCTCACCTTGTCGGCAGATGAGCCACTGGTTTCGGCGCAGACTACGACTTTGGAGAAGGAGCATGCTGCCTTCGTCTTGTCCCTGGCGCACGAGGCCGAGGCGATCATCAGCTTAAGGCTGCTAGACACGGGGACAGCCAAGGACGTCAGTGGGGTGGTCAGGATCACTGGAGGTGGAGACGATCTGGACCGGGTTATAGAGGAGCACGAGTATCTGTACCATGTTGGCGGAGATGGCGTGGTCAAGGTCTTCGAGCGCGGGCAATAGCTGGCGGATTCCCTGTAGTGGGAAGAGCAGACAATCCTTCATCACCCAGGCCCTTAGAGCACTGTTCCGTCAAACTTCTTAATCTTGGCTTGTCTCTGCATTGCACTGCGCGCATCGTATCTGAAGGTGTACATGTGCTGGAACCGTGGTTGAGAGGCTCGTCCGGCTTCGGTCATTTCGCAAAACAGCCATCCTCAATTGCCCGCGTTTATGCTGGCTTCGTGGTTGGTTGCGACTCGCATAGCCTTGTATTCCAGCTACGTACGAATCTCGACTCCCCGAACGCATCAAAATTCCATAGTTCTTATGACGACCCGCAAGACCGAAACCCTTGAATCTTGCCCGAAATCATGGAGCAAAAGAGAATGGTCCGATCCGTTCAGCATTGTGTGATTCCCCCTTCCCTAGACGCCATTTTGCTCATTTTGACCGCATGTCTCCGAAACGTTGACTGACCCTCGCCGCGTTGCCGTGGTGGCTTGTCGTCTATGCCTTCGTGGGACCGCGGGCGCCCTTGGGAGTGCCGGTCTGGAAGCCGTTCTTGAAGCGCCGGGAGATGGTGGAGAGGGATCGCATGCGGCCGGTGCCGGTGGTCTTCCTGCGCTTGGCCTTCTCAGACCAGTTGTCTGTTTCGCCTCGTTGTCAGCATCCTGCTCTGATCCTCCTGCTTCGTCGCTGCTGTCTCCGTTCCATGGCTGGGTGGCAGTCCGCGCCGAGGTGGATGCTTCGGTTCACGTACACTTTCGGGTCTTAGCAGCGGGGAAGCCGCAAGAAGCGCAGGTGTGCTTCTGGATGTGCAGGGATCGGCGACCTGTTCGGTGACAAGATGACACGGTCAGCCCTCTGTCATGTCCTCCATCCAATTGTTTGTCCTCAATCCGTGATTCCTTGCTCTTCCAATTGCCGTATCGAATATCCGATGGGTGTTTGTTACTGACCACAGCGACGGCACAGAGTGTGCGTCTTGTTGTGACGCTTTCCGAAAGAGCTGGTTCCCTTCGCTATTTGATTTTGTCAGTTTCGCTGTCGTCGGGATGGGTTGAGATCGTGGGGCAGGGTGGACGAACTCATTTTGCCGGTTTGTCTGGAGCAAAATTGTCAGTATGAAATGTTTTATCAAAAAATCGATTCGATTCTGACGGAAGTCTTACATACCACTGTTGAGGAGTTAGGGGGGCAAAGGTGACGGTATTCTTCCTTGGGTCGTTGATGGAGTCGCTTCGCTGCGGGATGGAGGCCAAAGTTGTGGTTTGCAAAAATTCAACCGGGAAACTGCGCCACGTGACCTGGAAACAGCAGGAGCGATGGACCAGCCTGCAACCGCACTAGCGCCCTTTTCGACCAATCAGAGTCGCATGGACCCACTACTCTTCCGGCCAGCAACAAGGAACGTCACTCAATTTGGCTCTGCTGACGCGATGCCAACAACTACCAACAGCGAGAGGCAAGGAACATTTGTCAGGGAGACTTCCTCGAAGTTGGTAGTAGGTCGGCACATCCATCTGGCTACCTGGCTATGTTCCAACAGATAACTTGTCCCAGGAGTTTATCCTACAGGAGATTATGCCATAGCTGAAAGGAGACCATCCCATAGGAGAGAGGAGGTTATCCCGTGGGGAATTATCCCATGGGAAAGAGGAGTTTACCTCCGAAGAGCATTCACGAAGGGGCTTCTCAGGCATTGCCTCGGACACTGCTTAACTTAAATAGAAGAGCTGGTCCCGGCACAAACCGCAAGCACATGATGGACAATTGAGACGAGCATCATGGGCGTAGGGGAGAACACATGACGGAGAAGAAGCAAGGCATGAATGTCACGATGCGGCCAACATATTGCAGATCTTTGGGTTCATCTGTGACAGCCAACTGGCGATGAGCTAGCTAAAGCCACGTTTCCATCTGGCGGAAGTGTTCCAAACAAACCAAACAACCCTGTCTATCTGAACAATGTGAGGCCGAACATTCAGGCCGTCCCCGTCCACGAATCCGTTCCATAGACTAACATGAAGTGATGCGGTCTCTCGAATCCCCTATCCTCCACAGTAAAGAGCCGCCATGGCTTCAATTCACCCACTGGGCCGACAGAGAATCCAACGAGTCGGATGTTGCTTGATCGAAAATGCCGGCTGAGCCCCATCACACCTAATGTTGAAGACAAGTCGACGTTCCATGAAGGCGTATGCCACACGGACGAGGTGCGCGTGTTTCACGCCCACGGGTATTAAAGATGTATGTAGTAACAGGAAAACTTTTAAGACCAAACCCGAGACAACCAATCAAAGGAAATGTGCGTAAAGAACCAGTGGTGTGTGATGTTGCAGGAGTGAAGACCTTAATCCTCACCGTGACCATTGTCGATACCGTTCTCAACGGTGCCATGGCCATTGCGAGTAGGGGTTGACTGGCCCTTTGTGTCCTCGGTACGGCCGCCCATCATGGGAGTGGGAGACTGGAACGTGTAGGGGCCCATGTAGAAGGAGGATGGATCGTATCCCATCATGCCAGGCCAGTAGCTGTTGTAGTACGTCCAAGGGCTGGGGATCTGAGGGGTTGCTTGAGGCGTCATTGGCATGCCCGAAGCGCCCGGGTGAGCGCCATAGCCCGTCGCGTAGTTCTGGTGCACATAAGGCGAGTTTGGCATGCCATAGCCCCATCCGCCGTACATCGGGGGAGGAACAGGCACAGGAGACATCTCGGCCGAAATAGCAGTCGGACGAGTGGGGGTGCTGACAACCTGGACGCCAGGAGACTTGGGCGGGCCAGGCGCAATGGGTGAGTCCTCTGCCTGGCGAAGTAGGAGCTGAGACCGAGATTGACGAGGTGTTGGGCCGCGGTCTTTGACAGACTTGCGCTCAACTCGAATGACGGCTCCCTTGAAGACACTGCCGTGAAACTTGCTGATTGCGGCCTCCGGCATATCAGGCTGGGAGTACTCAATGAACGCCATGGTTCGCGCGATACCAGAATTATTCACCTTCTTGATGACGTTGACCTTCAGGACCTCTCCAGTGTTCGAGAACAGCTCCTCAAGATCGCCCTCGGTCGCATGCGCTGGCAAGTCTCCAACGAAGACGGAGCGACGGTCTCGCTCACACGCTGCGAGGAATGCCTCGTCAGTGCTGTCACGAGTGGCCGCGCAGTGCTTCTTGAGGTCAAAAGCCGTGACAATGTAGACAGGATCGTGGCGGAAGGCTGTGTGAAGATCCCGGGTCGCATCGAACATTGAGAACTCAACCAGGACTGTGGGAGGGAATTCAAGAGGCTCTCGTAGCTGAGGGTGCAGGAACTCGCACTTGCTCAGCGAGCCGTAAGGCAGTAAGGTGTTCTGAGCCTCCTCGACTGTTATAGGGTTGCCTGACTTCTTCTGGATGACAAAGGTGCGGTTGGCCTTGACCATCTCGGTGCGGCACGGGCGACCGCAAATGATTGCTCCCTTGCCATTCTCCAGAGCGCTCCTCGCCTCCTCGTCCGATGTGAATTGGACAAAGGCGAAGGGCATATGATGAGAGTCACGACGAATCTTGACCCAGCACTTTCCATATTTGAGGAACTCTCGGTAGATGGCTGCCTCGAGATTCAGATCATCCTTGGGCTCGGGAAGGCTACGAGGCAGTGTCAGCCAAATGAACAGCGGAGGAGAGCAAGGAATGTTACTTACTTCGCGACGAACACGCAGGCAGTGGGAGGGTACAGATTCTGGGCGTCGACACCATCGATCTGGTGGCGGCTACTCACGTTCGACGCGCGGGTTCGGAGAGTGTGTTCTCCGTTGGCCAGGGCGACATCCAGACGCTGCATATTGCCAGCCGTGATGGAGCGCTCCGAGCGTCGCTCCCTCAGCGGCTTGGTGGGCGAAGAAACGAATACATCGTCCCGGTCATCTGCGCTGACACGGCAAGTCGGAGACCTAGACGGGGTTAGCTGGTGTAGTCTCAAGGACGACAGGATGGTCACTCACTCGTTTCCAGAAGCACGCATCGCAAGGGCGAAACGAGAGCTTCCGATACCAAGTCGAGTGTGAGGCGGGGTGTACCTAGGGGAGTCGCAAACTGACAAAGTATCGAGGCGAGCGCCTAGTGAAACTGTCAGTCAATTCTATTTGGGGTCGGGTCGACTTTCGCGAAGCAGCAAACGAGAGCTTTCCTCTGCCAAAGACAAGGCTTGTCGAGCTGCGTGGTGAATGAAGAGCCATCTTTGCCAGGGAGACTTACCGCCAACGTCGCTGTCACCAGCTGAAGAAACCTCGCTGGGAGAGGGTGCACGATCAGAGCCAGTGAGCGTGGTTCCCTTGTTGCGCTTGAAACGCTCTGGGGAGGGCTGACAGGATCTGCTGAGTGAAGCCATCGTTGTTGGATACGATGTCAATGGGTGCCGTGCTGGCGAGTCTTGTGTGTGAATGAAAGAAAGTTATGCCAAGGTAAGAGGTAAGAAGTGAGTGAAAGCGGCGAAAACCCAGCGCAGAAACTTCCGCGAAATGCGAAATGGGAAGGCGTCGAGGGGCTCAAAAGGAGCGTGTTGTGACAAAGTCAGTCAGCACAACAGTCAGTGCGTTAAAGGATGATGTTTGGTTAATGATGATGGAAAGTAGCATGCAATAGACAAACAATTGGATGGTAAAAAGATCGGGCGGAAGGATTCGCACCAACAGAGAGGTGCTGATTAAAGATGCCTTCTCCTGAGAGACAGTCGAAGGGTGGGTGGGTGATGTATGGGACAGTTGTGTGCGTGCCAGGTGGTTGGAGGTGGTCAGTTGCATCAGAAAGGGATGTGTTTTGGCGTCACTGTATCTTTGGTCAGTGGCCCTCTTTCCATGCCCAGCCAGCTTTTTGCAGCACATCAATCACCTGTCTGGCCGTCCAGTATGGCAGCCGCTTGATCTTTACAGCACAAGTCCGTCGTCCATGGGCCAATGTGCTGAGACCCCGAAGCTGCCCGTGATGGGCAGAGTCTTGACCTCCGCAAGCTTTCCTGGCTCCTAGGGCCTTACATCCCCCTCAGCATGTAGCTTGGATACAGTAGCGGTTGCCAGGCTCAGGATGCTGCATACCCTCCCTCCTCTTCACTTCACTCGTATGGCAGCAGATGGTTTGCGGGGCACGTTTCCTTCTGTATACTCGGGCTTCTGCCATTTCTCCATGCCGGACCTTGTAGCTGGAGCCATGTGGAAGAAAAGGCCCTAGGCCTGGCATTCCATCGCTGAGTACAGATATCAATGCCATCCATTAGACGGCGCCGTCTCCATAGAGCCATGGAGAGCCCAAGGCTCCAACGCTGATCAGCCGCTTGTAAATGCCTCGTCTTTGTATCCTGTCCATTCTTATTCAAAGTCTCACCGGGGCAAACCAAAGCCTGCCTAAATTGCTTTCCATGCTGAGCCAAACTGCCCCTGACTTTGGACCACAGCACTTGCGAGTATGGTCGATGACATGGAGAATACCTTCAAAGGGGGACAATAAATTATAGATTTCCAAGAGTTCCCTGCAGTTCCCCAACAGGTCCCAAACTCGCTGTAGTCATAATCTTCATCTGTGTTGACAAGAGCTTTCTCCAAGGAGTTCGAGCAGGCCAGGACAGCAGTGTCACTCGACACAAGATGGCATCGACACAAGATGGCATCCAACACATCGTTCCGTTCGTGCTCAAAGACGGCAGAGAAATCGAGACTGCAGGTGGCGAGATATATGAGTATTGAGATGATAACAAAAACAAGATAAATGAAGAACCTCTTCTCCGGAATTTGAAGACTGCAACGGTGGATGCAAGTCCGTTAGTAAATGGATGCGATGCTTGCAGTTAGACTCGGGAGGCGTCGTTAGAGCTGTGCATTATGTAATCAACCTCGAGCTCCAGAGCTCCCGAAAATGACGTTCTCAACTGAGGCGCGCTCCTCCGGAGTCGCTGGGCCTAGCATCCGCTCCACCACTCGCTCCACGAACCATTCGGAAGCAATCTTTGCTACCTAGCATGGGATAGCTCTTTGAGCCACGAGGCTCTCACACTTCAACCCCCAGACGAGTGATATCCGTGTCTATTCGCGAAGATGAGGGCCACGCCTCGCCTGTCGAAGGGCTTCTTCGGCCGCAGTGTCGACGAGCTAAAGAGGTTCACGAGCATCGGTATGGGCCCCAAGTGCCTAACATATTCTCAAATTCTGACACTTATTTTCGCCCAGCACTCAACCTTGAGGCTGTCAAGGGCCCAGCTGGACCTCTCGAGTTGCATTCCTTCCGCGCACAGGAGTCCATGCAAGCATGCAAGCTCATGTCAGATGCAGACATCGGGGGCTTCTCGAAAGCACAGCTTGAATGGATACATCCCCGATCACCGTCGGATTCCTTGGCACAAGGTGACAACCCCAATGCGCATGCCAGATTCCACGGCTCCATATCAACCCAACTCCCAAAGGACATTCCCAGCGTGGAGAGATCCGGATACGCAGCCTGGAGAACACTGGATAGACCGCCAACACTGTTCGGCAAGAGCCTATGGGACATCGATCCGTACGCATACCTCGCGCTGAGGATCAAATCTGACGGGCGAAGCTACCTGGTCAACGTGCAAACCGAGTCCATCGTGCCGACAGATGTACATCAGCATCGTCTGTTCAGCAGGCGACCTGGGCAGTGGGAGACCGTTCTGATCAAGTGGAATGACTTTGTGAGGACGAATCACGGCTACGTTGTCGAGCCACAGACCGAGATGCTGCGGCAGAAGGTCCGGACCATCGGGATCGGTCTCACAGACAGGATACCTGGGCCCTTTGACTTGTCCATCGAGCGAATATGGGCTACCAACGACCCGGACGAGGCCGCCAATGCCGAGAGCAGTTCCCTGAATAAGGGTGGGTTGAAGAACAAGCAAGGCAAAAACGTCACATGGGTCACAGATTGAGAACTCGGCGCTACGCAGCATTCAGCAGTCCCAAAAAGGGCTCCTTCCCGGAGATAGCGCGGGCACCTCGAGAGAACAAGACTCTTACGAAACGAAACTACCCAAGAGTGCCCAGAGAGAGGCACAGGTCAGGGTGACGACAATCTGACAAACAATTATGAAGCGCCGTTGTGCCAGGCACGGTAGCAACCTTGGGGCCAGATCCGGGTCCAAGGCCCGTGGTCTTGCCATTGAATTATGGACTGGTCATCCATCAAGTTCGCATTCAGAGACTCTGACGGGCGGAATGCACGCCCAAAACCAGTGGGCGTTGAGGCTGAACATAACTTCTTGCAATTATCATGCAGGCGAACCACCGGATCAGTGTAGTAAATCACCATCACATTAACGAGAACCGGCCTGTAACCGCGGCACTCGACTGCTGCTTGCTTTTTTGTACATAGTGCCAGCCATGGATCGTCAAGAGGTTACCCACAGGCCAATCAGCAATCCGCATCCTTGGGCTCTGCTCCGTAGCGGGAGATTAGCCCCCCCACACTACGCCGATATCCGCTGAGTGTAAAGACGATTCCAGCCGGGCAACACGCCATGGAAGGCAAGTTTTCATCGTGTAATAACCCTCCACACAATGGTCATTGATACATAGTACGCGTGATCGTCCCTAAACCGAGAAGAAGCATATCCCTTCCTGTCTCCCTGACATTGTTCCCAGCTGTGTTTCCACCACCGCCAGAGACTGAGAGCGTCTGATCAATCGACTTGCACGAATCATGGGTCAACCGTCCTACCAGGCGTCCAACGCCATAGTCTACCTGACTTATGGTGCATTTCTGTGAGTTACAGCTTTGAGGAAAATACTGTGCTATTCTCTACAAGAGCCGAAGCAGAAGTAAATTGACCTTATCCAACAGTATATTGGGAACCGCCCTGGCATGGAGATTCCGCAAGGACTCCAAGGGCGAGTTCCTTTCCGGCAACAGAACTCGGACTGGTCAGGAAAACAATCCCCCAAGGAGTGAATCTGGAGTTGAAAGGAACGATGCTTGTCGGGCATAGGACCTCGTCACTTCAAACCCAGATTTGCGTCCCTGATTCTATTGTTCCCAACATCCGCTGACCCCCCTGACAGCACTTCCGATCGCTTTGAACTTCATCGCCTCTGGTCAGTGAGATAACGCGAGAAATCGCTTACCACCCTGGAATCAGAGCGGTAGCAGACGAAAAAGCATTATCTTGAGCACGAGAAACCCAAGAGAAGCCCAAGTGCGACGTCCCCTCTCCGAATGGCCGCCACCACGAGATGGCGTCTGGCCGTCAGGCTGGGGCCGTGCGAGTACTTGTGAGACTGGCAATAGGTTCGTATCCAACATTTACAGTTGTCTCTGCCCTCTCAAAGGTTGCTTCGAAGACTCTGGTCTGCGGGATTCTTCTCAGGGGACTCAAGATCGGTTTCTACGGGTAATCGTTTTGTCAGGGCAGAGATTGCGGCTCACTACGGGCGCGGATTTGAAGCGAGTGTGTCCCCTGTGATCCAACCTCTCACCCACAACCTGGGGAGAGGAGATCACGAGGGCCTCGTGGAAATGAAGCTGAGATTGTACCGTAATTACTCGATCAAGTTAATGCTTGCGTGGGAAACGTGCTGCCGCTCCGGTTTAAAAACCTGCCCCTTACCTTTACTCCCCTCAGCCCCCTATTACCCTACTAACCGACCTAGGTCTCGGATCCGGCATCCTGTTCTCCTACCCGGAGCTTGCCACCATCGCCGGCGTGCAAGGCGTGGTTACCTACGCCCTGATGTCCGCCCTGCCGCTGCTGATCTTCGCTGCTCTGGGGCCCGTCATCCGCCGCAAGTGTCCTGAGGGCTTCGTCCTCACGGAATGGACGCGCCAGCGATATGGAGTCATCACAGCCCTGTGGTTGAGTTTCCTGACGCTGGTTACCATGTTCTTGTACATGGTTTCCGAGCTGTCAGCAATCGGCCAGGTCGTTAGTACCTTGACTGGACTGGACTCGCTTCCTGTCCTCATCGTGCAATGTGTGGTTACTACTATCTACACCTGTGAGTTGTCTTGGTGGGAATTATACAATTCCGGGTCCTGTGATCTGACATTGCATCTCTTGCAGCTCTCGGCGGCTTCAGGGTCTCCTTCATCACGGACAACATCCAAGGCACCATGGTGCTCGGCCTCATCATAATTGCAACCATCACCATCGGTGCGCGGACTGACATTCAGCCGAGCCTCGTCGAACGCTCAGGTCTTCTCGAGCCAAGCCTGCTCGGCTGGCAGCTCCTGTACATCTTCCCGGTGGCAATCATGACCAACGATTTCTTCCTCTCTAACTTCTGGCTGCGGACCTTCGCCTCCAAGACCGACAAGGACCTCTGGATCGGCGTCAGCATAGCCGTCGTCTGCGTGCTCATCATCCTGACGCTTGTCGGGATGACGGGCTGCATCGCAGCCTGGTCTGGCGCCTGGCCCGGCGACCCAGCTCAGGATGGCAGCGTGGCATTATTCCTCCTCCTGGAGCAGCTCCCCAACTGGGTGATCGGAATTGTGCTCGTCATGGCTGTTTCGCTGTCCACCGCGTCCTTTGACTCGCTTCAGTCCGCTATGGTCTCTTCCGCCGCGAACGACCTGTTCCGCAACAAGCTGAACATCTGGTACATCCGGCTGGCCGTCGTCCTGCTCATCATCCCCGTGATTGTCATCGCGCTGAGGGCCATATCCATCCTGCAGATCTACCTCATTACGGATCTCCTCTCGGCCTCGACCATCCCCGTACTGGTACTCGGCCTCAATGATAGGGTATACTGGTGGCGCGGCTTCGAGGTCGTCGTCGGCGGCCTGGGCGGCATCCTGAGCGTGTTCATCTTTGGCACCATCTACTACGGCGACGCCGAGTCTGGCGCACAGCTCATCCTCCTGGAGCAGGGCCTGTACGGAAACGACTGGGCCGCGTTCGGCGCCTTCGTCGCTGCCCCTATTGGCGGGCTGCTCTCTGGCTTCGCAGCCTGCGCGCTGAGGCTCTCGTTCCAGTTCTTCTTGGCTAAGAAGAACGGTACGCGGTTCACGGGGCTGGACCGCCCTGCTGTGGAAGATGACTCTGAGACAGAAGTGGTCGTTCACCAGAGTGAAGAAGTCCCAGTGTCCAAGCATGCGGGGAAGTTCTTCTGAGGCAGTTGTCCTTGGGTGCTGGGAGGTGATCTGTTGGGTTTGTGGGCGCCATTTGGGCGTGACTCCCAAGGTGAACGTCGTGGAAGTAAGGATGTGTCGGTGGGCGGAAGCAGTCTTGCGGGTAGGTAGAGTTGCATGGTGAGTAAGATATTATCTTGTCGCGGAGCTAGTGGTATATATCATCTTGGGAAGGATATGTCCTTCCATGAAGACATTACACATACCAGAACGCAACTTCTATAATTGAATGTCGTGAGTGGTGTTCGTCATGAGAAGACCGTACGCGGGCAGCCTGTCTATGTTGACGGTCACCGTACCATGGTCAATGGTCTCCCCGTGATGCGATCATGTGGGCATGAGCCGTTGTAATATTGTACATCTATTTGCGACTCCCGAGCGCCTTCCGCTCCGCGTCCAGCTTCTTCTGGGCCGTCACCTTCTGGGCCTCCTTCATCTCGTCCACCTCCTCCATCAAGTCCTCGTACGTCGTCTCCTTCAGCGTGCCGTAGATCTGCCAGTCGGACTGCGTCAGGTTGACGGGGTCGACCTGCCGCCACAGCACGACGTACTCGAGCAACTCCATCTCCTTCGTCGAGACCCTCTCGCCCCTGGCGTTGAGCTCGCTCAGGCGCTGCTTGCTCTTGATGCCCACGACGGCCTGGCGGAACGTCACCTTGAAGCCGACGTCCGTCTCGGTCCACTTGTTGTCAATGACGCGCGGCCACCACGGCCGGCCCGTCTCGGCCACGCGCTCCCACTCGTAGCTCTTTCCGGCGGGCCGGTGCTCGATGGCGCTCAGCAGCGACCGGTACAGCTTGGGCACACAGATCTGGCTCAGCTGTGCCTTCTCCGCGGCGCCGCCCCTGGCGAGGCAGTATGACATGGACGCGTGCAGGCTGCGCGCCGCGGCGATTATCTCGCTGTTTGTCGAGCGGATGCGCGCCCTCTTATTCCACTTGGGCTTGGTCGCCCACGAGTTCATGAGTCGCTGCAGCCGGTCCACGAAGCGCTGCTTCAGTATCTCCCAGTGGTAATTTATGAACTCCTTGGGCGCACGAGGTCGTTCGGAGAGGGGCAGGGGCACGATGGTTCCTGCAAGGCGCCATTAGCTTCGTGTACATGTAGCCAGCGACAGAACATTGTCCTCCGAGGGTGCTTACTCGGGGAGAGCATGGAGATGGACCCGGTGTCCTGGAGCTTGTCTGCGCTGTTCATTTGCTTTATTATACTTGAAGTTGCTTGCTGCTGGCTCCGTTGTTTCTTTGCAGAGCCCATTCCTTGCCTGTATGCTGCATCAGGCTTATAAGAACGGCCCCGGGTCTGCTCGAGATTCGCCCGGTGGACTCGCGGCCCGGAGAGGAACATTGGCAGGGCCACCGGTCGGGACGAGGCCAACAGCCATGGCCGCGTGCGGAACGTAGCTGCCATTGTCGCGGCGGAGGATGTACAGGGACACCTGCGCGGTTGCCAGGTCCAGGTCGAGGTCGAGTCTTTGTCGAGGACTGGCGACGAGGTCTCGCGACGAGCTTTGGTAGATCGAGAGCCGAGGACGGCTTTTATGAAGCCGTCGTAGGGTTGCCGACAATTAAGCGACTGGTCCCGCAACACTAGCTCCGCTCTCCTTCCGCCCTGGTGGCTGACTTCTAGGTAGATACGCTGCGCCCGATCGGCATATCACCACCTTCTGCAGCTCATGATGCGGCCTACTTTCAGCAAAATTTTGGCGGATGCGTTCATGCCTGCCCGGCCAGTCAGCCCATCCGATAAGCCGGGGTCTGGGGCCCGCCACGGAGTACCCAGGTAGACACCTACCTACCTACCTAGCCTGCCGGTAGTCCAGAAGCTCTGCAAGGGGCACCTGGGGCCACGCTACCCTAGCCGCTCGTCCAGAGGCACAGGGTCTCGAGGATAGAGGTCAACCTTGGCGTGCTTGGAAGTTTGGACTTGAGTTCTGCTCCTGGCAGCGAGTTGAGAACCAAGATAATCATTCTACCTGTAGAGCAAAAACAGAGGTCTATGAATTGAGCCGCACATGACCCCAACCAAGGAGTCAACCGGAACACCATTCAAGTACCAGCTTAACACGCGGTGACTCCGAAAACTACGTTGCGTGTGCTGGGAATGACTTCAGCATCGGCTCGTGAAGCTCAAAGTCTCCATTGAGGTTCCCCTCTCCAAGCCGACTACCTGGCGTCTCCTCCGCTAGCTCACAATCAATCCTACTTCGTTGGAACGCCTTGTCATTTTCCCAGACACATTCGCCTGCACGCATGCTATGAGAAGCTCGCCACCTGAGCATTCCAATCCCTGAGCCAAACCTGCAGGAAGTCCTCTGCCCCAGGGCCTGGAGGGGTCATCCCACTCCCCCTGACGAAGGGAGAGCCGGCCGATGTCAGCCTTAACCAGGGCGCGGACGTGGTCGACGAACAGACACGACCAGGAGCAAGCCCACGCAGCGGAAGCGGCATCCAGGCAGGTCTCCTCCTCCGCCACCACCGCCACGACCACCACCACCAGGTTCAACACCGAATATGTCGCCGTTGCGAGGGATGGCCGTCTCTCCTCCAAGGATACCACGTACGCCGCCCCGGACAGTGAGGCCGAGCCGGTAGCCCACCCGACCTTCCTCCAGCCGCGCGTGGCCGCCGTGCTGGGCGTCTCCGAGTGGTGGCACCCCGTGCTGTTCTCCCTGCGCCTGCTGTCCATCCTGCCGTCCATATACCTATGCTTTCCCGTCGCCATCCGCTTCCTGCTCAAGCTACACTCGTTCGCCACCTCGGACGGCGACGGCGACGGCGCGGGCGCCGCGCAGGGGCGGTCGCCCGGCGAGGACAGGCTGCTCCTGACCGAGACCATGCTTGCTATCGTCTGGTGCGGCTGCTCTGGGTACCTTTCCTTCTTCTTCACGGACTGCCTCATGTCCAGGTGGTAAGTCGCTGCTGCTTGACCCCGTCCCTCCCCAGCTGTCTTGTGTCCGTGTACTCATCATGTACTGTCTGCTTGCTAGGCTCGTGAACTATACACCCTCTGCGACAGCCTTCCGCCTGGTCTCCGTCTCCGCCCTGAACGGGTACCTACAATCATGGACCCTTGACCTAAGTGGCAGCTCGCAGGACCCTTTTCTACTGCTGCCGACCTGGATAATCATCACGAGTGTAAGGGTCTCCCTCAAATTCATCAACCTCGCCCTGCGCCTACTGGCTTGTCGTGCAGTTCACTGATCTTGTTACATTTGCAGACGCTCACGTTCGTATACCACATAACGCAGCGCAAGATCAACATCCTCAAGGAGACATCAACCTCGATCAGCGTCTTCTCCATGGCGAGCTACATCAGCATGGTCGCCCTCTTGATACAGCAGCACTGGGACCGGGATTGGTTCGATTTGCCATTTGTTGCGTTGGGATACAGGTTGTTGCGTCAGGGCGGGGAGTTGGTGGTCAGCGTGGCCAATTTCGCAAACATCACACTGGAACCTTGAGAGGACGGGCGGTGGTAGCTCTGGTCTTTTCTATTCTTCTCGGGTCCGGAATTTCTGTCAAATCTGCTTGAGATACCCCATCGTTCAGTATAATTGAGTCAACAGGAAGCATCGGGCTGGAGTTATACGGTTTGGGCACTGATATAGGTTTGGCGGGAATATTGAGTCTGTTTGATTACTAGCGAAGGAGCTTTCCACGGTTGAAGCGATACGACCCCGTTTGTATTCAGCTGGGGCCTTGTGGGTGGGTCAGTCAGGGGCAGAACGCAGGCCAACCGTCATGGGCTGACGGCGAACGGGGTGAGAGCATTGGCATCATCACAAGGGAGCGACATTGTAGGAATATCAACGATGTGCCATTTCTGCTACTAACGCCAATACTGCGGAAGTCATAACGAGTGAAGCGCATGGCGACAAAGATATCAACTCCCTGATTCAGTCGGTCCCAAAAAAAATATGGACTCCTCCGAGTGTTCGATCGTCCGTGATCGGTGGGTATCATGTCAATGTGTTCCTCTCCGGCGCCCGAGATGTCTCCATATCTGGAGAAGCTGTAGCAAGAGGAGACCTGATGTGTTCCTTGGTTTAGGTATCGCCTCCGAATCAAGCCGTTCCCGCGCAGTAGTCCTGGTCGAGGATACGTGACATGATGAGGGCCCTTAGAAACCGTGGACCTTGATGGTCTTGGGGTCGAGCTCAAGACCGTCCTTGCTGGTGAGGAATTCCTGGAAATCCTTGCGCTGGTCGCCCTGGAGCTGGATCACCTCTCCCATCTCGGCATCGTTGACGATGGTGCCATTGCAGGCTGTGTTGTGGCAAAGTTAGTCACCGGTCTTGGTCTGAGTCAATGTCGGGTGGCGGGTGGTGGTTGGCACTCACCAAACTTCTTCTTGACGACGGCGAGAATCTTCTTGCGGCTGAACTTTGCAGGAATGCCCTGAACAGTGGTCAAGGTCTTACGTCCATTTCGTTCTGTTGGACAGGCTCGTCAGCGAGTGTCTTGTAGACTGGGACAAGGTATGGCAAACACGATCCGGGGATCGGCAGCGCAATGGTTGCACGTGAGCGCCATCAAGCATGTTTTTTCTTCTTTGCGGGAAGGCGGTCAAGGATGTACGTACGCTGAATCCGAATATGGATGTAGTCAGGAGCCTTGGACTGTTCTCCAGTGTCCTCGTCGGCTTCGGCGAAGGGGTCTATGAGGGTGGATGTTAGCTTTGAGGTCTACTGGCTTTGCCTGATAACAGCCCAAACGCGGGGAAGTGGCCGCCGTGTCGAGGTCTGTCCCAAGGCTGTTGTGAGGACTCGAGCGTCGACGTCGCCGACAAAACAAGAGTACCGTGACGTGTGCGACGCAGGCTAACGTCTACTGCACGACCGCAGGCAGTGCATCGTGGAATGGCCGTCGCCTTGTGCAGAGGAATTGGGTTGTGGACTCAGAAAGACTGACCGTAAGACTTGAGATTTTCGATTGACATAGGCAGCGACGGACGGCACAGATGGCGTCTCACTGAAATTGGTGTAATGAGGTATCGGGGTGAAGCCGAGGTGCTGTAGATCTGGAGTCGACTAGCAAACTGTTGCGGAAGTGGAATGGAGAGGGTTGGTGGTGATAGGGTGGTTGTTGTAGAAGAGAGATATGATGAGAGCGGAGGACGGCAAGCGTTTAAGTAGCAGCAACGTAGCAGGGAAAGAGCGAATCGAGGAGGGGTCCAGTCGCCGCCGCCGCCTTTGCGCGCCCCCCGCCCCCCTGGCTTTCTGAGCTCACCAGATCGGCCCTGCCACCAACGAACGCACAGGCCTGGCTGGCCTGCCCACTTGTTACCTGCCCACTATTAGGTACCTAGGTACATGCCAGATGCTTAGGTACACCAACGTACCCAACAGCGCATCGCAGTGTCCGCTGCCCACTGTCCGAATGCATTGCCCCGCTTATTATTAGATCAGGGCCAGCCCGACTGGAAGCCAGGACTTTCCGAACCTTGATTTCCATCACGGGCCTCGGAGGCCCAGCCCAATCTTTAGCCTTTATCGTCCTCGCCGAAGGCCTCACACTCCAGACAACTGTCAGCCACACGCTGGTCACTGTTCTGCTCATTACGTCCCAGAGGAAAACTCTGAAGCTTCTCACCGTCGCTCGAGAGTGCACACCCTACAACACCGTGCAGATCTTCCCATACCACATAAGAGGCTGTCCCGCAAGAGGTTATTCTCGCAGCAGGACATCCCACTTTGAGGGTATCAGGAGGGTATTCTGTAGGGGGTTACCTTACAAGAGGTTATCTTCCAGGATCGACACCTCTCCAGGACACTCTGCTCAACGCACAGAGCATGCCTTTTGCACCTGATGATCTGAGCGACGCCAGCAACAAAGCATCGGCTGTCTCCTGTCAGATCTTCGAGGCGGGAGCCGGCAGTAGCCGCTCCGAATGGACTCCTTTGTTCAAGCATGAAATACGTTTCGAGCCGGCCATATTCGACCAGGTGATGCTAAATCTGATCCGCAACCCGAATATCAACTCGTCCTGGCTCTTTCGGGCAGACATTCTACTGGACCATGTTGCCGGCTCAGAAGCCTCTGAGATCTCTTTCGACAACCAGCCACTAGTTCCAAGCTTCTCCGGACTCGAGGAAAGGCGGCGTTTAGTTCGCCGAATGGTCCCTCGCAACGAGCTGCGAGATAAGCCCCTCGACCAGACATGCGTGTTCTACACGGGGAGCACACCACAAGGCCTACAACAGTCTCTGATCATCTACCTTCCACATTCCAAGTCAGAGTCTGATATTCCCTTTTATCACCCGACCGTGAGAGGCATTGCCTTCGTCCATGATTGGAACCCAGAACAGTCTCGAGGCATTATTTCCATTCACTACTGTTACTTTGAGGGGAGCAAGCGAGATGAGAAACTCACGAGAACGGCACTCAACCTGCTCAGGGTGGCATACAAGCATGGCGGGGGCCAAGCGGACGGCTATAAAAAGCGTGTCCATCACGATGTGTTAGTTCCACAAGCAGCGCTTCAGAACAGATATGCCACGTTGAAGAAGAAGTACGCTCGGTCTCTCGTCGAGGGCTGGGAGGAGGTTACTGACCCTGGCAAACACGTCTTCGAGGATATCTGCATTGCAGCTTTTCTCATCGAACTATGGGAAGACATGTACAAGGATTCCGAGTTCCCAGGCTGGGTAGATATTGGCTGTGGGAATGGTCTCCTCACGCACATCCTGAATAGGGAGAACTACCCCGGATGGGGCTTCGATGCACGGGCAAGAAGGTCGTGGCTGAAGTACAGCACAGAAGTCCGAGTTCGAACTTCGCCCGACAGCTTCGTAGAGCGACAGTCATTAGAGACCCGCATCCTCCTGCCATCTGTCATCAGTGGTCTGCAGCCAGACGGCGAAGAAAGGCTCCATGACGGGCTGATCCACGACGGACTCTTTCCTCCCAAGACCTTCATTATCTCGAACCACGCCGATGAGCTCACGCCGTGGACACCCATCCTGGCGAGACTCTCGGACTGCCCATTTATCATGATCCCGTGCTGCAGTCACAACCTCACCGGTGCGAGGTTCCGCGCCCCGCCGCCCAAGGATAAGGCAGAATCATCATCGGTATACAATTCTCTTTGTGCCTGGGTTGTTGAGATCGCAAAGGACTGTGGCTGGGAGGTCGAGAAAGAGATGCTGCGGATTCCAAGTACGAGGAACGCAGCATTTGTGGGTCGACGCTTGACCAACGATGCCGAGCTTGATGTGCAGACGCTCTTGCAGAAGTATGGAGGGACACAGGGGTACTACGACAACGCGATGAAGCTGCTCAAAGCATCAACTCGTGGCCACTAGAGGGCTCCAAATGGAGGAGCAAGCTTACCGTTCATGGGGCTTCCCTCTCCTTGCTACATTGAAATCAGCGTACCAAGTGTCTAGTCTGCATCGCCATGTAGCACACTCGCACAATACGCAGGCGCAGTTCCACGGGGCGACCACTCAAGATGGTCATTCTATGGCCGTAGTTCCACGTTCCTGGACGAGGAGCATTGTTAGGGTACGCAACGAGGAAACTCGAAATACACCATAGCACGTCCTATGCTTAGGTCAGCAGAACGACAAGTCTAAAGCCTGCCGGGCAGTCTTACGGCCTTCCACGAGGTAATACAACAACTCCGTAAAGGTCACTTGTTGTCATGCAATCGCTCAAACGAATTCGGCAATTCCACTCTGGAATGTACGGTCGAATTCAGTCTACATCCGGGACTGGCAAATGGTCAACCAGCTTCATCTTCAATCCCTGGTCCTTGAGCGCCTTTGTTGACAATTCGTCTCTCAGTGCCAGGCTCTCCTTCTCGGTAATGATCACGAAGTCCTTCCTCAGCAACCAGGTTCCCTCCGGCACGTCATACTCCTCCGCCGTCTTCTTGTCCACCTTGTCGAGATCGATCACCAGACTCTTCTTCACGCCGAAGACGGCGTCGGATTTCTCATACGGGTCGCCGCGGAGGTATAGTGCCCTTTTTGTCACCCGGTTAGTGATCTCATCGCACACGAGCAAGCACGAGACAGAGAAGTTAAAAGGGCGCACACATACGTGATAAAGTGATCCCAACCCGGCTTTTCAAACATGAAATGCACATGTGCCGGCCTGTAACAGTGCCTTCCCAGCAGCACCAGCAGCTTGCCAACGGGCCCGTCATGTGGGATGGGGTAGCTGACGGGCTTGATTCCTTTGAACCAGAAGCGCCCCTGCTCGTCGCTCACGAGGATGCACCGCTCGCTCGGCTCGCCGCGGTCCGAGTGCTGCACGTCGTAGTGCCCGCTGCTGTCAGTCTCCCAGATGTCGATCTTGACGCCGGCCACGGGATTGCCTTCGGTGTCTTTGACGGTGCAGATCGCAAGCATGGGCTCGCCCTCCGGGTCGCTGGCCATGCGCGCGCCATTGGGCAGGGTCGGCGCGTCGTGCGTGTGGAAGGGCCCCAGGAGGGAGCCCTCTGTGGCGTTGGGCGGCTTGGGGTGATTTATACTGTCGATAAGGAGGGACAGGCCAAGGATATCGGAGAGGAGGATAAATTCCTGCCAGCGCACAGGGCTAGTCAGTAACCGCTGTCTCAATGGGGCCGTGTTCGGGAATGTCTGGGGGGAAGCGAAAGGGCAGAGCAACTCACTTGCCGGACGTCACTGCAAATCTGGCCGGCCTTTGTCAGGAACAACAACGCCGTCATCCACTCGTCGGTGCTGAGGCGGGTCTCGCGCGCAAAGTCGTGCAGGTGAGTGACGAGTCTGTCCAGGAGGTACTTAAGCCGTTCATTTTCGCCCTGATTGTTGATCCTAATTGTGTTGGGCGTGATGTTGTCGATGGTCAGGTCCAGCAACTCTGGGGTCTGTGCGTTCTGAGCCATGGCTACGTCGTCGTCGTCTAGTCACCTTCGAGTGTCAAGGTGTTGGCAAAGACAATCAGGTCGAGAGGGAGCCTGGGGTCCTTGGGTCCTCTGTAGATAAAGCCCGCGTGAAGTATTGACCAGCCGTCGTTATGTAATGCTCTGTCATGGGCTGTTGTGAAGCTAATCAAGTCTGGCTTGTGGACGATCTTTCGCCTGTGGAAGGCGACCAACCTAGCGGCGTATAGTTCTGGAAGGCCGGACTGATAGCCGTAGCCGCCTTGGTACGGACTGTGCCCTCATTTTGTAAGTTCAGAACGAGGACCGCATGCGGGTTTACGGAATTATCTCGCGCTCACTGGAAGCCCTCGCTCTGCCAATTGCTCCTAGGTTCCGGCTCTCCCAGGGGTCCTCGCGAGGTGACAGATCGGTTCACCATGCCACGTAGGTGGGGTTGGAGCTCAACGCGGCATCATCAACGTCGCGGCTGGTCTTCCCGCGGCCCTGGCCCGCCCACTCGGCCCCTCCCTCCTTGCCTCGGGACTTGATGACGGCCCCGGGAATTCCTGCAGTTAGTAATGCGGGGAATCTTCCTGGCGGCTGGTTCCGCGGAGGACAATCCCGCCTTACTTCCAGTAGGAGAGCCGTCAGATTTATCCATCTAATTAATCAGGAGTTGCAGGGTGTAGGTTTTCTTCTTGTCCTCACAGAAACTCGGGAGCGCAGACCAAGACCTGCGCGGCTGAGGCCGTATATGCAATCAGACAGAATGAGTTGGACCGATGAGTCGAACCACAGGAAATCATCTCACAGGGACGAAACGCCCTGTGTTTATGGGACTTGCACTTCGGTGTCTGGTGCCACTGCAAGCTGCATAACAAGGTTGACAGAACCACCTGGAGGCCCCCACCGGGGCTTAGTGGGAGCCGCCCACGGGTTTAACAGACATGCGTCGCCCTCGGTTGTGCGTACAAGCAATCAAATCGGCCTTTCACATTACACAGATTATTACCTTCCCTTAAACCAACCATCCGGTGCTAGTAAAACACGCAACATCAAAAAACAAGATGAAAATTCAGCAAGAAAACTACAACTCGAAGCTTCCTTGGCCAATGAACCGAGCCTTGCCGAGTGACTTACGCCTTGCTCCAGTCCCTTGGTGATATGCCCCCACCCCCAAACTCCATTCCTGTCCATGTGCGCTCTGCCGCTTCTCATGCAAAACATGGTTGTATACGAGTAGCACACCCACATCTACCGTATTGACACGTCGAGTCGTGAATTGGCACGGCGTACTTGCTCGTCAAGTCCATCTTTGAGGGCTTCGGTGTCTTGGCCGGTCAGGTCCCAGATCTGAGGATTTCCATGTCACCGTCCTTCCCAGCACTCGAATCGCTGGTTGTCATTTGAGTTTCCGTGGTGCTATTTGGAAGCGACTCGAGAGGCGTCGTGGGTGTCGTTGGCCGGTGGTCCGGATTGACGCGAGCGTCCACGGAGCCGCGAAGGGCCGGCTCTTCCTCGACCACGTACGCCGGGACAACGTTCGAGCAATTGCTAGGAGGAAGTCCACTTAGCCGCTTGACCAGGCGGCTGTCGGCTCGCTGAAGTGAGAGCGCGTCCCACTCTCCGAAGTCCCGTGAGCTCCAGCTGGCCCTGCGAGGGCGAGCTGCACGTGGGAGACTGTGTGTTGACATCCTCGAGCTGACACTGTTGGTCCGACTAAGTCGCATAGGTCTACTGGGGCGGTTCGGGTCAGCAGCCAGGGCTCCGTCCAGGGATGCTTCCAGAGCTCCAAAACTATCCTCATTCTCGTCCTCGTCCTCGATCTTTGACACCCGTCTGACAGACATCACAGAGAAGGAGGGCTGGATTGGCGGTATGTTCTTTTCGGCTTCCTGAAGTTTGTTCTGCCACTCCCTTTGCTCTTTGGAAAGATAAACGTCAGCTGCCGTGGTCTGCAAGTGCTCAAAGTATTGCAATCTGGTGGACTCGAGCGCTTCGGGCCTGAATTCATCTTTGTTGCGTGTCAGCGACATATATGAAGACATGGCCCCAATAGCCACCAATATCTTGAGTCCAATGACTAAGAGGCCTTGTGAAAGAATTATCACCATTCCGATTGCTGTAGCAAGAATGCGGTTTGCTCTCATTGTCGGCAGAAAAGCAACTGAGAGGCCTGTGGTCAGGATCTTGCTCATTCCCAGCATCCAGACAGCCAGCGCCATGTTCCGTCGGCCTTCGAAAGGGCGAAGTTTCGCAAACACCAAGAGTGCGATGATCTCGAAGATGAGTAGTCCATACACTTGTGCCTCAGGCGACGCCACTGCTCCGCCAATGAAGACGGAACGGACGAGATGGTATAGGAGGCTGCATCCGAAGAACCACCATCTTGTGCGTCGGTAACGAGCTGACAGCCAGCCGAATCTCTTGACGTAGGCATGGTCTTCGTGCACAGTAGCACGGCCAAGATCGTCATCGTGGTAGAGAACCCGGATGAACGGTAACGATCCGATCTGCCTTCCCGGAAGCTCTGCTTCTTTCAAGGTGCTCAACCGAACAAAGCAGATCAATGGTACTACCTTCAACCAGTTGTCGCGCATGAGCAAAAGGCGGTCTTTCCGTACAGCACATTGACCAGATCTGAGTCGCAGGTGGCAAGCATAGGTCGCTAGTCCGCCGGTTCCGAGTAGGAACAGGAGGAAGAAGATAGCCGCGAGCGCCTTTGCACCAGCTGATCCTCCGAACGAAAATTGGTAGAATATCAACGTCATCATCATGGAAAACGCCATGAGCAGTGTTCGCAAGCTGGCGATGATTGTGTAGTGAACCCAGTTGCTTCGGAAATATAGCAGGCGATCCTCTCTCATCCGCTTGATTATGACCAGAAATTCCAGGAACAGCTTGAGGAAAGTCATGCTGAGAACCAGCATCCCTAGTAAGACCGAAAACCAGGCCAAGGCGGTTGTGAAGGCATCTGCGGCTGGGTGCCTTGGAAACCCATCCACGTCCCAGGCAGCGGAAGACCAGGATTCGAAACGTGGCCTGCCCAAGTGTAGTCGTACGGGTCACTTGCGTTGAAAGGTTGCCGGCGCAGGAGGTAGTCCATTGTTGCTGTGTTCAGATGAAGTGATCGGCCATAGATCTGTTGAGCTAGACCTCCATCGTTTTTGTTGCCGACGACTGATCCCGCATTTCCAGCTTGACTAGCATTACCGCTCACCATGTTGAACGAGTCCATGGACTTGATCATGGAACGGCTGAATATATGCGCAGCTGACCACGCAAAGTTGCTCCACCATGCGACCAAGACACTTGGAAAGTTGAGTGATAGAGCCCCAGAAAAGAAGATGCTCTGCAAAGTCTCGAGAACAATCACGACAGATATCGAATGGGCGTAGTGAGTTCTCATGTGAGCAATGCTAACGCCATAAACCGCAGTTGCGAATGAACCGACAATGGCCACCGTGGTAAACAAGGCTAGGACTGGGCTTATGGCCTGGGGATGGCCCATAGTGATCCCGTTTGTCATACTAGCTTGATAACACCCGGTCTGGGACCTGGTAGAATTCGCGAATATCTGCAGGCGAACAAAGCCCTCAAAGTCCGGGATGGCGAAGGCGAGATTCGGAATGTCTCCCACCTGTGCTGGACCGACTGGAAACACGGCCCACGCCTGTACAGGGACAGAGGCGTTGAGTGGACAGAGGCGTTGAGTGGACAGAGGCGTTGAGTGGACACAGGCTGTGTATGTTGGCAAAGCACAGGTCAAACACCTTCTGGAAACGATTTTCTCCGTAGGCATCCATAGAAAAGAGCATCACAAGGGACTCGTTCTTGATGCTGGATGCGCCGTCCAGGTGGAATAACACGGTTGCATTATCCTTATAGTACTACCACACCTCAAGTCAGCATTCGTCTTCTGGCGATCCCTGAGGCTTCATGAACTTCGAACATCCTGAAAGCCGGGCCTTGAAACAGCTTTTGGGAATTATTTTAGACTCCATGGAAAAGACACTGCGCAGTCTGGATTCAAGCTTACGGCAGCGTCAAACTTGGTGATGTTGAAGAGACTCTGCCCTCCCAGGCAGTCACCAAAATCGCCCGTGTAAAGTGCGGGAGTCCTGTCGACCGCTAGCTGCCTTGTGATGCCATCGATGCTGGTCCCATAGATGTACTGGGTGTCCTTGGCCACAGCTGCTGGTACAGGGCAGAGTGATAATACCGAGGCCGCCAAGCCCCTAAGAATGGTTTTAGTCGCCATGTTGCGAGTCAAAACTGGACAGTGTGCCGACAGCAGATGAGGCTATCATGCTGGCCATCGACAGAGGGTTTAGGGACGAGATGGCAGGATGTATCGCAGTCACGATTGCGCCATTCGGAATGCTTGGTTGATGCAAATAGATGTCATTGTTGTAGGGCGGACAGTCCATGCTCAGAGAGTCCTTGTTCTCGTATCTGGGTCCCGTGAGGATATAACTGTTTCAAGAAGTAGGAACGGAAAGGCGTGGTGTAGGAACACAACCAACGCTTGGCGCACGGTTGAGACTACCTCTGTGCATGCAGGAGTAGCTGTCGCAGAGTCTCGGGATCGACCTATCAAGCACCTGCAGTCAGATAGCTATAGAATTATTTAGTGTTTGAGCTCCTGGCCTACTTCGACAGTCTTGGCAGATGGCGTCAACGAGACAGGGCGAAATGGGTTTTCAGAGTTGGTCGCGCGGAGAGGGGGCCATGGGGCAAGCCTCTGGTCTCTTTGATTTCGAGCGCCCATGCATCAACGGGGCCATGAGCTGCCTGTGGCCAGTAGACGGCCAAGATGAGAGCTGTCGAATCACACCCATGCCTTGGCTATGAAAGGGAGCAATGTACTGGGTCACGACGGTAGTCACTCACACGGCGGGAAGGAGCCGATGTGGGTCCAAGAACCCTGCAGATACTGTAAATCTGCCTTTGCTTCCTGTGCTGCATGTACCCTTCCTGCCCAATCTGCCACCGCTGTGTTTCTGGAAATGCGCGTGGTGGCCGCCGGAAAGCTCTTTTGGTCGCTACGATGGGCAAGCAAGGGCAACAGTCATGCATTGTCAGGATGCATACTGCAAAGATCCTGATGGGTAAGTCCCAGTCAGCAGCCTGGGAGGGATTCCTGAGCTCCGTTGCAGGGTACTCATCTCTGAGGAGGATCGTCTAGGCAGACCACGGGCAACTCGCAACATTCTACCCGACAATTCTACAAGGCACTCGAGGGTCTTCCGTGGAAGATGTAGCCCCCTGGATGATTTCCGATCACAAGTCGTCCCCTACGATGAATTTCGCCCTCTAGAAGAATGCGCCGCTCAAGTCAGCTACACGATAGCTGCGAAAAGGTTTTTTTTTTTTTTTTCTAAATCATGCAAGGCTCGATGGAGTCGGAAGTCGCTTAACCTGTGTACGAACACCGGGCAAGTAGCAGGGTCTCCCCCGTTGTGGCGGAAGGCGTGCTTACCAGGTGAGGGTCTTCTCCAGCGTCGGATGTCGGCCCTCGACACTATCCAGGTATTGATCTGGAAGATGCACATGAAGCTACGATTTCCTGCAACGGCAAGGCAAAAGCCACCCAGGACGCACAACCGAGACTGACCAAGTTCGTGGAGATAGACTGCATTCTCAAAGGAGCATCCAAGAGGACGGCTCAAGGCCTGTGTTACTTCTCTTCCGACCCAACCTTCCCCGGCGCTTCCAACAGCGTCGAATCAAATTGCACGGCTTGCTCAGCCACCATAAGTCCGTTCGAGGAGGTGCATGAGGCTGACGACTCCTCGGGCCCGGGGCCGTGTCTGTCGGGGCGATCCGAAGCATTGGACCAGTCCAACTGCCGAGACAGGGCAGGGTCCGAACCGAGTCCCTTGCTCGATGGACCCGCTTCTTCCTCGCGAGGCTCACAGGCGAGCTCGATCTGGCCTGGTTGGTGTTGCTCGATCCGTGGCGAAATGTCAGCTCTCTCGGTAGGGCTGTCTGGCGAACAGGGTAGATTCATATCTGAAGTCAATTGCATGGAGGCCTTGGGGTTTGGGTCATTTATACCCACTCTCTTCCTCAGCCGGATCTGCGAGTTGACAACAGCATGTGATCCGATCCTTGCGCCCTCATCCCCACCGTCTGTCCGCTGGTTGTTTCCTTGAACAGACTTGGCACTACGATAGTTCCATTTGGCACTCGGAGGTGTGATAGGAAGCCGCAGTCACAGTGGCTAGTCACTCCCAAAACAGCGACTATGAGATCGGGACAGGTAGGTCACATGGGCTTACGGTCTTGTCCTCTTGTGTTACGTCCGAGGGCAGCAGGCATATGCCAAGGCTGATGCCCTACCGGGCACTTTATATCCTGCTGACAGGAGTCACCGGCCATGACAGCCCCTTGACTATCTCGCTTTGGGTGCTCTTATCTTCCGTGTCCAAGTTTTGACCCTCGGAGCAGTATTGTATGTAGTGTCCCAGGTGTGAACAGAGAGAAATGAGCACGGGGTGAGGTTGGTCTTCCGGCCGATCAGGCCCCACTGACCTGCTGCAGCCGTCCAGAGTACTGCCGACCGCACACAACCCTCGAGGCTGCCAGGACCAGACAGCGGGGAACCGATTCCATATTGATTGACGTGGTAGCGGGGTGGTGAGGCCCATCCCACATGGGGTTGTTGGCACATTCACGAGGCCCTGGCCTGATGTTTCTTGATGCTGCACCCTCACAGGCCAGAGGGGCGGCAGGGGGCCCAATAACGATCAGACGTAGCCGAATTATGCTCTTCAGGAGGCCGCGTAGTTCCTTGCCATGATCGATGAGCGGTTTTCGTCCTCGTCCAGGATTCGACACTGTGGGCGGCTAAAGATGTGGCCAGATTGCCTCGAGGCGTGAGCAACGGCGAATATGGCTGACAGGGGAAGGCAACGGGACTGTCGCCCGAACGTCATGCCGCGCGAGCTCTGTTGTGGGAAGGCTCTCAGCTGTGCCGCCGTAGACTGACTCCAGATAGCCTATCGTGCTTGGCGGCCACCCCGCGGAAGTACCCTGTCGGCACGGCTACGGCATCGGTGTACAAGATGACCTCGATCACGCAATTGGGGCTATAGAACAAAATTTCTAGACGCCATGAGCCTATGCTAAGAGGAATCAGGTCAAAAGAGCATCCGAGGGGCTCCGATTCTGTCCCGGATTGCAAATGGTTCCTTCTCGCAGTGCTACACACAAGAAAAAACACAATCACGGTCCTGACAAGCACAGGCAGTCACATCTCATACTGATTATCAAGGACGACCTCCCTCCGAAGCAACTTGTTGTCTCGATTCAGGCGTCCAAAACCTTGCGCACACCGTTGCCAGCACAGTGAGCAGTGTCAGTGACCAGGACAGGACTACCCAGTCTATCCAGGTAAGGTACTCTCGAATTCACCAGCTCTCCTCCACCGGGTTTCGTAAGTCATACGCGGATGGGTGACCCACGGCCTTACATAAAATCCCTGGGGATCCTCCGGAGAAGGGGGACCAGAGACAAGACTCGCCTCCTTCTTGTTCTCGATCTCCTATTAAAACTTGGCTCCTCCCGTCGCCATCGTCCCTCCCCGTCTTCTTCTCTGCTCTCAACCTCCCTCATCCGCTTTTTTTCGCTGTCGTGCTTGCGGTTGACTTGCTCCCGGCCGATAGCCGATTACGCCATACCCGAGCCGGACCCGCGACCCGCGTCCCGCGACGACAGACTTCAGATTTCCATCTTGAGATCTCATATCCAGACGCAATGGCGAATCCCCCCCACGGTGGTGTCCTCAAGGACCTGCTCGCCCGCGATGCCCCTCGTCACGATGAGCTCGCTGCTGAGGCCGAGTCTCTCACTGCTCTCGTCCTGACCGAGCGTCAGCTTTGCGATCTCGAGCTGATCCTCAACGGTGGCTTTTCTCCACTTGAAGGTTAGTGCAGACCATGACTTTTCCCGCTTCAAATTCTAGAGCCTCAATGCGGTCGCCACTTGGGGGGACACTCTGGCATCGTCAGATATATGGCTTTTTTTTTTTGGCGGGGGAGAGGGGCGCCCATTTAGTTTCCAAGGCATTACGACCCGCCATTGCGCGGCCGGCCGAGGATCCAGATGCCTATTCAAGCCCTGGTCAATTTGCGGATACCCTTCCGAGCATGGGGCGTTGTGGTGACGTGACGGCTGACTCGTTACGCAATTGCAGGTTTCATGAACGAGAAGGACTACTATGGGTATGTCTTTCTTATCTGAGTGTCTAGGCCAGAAACACGCCCAACATGCCCTTGAAAGAGAGGGGACACGGCGAAATCGTGGGCACCAAGAGCCCACGGTTAGCTGTAGTTTGGATTCCCAGATGAAATGAGATTCTAACCATATGTGCGCAACAGAGTCGTCAAGGAGAACCGTCTCACCAATGGCATTCTCTTTTCCATGCCCATCACTCTGGACGTGTCCAAGTCCGAGATCGATGAGCTAGGCCTTGCGCCCGGCAAGAAGATCACACTGCGGGACTTCCGGGATGACCGCAACTTGGCCATCTTGACCATTGAGGACATCTACAAGCCCGACAAGTGAGTCCCATCCCATGACACTGAATCTCCGGTTCTTCAGAGTCCGAAAATTCGCCTGAATTACACCGCTGACGATACTATTCCAGGGCTCTTGAGGCTACTGAGGTTTTCGGTGACAACGACCAGGCTCACCCGGCCGTCAAGTACCTGTTCAACACCGCCGGCGAGTTCTACGTCGGTGGTAAGCTCGAGGCTGTCAGCCGATTGCAGCACTATGACTTCGTCGACCTGAGATGTGAGTGGTCCGGCGGTGTTTTCCAGACCGATTCTGTATGTTGACAAATCAATAGACACTCCTGCGGAGATCCGATCGCACTTCGACAAGCTGGGATGGACCCGCGTTGTCGCTTTCCAGACCCGTAACCCCATGCACCGTGCTCACCGTGAGCTCACCGTGCGCGCGGCTCGCTCTCACCACGCGAATGTCCTGATCCACCCCGTTGTGGGACTGACCAAGCCTGGCGACATTGACCACTTCACCCGTGTGCGTGTTTACAAGGCCCTTCTCCCCAGATACCCCAACGGCATGGCCGTTCTGGGCCTGCTGCCTCTGGCCATGCGTATGGGCGGTCCCCGTGAGGCCATCTGGCACGCCATCATCCGGAAGAACCATGGTGCGACCCACTTCATTGTCGGTCGTGACCACGCCGGCCCCGGCAAGAACAGCAAGGGCGTTGACTTCTACGGCCCTTACGACGCGCAGTACGCCGTCGAGAAGTACCGCGACGAGCTCGGCATCGAGGTCGTGCCTTTCCAGATGATGACCTACCTGCCCGACAGCGACGAGTACGCCCCTGTCGACACCATCCCCAAGGACGTCAGGACACTCAACATCTCTGGAACCGAGCTGCGCTCAAGGCTCCGAAGCGGCCGCGAGATCCCCGAGTGGTTCTCCTACCCGGAGGTCGTCAAGGTCCTGCGCGAGTCCCACCCTCCCCGGGCCCAGCAGGGCTTCACCATCTTCCTGACGGGTTACATGAACTCGGGCAAGGACCAGATCGCCCGCGCCCTGCAGGTGACGCTGAACCAGCAAGGCGGGCGCTCCGTATCCATGCTGCTGGGCGAGACTGTGCGCTCGGAGCTTTCGTCGGAGCTGGGCTTCTCCAAGGAGGACCGCAACAAGAACATCGGGCGCATCGCCTTCGTGGCCTCGGAGCTGACCCGCTCGGGCGCCGCCGTCATCGCCGCGCCCATCGCGCCCTTCGAGGAGTCGCGCGCGCACGCCCGCGAGCTGGTCGAGAAGTACGGCGACTTCTACCTCGTGCACGTCGCCACCCCTCTCGAGCATTGCGAGAAGACGGACAAGCGCGGCATCTACGCCCGCGCCCGCGCCGGCGAGGTCAAGGGCTTCACCGGCGTCGACGACCCCTATGAGGCCCCCGCCAAGCCCAACCTGGTCGTCGATGCCTCGAAGCAGACCGTCCGCTCCATCGTCCACCAGATCGTGCTGATGCTGGAGAGCCAGGGCCTGCTGGACCGCTTCTAAGTTTCTAGTCGTTGGCGTGGCGTTGAAAAGCGGATAAATGGAGACCCGGGAGAATAGACGGGCGATGCCGTCGCTCCGAGAAGACGGCATCTGGTTCGGCAGCGTTGGGACGGACTTGCTTGGGATATACGTAGAGAAAGAGCAATGCATGTTGCTGTTCACTTAGATATCAGGCCTTCGAATTAGAGCCATACACGTTCTGCACAGCCGATCACCCAATATTGCAGGTCTTGTGAAGTCGTATAATGGATATTCCACTTGGTTCCCCAGCAAAATTCGTGCGTCCAGTGAAAATGATGCAGCCTCGGCGTTCCAGGGCTGCCGTATCGGCGCCAGCCACCGCTTGGGGCGAGTGGTAAATGTAAGGTTTGGGCAGTATATGGTGGATCGATCCGACTTCCTCTGACGGCCACTCTCGCGCCAGGTCCGAGTCTGACGATCTGACAAGTCCATGCTCGAACACGAACTTCCCATGTATCTCACATGTTTCACTTCGCATGCCTATCGCTTGCTTCATCCTTTTTCCAGGCCAAAATCTGGCTAAAAAGTTCCAGAGCTCTGCAGCCGGTGTAGGACGACTATTTGTAAGGCGAAATATCCGCTGAACGCAGGAGTTGACACGTAATGTTTGATTTGTGTCCAGGCATAATTGGCTTGCAATCATCGCAGGCCTGCGTCCTAAGAGAAGCAGAAGGTCTGTCTCGGACAGGCCTGGGACTTGGGGCGTGAACGCGAAGGCACCCTGCTGCATCGCCATGTGAAGACGGGGCGAGCATTTGTCTGACGATCTGGGTTTCCCCGCTTCATATACTTGCAGCGAGGTGTGTCTTGAAGTATGCAGGTGGGTAAACTTTCCTACTGGATGGATCCGGGCGACCCAGTCCAGGTGGTATATACACCGCTCAGGAACATATCACATTCCGGCGATCTTGCTAGGTGCTGGCCTGCCCTGAATATCTTTGGAATCCGTCAGTCCAGTATGCGTCCTGGACTTTCTGGCTCTGTGCACAATTAGTAGCAGCTGTGGGCAGCTCCTACGGGCCTCAGACGTCTGCGTTCATTTTGGAAGCACGCCTGTCCGGTGGGATACCAACGCATACGAGGGCCAGGTACGAGGACGCCCACCGAACATTGCGAGATGATATGTTCTTCGTGCTGTTGAATGTGCGCACGGAGCTCTAGGACCCCTGCGAGCTGTGGTGAATATGTTTAGCACTAAAAACGGGTGAGTGGCATAGCTGAATGGACGGACAGGCAGACCCGGGCCAAAATGCACGCATGTGCATGATCTGCTGGTTGGCCAGTGCCGAGCGTGTCCAACGGCGCTTAGAGCAGCAGCGTAACGGAAACTTGGTGCCCAACTGCGGCATGAGCTGCAGAAATGGTACCCAAGACTTTGCGAGGACTGTAGGCTCCGGGTGCCTGCAGAGTGTCGTCCAGTACTGGTCGCTACCTTATTATTGTCGTTGTTTGACTGGACTCTGGAGTCTGAAGGGCGGACCAATTTGAGCACGGCCGGACGCCTGCACTAGCCAAAGAAGCTGTGACCGGGCTGAGGTCCTAGTTGTCTTGGGGGCCTGGCAAATGGGGGGGGGGGGGAATGCGAAAACGGCAGACGATCCAGGGCGTCGGGACGACTGGACAATTGTTGGGCTGGGCTGCGGGCAGGTGATGGTGACGAGGGATGCAGAGTGGGAATGGGCCTTGTCTGACCGACAATTCGACTACTGTTGTTGGACGATTCATCCTCGATGCAGTGACGACGTGCCATGCCTGCCCCACCCTGCCCTGGCCATCTTGCAGAGCACCACCTGAAGTTGACCCCTGCTCAGCGCATCCCCAGCATGCCCCAGGCATCCTTGGACCCGCGAGCATCCACCCGACTGGCTGCGATTCCACCTCGTCTCCTCTTGTCCTGCCTTCCCTGCCACCAACAGGCACAGCGGCGCAGCCCTGGAGCCAAGCGATCTTGACTTCCTCTGTCTGACTCCTCGCTCAGATCACCTCACCATACCTGCCTGACCTCACTTGGACACGAGTTACCCAGCTCGACTCTCCCGACCACGACGAGCAGCAGCAGGGAGTCGAGGTCGACGCGATCAGCCTAGTCCGCGCTTCCTCCCCCTTGCGTGGAGGACCAGACCTGGTACATTCTACGTCAAGGTTCACAGCCCTCGTGTCCCCCTCCTCGATTGCAACCACGAAACTTTCGGCCTCGCAGTCAACCACATACGAGTCCAGCGTCTGCACCCCGCCCAGAGCCCAAGCCTCGCGGCCACCACCCTGTCGCAGCGACTGCAAGTCCATCATCCAACTCCCGATGGGAAATCGGGACCATGTCTTCTAGAGATCGCGACGTCGACGTCGACGACGTGCCCAGGGAAAAGCGATCCTCGAGAACCAAGGGCGACAGGGAGAGAATCAGGGACAAAGACCGTGACAGGGAGTCCAGACGGCACCACAAGTCCCACAGATCCTCCAACCCTGTGATAGCCACAGGCTCCTACGTGTCTCAGTCCGGCTCTGCTCGCCGACACAAACTGAGGGACGCTTCCTCCTCCAAGAGCCGCCTCGAAGAACCCCTCGACGAGAACTCCTCAATGACTGACCTCGTGCCTGAGTTGAACCGGAGCAGGGACAGAGTCCACATACCATATCCCACCTTCAGCAAGGCCCACAGCAAGGAGTCTGTGACCAGCAAAGATGACCTCTCGACCAGCTCCGCCGCCGCTCAGGGGACCGGGACCGGCACAGATCCCTTGACACCCGAGACTACGGACCTTGGCGCAGGCGAGGATATCAAGCGGTCAAAGTCGGCTGACTTCGGTTCCAAGAGGAAGCTGTCACGCAAGACCAGCCGCCCTCCGAGTCCACCAGACACAAACCTCTCAGAGGAAAAGAAGAGGTCGACAGGCTCTGTCAGGCTGAAGGACACGGGGGAGGACAGACCGCGGTCGAGGACGTCTCACGCCTCTAGGTCAACCTCCAAGACAGACGAGACATCCAAGGTCTCTAGGAAGTCCAAGTCATCCAGCCAGGCCACCTTCGTCAAGTCGTCAGGGTCCAAAGCTGCTTGTGCTGAGACAGACAACCCGGCGGACAGCGAACGTGGCCCGCGATCTGGAGCTACGTCAGTTGCGACCAAGAGATCAGTCTCCGGCAATACGCTCAGGCCGCCCGGGCCCGACCCAATCGATGTCATCGACGACTCTCCGGAGTCCGCTCAGGAATCCTCCTCCCCAAAGACCCCAACCAACACAACCCCTCAGTTCCCTCCACCCCCGATGTTCCACGACGACAAGCACGGCATACCGTATCACATGCGCTTTGAACGTCCTCAACAAGTTCCCACACCGGCCACGGACTTTACAGACTTGAGCAACGCACCGTCCGCGCATCCGCCCCCACCACCTCCCCCGCCCCCTTTGAATATCCAGGAGGCTCCTAAGGTCGACTATCTCATGCAAAACGGCGGCCTTCCGACTGTTGTGCCAAAGAACTTCCTGGCCGTCTTGCCAAGACAGAATGGAACGAGGCCTTCAAACCCTCCACTCCGTGGTGCGGAGACGCTCTTTGCGCCATTCTTCAACCTTCTGGACCAGTATCAGGAAGTGTTGACTAATCGCGGCTCCATAGCTGTGGCTACGGGTCATCGGACAGTAGCAAGAAGGCTTCTTGACCGCTTAGAGGATGTCTTCAACAGGGACTTGCCAGAGGAAGGATGCAGTTGCATAATGTGCGAGAAAGACGCAGAGAGGCATCGCGGTCTAGGTTGGGGAGAGGTTCTGGAGAGGGTCAGTGGCCGTGTGGAAATACCATCGTGGCCGCCGTTTGATATAGGGACTCTGGGGGTCAAGGCGCCTGAAGGTGCACCGAGTGAGCCCCCACGGCCGTCTTCGCCGGTCAAAATCGACCCCGACATCGCAGAGGAGTTCCGAGAGCATTACCTCCGCCAGTCCAAGAAGGTCAAGGCAGCTGTAGACCGGTGGCTTACAAATTGTGCCGAGGCACCCGCTCCTCCTCCTCAGGATGTCGACGACGAGACTCTCACTTTTGCCATCCTCACGGCACTGGACCAAGAGGACCGGCCATACTTCAACGCCCTCCTCACAGGGGCACGAGAGCTGCAGCCCGCCCTCCGAGCGCCAACACCCATGCGCAAGCCCCGCGCAGATCTTGTGATCAAGTCCGGCTTGGCTTTGCAGAGGCTCTACAGGCTGCCACAGGCACCGCGCGATGCTGAAACGGTATGCTACCTCGTCAAGCACCCGCAGATGCATGACCTTCTCAGCACGATATGCGACATCAACCCACCGGAGTGGGAGATCCTCATATCAGGACGCTTCGATGGCTTCCTCTGGTCAGGCGCAGATGCTGACGACGATGACGCCGTGACACCTACTGCGGGTCCGTCTCGGGGAGCAACACCAAACTTCTTCCCACAGCGCGGCCCGCCTTCTCGGGGGGCGACGATGAGCCCTAATAATATTGCCCGATTCACGCCGGCGCTGGGGATCGGCACGAGAAACACCACACCCTTCTCCAGGGGCGCCACTCCCGCCTCATTCGTATCTGGCGCGAGTTCTGCGTATCCAAACAGGCAGGCCGTCTCCAACGACGAAGAGTCCGAGATTGCAGTCCTTGCCGAACTTGAGCGGGAGATTTACGTCGGCATGGAAGCTCTGGAAGACGCCTTCGAGACCCTGCACCAGCGCGCTGAGCTCGTCCGCACGGCTCTCCGTCAGCGCGGGGCAGGCCTCTCCATGAGCCTGCAGCAGCGCCGCGGCTACGGCCTGGCGTCGGACGCAAGCGGCGGAATTCAAGTCCTTCCTCAGAGCGGCGGGTCGGTGCCTGGGATGGACCGGCCCCAGTGGGCAGACGAGGAGAGCCTCGCGTCGGAGTCAACGGACGACTGGGGCATCGATGCGGACTGGGAACTGCGGCCTGATGACTCCGCGAGTAATATTTCCAGCTCGCGACAGCGGAGGCCGAAGCGGAGGGACGAGCGAAGGAGCACGCCTGCACCTATCAGGGAGGAGGATGAGACATAATAAGGAGTCATTCTGGGTATATACGGGCAGCAGTTGGAACTGATCCTGAAGGACAGGTCTGCACATGCAAAGCCGAGACAACAGCCTCACATCTGAATGAGCGAGCGAGCAAGGGCATAAGTCGTAAGCGATTTCCGGGCGGATACCATTCGTGTACATTTCATGTTGCTTTCTTTCTTCCCATTGTTATTCGCGCAACGCATGGCGTTCGAAGCTATCAGGGCTTCGTCTTTCTCCTTCGCAAGTAGGCAAGTGGAGCAAGCAGTTGAGTGCTGAGGCACTCTGAGCTTGGACAAAGGTTTTCTTCTTCGGCTGCAACCCTGAGTTGGTCGGGCAGGTCGGTGAATGGAAAGGCTCCAGATCCAGGCCCGGTACCGGATCGCACGCCTCGCACATATTGCATATCATTGGGAGTTTTGCCGGTTATGAATATGAAGCCGGATTGGTTCTTTCCTTCTTCCACTGGGCTTGCTTTCTCATGACTTGTGACAGGGACAGTGATCCAGCTGGATAGCACTTGGGGGTAAGGTGTTCCAAGTAAGTCAACTGTAAATTGAAATTTGGCATCAAGTGTACTGGTCTTCATATGAAACCGTCGAGCCTAGTTCTGTCCCCAGCGTCATCTCTCAGTGCGCGGCCCAGTACATCAGGCCTACGATGCCTCTACATCTGGCAAGTCGCTGCTGCAATACAGCTCTTAAAGGCCTCTTTTCGAAAAGCATTCGAGTCTCTTCTGCTTGGCCAGGAACGTACGAGCAGTGGTGACAATAGGCTAGCTGGTCTCCCCGTTCCCTTCCGATCATATCAGAGGATTTCTTTCAGAGGGTTTAGCCGTACTCGCGAGAGATGGATTGCGAAGGCTCCAAGCAGGTTTAGGCTCTCTTGGGTACTTGGCGAGATCACTTACTGCTCATCACTTGCTCGTCAGGAAGCGCTCAGAACAGGAGTGTTGCATTCTATAAACCGAACCGCTCGCGTGGTATTCCTAGAGAAAGTTACTAGCCCTCTAATGTTGTTTTCTGATGTGAAATCCCCCGACTTGACAGTCTATCCCCTTGTGCCCTCTCAGATGCCATTTTCACGTGCCAGCTTCATACGGGGGAGACATCGTTGTTCGGAATTCAGCTTCGACATTGTCACGCGTACGGTGGAGCCTTGTACATCACTCCATAAACGTGACTTCGAACAGTTTCTTACGGGCCGAGGAGGATGAAAGGTTTAGTTGCAGCCGTCAGAAAAATCGAATTTGAGGTAAGGGTTGATGTCGTTGGAGATGTCACCAGAGACAGAGTGCCAGAGCTTGATCCAGCGGCTGTCGTGTCTGTGGAGATTGTCAATAAAGTAACAAGGGTCGTGTCGGTTACTAGGGTGGTCTCCGTCGAGACGCAAGTGGTGTTGACTGTAATGGACTCCTTGATAGTCGACACAGAGGTCGGAAGGTGGAACGGGGAAACTGAGAAGTCATTAGCTTTATTCGCGGGCCCAATGTTAAGACAGCAATGAGAACCGAAGGGTAGCAGCGGAGCAGCTGTGATAGGCATCAAGTGGTTGCGAGTCTTTGAGGAGACAGAGAGGGAAATACCTGAGGCTCCTGATTCCGCGGTCGATGTGGAGTTAAGCAGAGGGAAGGGTGCTGTTTTGGTACTCGTCGACAGTGGCCCAGCTGATGTGAGCGTCGTGCCGGCTGCGGATTCTGTTGGCCACGTGGGAGTACTGGAGTTGCTAAGCGGGAACGGTGGCGAGACCGTAGTGGTGGAGGATGCGGCTGTCTCATTCAGGCGAGCCGAGGAGGATGTCGTCCGCAAGCTTGTGGGCTCAGTCACCTCCGGAGTTGGCAATGTTGCGTTGGTAGACCCGGCCGTTGGAGTCGGATGTGGACCGGTGCCGGTCATGAGAGTTCCTGTGGACACGAACAAAGAGGTAGTGTTGGCGAGAGGAAACGGTGCCGAGGTTGTCCTTGTTTTGGGCACCCTTGTTGTCACTGAGGTGGATGTGCCTGTCGTCAGGATAATAGAAGTGTTGCTCGTTGTAGAAACCGACAAAATTGTGTGTGAACTCGGGTCCACAGTTGATGTGGTCCTGTTCAGGGATGCAGAGGAATTTGAGATGGCAGGCATTGTAGTGTTGGGCGTGAAGATTGACAGAGGGAATGTGCTAAGAGTCGATACACGCGAAGTAGTGTTGAAATAACTTAAACTGCTCAGTGCAGCTGAACTGTTCTTTGTGCGGTTACCCACTGACGGGGAGACCGTGGTCGTCGTAGACATGGGCGAAGATGTGATGGGTGGAAAGCTTGTTTCGATGGTCACATTGCTGAGGTTTGCGGATGGAGAGGGACTCAACGTTAAGGTAGGCCCAGAGGTCACCGCTTCTGAAGAGGCATTACTTGCAGAAGCGGTCCCGGAAGTTGTCAAAATTGCTGACGAATTTCTCGAAAAGGAGTTTCTCAGCGTGAAGCTCGTATTTGCAGAGCTGTTCAAAGCATCCGCGCTGGTCATTGTAGTCCCGGATGCCGTCGACGAGTTGTTCGAGGAAAGACTTATGGAGACTGGAGTCGAGGTCGAAGTTGATGTTGCGACAACAACTATGGTGGACGTGCTGGAGGTTGGTATGGTGGTTACATGCCACGGACCCTTCGTGTGTTGGCCATGGTGTGGATGCCTCCAGTGCGGGTGCGAGTGCCCTGGCCAGTGATGGTCATCTCTGGATTTGTGTGGGGATTTGGATGGCTTATGATAGCCATTCTTCTGACTGCTAGACCGAGAAGTCTTGTCTCCATATCCCAAATCACTCGCAGATAGAGACGATGGCCTTCCGCCGTACTTGTGGGAGTGGGTATAATCAGGCGAAGACGAAAAGGGCTCGCCGTAGCCCTCAGATGAGGAAGATGTGCTGGACGGCTTCGCAGTTGGGTAGTAATCCCCTTCTGAGCTTGAGCTTGAAGATGACTTAGGACGGTGATAAAATTCACCGCCATGCCTTTCGTTCAAGGACTCGTCGCCAGAGGACGTGGGCAGAGGTACAGGCGACTGGGTATCTGCTTTGCGAATAGTGAGTATGGTATCCAGCTGGAACACAAGGCACCTAGGCAGAGAACTCACTTTGTTCAGTGATATCGGCTGAAGTAGATTCTCGTGTGATCAGAGTCTCCAGCGGAAATTTCCTCGCCGTCATGTCCCTTTGGCGAGGCAACCCCCCGAATGGCTCAGGGCCCAGATCTACCCAGGACGGCTGAGGAAGAGCAGTCCTTGCCTCTAGATCTGTGTTGTCTCGACCAACGTGCGCGCCAAAAGTGAAGCCCATAAGAATGAGTATGTAAACAAATTTGAAAGCCATTGCTGCTAATATCATCACGAAATGCCCCTGTTAACAACACGGAAACGAAGAAAAACAAATGGGTTGAAATTGCGGTACAAGGTGCAGATAGACTGCTGAATTCAAGAAAGGCAGTAGCTAAGGAAATTTCGATTCCTTGGCCGAAAATTTCATGCTTGAGAACGAGAAGATCGGTGTCTTAATGGCATAGGTCATGACACCAACAAGGAGGTCAGGGGAAAGCCTTATAAGAATGTGTGGCAAGAGCAAGCCACTTGCTTTCCGTTAGCCAAGGGGACCCCTCCGATCCGTGAAGGTACTGGTGAGCGCTCAGATAGATACTTAATGAGTGTGAGGCGAGAGGAAAAGTCCCGCCTTCTCAAGGAGGAAACTCTATGAGTAGGACAAGAAGCCCAACTGTCACCATCTTACTACACCGAACACCAAATCGACACCACTAAGCAGAGTACGAACAGTCTTTGAAGAGTTGGAAAGGTGGGTCAACTTGTGTCCGTCAGTGAGAACGTGCTGAAGAAAATAAAACCATTCGCTGCTGTTTGCCGATGGAAATGCCACGGGAGCGGCCCAGTTCGCCAAACTTGTGGACCGCTGTAGCTCAAAATCAGTGCCGAAGAGCAGATACGACGTCCTTGAAGCCACACTGTATCTTCTCGTGCAATACAAGACGGGAAGACATGCCAGGCCAGCAATTAGGGGCAAGATCGATGGCATCTTGTTCGAGCATCGTCAGGTTGTAGGAGGCTGTCACCTCGTACAAAGGCTGACAAGAGCTGTATAACTTCACGATCCCGTTGCTGGGTCCACATGCAGGACACCATAGCGGACAAGATTCCGTGCTAGGGTCCACGTTGCGCGTCGTCTGTTGATCTGGAGATGGCCGGGCAGGTGCAACGGGAAGAGAGCAATCTGGGATTGAGCGTACATACGAGCTATGGCATGCTGCTCCCCAGGTTGCTGGTTGTCCCACAGTAGAAGCGAGATCGTAGAGGACATTGGTCGGCTGTTGAGCCTCTTCGCATCGTGCTGCGTGGTGGCTTCGAGGTTCCTCGTACCATCTGTTCCTGCAGCATCTGTGTTGTACAGATCATGCGTTACTTGGGCTGGCACAATGCTACAGTGCATGAGACCTGGGTGGACGGACGCCTTTTGTCCAGAAGTATGTGCTGCTCCGCTGTCTCTAGACTTGGTTCTATCCCAGATGGGCTAAACATTGTCGTCAGTTCGGTGTCAATTTGAACAGATGCCTTCGGTCCTTGAGGTCACACAGCGAACATTGGAAGTTGTTCAGGTAGATATGAAGGATTCGAAAAAGAGTGTGAGGCGTGCGTCGTCGGTCATTCTGGCTTTGCAGCCAGAAACTTGGGACCCGAGATAGAATTTCCTGGCATATTTGGCCAAATAGCACTTAAGCACGACAATTTTAAACGACCCGCCCTCCGCGGACACAGGAACAGCCAATTAATAGGTCAATTATGCGGTTATGAAATATCTGAGACGAAGTTTCATCACTTGCCGGTGAGTTTGGTACGATTGCTGAAAAAGCCGGCCTGAGGATCCACATCGAGTCTCCTTGGTGCTGTCCTACACATCATCCGGTCTGTTGAACCTGCCACATGCATTCTGCCTTGATCATGGCGTAACACCGTCCAGTCCTCCATGTCTGAGATATGACAAGTGATGCCGGAAGCTTCCTCGCTTCTGATGATCCCTCACTCGGCTTCTCGAGCTGCCTCGCGTAGGCCCGGAGCTGTCGTGCGTGTCATGGATGTGCTCTTCGATTCTATATCCGCAGCCCATAGCGCGGCACCGACGGCATTGGTGAATGAGAAGAAGATGCCGACGAAGGGGACCATCTCGAGAAGGGTAGCAACGGTACCGAAGCTAAGGAGCACGCGGAGTCAGCCGAGGATCTGCGAAAGCATATACCTTACAAGCTCAGCAAGGGTAGGACGTACGCAGTGTAGGGGCCGACATGCTCCTGGAGCCAATCCGACTTCTGCCTTGAATTCCATCCCTTTAGCTGGAAGTACCGATCGTGAACAGACTTTCCACGCGTCCGCCCTTGCAAGGTGATGAAGATTATAGTTCCCACCACGGGGATGAAGTTCAGGGGCAGATACATTACGTATCTGATCAACGCGCTGGGGGTAAACCGCTCAAAAGGACTCTTAATGATCTTGCCGAGCTTGGCAATGGGATCACTGCCTGACTTGATCTCTCTGCCGCCTTTGACTAGGTTCGTAGAGTTCCTGGCCACGAGCGTTCCGTCAAATGTGTCGAGGAGAGCATCCTGAAGAACCCAGGTCTTGGAGATGGTTGACACGAGTGTGGAGCTCTCGTTGAGAACAAGGAGGACGGTCGAGAAGACTGCGAGCGGGCCTTCCACAAAAACCAAGACCGCTAGCTGGGGCAGGTAGGTGAGGGCAAACATCCCTGCCAGGACTCCGGCGCTGAGCGTGAGGGTAGGACCAAGCTTGCTCAGGAAGGGCTTCCATAGCGCTCGATGTCTGACAAAATATACGATGCCCTATGCGAACGTCAGAGGCGATCCTTTGGGGACAGACACGGTGGAACACGATCTACCTTGATGGGATAACTAGATCAGGCAAATATCAGCACAGTGTCGAACCGTCAGAAGGGTTAGCGACGTACATGTAAGAGCCGCTTCGTGCGGCATCATTCACAAGAGTCTTCGCCTTGTCGAAGTCCTCTTTCCTGCAACGTCCTTGTCAGATCAGTTGGGTTTACGGCACACAAGAGTGGCGTCACTTACCCGACCTCACCGGCCTTTGCCTGAATGGAGTCGACGATGCCCCGGCGTTGCGACATGCTGAGGACGTGAAGAACGAGTGTTCTCGTGTCTCTGTGTGTGTGCCTGTGTGTGTGTGCCTATGTGTGTACGTTATCAGGTAAGGGATGGATTGATCACAGTCCAGTCTGCTGCTGAGGTTGAAGGGTTGGGCAGCAGATGAGGCTGTCTTGTTGACAGCCAGGATTCAAGCAATGGAATTTCAAGCCGCTGGCATATTTGTGACGGAATCGCCCTTAACGGACTTTTGTCGTCATTGGCTCACTGGCCTGTAGCGTCCTCGAAAGGGAGCTGGATGTTTGGGCCCATCTCGTGCTTCACGATGACGTACGTACAAGTCGAGACGAACCGTCCGGGCTAGCCAAGCTCCGACAGGGTTAAACCCTAGACATTCTCGTCGGCAACGCCCTCCCCAGAGCCCGTCTCCCAGGATTCAAAATGTCCGCATTTAGTGTTGAGTCAGCCATACAAACCATACGGCCAACTGCCAGCACAGCCTTCAAGTGAGATAAGCTCTTGCAAAATAACTTACTGTGGAATAAGCTCACACAAGGCTGTGCCCCACAGGCCAAGCTTCTACATATCTATATCTCATCTGCAGAGTATTGCAGGTCCATCCGTGAGTCCACTCTCTTTCCGTGTGCTACTCTTCAGTACCTGCACGGAGCTCTGAGATCTCGGCCAATGCAGACGGCCGACTCAAAGGGTCCAGGACCTAGCTCCTGCCTCTTTTATTCCCTGGGCGACGATCCACACCGCAGCGGAACCTCGTTTGTTATTGGGAAATGTCTCACAGCCACATGGGTATATCGGAATTGACGCAGCCAGCCTCAACTGGCGGCACCTCAATCAGCCCACCATCCCATCAGCCCTTCCTCTGATGAGTGATATTGTCAAAGTCGCCCGGCTGAAGAAGATGCCCGTTGCCCCAGGGACCTGGATAGAAACAACAGTCTCAAGAAGCCATTCTCTCCCTGATTTCGGGGGGATTGAGATCCAGGTCTCCCAGCGCTTGTCGCACGGCTGCGTTACCGCGCCAGGTTGACTAGCAAGGCTGTTCGCACAGACACGACACCAGATTGAAACATTCTCATCTCCTGCCCAGATATTGAAACGGACTTGGCATAGAGAAGCAAGCTTGGATGTGTTTCCCTCGGGCGACCAATACTGCTCAATAAAGGGTGATAGCTCGGCCATTGGAGACCGAATCACACGGCGCTCTGAGCCCAGGCCCTGTCGCTCTGTTTTCGGCAGCTGCACTACGGGGAGCTGACTGTCCCATTTGGGGCGCCCGGCAGATTGTTTCCCCAGCGGTCTCACGAACTGGCTTCAGCTATGTCTGAGAGCGGCCTTCCAGCGGCAGGGCAAATTTTCAAGACAACGTTAAAGTTGTCTTTCTCGCGTAGTACCACTACTACCTTGTCTCACACACCCAGGTTTCAGTCGTGAAAACGTGGGGTTGCTGGACCTTTCCTCTTCCGGAGAGTGGCGGCGGACGCAGGCTGCACGGACGGCAAAGCATGACCAAACCCAATTCATTTCCGGGCAGAAATCCATCGATCAACATCAAACGGTCTGCCCAATGTCGGCTCATCACACCGAGTGGGCAAATCAGCTTGCCCGACAGTCAGATTCGTATTCCAACGTCATGGAGAGTTCCTTGGTGTCACGCGATGCTAAGGCCTGTCGATTTCCGCTGGCTTCCCCACGACGACGAGAAACATGGCCCACTTGTCGGCCGAGTGCAGCAAAGGATGGTCGGTCCCCAGCTCGCCACCACTTGGCAAGACCACTTGGCAGTAAACACTCCGGCAACTTTGATACATTTTCGAGATGCCCTGTCGCCCCTGGGTGTCGAGGCCGGCGCCTGAAAACGCTGAAATTGCTTGAGCATCTGTCTCATGCCCTCTGAGCACCCCTGGTCAGTGACAGGCAGCTGGCTGGCGGCAACCAAACTGATGATGGGCGAGGAGAACTCACGGTTCCCCTGGATACGACCTGCCCGTATATGCAATATATAGCGCTAATGACGCGTGTGGCGCGTTGTCCTATCAGGTGCCGGGGCAATTACAATTCTGCATGGTGTGTCGCATCATGGCTCCGACCCTAGCTAGCTAGTTGGGTGCCGTTTAGGCGTGCCCCTGCGCCTCAAAAAGACTTATAAGTCTTCATTGTGCGCAACTGTGACTTCCGCCTCCTGAGAGATTCCTTCCTTTTCTCGTTTGCGCCTCTCCAATTGATAAATTTCGACAGTCAAATCATCGTCACTTTCGTCACAATACTCTCCGCAGTCTAATCGTCTCGAAATACACTGTCAAAATGCAGCCGACTACATTCCTCGTTGCCTCTCTGGCCGGTGTTGTCATCGCAGTAAGTTGAATTACCTCTACCTCCCGGAAGGCTTTGGGCACATGTCATCATTCCTCAAGAACGAGAAAGAGGTGCACGAACAAACGAGGTCCAAGTGGGTGTGGGTTCTGGAATGAGAGGAGAAAGAGAATGGGAAGTTGAAAGAGACCAAGGGGAACCGAGGACCGTCTCGCACGGACTATTGTGCTTTGTGTGTCCAACCATCACTGACATTCATAACAGCAAGATGGCGCTGCCGCAGCATCTAGCGCTTGTTAGTCTCGCCCTTACACGACCTGGCCCCGGTCCTAGCACGTCTAAACTTCTCCTGCTAAACCACAAGCTAACGACGACCACAGCGTCCTACGCCGCTGCTCAGGCCAGCGTCCAGTCCGCGCTCTACTCCCTGCAGACCGCCGTGACTGCGACAGGTGAAGAGAGAAACTCCATCTTCGCTTCTCTCCAGTCTTCCGCCGTGGCTGCTCAGGCCTCCTTGGCTAGCCAGTTCAACTCGAACCTGGGCATCACCCAAACCAGCCCTTCCGCGACTGAGACTTCTGCGCCCTCTGGCTCTGCCTCTGAGACCGGCTCTCAGACCGGATCAGGCTCCGAGTCTGCGTCCGGATCGGCTACCGGTACTGCCTCCGAGTCGACCATCACGTCTGAGTCGACTTCGACTTCCGTTTCCACGTCGACTGCCAGCGACAACTCGGAGACCTCGTCCACTTCTCGCAGCACCGGCACTCGCACCAGCAGCAGCACCGGCACCAGCACTGAGAGCAGCAGCAGCTCGAGCAGCTCTGCCGCTTCCGCTGCGGGCACTGTCGCCCTGCCCGGACTCGGAGCCCTTGCTGCTCTGTTTGTCGCTCTCTTCTAAGGATCCAAAAATGAAAGCCACGCATGAAGTTCACGGCGAATGGGTACAGATGTTTGGATATTAATATGTAATGTGGAAGATTGTAATTGTATCCACACGTGGCTCGGTCAAACTTGTACAAACACGATGCAAACCTCCTTCCGCAGTATGTAGAAAAAAAAAAGCTTTAGAGACCTCGGCATCACGCCAGGCAATACAAGCCGACCTTGTGCGAAACATCAGGCTCAACGCTACAGCCTAGAGGCACTTGAACCAATTATCTCGGGCAGAAAACTGTCCTAGCATGGGGGCTCTTGTTGCTTGTGATCAGTCTAGTGTATCCTCTCAAAGTTTACTAGCACCCACTTCGTAGCGTAAGATTTGTATCTCAGCCTTATGGGATGTGATCCACACAATGGGACTGATGCACGAAGTAAGAATGGAGAAGACTTACTTCGGTCTCAAACAACAGTGGACACCAGGGACTGCAAAGAACAATGGTGTCCCTCACGCTTGCATGTGATGGCGCGAAGACCATTGGTCGCAGCGGCTCACCATGATGGGGACTGAGATAGACAAAACACAGAGTCTCTTGAGACCTCCGAGTCTTTCCTTGGCCACGCTAGAAGGCTGGCATGGGCTTTTGCTCAGCAGGAGGCTGTCACCACGGTTCCATGGCCCGGGCACCCACCGAAATGCCCTCTCGTGGGTCACGGATCGGGGCGGGCCGCGACCCTTCTACGTTCCCCACACGCGGAGCGGATCGCATTACTCAAGCGACATTGACAGACAGGAGCATGGTTGCAAAGTGGCTCGGTACTCGGAGACTTCGTACAAACATTTTTCACCTGGTCCTGGGCGTTGCTAAAGTGTTAGAAGTGCCGCGGTACTGACTTGGGACCGTCGTAAATGTAAACGAAAATGTCTCTCTTACCTTATTTTTCACATTTGTACTCTCGACCTTGAAACATTGCGATATTGATACAACCTGGAGCAAATTGTCCAAGTTCATGATGTTCGATCTTCAAATCCACCCGGCTGGATGATCGTATCCCTTTGCAAGCACGCCCTACAGCTTAGTCCTGATAGCGGTCATGATGTCAGAGCATCGTGGAACACCGACGCTACCTTGGCGTGATGATGCTCTCTGGGTGGCTGAAGTCACTGACGACGAACATTGACCTGCAGCTAATGGACCGTTGTATGAAGAAAAGCCCCCACCAAATTAACACTAGAAGGTGTTTAATGGTGTTCCGCAAGTCCTCCCTTAGAGTTCAGTCCAACAAAGTCCCATCCACTCTGTCAAACAGCTCAGTCGAAACGAAGAAACTCACGATACATCGACATGGTCCGTCTGACGGCCAGAAACATTATCCCCAGGCGCATCGCCGTCACTCAGTACCGAGCTGCTCCTGTACAGATGCGCGGAATGGCTGACAAGCGAGTGGAAAATGCTTCCCAGGCCGCTGGGGAGGCCAAGAACACCAGCCCCGAGGTACGTTTCCAGCCCATTGTCTAATAAACGTTGCCATGTGTTGAGGAAAAGACGCACGCAGAACCCCTCGGTCGTCTCATCTGCAGGTGCAATCGGTAAACAGTTCAACCCGGACGGGAAAATCGGGCAGGTCGGTGAGAAGATTGGCGGGCCTTTTTCAAAGGTATGTATGTCATGGCTAAGCCGACTTTTGTCTTAGTCCTAGAGACAATCGAACAGGACGAAGGAGGTTTCCGCGTGGGCCAATTTGAACCCTAATATCATGGCTGACTTTCTTTTCTGCAGGATGGTGATATTGGCAGCCAGTTTGACGCTTCCAAGGACGGAATCGCTGGCCAGGTTGAGAAGGCCGTAGATGGACCGGCAAGGCCTGCCAGCGACGCAAAGAAAGCATAGATCAACACAGAGATATCGCTGGAATCACGATGATCAGAAACAGCGTTTCTCATCCTCCGAATGCACAATGTACTCGGGTGTCTCGAAGCTGTATTTGCTACCAATGGCCAAATGCTTCTGTTGGCAAGTACGACCCTCGTCACTTGGAAGGCTACTTTAGTTATCCCCTCCGGGGCATGTAGCCTCTCAGAACTTAGACAGAACAATACCAATACACAATTGCTTCCCATATAATTATTATACATATAAGAGACCTATTAATATTAATTAATAGTTATAAGTATTATAGATTAATAAAATAAAAGAAGCAACCCTATAAGGATTTTCCTAACTTAAAAATTATATCCTCCTTATTAATAAGCGCTATATAGCAATAACTGCTTCTTTAAGCCTCCTTGTATTATTAAACTCCCTAAGTAGATATTATAAAAATTAAATAAACTAAATGGCATTCCCTATAATATCTATATATATATTTATTAATATTTAAGAAATATATATCCATTATATATAAGACTTTATTAAAAATAAACTTATTATAAATCTATCTTTAACTCCTTTTTAAGACCTAGCAAAACCCAATAAAGCTCCGTTTTACTAAATGAATAAAGCTTATAATTATCATAATTATTAAATAAATAAAGCTTGTAACTATTATAACTACTAAAGTTAATGCAACGCTATATTATAAGCAAGCATAAGTTATGCATTATGCTTTTAGCTAATATAAAAGGACTTAATAATAAAAAAAAGCCCTAGCTTTTAAGGCCTAAAGAAACTAATAACTTTTTCCTCTTAATAATTATAACTTACTTATTATTAAACTATTATCCTTAACTTACTCCTAAAATATTACTTATTTCATTAATATCTCTTTATTTTATTAATTTCACTCCTTATAATATTTATTATAAAAACTTATAAAAATAGCTAATAATACCAAGGAGCCACCAGCTCTTATTAAAGGGTATATAATTAATAAAATACTTGCTTAAACTTTAATTAACTTAGCTTACTATAAATATATTAACCTAAAACTATAATTTATAACCCCTATATAAAAAGCATTAATAAAATACCTAATTACCTACCTAATAAATACTTTAGCAAGCTATATATAATAAAACCTTTATAATAATAACCTTTTCATTACTTACTGCAAAAACTATATAATATAAATATAAACAATATTTAAAGCATTATTAAATCCTTGCTAATAATATTTAAAAGTTTTCCTTTAAATATAAGGTATTTATATAAAATATAATAACTAACTTATAATACTATAATTAATTACCATAACTTAAGCTAAGGAAAAATTAAAATAAATTAATAATAAGCTTTATAATGCCTTATTAACCCTAAAATTAAGCATAAATAAATATTATACTTAACTTTAAAAATAATAATTATAAGCACAACCCCTATAAGCATTATAAGCAAGTTTTAAATAATAATAATTGTTAAAAGGATAATCCCTAAGATAACTTTTATCGCCGCCGCTAGCTTTAAGCGCATAATCATAAAACCCAAACCTAGTAATACAATCCATTAAAAACCAATATAACTAACAAAGCCTATTATTACTAATAAAGAAATGGAAATAAAGCTTATATTAAAAATATATATTATACTTAGCATAATCTTAGGCTGCCTTAAAAATACCTTTGCTAAATAAAAAGTATAACCCATATAAAACTCTTCCCTTATAATATATTTTTAATAAATACTTAAATTTAATAAAGTTAGCATAATTTATAAAAACCTTTAATAACTTTTATAAGTATATTAAGAATTTATATAACTTATTAAATAATAAGATAAAGATATTTTTTAATATTTATTATTATATTAAAATCTAGCTAAGTTAATTCCATATAATTTTTCCCTAAATGCTTAAAAATTAAGCTAAAGCTTATTACCTTTATTTTATAAATTAAATTAATATATTTATAATAACATACCTTAAAATTAAAATATATTTTAATATAAATCTTAACTATTAACATTACTATATAAATTAAATGATAATAATATTTATAAAAATAAAAGCATAAAACTTAAATAAAAACTTATATAAGGTTTTATATTTAATGCTTAATAAGCTGCAACTTTATTAATAAGTATTAGGTTAAGATTATGCTAAGAAAGATAACTTAAGAATAATAATAATTAAAGCTTATAAAAAAGTTCCCAAGCTAAAAATAGTTCTTTTTAAGCCAGCTTAATTATATAAAAAGTTATTTTTAAACCTAAGATTTATAATAAAAACATAGCTTAACTATGCAATTATAATTTATATTATAAATAAAGTTTTAAATTAATATTATATTAACCGTAAATATAATAATTAAAAGTTAAGGGGAGGATAATAATTATAGTTTTAAGCGTTTTAAGGAAATTAAAGATTTAGCTAATTAAACTTAAGCCATTTAAGCTTTAAGCAACTAAGATCCTATAGCATTAGCCATAAAGCTTAAAATAATAATACTTATAAAGAAGAAAGAGAATAACTCTAAAAGAAAAAATATTATATTTATAAGAAAGAAAGATATTAATTAATTAAATATTTAGTTAATAAGCAATATTTAGCAAAAAAAAGCTACTTAATATAATATAAATATAAAGGTTATAATAATAACTTTAATACTTTTTTAAATAAATTTAAAAGATATAAGATAAATAATAAAGATAAATTTTATAAATATAAAAATAAATAAAATTAAAATAATAATTGCAATAATAATACCTATATTATAAAGGTAAGACTTAATAAAGAGGTTTATTATATAAATATTAATTTCTTAGCCAATAAAGCATTTATATATTAAATCATAGGAAATAACGTTTTTTAAATAGAAATGATTATTATAGCTAATTAATTTATCTTAAAGAATAAATATAATTAAACTTATTTTTAAGGAATCTTGCTAAATATAAGAGTATTATTAATATTTATAACTAAATATAAGCAATTTCTTATATTATAATAAGAAGATTTAAAGTATTAAATTAATATAATTGCCGTAGGAAAAGCTAAAATTAAATTTAATAATAAGATAATTATTAATTTACTTAGCATAATAAAAATTTCTATTTTAATTAATTATATTAACTTTTATATTATTTAAACATAAACTTTATTCTTACTTTGCTTAATAAATATAAATAGGCTTTAAGTATATTATAATAATATTATAAATAAAATAATTTCCTTTAATGATGCAATTATTATATTAATACTTAAAAAATAGGGTTACCTATAGTTTTTCCTAAATTAAATTATTAATGCTATATATTTCCTTTTAAAAATAAAAATAAGGAAACTTTATTATTGCTTTAAATACTTATTAATAAATTAACTATGCTAAATGCTTAAAAAAGTTAGCAATTTAAATATTAATAAATAAGCAATAATAAAGATTAAAAAGATATATTATTATTATTAAATAAATGAACCTGCACTTAAGCATTTTAAGTTTATATTATATAATAATTATGAATTTAATTATAAAATCTTAATTAATATAATATATTTAAGCAAATATTTAATTCTCCATATTATAAATTAAGCTATTACTTTTTAAAGAATGAAATTCTTAAAATTTATATTTATAAAGATTGCATAGCAAATATTATAAATGCTTTAAATTAATATATATTAAGAATTATTAAATATTATTAAATATAATGCAAGAATAAACTTTGCATTTTTAGAATTTTATTTAAAGGTATAAATAATAAAAATTAAATGCAAATAAGTTCTTATAAAGGCATATTAATTTATTAAAAAAGTTAAGAAATACCATTAAGCCCTTAAATAAGTATATAAAATCCTATATATTAAACTATATAATAGCATAAATAATAATGCTATCTTATAAATAGCTATAAAAGCTATTAATAATATTATTAAATTAAATAAACTAATCCCTATATTCTTAATTTTCAGCGCCTACTTATAAGTATTGCATAAGTTATTATTATTATCATTAATATAAAAATAAGCGAAAGTTATTTTAAAGGCTATAAAAATATTATAAAAAACCATAGCTAAATAGCAAGTATAAAATGCATTAAACACCAAGGTTAAACCTATCTTTAATATAAAATATTTATTATAATATAAAGTTTATATATAAAGAGAAAAAGAAAGATAAAAGGGTTTATATAAGGTTATTGCTATAAATAGCTATAATATAATCTTAAATATACTAAATAAAGCCGCGATGTTTAAGTTAACAATTATTTAACTATATTATTAAGATAATAACGAGGAAATGCAACCCTTATAAGCAAAAAATCTAGCTATAAAACCTTAAATATAACTTATTATATAATCACTATTACTAAAGATAAAAAACTACATTATTATATTATATATTTTAAAGAAAGAAAATAAAAATTATAACTTAGTAATTAAATTAAGATAAGATAAAGTTATTATAATACTAGGCTTATTATTTAAAGAGTTTAATAAAATGGAAATTAATAACCTTATTGCTAAAGGTATCTTTTAAATTAAGAAATAATTAGCAAAGCAATATAATAAATATTATTTCTTTAAGTTTTATATAATATAAAAGGTAAAAGGTAAAACTATAAAACCTTATAAGAAATCTTAATTTATTATTTAAGGTTATAATAATAATAAAAAGGAATTAATCTTAATATAAAGCCTAACTATTTAAAGAATAAGTTAATAAACAATCCTTATATTTACCCCCTTATTAATCTAAAAAAAAGACATAATTCTTATACTTTAAGATATTATTTAAGCCTACCCCTAAGTAAAGTTTAAATTATATAAAATAATTCTTATAAAGCTATTAAAGAAATTAAAGAATAAATACCCTTTAAATATAATTATTTATATTATTTAACCCTTATATAGCATAATAAAATTTAATATTTATTAGTTTAATATATATTAAAAATATTATTAATAAAAGCTTAAAATAAACTGCTTTATATATAATCCTTACTTAATAATTATAAAGCCTACATAACCCTTTAGGATAATAAGCATATAAATAAATGATATATTAATTTTATTCATATTAAAATTCCAGGATAAAAAGGAAATTAAAATAAAAGCTATAAAACTATAAGGAAAATTAAAATAAGAGCTAACGCTTAAAAACTTAATAAATTATAATAAGGCTTGCATAACTATAAATACCACTAGCTTAATTACTATTTAATAAAAAGGATAAGCTAATAAACTTGCTCTTATTAATACAATAATTAAAAACGCTCTTTAAAAATACCTTAAATAAAGAGCTTGCAAAGCATATATAGCTTTAATTTATTAATTAAAAGCTTTATATAATCTTTTAATGACTATATAAATATAAAACCTAAAGGTAGGAAATTATAAAAGCTTAAATATATAATTATTATAATAAATAAATAACGCTATGCAAGAAATTAAATATATGCCCTTAAATCTTAAAATAGCAAAACTTTTTATATTTATAAATAAATTATTTATAAATAATTAAAACTTAATATTTTAACTTAAATATATTATTATTTTTATAAATAAGACTTATAAAGAAACTAAGGAATTTATAATAATAAGCAATATTCTCTATTAATTATTAATAAAGTATAAATATATTACTTAAAGCATATTAATAAGTGAAATTTACAATATAGTAAATAAAGTAAATATTAAAATTTCCCTAGCCATAATAATTAAAATAGCTATAAAACAACTCTTATTATTAAATATATCTTTAATTATTTATATAAATTTATATAGCCTATATAAATACCTTATAAAGTTAAAAATAATAAAGAAAAAGCGCTTTATAATTAATATTATATTATTATAAAAATTATATAAAATAAGAAAGATTATTAAAGTAAAATAAATAAATAAGAAAAACAACCCTATTAATATAATAATAAAACTAACTTTAAACATTATATTATAAAAGCTTATTAATAATAATAAGTTTTACATATAAGTAAATAAATTAATTAAAAAACCTAAAGTAGCCCCTTTTTGCTAAGAAAGGAATAACTTGCTATTAACACCCTTTTCCTTCCAACCTTATTACCATTAATTATAAAACCTTATATCTTTTAAACTTAAACCCTTAATATAAACTTTAACCTTTTATATTTTAACTAAAACCTTCTTAATACCTTATTATATATAAGGATAATCTTATAATTATTAATATTATTAATAATTATTATTTTAAAATTAACCTTATTATTATTATTACCTTTTATTATTATTTATTAATAAAATATTAAAACTAACTTTTATTAAATTTATTTACAATTTATTAATTTCTTTTATAATTAATAAATAAATTAATAATTATTATATAATAATTATAAAGTTTTACATTATAAATATTTATTTTAATTATTAAATTCTTATAAAATCTTTTTCCTTTCCATTATAATAAAGAATATTAATAACAACTTATAAAAATTATTTAATACTTTTATTAATATGCTTTATAAGAATAATAATAATAAGTAAAATTATTTAATAAACATTATATTTGCTTTTCACGTTAAGAATATACTTAATATAATTATTGCCATAGCTACTATTAATATAGTTAGCATTAAAGGTAGCCTTATTGCAACCCTTAACTAGAATTAGGATTCCCTTGTAAATATTATAACTATAACCCTAATTAATAAAATAAGCTTTATAACTACAACCTTAATCAATAAGATAAACATTGCAACTATAACCTTAACCAATAAAATAAACATTGTAACTGCATTCCTATTAAGCAATAAAATAAAAATTAAAATTATTATTAAAGTTGCAAAAAGGGTTAAAATTACCTTAACTAATAAGGATAAAGATAAGCTTATTAATTTTACTAATTCTTATGGCAAAGTTATTGCTAATAACGCTTATTTAATAGATATTAATAAAAATGTTAATAATAATAATTCTTATCCGCTTGCTTATTTAATAAATGTTAATAAGGATATTAATAATAATAACTTTTATTTACTTAATATTAATAGTAATTTAATTATTATTAATAATAAAAATAATTAAAACTAAGCTAATAAAACCTTAATAAAGATTGCAAAAACCGCCTTTAACTTTACTCTTATGCTAAGTATTAAAAAAAGCAAACTGCTTATTAAAGTTAACTTCCGCGGAATTATTAAAATTAATAAGCTAAAGGCTATAGTTATGGCCTAAGCTAAGATACTTTTCCTAACTAACATTATTATAATAGCTATTATTTAAATTATTAATAACTTTTAATATTAAGATAAGCAAATATTTTTTAATAATATAATTAAAAAGCTATGCATTTATATTAAAAGCATTAAAACTCTTAATATAAAATTGCATAGCATCCTTAATAATAAGAATTATTAAGGTAATTATTATTTTAAATATTAAATTATTATAATCTTTATAATAAATAACTTAATAAAAGTTTTAATCTTAAATATCTTTTATATATATTAAATTAAAAAAATTTAGCTATTAAAGGATTAAATTATTATGCTAACTTAGCTTTAAAACTTTTTACATTAAATTACCAATAAGTATATATAAGGCTTATATATAAAGGGATTTATTAAGAAATATATATCATTGCTTAAGCAACTTAAGCAAAAAATAACCATTAAAAAGATTAAAAAAAATAATAAAAAACAAAAAAAAGAAATAATAAATAAGTAAGCTACTTATAATACTTAATTTTAAAAAAATAAAAAGTAGCTAAAGAAAATTAATTTAAAGCAATATTAAGTATATTTTAATAATAAAAGTAAGGATAAAGATAATAATATTTATATTATAAAGGTATATAATAAAAATAAATATAAGCTAAAGGGTTTAGTATTAACTTTATAGGCATTAACTTCCCTTATAAAAAAAAGATTTAAAACTAAGGCTATTATGCAAAAGTTAATAATTTCTATAAAAAAGCAACCTTAAAAGCTAAGTATTAAGGATAATGGGTATAATGTTTAAGGAATAATATAATAGTAAAGGTTGCAAGTTTAAAAGGTAATATAATGGTAAGGATTGCTAAGACTTGCTTTGGAACTTATAAGTTATAATTTTAGGCCTTTTTAGCAATACTTTCTTATAATAAAGGTTATATATACTTAATATGCAATAAATTATAATTTTAGGGTTAATTATAATAAGGATTGTATATACTTATTAAAAAAAAAGAAAAACTATAAGTATTGGCAAGTATAACCCTTGTTACTTAAAAGGCTACTTTAATTATCCCCTCCGGGGCATGTAGCCTCTTAGAACTTAGACAAAATAATACCAATACACAATTGCTTCCCATACGATTATCATACGTACGAGAGACCTACCAACAGCTTTAAGAACGGTTCTGTGCCCGCCAGGAGTTTAGGTGGGCTTCTACTTGAAGCATAGGTGTGATGAAATCGCTTCAGAGATCGGCCGTCATATTACCCTGGTCCTCAGTGGATGGTTTGTGTAGTTGGATTTGGATCTGGGTTAGATAAGTACAATGCATAGTTTTGGCAGGAGTTCGACATTTAGATCATGAAGTACTCAACTAGACTCAATGAACCAAACCCCCCCCCCCCCGCGGGCGTCCCACCCCGGTAGTAGCATGGTGCAATGAATCGCCATGTCAGGTGGCCCGTCACTCATCTGCCACAGTGTCACCCTTTAAGCCGGTAGTTTGTAAGAACTCTTCTTGAATCTGTACTCGAGCCCTATTCCACGAACAATCACCAACAAGAGTGACCAGAAAGTAACAGGTGCTAAGGCAGGTGAAGTGGCAGTGGGTATCTGGGTGGCTTGGTTTCGGGTTAGACCCTGAGAATCACCCGGAAGACGGCTCGCTCCGGCGTCACCTAAACAGGTGGCCTGTGCGAGCTGGCTTGCTGGCCGGCTGCTTGGCCGCCCTGTCTATCTGGCTTCGCTGTCCCATGCTGCCGCCCAAAGTCCAGACGCAATCCCCATCTTCACCCTCCACGCCGTAACTGCTTGCCCAATTGCCCAGCATGAACTACGGCAAAAAGGATGAAGATGCCGACACCGGCCTGGTCAAGGTCGACCGGACCCAGGTCTTCCAGGAAGGTCAGGCTGCTCGCCCCGACCCAGCTCCTCGCCCCTTACCAGAGCTCACATGCTAATGTGCCAGTACCCAGCGCGATTGTTCAACAGCTCGCCCATACAGCCTCGAAGATGTCGGATCCTCCTGACCAAGATCGCCCTCCTGCTCTACACCGGCGAGAAGTTCCCTACCAACGAAGCCACCACCCTCTTCTTCGGCATCTCGAAGCTCTTCCAGAACAAAGATGCCAGCTTGCGACAGATGGTCCACCTTGTCATCAAGGAGCTGGCCCACTCCGCCGAGGACATCATCATGGTCACCAGCACTATCATGAAGGATACTGGAGGCAGCACGGACATAATCTTCCGGCCAAACGCGATCCGCGCTCTGTGCCGTATTATTGATGTATGGCTACGGCCTTGCGCCTTCCCGCTGTGGCTGCCCCTTGCTGACCGACCTCTCACTAGGCGACCACTGTTCAATCCATTGAGCGTGTCATGAAGACTGCCATTGTCGACAAGAACCCCTCCGTATCCTCCGCCGCCCTGGTATCGTCCTACCACCTGCTCCCCATCGCGAAGGACGTCGTCCGTAGGTGGCAGAGCGAGACCCAGGAAGCTGCCGCCAGCACCAAGTCCTCAGGTGGTTTCTCCCTCGGCTTCTCGTCCTCCTCTGGCCAGCTGCCAGTAAACAACTCCACGATGACGCAATACCATGCCATTGGCTTGCTGTACCAGATGCGTATGCACGACAGGATGGCCTTGGTCAAGATGGTTCAGCAGTTCGGAGCCGCTGGTGCGGTCAAGAGCCCTGCTGCCATTGTCATGCTCGTCCGCCTTGCGGCGCAACTCGCCGAGGAAGACGCTGGCCTCAGGAAGCCCATGATGCAGCTCCTGGACGGCTGGCTGCGACATAAGAGCGAGATGGTCAACTTCGAGGCGGCCAAGGCAATCTGCGACCTGCGGGACGTTACCGACGCCGAGGTCGCGCAGGCCGTCCACGTTCTGCAGCTCTTCCTCACGTCTCCCCGAGCAGTCACCAAGTTTGCTGCCCTCAGGATCCTCCACAACTTTGCCTCTTTCAAGCCCGAAGCCGTCCACGTCTGCAACCCAGACATCGAGCTTCTGATTTCCAACAGCAACCGTTCCATTGCTACCTTCGCGATTACGACCCTGCTCAAGACGGGCAATGAAGCTAGCGTTGACCGCTTGATGAAGCAAATATCGGGTTTCATGTCCGAGATCACGGACGAGTTCAAGATTACCATTGTTGAGGCCATCCGGACACTGTGCCTGAAGTTCCCCAGCAAGCAAGCCGGTATGCTGCAATTCCTGAGTGGTATCCTCCGAGACGAGGGTGGCTACGAGTTCAAGCGCGCTGTGGTCGAGAGCATGTTCGACTTGATCAAATTCGTTCCTGACTCGAAAGAGGATGCCCTCGCCCACTTGTGTGAGTTCATCGAGGATTGCGAGTTCACGAAGCTTGCCGTGCGGATATTGCATCTGCTGGGTGTGGAGGGTCCGAAGACGTCTCAGCCAACAAAGTATATCCGATACATCTACAACCGCGTCGTCCTGGAGAACGCAATCGTCCGCGCTGCCGCAGTGACCGCTTTGGCCAAGTTTGGTGTGGGCCAGAAGGATCCTGAGGTGAAGAGGAGTGTGCAAGTTCTACTTACTCGCTGCTTGGACGATGTCGATGACGAAGTCAGAGACCGTGCCGCCCTGAATCTCAGGTTGATGAGCGAAGAAGACGAGATGGCGGCCAAATTCGTGAAGAATGACAGCATGTTCTCGCTTCCCTATTTCGAGCACCAGCTCGTCATGTACGTCACATCGGATGACAAGTCCACGTTCGAGTCAGCATTCGACATCTCCAAGATTCCCGTGGTCACTCGGGAGCAAGCAGATGCTGAAGACAGGACGAAGAAGCTCACAGCTTCTACTCCATCCCTCAAGCCACCAAAGGTGGCGTCAACAAAGGCTGCGCCAACTGGAGCCGAAGCTGCGGCTTCTGCTACAGCGGCAGCTCAACAGTACGCTCAGGAGTTGTTGAACATCCCAGAAATGAAGGAGTTTGGCAGCGTGCTCAAGTCATCACCTGTTGTCGAGTTGACGGAGGCCGAGACGGAATACGTCGTCAAGGTCGTCAAGCACATATTCAAGGAGCACATTGTGCTTCAATACGACATCACCAACACCCTCGACTCTGTTGTTCTAGAGAACGTATCTGTGCTCGCTGGTCCTTCAGACGACGAGGAACTTGAGGAGGTCTTCATCATCGAGGCGGAGAAGCTTTCCCAAAACGAACCCGGCAAGGTCTATGTTGCGTTCAAGAAGGCCGGTGGCGAGGACTCCTTGCCCGTTGTCTCTTTCACCAACACCCTCAAATTCACCAGCAAAGAAATCGACCCCTCGACAAACGAGCCCGAGGAGAGCGGATACGACGACGAGTACGAGGTGGCCGAGTTCGATCTCGCTGGCAGCGACTACGTGATCCCGACGTACGCGAGCAACTTTGCGCACCTGTGGGAGCAGGTCGGTGCCGCTGGCGAGGAGGCTGAGGAGACGCTGCAGCTGAGCGGCATGAAGAGCATAGCAGGTGCGTCATTTTATCCCCTTATGCACAAGAGCCCCTTTCATTCCCTTGAATGCAATCCTAGCTTGTGTCGAACAAATTACTGACCTCTCATGTAGAAGCAACTGAGCAGTTGGCAAAGACCCTGTCGCTCCAGCCGCTGGAAGGCACCGACGTGCCTGTCAACCAGACCACTCACACGCTCAAGCTCCTCGGCAAATCAGTCAACGGTGGCAAGGTCGTTTCCAACGTCAGGATGGCCTACTCGGCCAAGTCGGGCGTCACAACCAAGATCACTGTGCGCGCAGAGGAGGAGGGCGTGGCTGCGTTGGTGGTTGCTTCGATTGCATAGTCTTGCCTAAAGACTTATGGCTCGGTGTTCAATATGGAACACGGCGTGCATTGCTGGCCGTAGCAATATCTACACAGACACGTTCGGCACGGCCATGATTATGGCTGGTGCAAGCGGCCAATGCCAACCAGAGTGAGGGATTGTAAATGGAGACATCCTTGTACTGGAGATGGCTGGAGACAGCCTTGTCTGACGGCGATAGACGACGGAAATGGCGAGAGGAGATGGTGTCAATGAAAAGAACCTTCTCCTTGACCGGGTGATGTTCGGAAAAGAAAAAATCTTTTTTCTTCCCGCAATGGACAAACAACCCTAGGGATGGACCGACAGGGCTGCGGGTGATGACTGGAGTCTAGCATTGGTTTTGTTATAATCGAGAAAACCTGATCTTTCCCCTGCATGAATGTCCACCCTCCAACGCACTGTCGCGGCCTGCCAATGAATCCATCGCCACAGTGGAGTGTCTCACACATAGGGTGATCGAGTTGCTTCGTGGCGTTGACGGGTCGAAGTAACCTGGATAGCTCTCAGCAATGAATGTACCGGACGTCTAAAAATGCAGGCTTATCGGAGGTTCCACAAAGCTTGAAATGGAGACCCAGTGGATCAGAGTCTGGGGGCGGCCCTACTCCCCAAGCTTCGCAAGGCCCCAGGACCTGCGAAGTCGTGGACAAGAACCAATTAACACGGTAAAGAAGGCAGAAAGCATTGATGCAGCATGGCCAGATAAGTGGTGAGGGCGGTATCAACAGACCCGTGCCGTTTGCGCTCGCCTCGTTGAAAAGCCAACGACGCGGGACGTCGTCACATAGCACACGAGCAAGCACGGTATCTGTCCAGGAGTTGATCTCTCACATTTCCTCGTCCGCGCTTCCTGCCTACATAGGTAATGTAAAGTCTCAAACTAACAGCCTCGCCCTGCCAGCAGCAGCAGCTTATAAGGTATCTAGTAACAAAACGGTCTTCCGACTGACCCTTCCTCCACCTCCTTCTCATTCTCAGCCCTGCAAAACCCCCTTTCCCCATGATCTTCTGCTGAGCGAATCCGACAAAAATGGGGGAATCCTAGAAGTGAATAACAAACGAAATAAAAGAGAAGAGAAGTTTAGTCATTAACCGTCTCCTATGAAAGAAGCCTCAAGCAATGAGAAGAGCCGGGTTTTTGTTGAAATGTTTTGTTGATGGAACGGAATTCGTGAAATAACGCCTGCAGACGCGAGTGTGCTGCCATCATGTTCGCCCTGAAATGTCCTGAGGAGGTGAAATTGTCCACGACGCCCCCAGCCCGGCCCGTGATATGAGAGGCGACAAGGTGCTCGCAAGAAATAATTTCTACAGCCGAAGTAAGGTTTTCTGGATGAGGGACGTATTGACCGTCCTCTGCACGATAGATGAGAGGTGAAGAGGCATATAAGAGTTAAGCAGTTCCAGAGGCCGAGCGGAGATGTACCGCCGGCAGGGTGGTGGATACCGGGGTAAGGAAGCAACCGGCCTAGACGGTCACAACCCTATGATTATGAGCTTGACGGTAGTGTTGTTTCTGGAAATCGAAACGAGGCTCTGCGTCTGGATCAACGGGTCCGAACCTCTTCTCCTATCGACGTCGAACTGGCCCATCGCGCTGCTTGAGGCGGCTTGTCCTCCAGCCTTCGTACCATTGCTCACGGCTGGCCTCGCGGAGCTCGTTGCGCCACTCGCCAAATACCGAGTCCTTTAGTCGCAGGAAGTCGCAGTGCTCTTCGTTGTTCGGGTCTGCGAAGCCCCAGGGGAACTTTCGGCCGAGAACTTCAGGCTCGTATATGTCGGGGCTGATGATTGACATGGGGATGTAGGGGATCTCATCCTCTTTCAGCTCGTCCCCTGTCCTACTGCGTCGTACAGAAGTGACCGACTGTCTTGGGGAGCTGGGGGGTTGGTTGCCTTGGATGGGCAGTTCCTCCTCCCCCTCAGCATCCTCCTCGTCGCTCTCATCCTCTTGTGACTCAGGCTCCTCTGGGATTCGGCTCGAGGATGGCGGGGAATCGTAATCTTCATCTTCCAGACCCAGAACCTGTAGTGGATCCAAGTTCGCCTTCTTCAGACTGTCCCAGACAGTTTTCTTCAACACTTCCATGTGCTTGGTGGTGATAGTATCGGCTTTCGCGACGACGGGAATGACGGTTGTCTTGCCTTGGAGGATCCGCAGGACCTGTAGGTCGAGATCCTCATCCAAGCTGCCGATGATCCGGGTCTCTGGGTGGTGCTTGCCATTGCCATTGGCCGAAACGGCCTTAGTAGATGCAATATTGCGATCCAGCCGGGCTGGATCGAGGATCAGGAAAGCTGCGTGGATGTGGGTATCCTGTACACCCGGCGATCTCACAACTTTCATCTCCTCGGCGAACGTGTCCTCGAATTTGCTCTCTAGGAAAGTTGACATTTCTCGGAGCTGCAGATCGACAACATTTTTCTCCAGCCCTTCCGAGTCCCAGAGCGTCACTCCAACACGCTCCCCATCGATTTCGCTCTCGATGAAGTGGGGGATGAAATTGCCCGAGGGCTGTGCCCGATTGGAGCTGGGTTCGTCCTCGATGGTGCTTTTGGCTCGCTTCTTGGCAGGCAGAGCAAGGGCGGTCTTCAGGAATTCGAGGAATGAGGTCTTGCCAGAACCCCGCGTTCCGATGATCAGGATACTGAATAGGGTCAGTGATGGACACTCATTTGGCACCGAGACATATTAACATACTTGAACGGGGTCGGGTCCTTCCTCCTGCGTACGCGTCGAGGGCTGTTGACGGTGCTCACCGCACTACTGGCGTAGCTGTACCGTCCACGATGGGTCATGCTCTCGGTGCGTGCGTAGGGGTCGACCCAATTCCCGTTGGGAACAGGAGGGACGGCGGGAGCAGTGCTGGTGGACGCGCGAGGCGGATCCATTGAAGGGCGATGGATGCTGGTGCTGTACTGGCGCTGGTCTGCTCTGCCTGACACGATGGCGATGGAGTCGGGGCGGGTGTCGACGCCAAAGTGGTCGAATTGGGGCGCGGGCGCTCCGTTGTAGAGCTGTGGAAGACGGGGCGGGGACTTGGGGACGGAAGCATCGCGCTGGCGTTGAAGTTCTGCCTCTCTGGCGGCCTGTTGGGCCTTCTTTCCTCCCTTCATCTCGCCTGACTTGCTGCGTCTTAGCAGCATCCCGAAACTTGAGCGTTGAGGATTGCTCATTCTTCGAAATGTAGGGCTGGCGCTATGTTCGGGGGGAAGCCACTAGGGCATGGACCAACAGAGTGAGTTCGTTTCAGGCGGCACGGAAGGCGCTCCGGACGAAAAGAGGGACAGGCGGGCGGCCAGGAGATTTGGAGACAGGCCGTCCAAGGAAATGGTCCCGAATCTGGGATGAATTGGCTGCCGGTGGGGGATAATGGGCAAGAGCGACAAGGTGAGGTCTTGCAAATGGCGCGTGCGATGGGCAGTTGTGGGCAGTCGTGAGGACTGGCAATTCTGGGAATCGGAACCTCGTTTCGCGGGCGGAGGACCTGAGAGGCGAGCAAGTGAAGCTTCACTTGGGGCGGGACTTCGCGTCGTATAGGGCGGGCAGGTACGGGTCGACGGCTTGGTTAAGCGCGTCTGCTTTTTGTGTCAGTTCAGGACGGGATAAAGATCGACTGGCGGCTGCTGCTTGTTTCAGCTGCGGGTTGGTCCGTCAAGGACACACGACAGCGTGACCCAAGACGTGCAGGCAGGCGCGAGGGGGGTGACAAGGAGTTGCTCGCGTACCAGAATGGACAATTGACGCCGGCGACTCAACGTGCCTTGTGGCCGAGTCAAGCTGCTCACAATGCCTGCAGAGGAAGGGGGAGGCAGGAACAGTGACGGAGACAGGATGCTGCAAGTGCTACACTGTCAGTATCCGGGCGCAACAAAGGGGACTCTGAGCAGTCCGTGACACCACGTGCGGATCGGCGTCGGCAATAGATCGTCAGTGCAGGACGCATGTGCTGGCGGTGTGAATCTGCGGCTGTGACGCTGCAAAAGGAGCAAGAGTGTGTACGGCGTTGGGAATAGTAATAACGACGAGAGGGAACTGAAGGCCGTCCGTCCGCGTTGACACAGAGGAAATACCACGCTGATGCTCGGAGATTTAATGTGCCTTGTGCGTCACTTGGCAGATCTCTGCCAGTCCCGCGCAGCCATGGGGTGAACGTCACACGATCCAGTGGAAATCCTCACGACACGGTACAGAAAAGGGGCGGCAACGTACAGCTTCGCAGACCTGGGAGTTTGCTCGTGAGTGTGACAAGATGCCGTGTCGGTCTCGTGTGCCGTCCAAGTCGAAGTCTGATCAAGGTATTGTGTGGTGGTAACGCGACACTGGGAGCTAGCTACCAAAGCGGTCTGGTCAGGGGTAATATGTCGACTTGTGCCGTCCAGTCCAGCGACGCACTTGCAGGCGTACGTGAGAGCAGCGCGGATAAGAAAAGAAAAGGGACGGAAATAGGAATAGGAAGGAAACTGGATCAAACGAGCGGTGGTGAGTGAGGTGGGCAGGGCAGCAGTGAGCAATGAAAGGGCGTCAGTCCCGAGGAGACACGGTCCCTCTCTCTTGCTCTCTTTTTCTTGTTCTAGTACTGTGCTGCAAGGTTGACAAGCAGCCAATGACCAGCGCTCACGGAATGGTCTAGTCCAGGTTTCCCGACCTTTGGACTGTGATGAGAACGTGTTGGCGAGGAGGAGAAATGGGACGATGAATTTACCTTTGCGCCAGAGCAATTGGATGGGATGGATGGGAGCTGGCCAAGGTACCAAGAGGTAGAGGCGGATGCTATGCCCCTCTTGTCGCCCGCCCACCGACCAGGCCTGACTGGCCCCAGTCAATCAATCAGTCTTTCAGGGGCTCCATGCGCTTGGGCCAGCCTGGGGGAACCACTTGGACGGGGACGGTGCCTGGGAGAAGAGCCCAGTGGCCCACTGTCATCCTCCTGCCGCAGCACTCCGTATGCCGTACCAAGTACCTGCTCCGTCTGCGAGCCCAGTCCCGTCCACATGGGACAGACGGACGGGCGCCCTGCCCTATCCGTATCCGCGACCAGTAGGTAGACTGACTACCTACGCAGTAGACCACAAGTATCTTCTCAGCCAAGCGACAACGCAGTGCCGAGTGGCCTAATGCACCATATCGCGTGCACATACGCCGGCCCACAGGCAGGCGGCGCATGAACCAGGACTCATCGAGCTGGCCAAGCATTGTTCTGGCTCGCAACACAGGTTGCAGATGGCAGAGTGCCCGACGAAAACCCTACAAACAGCCATGCGTGCGTCCCCTCTGCGACGGCATCAATCTCACCATCCATCACCACCATCATCAGCACAAGGGCTCAAGATTGCGGCAGCTGAGGACCCCTTTAAATTGCAGGCAGCGTGGCCCTCGGGAAACGAGCGCAAAGTGCCGTGCCTCCAATCATCTAACCCCCAAGCAGATCCCACTTATTTTAGATGTGGTGACATCCCGGCCCTGGTCAACCAGAATTGCCATAGTCTGTGCTGGGCCCGGCGTTCATCAGTGACACAGACAGGCGGCCCCGAAAAGAGAGCTACGGCGCGCGGCACTAGGCGCTGCTTCGGTCTGCAACCCGCCCGCGCGCTGGGCTCCCCCAAGACCCCAAGAGGACTTTTCCTGGCGATGCCATCAAGCAGCGCCCGACGTCGTGGCGGGCCGGACGACAGGTGCACACCGATCCTGTCGTACTGTGCATCGAGGGATGAATGGACGAGTGTCGACCCGCTCAGACTGCGCGGTACTTCGCCGTCTCCATCCAATCCTGCCGCGGTATAACCTGGTAGCGCCCGCCGCCCCGGATGCCAGCGCAGTCCGGACTGCGTTCTGAAGATAACCGAGAATGCGATTGTCAAGCCCGGATTTGATCCCAGGGCGAGGGCACAAAAAGACAGACCTGCAGCAGCACGCCAGAGAACACCCAGAGGGGGCCTCGACCGTTTCAGAAACAAACCTCCCGCTCTACCAGGGCCATGCAGAAGCCAATTTAGGCGCAGAGCACCATATTGGCCGGTCCCGAAGCATATAATCTCCCTTCCAGAACGCCCAAGGGCGGAAGAAGAAGCTGGCTGGGCTGGGCTGGCGTTCGTCGAGCCCGCGGCCCGATGTCACCTCCCACTCTGAAACTCTGCAAATTTGCGTGGTATTGAGATGATCAGCTCCTGCTCTCGACTGACGCATTGACGCAATCTCACTGCTCCTAGGGGTGCCAGGATTAGACAGCTGTCCGAAATCACGTCCAACTGCCCGAGCTGCACACACACATATATTGTGGGCACCCGGCTGCGGGACGTTGATGCCCTGTACGCGGGAGATGACCTGTAGAACAGATCCAGATCTGGCAAAAACACCCTGCTTGCCTGGACCGACGTCAACTCGGCCGCGTTGTAACGAGAAGATTGTGTTTCCTGCGGATTCCGTAGACTTCCCCCCGAGGAGCATACACAGCCTCTTCACTTAGTATACACACACATATATAAATATGCTGTGCTTTATCAGATCACATCGCTGGCGTTCCTAGCATCCACAAATAGGAAGAGCATCCAGGGACATGTCAACATGAGCCAGAAACATCCGTGTACAACACCTGGAATTAAGGCTGTAGAGTCAAAAGAGAAGAATTTCCGCCAACAACGGCATCTATTTGCTTCGAACGAGTATTGACTGAGTAGCCTTTTTCCTTCTTCCGGTCTTGTCGTGAAGTATTCCAACGCCGAAGCTCCCAGCGCCTTGTCTTCCCAACGCCAGTGTAGTGGCCTGTATGCAGCTGACATACATGTATGAGCCCGAGCTCTTGCACATGTCTTATGCAAGTCTCCTCCCTCCGAAAGCCCCGAGTCTTGTCTAGCCTCTTCCAGTGTATGATTCCATCCTCCCCTCTAGCCCTCGAAGACACCGTGCTGCAATTCTACTCCGATATCTTTTGCCATATCCGCCATCCTCGCCTCGACCTCGTCTTCCATACCGCCTCCGATGCCGAGCCACTGCCGTATCTTGAAGAAGTAGAACAGGACATCCGAACCCCACAGCACCGCCTTAAAGAGCAAGTGCCGCCACCGGTACCTAAGCCGCTCCGGCCAGGTCAAGTTGGGGTCCATAAACAGGCTTCTAGACGCCCACTCCCCCATCATCTTAACCCTGTTGACAGGAGAGCCCATATATTGGTTGTTTCCCTGCACGATCCTCATGTTTCGCCCAATAAAGATGAGTTCCTTGGGCCACTTGTCCTCGTCGGCCAGGATGTCCCGGATGCCCTGCTTCATCCGCCGCTGCATCGCGTAGCTCCTCTCGCTCGGGGTCATGCCCTCCATCATGAGGCCCCGCTTGAATTCCTGGTCACCACCCTCGTACGGACGCATCAGCGTTGCCGACGCGAAGATGTCCGCCGCCTTGATGCCCCACTCCTCCGTCACCTCCTTGATCTTGTCGTTGTCGAAGGTCATGAGCGACTTCCAGAACGTACCATACTCGCGCCTGAACTTGGGGCTCATATACACATACAGTCCATGGTCGATGAGCACCAGCTCCGCGCGCCCGTTGGGCAGCCGCCGGATGAAGATGTTGCCAGGGTGAGGGTCGCAGTGCACGACGCCCCACTTGAATATCTGTGCGCTGAAGAGGTCGACCATCGTGGTCATCACCTCCTTGGCCGAGAGCCCCAGCCCGCCCCGGCCGCGGGGACCCTTCCACTCGTTCCGCTCCGGCTTGAGCTGCGCGCCGCCGGTGCCGGGGCTCTGCCGCAGCTCGTGCCGGATCCGCGCCATGTCGGGCGCGTCAAGCTGCTTGCCGTGCACGCCGGGGGACCCTTTCCCGTAGCCGCCGAGCCAGGGCCCCGTCATGGTGGCCTTGTCCCACAGGCGGATGCCCTCGATCCATTCGGTGGTTAAAACGCGCTTGGAGGAGAGCTCGGAGTAGACGATGGGGACGTAGACGCGGCCTCTGAGGGACGGCTCGTCGTTGATGAGCTTGCGCATCGTCTCGGAGTTCTTGGCCTCGTTGACGAAGTCGGTCTCGAGCTCCAGCCGCTCTGTGATGAAAGGGACCAGGCTGTACAAAGGCAGGTCGAACCACTTGCTGTAGACCCATGTGACTACTCTGTGCAGCTTTCAGTCAGCATGCCGACAAGAGTAAGAACGAAGCGTCGCTCTCGCACGTAGAACGCAGACTTACTTGAACGCCCACAAGTCCCAGCCAATCTGCTTCTTAATCTCAGGCTTCTGAATCTTGAGCGCGACTTCCCGGCCGTCCGGAAGCCTCGCCCAATGCACCTGTGCAACACTAGCAGACGCCCTGGCCGTCCTCTCGATGACGCCCTTGCCCTCCTCCCCGGCGAAGCTGACCCCAAACACCTCCTTGACACTCCGGCCGCCAAAGTCCTGCCGTATGACCTTCTCGACCTCGTCCCAGCTGTTCTGCGGCGCGTCGTCGAACATGCGCGAGAACATCTTCTGGAATTCGGGCGGCATTATGGCGCTCTGCATAGCAATGGCCTGACCGATCTTGAGGTAGAGCCCGCCATTGTGGCGCAGCAGGTCGAACATGCGCTCGGCAGAGCGCTTGTGCAGCTCGGGGATGCCGCCGTCGCTGCCGATCAGCGGCAGCGGCTCGGCGCGGAAGTTCACCTTGTAGTCCAGCGCGACGAGCATGCCGGTGCCGAAGGTCCGGAGGCTGCGGCCCAGCCCGGACGCATAGACCTGGCTGTCGATCACATACACCGTCCCGCCCACGGCAGTGAGGATGAGCAGCCGCCGGAGCCATCTTCGCGAACGGGTGAAGGAGCGCGCCGCTCGTGGTGCGCCGAGGGAAGCTGGCGTCGGGGGACCGTTGAGGGGCTGGAAGGGCGCCAAGGTTTGTAGGGAGCGACGGTGCGGGAGGAGCGGCGAGGACGTCGAGAGCAGTCGGGGTCGTCGGGCAGCCCACTCGATGGGTCCTGAGTTTGCGACGACGGGTCCGGTGGTCGCGTGCGACGGCGGCCGCGCGCACGACAGCCCCGGTTGCCGGCGAAGGCATGCTATGCTCTGTCGCAACATAGCTGCCGGCTGAGATTTGTCAGTTCAGCGTGGTAGAGCGAAGACGGGCATCTGGGGCACTGGGCCGAGATGATGACTTGGATTTCTTTGTTGGATTTGGAAGGATTTCGGGGAATCAATGACGAAAGCCGGCCTCTGGGGAACCCGCTTTATCGCCGACATCTTGGCGCCTTTTGCACCGTCCGGCCGGGACAAACCGAGGCCCTGCGCGACCTAGATGCGCCGATTCCCAAACTGGGGCGCTGCCGGCTTACAGATTGGGCCGACTGTGGGCTTTCTCCAGGCCAGTTGATTCCACCAACATCTGCCCCGAGAATTGCATTCGGCCACCCATGGAAATTGACGGATGGATGTTGGCCTGAAAACGTGTCCACGATACACCTTTAGGAGGTTTCCTATGTACAAAAGCCGTCTTGGTGGGGACAGCATGCCACTCCGTAGCCTGCCTCGTCAAAGATGAGAGAATCATCAGCTTTGTTGGCTGGAATGGCTGTCTTCTTCGGCCGGGACATGGCCGCCGGAATTTGTATGGCCAGAACATCGCCAAGTAGGCATCTTTCGATACCGACTGGAACGAGCAGACTTTCTCAGCACATTATGGCTACGGCACAGTCTCAACGCGGTGGGTCCGGAGTGACACTTGTGCGCCCAGCCCTCAGAAGAAAGGAAACGCACAAGTTGTATGTTAGCCATCGAGGGCGCGTCTACAAGTTCTTGGGGTGCGACAGACTGGCCACGGAGTCTTTAAACTCAATCGAGACATCGTACGAGCTAAGACATTCGGCCACCACAACCGACAGCTTCGGCCTCGGCTCCATTTGGCTCTGGGCTCTCCCAACTGCCTGACATATATTTAGGTGCTGATGCCACAGAGAGTTGGGGCACAATAGGGTCCGGCATTCCTTCTTGAAAGCCTAAATCTTCTGAGCGGTGACAAGCGAAACATTGGTCTGCAACGGACGGTGTCTCCATCCGGGTAGATTGAGCTGCCGCACGTGGCCATCGTCAAGTCAGGTTTACCGCGTCCCCTCGCATGACAGACGTTCACGCATCCGTGCTAGTCAGCTGCTGTGAGTGGTCAGCCGCCTGGCAATCATCTCTACCGACCGACTATCCTTTTTTGTTTTCTGTCCCCTCAGACTCGCTGCCAAAGAGAACAGACGCGGCGCTAATTGGACAAGGCCTTGTAACGGATGCTTCCGCAGCTACAACATCTGAGACACAGCATCAACCCCGGGCAGCCGTGGGCAAGTCCGCTGGGCTCCGGTTATGACGCAGCTCACAGCCACACGGAAAGGTGGCCAGGATGAAACCCCGTTTCCTTGACCATTTGGGGGTTGGCGATGAGAGCGTTGCGGCCAGCGTGTCAGGCCTCGTTGGCCCCCTCCTTCCCCAGGCGATCGGTTCGTTGTCCTGTTACTTTGATATAGCAGTATTTAAGACACTATGATCCACGGGTGTTACCCAACGATATTTCAGGACGAAGGATCGCCCCCAAGGATTTCATGGCGAACATGCGGCAGGTGCATGAGAGATGATTGCAAGGACCCCGAAGCTCCCGAACTGGCTGGAATTATTTGGGATGGTTCGTCTGGGTTCAATGCTCAAGCTGAAGCAAAGGGCAGGTGACTCGATGATGAGGATCCTCTCCACGATCACAGCGGGCAACAAAGATCAGCCTGTCCTCGGCGTTAGTCTCCGGGCGGCAAGGACAGACAGCAGATGTCGCAGAGATGAGTCGGGCGCATCTTGGGGTTCATGCCGCGTCAGATCTAGCGTAAAGTTTCCGTTCCTGGGCTGGCGGGCTGTAACGGGGTGGGCGTCGGATGAGGGGTGTCCTCGTATCAGGCCTCAACAAATGAGCCTCTCGTCATCCCGACATGAAGTTATCGTGATGTGCATTGGGCAGGCTGGACCCAGATTGCCCTAATGGAGCCGCGGCCTGAGGTCATACCGAGACAGTGGGCTCAGAACAGTTCACGCAATCTCTGAAGCGATTTCCGAGATCGCGGCAGCGGAAAATCCTTGCCCTGGCAATTGCGATCGTTCACACAGGCGATCCCTCATGACTTGGCGGTGGTCGCATTCCAAACCCCCGCGAGGGCCAACTCTCCTTGCCAACAGCACCAGCAGCCTGACAAGCCAAAAAGACCATGGGGTCCTCAAATGGGGAGGGCCATGGCCACAATCGTGACCACGGCCAAGACCAACAGCGCACGGGAGACTGACAAGCCTTACCCAAAAAGGCGGTTCGCGATGTCGCGTTGCCATGGGAGAGTAGAGAATCTCATGGCTCAGGAGCCAAAAGAATCTTCGGCCCTTTGGAGGCACCAGTGTCGGCGATAAGGGACGTGGATCCTGAGTGCGACACCCATTCATCCTGAACTGCAAGATTTGTGCAATTTCCTTGTGCTTGATCGGCAGGAGAGTCGGGGCCAGGGGTTTCTCTAAAATTGGGCGAGAATTTGCAAGCAGGTGTTGCAGGCCATTGGTTTTGGCAGGGCAATGGCAGTCGAGCATGAATTCCGGTCGGAGGTCCCCTGGCAGAGGGAGATATGACGCGCAGTTTGGGCGGGAGAGCCACGCTGCAGCACGCAATGGTACTGGTGGGTTTGTTTGGGATTGATGGCGAGTGTGAGAGGCCGCTAACGTCCCGATAATTGCATTCACTCTCCCATGTCCTACTTACTTTCCCCTGCCAAAGTGGCCGAGGTGATTCTCGACGATGCCCAGACGCGTACAGCCACGGCCGACACGCAATGGATGGGAGGGCGGGCCACTGGAGTGATAGGGCCACGACGGGTTAGATTTGTGGCAGAGCTGCACAAGGGCACGAGAGAAAGTTGGAAGCGAGCCAACAAGATGCAGGTCAAGTCAAGGTCACGTTGTTAGGTTGGGTCGAGTCGAGGCTAGCGGGATCGGACAGGATCGCAATCTCTGCCAACGGGAGGTGAGGAGCGGTTGATATAACCTTGGAGTATCGGGGCAACCTTCTTTTGCCCCATGCCACTAGGTAATTGGCGGGATTGGTGATGGTATCTCGGAGGTTGCACGGCGGGAACCCGGACTGGGGCATAGCCACCTTGCTCCCCACACCCACAGGGCCTGAGGGGCCGCCAGGTTCGTGACCTGTTTGCTTGTTCAAGAGCAAAGGATCAACTTGATAGGCTCTGGGCACGATCCTCTGCGATCAGTAGTTTCCTGTCATTGACGACAGACCCGACAGACTGGGAGAGGACAGAACGTGTCTGGAAGAGACAGACAAAAGAGACATGGCAGAGTAGTGCACAGGCGCTGTCAGTGTTCATGCGTCGTCCATCCCACAATGCTGCAGAGAGTGACGTGATCTGCAGGCGCAGCAGACTCGCCGTGGCCTTGACGAAACGGGGTTAAGATTCGGTCTCAGTTGCTTGGTCAGCCATGTGAGTGAGAGAGAGTGTGTGGGCGGCCTGTTTGGGTTTGTCTCCGAAGTGTGAACGGTCGACAGCAACATCGTTCGCAGCAGCAGGTCCGAGTGGTGAGCCCATTCTGTATTGTCTCGGTCAAGAGTATGACGACAACGCTGCCTGGCCATGAATCTGACAATGCATCTGGAATCATTTTTTTGGTTTCCTGGGGCCACGAGAGCGTGTTACTGGGTACATGTATCCGCCCATTGCCAATGCGCTCACCCACGGGCATGCAACCCTGGCTGGTCTCTGCTGCGAGGTACCCAGGCTGCGAGGTAGCGCCCAAGTATCTGGGCCTGCTAAATTTACCGCGCGCGGTACGACACCACAGAACACCTGGGCTGGACAATCTGGGCCCCAACCAGGGTCCTGACCCACTTGGCCCACATGGGGGTTGAGTCCCGCATTGAGCCTGGTAGCACTCCGGGCACCCACTTTTCCCTGTTGCACTCGCCTGGTCTCCTGAGCGTCGGTGCGTTTCTCCTCCTGCTACCGCTACCCGTCCCTCACAACCTTGCGCCATCTGTGACACTCTCCCGAATCTCTTCCTCCCTCCCACGACACGATCCCGACGAGAGGTCGCCATCAATTCCGACCGCTCCCAATTCCTTCGCCACCGTTGCGAGGAGCGATCTAGACGCTTCTTGCCATCACGTCGTTCCCAAGAGGCTGGCTCACGGGAATTCAGCAAGACACAGTGCAGGATCGCGAGGGGAGGCGACGCGAAACCGAAACCGCACAGCCCCGTTCTGACTGCCGACTCTCGCTCGCTCTTCATCTCTATCACCTTCTCTACGCAGCATTCAATTCATCACAGCGAAGCCACGGTTTCTCCGGACAAGAAGTCTTTGGAAGACCGGCAAAAGCAGTCTCTTATCAAATTACTCGACAAAGATACGCTCTCCATGTTATCTCGACGCGCTGCACCCACCACCGCCACGATTCCACACCACGTTACAGTTCAAAGCACCGACCGCTTGCAATAGAACGTCGCCCCGACTCTGGATTCACTGGCGCCTACCTTTCTCGCCGCGTCTTGACGGCGCTGGCCCGGTCCCCCGGTTGTCCCCAATCCACTGAGCCTCGAGCCCGAGCCACGGCCAACCTCTGCCACGATGCTGCGACCGGCCACACCCCTATCGATCCTGCTCCTGTTGGCGTTTGGCCTGCTCCTGATCTCGGTTCTGTCGACGCCCATCATACAGCAGATACCACTTGGCTCATTTGGTGGTGTCAGTTTCGGCGTCTTCGGCTGGTGTAAAGGCGGCACATGCAGTCCCATTGAGATAGGCTACGACACTTGTGAGTCCCAAGCCGGCCGTCTACTACCGTACCCTCGCCCCACCGCGCTTGTCTCAGAATACTGATTAGTCCCGCAGCTGCAATCAACCAGAATGGCAACGAAGGTGATTTCGATCTGCCCAGTTCGACGAGGTCGACACTTTCGGCCATCCTCATTGTGCATCCAGTGGCTGCCCTGATCACCCTCATTATGCTGATCTTGGCTCTGGTATCCCACCTTCACTCGCCCTCTCACTCTTCTAGATATCTGCTTCTAGTATTCATCCTTAGCATCATCGACTTGATTGTCTGTCTGTTATCTTTCCTTATCGATGTATTACTCTTCGTTCCCCACATGGCCTTTGGGTCGTACCTGGTCCTTGCGGCAACCATCCTGGTGGCGTTGAGTACTCTGGTGTCATGCGCCATGCGTAGGACAATAGTCAACAGGAAGGCCAGGAAGAAGAGAATCGACGAGAACGCAGAGATGAGCGGGGAGAACTTTTACAACCGGCAGGCCAAGGAGGCACCCGTGCCGAGTACCGCACAGCCAACCATGCCCATTGTCAGCGGAGCAAATGGCGCCGCCAACGACAAGCTGCCCGCCTTCGCCTCGTTCGAAAAGAAGGACGACCGCATAAGCGATGAGCGTATTCCATTGACGGCACGCAGTCCTTCCGACAGGTCACCGAACAATGTGCCCATGGAGCTGAACAACGCGGAAACCATGTACAACGGCCCTATCGGTCCTGGTCCTCGCCGGGCCCCGTCGAGGGATCAATTTGGCAACCCCATCAACCCACCTCCTGATGCATATGGCATGCGAAGGCCATCTACCGAAACCCAACGATCTCGAGGGCGTGGTGGTATGCCCCCAGGTGGTTACCGCGGCCGTGGTGGGTATGGACCTCCAAGAGGTGGTGGGTATGGACCCGGCCCGGGTAGGGGGGGTTATGGCCCACCAGGTGGCCGAGGGGGCTATGGGCCGCCTCCAAATCGAGGGGGTTATGGGCCACCACCTCGTGGCTATGGCGGGCCTATGATGCGAGGAGGTCGGCCGCCGCCACCACCACCAAGCTACGATTCTGGGCCCTACGACCGCAGGGGCTCGCCCGCTGCCGAATACGGTGGTCCTTACGGTGCTCGACAGCAGTCTCCAGGCCCTCCGTCAGCTCCTGGCTACCAGATGAACAACTTAAATCCGTCTATGCCGAGCGTGTCGACTGGAAATAGTTACGAGGCGTACACCCCTGGCAGGGAGAGCGATCTCCCAAGGGCAGAGTCGCCCCCACCGTTGCCTGGGGCCGAGAACGATATTCCTAGGCAGGGTACGCCGATACGTGCGCCCAGCAGCCCCTCACATAATCAACAGGGCTTTGGTCTGAGCGACAGTGACGCCGACATTGCTGGGATGGTGGGATTGCAGCAAGGCCGAGACACAGCACGCCGCCACGATACTGTCATGAGTGAGGGTAGCAGATACAGTCAACCCGATGAGTAAGTGGTCTCACTGTGGCGTCAAGTGGTTTCACGATCAGTGCTAACAAATCTCAAGCCAATACGTCCCTGTGCGCACGGGTTGGAACCAGAACGCTGCTCAACACCAGTCGGCAGTGCCGTCTCCACTGCGGCCCCCAGTTGGCAATCCAAGATCCAACACCGGAAGTCCTCGTCCGGCTCCGCAAGAGACATCCTATGTCGAAGACATAGACCCTCGCTTTGCCGAGCCTCCAATGGTGGCCACTCCCGCTCAAAGACCGACACCTCCGGCTCTCGAGACTGACAACTCTTATGACAGCATTCCTGAGGGAGCTCGCAGCCCTGCCGAGTCTGAACGATCAACGTTCACCTCGATATCGCAGCGAGGTATCAATCCCAACTGGCCAGGCAACAACCCACCGCCCCCAATGATGGGCGGCTTCGGGGCAGTGCCACCTCGGAGACCAGTACAACCGCCGCGTGATGTCCTGTTGGACGGAAACCCCGACTTCATGCTACCTGGCGGGGGTGGGCGCGGGGGACGCGGACCTCGTCGCGGTGGTGGCGCTTACCCAGGAGGCCTGTGATTTTATGTCACATCAAGTTCGACGCCGCCCTTTGATTCATCATACGCTTCTCCTCCACCTCTTTTCTATCTTGACCATAGACCTCGGTTGCTTGGCTCATGTTTCACGGCATTTGCATCTCAGGAACCCAGCCTCGCCGCACGAGTTTGCCTGGAGTTCACTGTTCACTTCGGTCTTAATCAGCTCCTAGCCAGGGCCATATATATATACCCATTCGGCCCGTCCGGCGATCTTTTTCCGCATCTTGAAGCTTCTAGGTTTCAGTCCTGTCAAGGTCAGGCGGGAGTAAGGTCAAGCTGGATGGCATTCTGCGGATCACGACAGGCGTTTCTCATTTTTTCCCCCCTTCATGAAATTTGTACACATTGGCGTTTAAAGGGATGCATCAGAAGCCCCCACAATAAGGGGGCGTACTTTCGACCGAAACTTCAACCTGAATACCGACTTCCCGGCACCACCTTGCATATTCGCTGGCACCGGCCTTGGATCTTGACATACCTCTTCCTCCTTTTTATACGACGCTGGATAGCAGGGACGGGTCCATTGTCACCTGGACCTGTCCTCGGGTTATACTCAAAATGTTTTCTCCTTTGTCCTTTTTGTCTTCTATTTCATTCTGGGAGGCATGTTAGCCTCGACGATTCCCATACCAAGATGAAAGAGCAGGAATTAGGTAGAGGCGGTTTAGACAACGAAGTAATCGCGTCTCTCAACACGTGCGGAAGTGAAGGAACAACGGGCTTTTGGGGAAGGATTCACACGTGCAGGGGAGGAGGGGGTTGTAACGGGGTTGGACGGGTTCAACATGGAGAGACGCTGCTGCTCAGGAGCTCCTGGAGAGGTCTTTGACTGCTGAGCTTGAGGTCCCGAAGAGCAACAGGCAGGATAGACAGCTTGAGAAAAACAAAACCAAGTTTAGTAATCTGTTGGGGGCCAGGGTGATGATTACGGTTAAAATTCCACGCAGAGGTGGTCTCTGAAGATGGGCATGGGTATCGTGTGTGACGTGACCATGGACGACCCGGTCATTGTGGGATCATCACACGCGTCCGTGGGTATGAATGGAATGCTTCGAATCAAGATCTGAACGTGGATGCAGTGTCCTAAATCTGTGTTTGTCATTTGACACTTGTGACTCAATGCCCGCTTCGAGCCTGCTTAGTCTGTGGGCTCAATGAAACGCGGCCCTTCCCAGTCGCATATAACTACATCACCTACATCAAAGTGAGTCCTTTTGAGTGACCCGGGGTTCCACTTGCACTGCAGGGAAAGGTGGGTGTATGGGTGCGCCCACTCCTACAGTGGAACAGAAAGGAAAGACGGATTTACTCCTCTGGACCTTGACATGAGTTAACTAGATGGGGCATCGACTCCTACTCACTCAGCCTGACACGTGCCATAGTCAATCCAAGGGGCCAATCCCTACACAAACACACAATGTCCTGGGCATATAAATGCTCACAATCGATGTCGAGGTGGCTGGTCATGTGGGAAAACAACATCGAATTATGTCTGAGTATTGCTGTAAGCTGTCTGTTTCCTATGTGTTCTGTCCGTATTCCTCAACTCTGTTTTTGTGAAACGTATTCGATGGTCACCTATTCCAAACGGGAGCGTGTTAGGCCGAAATAGAGGGGCAAAGCTCCTACCTGCCAGTTTTGCTTATGCCCCAGTCCCTTAAGCTCTGCGTCTTGGTGGCCCAAAATCACCCTCATCGGGCTGTCCTCGTGCCAAAGTAGCCTTTCCTTCAGCTACCTCATGACCAACAGATGCCTATGACGTCCCTTGAACATGGAGCAACCTTTCCTTTTCAACTCCTTTTTGTCCTATCCCTCACAAAGCCCTTGGTACGTTGTCGATCCGAGTCCCCCAGGCCCGTACATGCTATGGATCGCACACATGCCCTTGGTGTGGCTTTAGATCTTGCTGTCCTCCATCTTTCCGAAGCCGGTTGGAATTTCCATGAGCCGACCATCGGCCCAGTAGTTGAGCAGAGTCGAGAAGGCCATATTGACAAGCGGCGTGGCTGCCTCATGAGTTGGCAACTCATTCGCAGATTTCATGTCAAAGTCGTGCTTTGGCTGTCCAAGCTTGGAGGAGTTGAGTACGATGTCAATTTCCGCATTGCGAGCTGCAGTACGCTCGCGTATGCTGTTGATGCCGAGCTCAAGATCTCGAAGTTTTCCCTGCGCCTCTGCAATTCTCACGTCGAGAGTCTTTGCAAGATCCTGGGTGGCACTGTAGAAGGCGGCCTTGGAGCGAGCGTCCCTCAGCCGAAGTTCCTCTGGAGTGGGAGGAAAGCGGCCCTCCGGACGTCCGGTGCTGTTGGAAAGCAAGGGAACGATTGGGGGGCCAAGGTCTGGAGGGAACCCATCGGGAAAGTATCCTCTGACTGCCTCTGCGGGGAGGGTATCGTACGTGCGTCGACGTGGTTCGGTGGAGTCGTACCGAAGCACCATGTTGGTCGTAGAATTGACAGTCGGCTTGCAGGTCTCGAAATAGTCCTTAGTCGGCAGGGGCGCCTGGTATGGGGACTGAGGTTGAGATGGCACTGTGACTTTTGCTGACTTTCCCATGTTCATCAGGGAAGCATTGTTATTGAGGTGTTCCTCCTCGGTCGCGGAGGAGGAAGGCTTCTGAGCGCCTGAATGCAGAGCTCGGAATGTCGCCTCCAAAGTAGAAGGCTTGTACTGTCTCTGACCTGGTGGTCCAGCGGTCAAAGGCTGAGGCGCTCCGGGACCACTGGAGAGAACACTGGATCTGGTAGCGTTGCTCGAATGATCATGCTTGGAGATCCATCCAGAAGTAGCGGGACCATCTCGGTCTGGGTTCGCAGAAGTTGATCTGGCTCCAGTTCCCTCCATCCTTTGAACACCCTTCTGGGAGACATTGGAGGTCAAAGAGCGGGAGCTCTCGGCAGCGGCCTTGATGGTCTCTCGTGCGCGATCGAGAGCCTTCTGAGCCAGCTTCTGGGACGGATTTGGGTAGGATGCCAGGTTGGTGATTGTTCTGACAGGCAGCACACTCATACGGGTCAGCTCCTCCTCATCCTTCTCATCGTCTGTGAGACGCATGTCGTCGAGAAGGCGACCGTTGCTGTTGAGGCTGTTCGTGTTCTCCAGCGACAGCGCACTATTGAGCGACAGAGTGGAAGAGGACTCGGAAAGGGTCCGTCCTGAGAGCGACGGGCACATGAGAGGCTCAATGGCACGATCACTGTTCTGTTGCAGGGGAGTGTAGTGCTTCAGGCTGGAAGCCGTGGTGGGAGGAGAGCGGCTTGGTTTGTAAGGGAAGCTGGCCAGAACAGACTTGTTGAAAAGGGCCAGTTCCGCCTGAGACGGGGGAGCCCACCTCGAGGTACGACCTCTCCGGGAGGGTGGCTGAAGGGGAGTGGCGGTTGGGTTGTAGACGGTGCCAGCAGTGGTGTAGACGGTTTGCTGTGTTGCCTTGCCCTTGGGAGGGATGGTCGTAGTGCTGGAGGTAGACATGGGTGTTGTCATGTTCTGTTCTCAGGAACTGCCCGTTCCTGCCTTTAGTTAGGTGAGTTTTCTGGTGTTTCTAGGGCCATTGCAACTTACACGCCTGCTGTGACAGAGATTGGAAAGTTGGCATGAAAGACAGGACAGGTGTGTGGAAAGAATCACTGAGAAGATGGACTCGAAGGGAGCGACAGTGTTCGTTGAGGTGGACTGGATGATGTTAGATGGGGGCCATTGCAGAAATGGAGGACAGGAAAGAAGGAACAAGGCCGGCAGCAGAGAGGCAACGGGAGGAGGAGCAAAGCTTGACAATATCTGACTGACTGGCTGATTGACTGCCTGATTGACCTTGGGTGGGTGGATGAAGAGCTTGCCTGCTCTTCTAGCCCCAATGGCAGGAGAGGGGACACGGCCCAGAAAGGTCGAAATAGAGAAATGCGGATGACAGGGAAAATCGTACCAGGAACGGCGTGTAGCTGGGTGCTTGAGTTGGGTAGAGACAAAGATGAAGCTGGAGTTCAAAGTGTTGATTGGTAGTCAGGTAGGTGCCTTCCCACTTCACCTGCTAGAACGATAAGTGGGAGCACTTTCCATTCGAGTGGCCTCCCAAAAGATGCTAACCTCCTTTGTGTCCTGCAAGGTTTAAATAGTGAAGACTTTTCTTAATTCCCTGCAGTTTGGATGAAATGAGTGAATTGGTCCCCGAGCTATCCAAGTGTGTATGCCTTGTCCTTGCCAGTCAGAGCACTTGACCACCCCTGGCTTGCAGTCAGTTCAAAATCTTCGAGTGACTTTGTGCTGCCTCTTCGAACATCACAGAACTGGGCAAACATCTCGACGCCATTGACGAAGCCCTTGTATTGGCCCCTTTCCACCATCTATTCGTGAGCATAAGTTCTCCCTCCATGGGGCTGTAGTACTTCCCCTCCACCTCCCAATTCCTCCTAATGGCTGACCTCTCCTTCCAGGCCAACCCCTTTCGTATGTTCCAACCACACCCTAGACTTCTAGGCCATCGATGACTTGCTTGCCTGCCACCTTTGGATGGGGAAGAAACCCATTCACCACCGCACACCACGTCATTCGGAGGTAACGACCGTGGGCCAGCGTAATCTTCCTGATGAGTTGAGACGAGAGAGAGCATCGAACAATGTGACGAGTGCGAGCCATTGTGCCATGAGAAGCTCATGTCATCTCGTAGCCAGAATTGCGGGTTACGTGGGATTCGTGGATAGAAAAGCAGCCTCATTGACACACACTTGCCAACAGCACAAGCCAGGCCACAATGCCAGTAGGCTTGAGTGGCCTCAACGCAAAGGGGAGGGTGCAGAGGTGGGGAAAACATGATGAGTACGGGTGTTGGAACGATAAGTTGCCCCTGAGGAGGGAAACGCATGGGAAAGTCCCCATGAGAGATTATGCCAGAGAAGTTTATTCCATGGACCATCTGAGACCGCTTCAAAGTAGGCTCGAGGAGTTGCTGACACTCAGGCAGACTTCTGCCAGTCCACGGGTTCGTACTGTTCCAGCATCAAATCACGTTTTCCATGCTTGAAAGGGTCGAGGTTGGTACGCCTCGACGGTTAGGCTCAAGCACAGGACACTACTTCGCACAAAACGTGCTTAGACTGAAGACTCATCGGCAGAAGATGCTCCTGATCTGGTGTTGTCTGGGAGAACACACCTTGCTGACCGAAGTGCAAGGACTCTAAAGGAGAGACAAGCTTCAAGCAACACAGCAAGCCATCAGTCCTAAGACAAGCATCCTAATTCAGCTCCCACGTTCTGGCCGGTCGAATCGCCGCTGCTCATGCACGTTGGTCAGAGATAGATATCTGGATGTATGAGTAAGCAGGGTCATGCAAAAGGTTGAGAGGCCGTCACCAGGGGGCAGCGTAGGACAGGGTAAGCGAAGACACTGTAGGCTACCAGAGGGGATCCGGCGCAGGGAGTGACTTCAAGTCCAGACAGGTAGGATCTTGGCATCTTGGTGACTTGGTGATCGACTCACTAATCGCTTGTCTGCCCCAGGCTCCACAACGTCGATCAGAAGTCAGCTGCGCCCCGTCGGACGGTTAATGAACGTTCTGCATCGGACATAGGGCCCGCAACAAGACTAGCGAGTAGATATGGGAACGATGGTACAGTACAGCACCTGTACGACTGAATCGTTGTAAGGTTTAGGGACGTATCTCCAACCTCCATCCTGCTACAACACAAAGGTTGGGCAATCCACGCAAGTGGTGCCATGCTGAGTTTACCCGGGACCAATGGCGGTCGAAATGGCTGCGTCCTTTCAGGGTTCCAGCTCCTGTCTGTCGCTGGCCCAACGACGGACAGCCTTGCTAGGGGGAGACACCCATCGTTCGCCGCCGACCGCTTACACCAAGCCAAGAAGCGTCCCCAGTTGGGATTGGGCCAAAAGCAGTCAGGTCCATGTACCACAGTAGCAATGTGCTTCTCGGACCTGATGACCGCGTTTCGCATCCCAGGGGCGCTGCAGTGCACGGTGAAGGGCTGGCTTCATACTGCACTTCGAGGGCGTGCCCCGAGACCTGGCTGGCAGTCATCCTGCAGATTGTTGATTGGCTTATTGCACTGCCGTGTATGGGTTCTGGATCCGAGCGGTCAAATACACTCGCATGTCAGTTCACCAGTCTCCAGTCTCCAGGCATCAAGTCTCAAGCCTCTGACATAATCCGGAGCCTCTTAAGCGCAGAAGTTCGAAAAGCAGAAGCTTTGAGGGCGAGACGTGAGCTGTTCAATCGAGCCCTGGAACTAGGAACATCCACAAGGACTTGAACACTGCGAACTCCTTCCTGTGCCCGATAGGCGGTACTGTAGATGGAGGCGACATTTGCTTGTTACATGGCGAACCTGTGCCTGCCGTTCGAGAGCACCAATGCCTGCCTATCTACTCTGTACAACACAGTGGAAGGACGGGGTACCAGAGACACGGCCCGCTGCGTGGCGCGCATGCGAAATCCTGTCGGGGAACGTGCCTTGCGGGCGGCTGGCTGACCAGCATTCAGAATAGGCGCGTGGCAAACTCGTGGTCTTGACCTGGATGGATGCATCTAGGCAGCCGTTCACTTCGACCGGGGCCGCTCGCCTTCTGGGAAGTGGCAGATACCACGCGTGAGCTTGCACAAACGCGCGCAAACTAAGGCCGTGCAAGCCTCGAGGCTCGGGTATCGAGGCTCTCAAGGCTCGGAGGACAGAGCCGAGTCCTTGAACAGCAAGCACATGGTCCCGCAGGGCCAGGTACAGGGCAGGTTTAAGGTTAGATGGCGGTTTCTCCTAGTTTCCAGGGTGCCGGCTCCCAGGAGCTAGACTGGCCCATAGGCACGCACGTTTCCCTCTGCCGGGGCGGTGGAGTAGTCTATATCTAAGTCGAATGCCCAGCGCATAAATCATCCCTCTCCACCACCTGCAGCCCACCCCGGAGATCTAGCCGTATTTCGGACTGCTGCTTCTGACTGACGAGCTGAACGACGCACCGCTGACCAGCAATACCCGCCCACAGTCGTCAAGGACGGCTTCTCGTGACTTCTCATCCCGCCCCTTGTGTACCAGAGGAGAAAGGCCAGAACTTCACAGCGTCTTGGAGCCTTTTGTTCGCGGGCAAATATGGATTACTCGCAGGCAGCCTACTTTGCGGGGGCCCAGGCGCCCTATCACCAGTTCCCCATCAACATCCCCCCTCTGACGCCCTCACATTCCAACTCGGCTGGCTCTGAGGACTTCAACACCACGTCGCCACCAGTGAGTCCCCGGCAGCAATCACTCGTCGTCTCCCATGTACTTATACATGATGCGGCTCTTTCGAACCCGCTTTTCCTGCAACTGTCCTGCTCCTCCCCCTCTGCAGCCCACATCACTAGCGCCTCATGTTGCTGCCTCACATGGCTTACACATCTCTTACTCAGGATGCCTTCGACCACTACCCCGGCGAACAGTTCCAGAATTTCGATCAATACGCAGCCCAGTTCAACCCACCGACTGCGTTCCCCGGGCCTCCTACGCCGCCGAATCAACATCCTGTCGCCCATAATGGCCAGTCTCAGACCAACCGCGGCGTAAATGGCGGCGGCGGCGCCGTGGTCAAACCATCACAGCCCGATGGGTTGTCCCTGAGCACCAAGCCGGAGCCAGTTGTGGATCTGGATTCTGGCCGCCAGGGGTCGAACTCGGCGGAGGAAGATGACCTCACACCTGCCCAGTCAAGGCGCAAGGCTCAGAATCGCGCTGCGTAAGTGCTGCCCCAACCGAACCGCCCCGCCGGAGCCGATACGTCCTATTCGCCTTGTACCACAGGCTGCCAGATGAGAATTTTCTGCTGTCTCACTTCGTTCCGGATGCTCTGCATTTGGTGTGTATGCTGACCTCTTGTGCCCCGTTGTAGTCAGCGAGCCTTTAGGGAGCGGAAAGAGCGGCATGTCAAGGACCTCGAAGCGAAGCTCGCCTCCCTGGAAGCCGCACAGCACGAGACCGCGTCTGAGAATGAGAAGCTGAAGCGCGACCTCCAGAAGATGAGCACGGAAAATGAGATCCTGAAGGCCACCTCCTCGATCAACGGCGGCCACTCGCCCGGCCACGGCGGCGCGCCGGTAACGACCGGGCCCCTGCAGTACAACCCAACCGACTTCTACACAAACGTCCTGTCCCAACACCCGAACAAAACGCCGAGCCACCGCATCGTCACCAGCGACAGCGGCGAGCGGCTCTACGCGGCCGGCGCGACATGGGACTACATTATTAGCCACGACTTGTACAAGAGAGGCCTGGTGGACATTGCGGACATCAGCAACCGGCTGAAGCACCTAGCCAAATGTGACGGGCAAGGGCCGGTCTTCGAGGAGAAAGCTATCCTCGAAGCCATCGAGGAGAGCGTCGCTTCCGGGAGCGACGAGCTGCTCTGAGGCGGTAGCACCGGGCGTGGGTCCAGTAGTTTCAGACTGCAGACTATTTGAGCCCGCAGTAATAAGACGGCGTTGGCCGCGATGCCGTCTGTTGGGGGGGGGGGACCCTTCTGACCCCTCTCTCGTGATTAAAGGTCGGCGTGCGAGGCGCTTGAATCCTTGGTGAGGAGGCTGAGGAGTAGTACACACACAGCCAGCCGGCTTCCTCAGAGCCCGGCGTGGTTGCTGTCAACTGATTGCCCAAATTCTCCAACAAGAGTATAACGCACACGGGCGAACACATCGCCAGGACGGAAAGCATGGGAAGTGGAAAACACACGGCTTTTCTTGCATACTAGACCTGGCTCGTGGACGGATCTGGAGGCAAGGGGCGGGATCATGGGAGCAGCAGGATTGGTCGACACGGGCGTGAAACTGGAGATATTCTAGTTTTTGGGAGCATTCGATTTGGGCATATTCTTTGGGGAATCTCGATTATGGGCCGGAGCAAAATTCTTTTAGCCGTAATTCCTTCTTACTCTGCTTAGGGAAGCGATGCCTTTTCTTCTTATTTCCCCCCTTCTCTCCTTCATTGTGATAGAAGGGGACCTGGATCAAATCAGCGATGACTGAACTGTCGCCTGCCTGGGATGCCTCGAGGGCAACGCCTTGTTCGTTCAATGGACCGCGTGGAAGGCGAGGTGGCCATTCGCTGTTTCGTTGAAATAAACATGGCGTTCGTCTCGTATTAAGTGGTATCATAATTCAGAAATCCGCCCGACACAGTACATCATGTACCTCCATGTGCCTCTATCTAAGCAGAACCCAAGATCGTCCAATTACCCCTTTTCATGATCCCGACGCCACAAATCCCACCGACCATTTCCGTGCCAGGAGCCGTGAGTGCGTTACCGGCTTCCTCCCCCCAAGTTATGATATCTCATTATAAACCATAACCATTCCTTCGTTGCCGATCAGCAAGTCTCAGTCCAAAGACGCCGACCAATAACTGGCATACTCTCAAGAGCATGTCATACACGGGCTGCGGTGCAATGCACAAGATCGGTCTCGCCTACAAGTCCCACCCTCTGAAATTGCTACCTCGACTCTCTGCTCACTTCGACTTCTTCCCGTTCGCCTGGGGTTCCACATGCGGGTGTTTGATCGTCAGGCACCAGATGTCGAGGTAGTCACAGATAGTAACAATGACGTCGACGACAAAGGACCCATACACACCAATGGACACTCCCAGCATGAGGAACATATACGCCACTTGGTACACATCGTCGCCCAGCGCGCTGGGCCATCCGAGCCACGAGCGTCCGAACTCAAACTGCAGCCACGGGCCCAGCGAGTCAAAGACACCGTAGGCCAGCGGCAACACCAGGACATTGGCGTAGGGGAACTCCAGCTTCACGAGGTGCGCCGTGATCATCTGCCCGACCGAGTAGGCGTTGACAATGCCGCAGAACATGGCGAAGGGGACCAGATGGTTGTGCAGGATATTAGGCTGCAGCAGCAGGTAGGCGATGATCAGGGCCCAGGTGACGAAGAAAGGCACCAGGCCGACGAGCGCGTACCGGCTGCGGTCACCGCGGGCCCGTCTTGCTTTGATGACGTTGCGGCACGACTCGACGGTATTGAGGCAGAGCACCACGAAGCCCTGGACCATGTACCAGTGCGAAAAGGACATTTTGTAGACAATATCTGGGATGTAGGGCTGTCGGGAGACGCCGATGGTCTCCAGGGCCGAGTACGTCCAGATGTGTCCACCGCCGAAGTAGCCAGTCGCCGCGTAAATGACACAGATGATCAGAATGCCCTCAACAGGTCCACTGACAATGCCCAGTGTCAAGGTCTTGGTGTGGTATTCATCCCAGGTTTGGACGTAGAAGGTAAGGAGTGCTGTGACAACCTTAGGTTAGCTAAGGTTCTATACCATCTCCTGACTAATTTTTTTTGGGGGGGAGCAAGTCGGGCTTCTTTGCACCGCGTCACCTACAGCAGAACAATATTGCTACCGTCGTCCATCCTTGGCCCATGTTCTGGCTTCCGGCGAAGAGGAGAACTTCCAAGGAGGTGTTGACCGCATCGACGCCATGGTCGAACAGCTCCCCGAGCGGGCCGCTCTGTCGTGTCCGGCGTCTGGACGAACAAGAGCAACGTCAGTAGCGATCCCCTACAGTAATACCTGGTCTTGGAGCCACCGGGAATACTCACGCCTGCGAGCCGTCAACTGCATCGAAGGTCTGGTACAGGAACAGGCCGATCGCCCAGCTGTAGTAGACCCAAGTCGGGCAGTCCTGGTCGAGGGTCGGGTTGTACCACAGCAGCGTGCAGAAGTTGACGACGACGAACATAAAGCCCGTGAGGGTGATCAGGTTGGGTGCCATCCACATGGGGAAGCACTTGATGACCACATTCGTGTAGAAGGGCTTGAGGATGTACCTCGACACGAGCGAGTGGTCGACGCCCGAGTACTTGTACTCCTTGAGGCCAGGAAGCTTGTCCTGGCGCACGTACACCATCTTGACTGTTTCTGAGGCGCTGCACGGCTCTTCGAGTGCTTGCCCTTATGGGTGGTGTTAGGGCCGGGGATCTTTGACAACAGAACGCTGGTCCTGCCTTTGGAATCGTTGTGTCGCAGGAAAATGGAAAATTCTCCCTGGAAGGTCCGATGCTGTATGTGGGTGGATTCCCTGCTGCTGCGCTGGCGCGTGGAGTCGCGGTTTTCTGTCGCTTGCTCCAAATTCACTTCTGACGGGCGCGCGACGTCATGCGCTTAGACCAGCCTGGGCCCTGTTCTATGCATGTCCAGGTCCGCCGGTTTCGGTGTGACCTGGGAGCGGACATGGGAATCTTGGAGGCAGTGTGCGATTCTTTGTTCCTCGAGCTCGAGTTACGTTCTTGGAAGAATAGCCTGGCATTTATGACTTTTGCATAGCGAGCACTTGTTGCCCTACGGAGATGCATCTTCACTGTCGGCGTCTTGGTCTCAAGGGCTCTCAGCTTCCAGTCAGCAGCAGGCTAGAATGCTTCGGCAAGGTACCGAACAGATTCAACTGTTACATGACACACTGTAGAGGACAGTCCCGGGAAAGAGAGCAAATGAGCAACTGGAGCCAGGTTTGAGCCACGCGGCGGAGCATCGATCCCCTTCTCTATAGTAGACAGTCAAACATGCTTGGAGTCGAGAAAACTTGTGCCGCCAATGTATTCAATCACCGGTTTCTCATGCGCTTGCATCAATCGTCGACCTCCTGGTCGTCGTCTTTACCGCGATCCCATTCCCGCTTCTCCCCCGCTTTGGTCCATTGCACGTCTTCAATGCTCTTCTCGTCGCCCTTCTCCCACTTCTTGATCTGGTCCTCGTTAAAGCCAGCTTCGCGTAACCTATCCGCACCCTGCTGCCTGTAACGGGCCCTATCCCTTAGGGCTTCCAGGGCGTCGTCCCAGTCATCGCGGCCGTCCTCATCTTCCATCTGCACGTCGGACTTCGGGTCATAGTCGGAGGAGAATCTGCTGTCCATGCCCGAGACTCCGCGTAGCGCCCCGCGGCCTCGAGGCATCTTCGGGGGAGGTGCTGGGCCGATCAGGTCCTCGAGTGGGTCTGAGTCTGCATCCTCATCCTCGTTCTTTGCACGCCGCGACGATTTGTCTACTCGCTCCGTAGTGTCATCTGATCGGTTGGACGTTCCGTGCGTGCTCCTTTCCTTTTCTTTGCCCCTCAGCGGCGATCGCTGGCGATGTTTCCTCGAGCTGCTCTTGGGAGATCGAGACCGATGCCTCCTCTTTCGATCGTCCGCTGCCCGGTCCTCATCGCCAGAAGACGTATTCGCCCGCCTGGACCGGTCCTTCCCATCGTCGTCATGGCCTCTACGCGCATTGTACCTCTCCAGCGACCTCCTCCGCTTGCCGTCCTTGTCGCGCGCTCGTCTTCGAGCGGCCGCCGTGTCGGCAAGTCGTCGCGCATCCTCTGCGGCCCGAGCCTTTTGTAGATCTGTGGTTTCTTCCTCGGTCGCTGCGGTACGCTTCCTCTTCTGGGCCGGCTGCCCCTGTAGCAGGGCTGCGATGTTTCCCAGCTGACGGCCACGGATCTCGTTGGCACTGGGTTTGTACCTTCGGCGCTTCTCTTCTTCTGTGTCGGCAAGCTCTTTCAAGCGCGCTTGCGAGTCGGCGAGTTCCTTCGCCGTGAGCGTCTTGTTGTGATGTTCGGTGCCCTTGATGATGTTCCGCAGAAATCGGGTGTTGGGCTTCGCCTTGTTGGCTGGTCTAGAGACGATGTATCAGCGGCCGCAAGGTGAAGCTGTGAAGGTGTCGAGTCCTGCGAACCTTGAGCTGGAGGGCGATGAGGTGTAGGCTTCCATTCCCATGGTGGAGTATTTCAAGGAGCAATCCTTGGCTTCTTTTGCAAGGAGATCTGCGACATGGTCGTCGGTAAGCAGGTCGTCGTTTCCCATGTTGAGGAGAGAGAGATGAAGATTCCAATTTTATACAGAGAAGCATGCAGCAGTCTCGAGTTGCGAGACATAAAGTTAGTAAGACTAGAGACAATGGCGTGGGTTGCCGACATCGTGCAGTACAGGCTAATCTGGTCAATGTGCGCTAAGCCTGTTTGGGAAATGTAAATAAACTCGGCGCGCCTTGAAGGTCCCCCGAAGCCTCACTCATCACATATGTGCATGGTAGCAGCAGCAGCATAACAACAGCCAGTTTGCAGTGAGAGAGTTCTGGACCAATATAGACTGCTATGAAAATTGACAACGACCACCCTTCGAACTCTTCGAAATAATCGCGCTCTCTGTCACAACATAAAGGACGATTCCACCTTGTCACTTCACAACCAAGTCAACCTGGCCTTGCCTAATTAACAGCCAGGCCAGCCAGCGCGAGCCAGGCAACACCCATCATGGCAGCCAAAAAGGCCGCGGAGGTCCTGCACGAACTGGAGGACCTCCAATCAATCCATGAGATTTCCATCATAAAACTCAGCGAGCCAATATCCTCGGTCTTACCACAAGCCGGCCAGGACGCCAACAGCGCCCGCACCTCAGATGTGTCCAGCTCGTCCGTGGACGCGACACCGGCCAGCCTGGAGGCCGACCTGGCGCACTACAAGGAGCTGTTTGCGAAGCTGCGATTCTCCTACGTCGAACAGGTAACCAAGGAGAAATTCATCCGCGCCATCGTCGGGGAGCCTCCCCTGATCGTCACGCCGCAGGAGAACGTCGAGCTGGAGAAACAGAACGCTGCGGCAAAGGCGCAGCTTAAGGCGCTCAAGATGGAGGTCGCCGACACGGTCGAGGAGCTGGAGAGCAAGGGACGGGAGCTGAGCAGGAAGTACGAGGCCGTGCAGATGGAGACGGCCACGCTGCGGGAGATGCCTGACAGGATCGCCGGGCTGGAGGAGAGGATTGCGGAGCTGCGGGAGCAGCTACAGCCTGGCGAGAACCCGAGCCTCAACCTGCCATTGGCCAAGACGCTGGAGCTGGTCGCAGAGAAGAAGCTGCAGAGGCACGAGCTGGAGAGGCAGCTGGAGCAGCTTCGTGCGCAGGTCCCGCGCAAGAGGAAAGAGATGGAGCGACTACAGACTGAGCTGCAGCCCTTGGAAGTCAAGAGGCAGAACAGCCTGGCGGCGGCGAAGGAGGCGCGGAGAAGGAAGGAGCAGGCGCTAGGTGGTGTCGAGGACGACCTGGAGGAGAGGGGTAGGTGGTGGAGGGCTTCTGAGGCGGCGCTGAAGCAGATGCTGGAGATTGAAAGCTGAGTGTGCCTCGGCCGGGAGGTTTCTGATGTTAATGTCTGGCGTATTGGTGTTTGGGGTTCACGATTGGGAGCTATACCACGACACGCGAGCAAGGTGTTGAAACCAGGAAGACGCCATACGAGGGCCAAAGCACACTGCGGAGGCGTTGATACATCCATTTTCCTCTGTAGTGCAACATAAGGGCCGGGCTACCAGTCTGTTTACTAAGGGGCCGGCCCATCTAGATATTGAAGCTGGCTATGATAAGTGCTCCTGGACCATCTAGTGTTTTCGTGCCAATTTTCAACGAGAGTCTCACAGTAAAGCCATGTGCCACAGGGAGTAGACAGAGCCAGGCAAGGGCACAAGCTGTTTAATCGTAATTTTTCACGCCAACTTTGTAAGGTGCTCGTCCTCTTTGTCAGTGGCATCGCACAGGAATAGAATGTGCCGGATTTCAAGAATCTCAAAATATATCGGGGATGTTTCAGAAGTGACCGCTCCAAGTGTCGAGTAAAGTCTCCCTGGAGTATACTCTAGACACTCAGTATTCCCCGCGACATGGGTAAAGAGCGGATGCTTCCACTGGGCCATAAAAAGGCCTCCGAGGATGCCGAAGCCTGACCATCAGGGCATTCCCTCATGGAAAGGGCTCGTGGAAGACCGAAGTACGTAGATGTACACGCTCTCACTTGATGTAACGAGGGTACTGACCCGAGAGGTTGCGACTGCGTTCGGCCTCAACGTACTAGTCGCATCCAGCGCCCCCCTGAGCTTGACACTGAGAAGGTACATTGCTGAGCAAAGGGCTCATTCGTGTGGTCTTCACCCGTGCACTGATGGGGAGAGTGCAGTCATTCGACACCAGAAAAAGAGGGCTTAGCCAGGGGAGGCTCAGGCTGAGAGAGGGAAAGGATACTGAGGCCAAAGACCGCTGCCTAGATTTCCATGCGACGACAGCGCCCGGACTGAATCATCAAGGGACTAGACTGTCGGGCCGGCCAGTCCTGGATTTCACGATGACGAAGACGGGCTGCGAACTCATGACATAATGCTCCTAGTGTGGAGAACAGAAGGTGGTCAGTATGTGTTGGTACTGTGCACAATGAAGACTAGACGATGCTTTTACATGGTAATCTGAAGCCATCGTCGTCCCGCAGCCGAGACGGCGCGATGGATGCCGGATATCAGTGGGCGGCGCTGGGTGTGCCTCCGGAGATGTTGCCCCCCTGCCACCCCCTGCTTCATGCAAGCAAGCCATTTTTCTCTTCAAAACCTTTCGAGGGGCAATTCTAGACCCGCCAAAAACTTTTTCAGTGGCGACGTCGTAGCTCCTTACCCCGCGTTTAGCGGGCCTTGACTGCAATGCGCTGTTCGAGGTCTGCCAGAAGGAAGGCTTTCACTCGACCTCGCTGCCTGCCTCGTCACAACCAGGCCGGAATCTAATGGGCAAAAAAAAGACCGCGTCTCACGCCGTCTGAGGCAATCGTATCTCGAAGGCCAGAAGAAAAATCCTTCGTCCGTTTGACTCATGCCGACAGTAGACTGTGTGGCCACTGACCACTGGCTGTGCCTTGGAAGCTGATGCATGGAGGGGTAGAATTGGGCGGCGGTAAGGCAGCTTGGGTGCCCCAAAAATGGGCCACCAAGACGACCGGATCTGAGGTTGTTGCTTAACAGCGACAAGGTAGCGTTTCAAGTGACGCTGGACACCAATACAGAACGGGGTCCACCATAGGCGCCGCTTCCCAGGAGCCTCAGAAGCCCGCACGCGGCAATTACCTACCCGCATTTTCTATCAAAACAGATCAGATCTCTCCAAGCAGTCGCCAATAACCTGTCCTGTATATGTACCTAAGGGCATGGCCTCTGCCGCTCCATCCTACTTTTTACTCTGTAGCAGCGCTTGGTTGCTTGGGGCATCATGCCTCTCACGATGCGCATATTACACCTTTATATCAGTGGGCAGCCTGTCTTGGGAAAGACGGAACAGAAGCGGAGATAGGCACAGCTGTAATACAAGCAAACACGATAGACAGGCCTGCGACCGACGGGGTGACTCAATGAGCATCTTCAATTGTTCATAGCTCAGCACGGCATGCAATGGGCATCTAAAAAAAAAAATAAAAAAAAATCCTGTGCTTGATCTCCGTGAAGACGGGCAACGGCAACAGCAACAACGGCAGGCTTCGCCGGGTTGCAGCACCGGGGTGGGTGACTGCCTTCCTGTTAGTGAAGGACGGAGCTAGTGGGGCACCAGGGCCAGACATGGTCCGTGCGCATAGGCCTCTCAAAAATCTGGCCCCAGTACAAAACTCTAGCTTCCCAGCCGCTCACAAAATCTCTTCTGACCTTCTTTTCTTCCTCGTCTGCACACCGAGATCCTGTCCGCGATCCATCCTGCAAACGTACGAACGCTTCCTCTCTTCCTTCATTGAGGCTTCTATCTGACACCTCGATAGTTTCCGAGACTAGAATCATCTCAAAAACAACAATCCCACAACCGTCAAGATGGGTAAGGACGTACGTATCACCACCAACGACCCCCTCCAGCCTGGCAACAGCAAACAGCGACACCCACCAGTTGCTGTCGCTCGCATCGCCGAGCACCTCCCGGCATGACAAGGCATCCCACTGACAGCCCTACAGGACAAGACTCACATCAACGTCGTGGTCATCGGCCACGTCGACTCTGGCAAGTCGACCACCACTGGTCACTTGATCTACCAGTGCGGCGGTATCGACAAGCGTACCATCGAGAAGTTCGAGAAGGAAGGTTAGTAAACACCACAGTCACGGAACTTGCTCCTCTGCCCTTCGCACTGCACCTCAAATCATCAGCCTGCAGCTGCTCGCGCGGCTTCGTCATATCGGGGGGCGCATTTTCACCCCTCGCTTTGGATTTTCCATTTTCAGTGCGGGTGCGGGGTGCGCTTATCAGGGGGCTTATCTCCTACTCCCAAAACCCTGCTGCATCACTCAATCCTTGTCACCACCACCACCACCAATACGCTCACATCAATCCCATCGCCCTCTTTCAACACAACTCGTGAAACGAGTCGAATATTATGCTGACCCTCTATCTACACAGCCGCCGAGCTTGGCAAGGGTTCCTTCAAGTACGCCTGGGTTCTGGACAAGCTGAAGGCCGAGCGTGAGCGTGGTATCACTATCGACATTGCCCTCTGGAAGTTCGAGACTCCCAAGTACTATGTCACCGTCATTGGTATGTTTCACAAGCCACTGTTGAACGTCGTTCGAGTTGCCGGTCCACACCAAAGGACCGAGTCGCCTCGGATGTTTCCAATTATAACACTCGCTAACACGATTACCCTCCAGACGCTCCAGGTCACCGTGACTTCATCAAGAACATGATCACTGGTACTTCCCAGGCCGACTGCGCCATTCTCATCATTGCTGCCGGTACTGGTGAGTTCGAGGCTGGTATCTCCAAGGATGGCCAGACTCGTGAGCACGCTCTGCTTGCCTACACCTTGGGTGTCAAGCAGCTCATCGTCGCCATCAACAAGATGGACACCACCAAGTGGTCCGAGGAGCGTTACCAGGAGATCATCAAGGAGACCTCCTCCTTCATCAAGAAGGTCGGCTACAACCCCAAGACCGTTGCCTTCGTCCCCATCTCTGGATTCAACGGCGACAACATGCTTAGCCCCTCCACCAACTGCCCCTGGTACAAGGGCTGGAAGAAGGAGGGCAAGGGTGGTGAGGTCACCGGCAAGACCCTCCTCGAGGCCATTGACGCCATTGAGCCCCCCAAGCGTCCCACCGACAAGCCCCTGCGTCTTCCCCTCCAGGATGTCTACAAGATCGGTGGTATTGGAACGGTGCCCGTCGGCCGTATCGAGACTGGTATCATCAAGCCCGGTATGGTCGTCACCTTCGCCCCCGCCAACGTCACCACTGAGGTCAAGTCCGTGGAGATGCACCACGAGCAGCTTGCCGAGGGTGTCCCTGGTGACAACGTTGGTTTCAACGTGAAGAACGTTTCCGTCAAGGAGATCCGTCGTGGCAACGTCGCCGGTGACTCCAAGAACGACCCCCCTCTGGGTGCCGCTTCTTTCACCGCCCAGGTCATCGTCCTCAACCACCCTGGTCAGGTCGGTGCCGGTTACGCACCCGTCCTCGATTGCCACACTGCCCACATCGCCTGCAAGTTCTCTGAGATCCTCGAGAAGATTGACCGTCGTACCGGCAAGTCCGTTGAGGCCAACCCCAAGTTCATCAAGTCTGGTGACGCCGCTATCGTCAAGATGGTTCCCTCCAAGCCCATGTGTGTTGAGGCTTTCACCGACTACCCTCCCCTGGGTCGTTTCGCCGTCCGTGACATGCGTCAAACCGTCGCTGTCGGTGTCATCAAGGCCGTCGAGAAGCAGGCCGCCGGTTCCGGCAAGGTCACCAAGTCCGCTGCTAAGGCTGGCAAGAAATAAACTGCCCCCGGTTCTGGCATTCTCTTGAAGAGCCTGAGGTCACACGGGCTCATCAACACACCTCACCTACCCACACCTCAAAAAGCGTCGCTCCGGATTTGGTAGCTGCCACGAGCTCCTTGCAGGCTCTACGCAGCTGATCACATGGACATGACAGGAGATGGTCAGGCGATTTCTGCGAGTAAAACCATCTCATGCCTTGGGTCGAGATAGAGTCTTAGACGTGATTTAGGGTCGCAGTAATCAGGAATTCCCTTGAGTACAAACATGATGTTCCCGATGCTTGTGATATGTTGTGCCTATCATTGCTGCTAGTAGATACTGTCCCTTGCTCTATGATGTGTAGGAAATGCATCTTGCTGCCGCCAGCAACCACACGTAGCGTCTTTTGTCCTTCCTTTGGAAGTCAAGCGTGCGGTATTGCTTCGCCTCCCCCATTGTGGCCTAATTTGGTGAAGCCCTATAACCCTCCACCGACTCCTGCTAATTGTCCGTCTGTCTTTGAACTCGGATCATCCTTGTTCTCAAGTTTCGGCGCTGTCAGGCAGTCCGAGCAATCTGCGTGAGCATGTGTCACCTGGGCTGCTCGTCAACCTGTGAAAGTATACATAAAGCAAACAGCTGAAAGGGGATTTGGGCTTCATTTTTACCGCCTAGCCTACGAGGGTCTACATGCACCACCACAGTCCGCGGTAACAGCCACACTTTCTTTCCTTTACCCATCTCCGGCCCAGCCCGGCCACCTAGCGCACCCACGAGACGGTCGTCCTGACCTGCTCCTCGCCGCCGGCCCTCTGCACGAGGTGTCCCGCCTGGCCCGTGGCAAGCTGATAGATGGACCGCAGGAAAAAGGTGGCGTTTATGGCCTCCTTGCTCCTGCGCAGGTCGACGTCGTAGCCCGGCACGGCCTCGAGGCTCAGCTCGGCGCGCCGCCCGCCGCCCGCGCCCGCCTCGATGCTCGTGTACACGAGTTTCCACCCGTCGTACGTCGTCTCCACGGCGTGGTGCCACTCAAGCCCCGCGAACACGTACGACGCCCTCCGAATCTCGTTGCCCTCGGGCGTGTGCGGGAGGTGCTGGGGCGGCCGCGCTTTCGCCGCCGCCGCCTTCTTTTTCCCCGCCCTCGCGGTCGTGTTCGCCGCGGCGAAGCTGGGCAGTGGTGGCGCTAGGAGCCACCTCGGCAGCCCGAGATTGTGCAGCCGCGGGGGCGTCACGAGCTTGCCCTGGGAAATCTCGAGTCGTGAGTTGTTGAGGAACTCGCGCAGCGGCTCCATGCCCTCCGTGGAGTCGATGGTGGCCGAGGGGAGCTCGGCGTACTCGTGCTGCGTCGTGCGGACGTCGACGTGCTCGGCGGGGAGGAGGATGTCGGAGATGCTGGTCCTGTTTATGGCGCGGAGGGAGTGAATTGCTGTGACCTTGTTGTTATCACCACTGAGGCGTAGCTCGAGAGGCGGTGCTCTCTTGGTGTGGATGGGGGACCCGGCGTCGTCGGGGACGGGACGAAGCGCATGAGGATGGTGGATGCTCTGTCCTTGGCCCCGTCGTAAGGTGTCCATCCGGGCAGGTCCAGTTCAGCCACCGGGGGAATGAAGGGGACAAACGTCCTCGGCCAACTGGCAAGATTGGTTGAGATGTTGGGGCGAGCGATGTTTTCAGTCAGCTTGGGTTCATTAAGGTGTAAAACATGCCCGAATGCTGCGTTGGTCGTGGTTTTGAATGGTCGCCATCCAGAGGGAGTGGCATCGGTAGCTTCTGGCTCTTGCGCTGAGGTCTGTTCTTTGGGCTGTTCCTCTTCCAGTCGAGGAAGTCCTATTGGGCTCACAGTTTGGTAGAAGTTGTCCAATTTGCTCTGATATGTCGAGGTTGGCAAAGCAAGATCTTCTTCTGTAGGCTCAAGCTTGAATTGGAGGGCGTCAGTCGTCAACGGCCACGACTTAGCTGTGCGAGGTTGCTTTGATGTGAGCGGCAGACAAAGCCGGGCCCATTCTTTACGCCGGTCCGTCCATGACAACTTCTCCTTGTTGCTGTGGTCCTCGAGAAGCCTGCCATTGCCCTCAACATCGGGGTAGACCGTGAGGTTGTTCGATATTCTGGAAGATGTACGGGCGGTCAAAAGTAGGCGATAAGTCATGTCTGCTATATTCTCGAGCGTCAATTGTGACTCTTTGTCCCAGAAATCGAGCCACGTAACATGAATCTGGATTTCAACGTCAGCGTGTGGGTCAACCGGAATGTGAAATGAGGGCTTATAGCTTCGCCTACCGCTTCTCTATCCGGGCCGAATTGGACGACTGAGTTTGTGATTCTCCCAAGCTCTTCGAGAATTCCAGCATCTAGGCGTTGCATGGGAACCTGGTCCAGTTTGAAAGTCTTCGTCTTGATCTTCTGCAGCGTCTCACCAAGCGCATGCACACAGGTCTCAGCAACGGGTTTGGGAGCTGTTATGCGAATGAGGTTGCTGGAACGTCGAACTTCGATCTGCTGCCCCTCCTTCAGGAAACGCCACGATATCCGCTGCAGCGGCTTTTGTGAGCCGACTGGAAGATTAATTGTCAGCTATGCAACAGGAGGCTTGTGTTGAAGGTGCTGTACTCACGAGTGAGGAGTTTAAACTCCAGATCGCGCACTCGGATATCAACGCGGCCATTACCGTCCAGAAGCTCCTGCATCGATATATCCCAACATTCCCGCATGAGCTGGACGACTAGTCTCTGCTTCGGCGGCATCTTTTTCATTATGTATCCTGCCAAGGGATACTGTGCCTCTTCCACGGCACCGTCCACGTAAGGAGTCCAATGTGCCTGCTCGGTCAACCAGCCATACTCCCGACGCTTGGGGAGTACGTCCTCTGGTATAGTTGGTTCTTCGCTGGGCGTCTCGTTCTCGTCAAAGACCTCATCCTTGATCCTCTCCAAAATTGACTGTTCACGGTGCCACACCACATATTTCTCGAGCTGAAGAATCGTGAAACCATCCATCAGGGTGCTGAACAGAGACTTGAACTCCCGCGCAGACATAATCTGACGCTCCGGTTTCAATCCATGGATGTTTTTCACGACGTCGTCCAGACTGAGAACATCCTGTTCGTCCAGGAACTCTTCGATCTTCAAGCCACTATCCGTGTTTTCCTCTGAACTGGCTTCGACTGGAGCGGCCCTTCTTGCCCATTGGCGACCATCCCTCAGAACAATGACTTCAGCTGCTTTACCAAAAGAAAGAACACCAAGTTTCGAGGCATCTTCTACTAGCACCATGTCCCCCCTTCTATGTTCTTTCTTTCGACCTCTGGTGATGCCCATGGCTTGACCGATTTTCCGGATCTGGAATGCGTCCGAGTCTTTCTCTGCTCGCTTCGTATCTCCCTGGTCCCGGACTCGGGCACTATCCTCTCGAATGGCAGGTTCCGTGCCCACCGTGTCATTCTTCTCATTGTTCATCTCGGGGTCGGTATGGATGTTGACTTCCATCTCCTCTGTACGATACTCTCTAGCGGATTTGTCGGGCTCGTGATTAGCTGTAGCGGCTTGGTGATGTGCTTCCTGGCGCTGAGGAAGGCTCCAATCGTCGTCAAATGTGGGGTCCAATGTACCAGAGGCTTTACGTCTGGAGAAGTCTGCGGCAGCCTGCGAAAGGATGTTTTCTAACTTCTGATCGTCCTCATTTCCCGCCAACTTCTCGGGTTCAGCTTTTGCGGAACATGAGCGTTTCGCTACGTGGCGATTTAGTAGCCTCCTCTTCTCGAAGACCTCCTGGCATTTTGAACATTTAAGGTCTCTTGGTGGCTTGAGCGACGCACAGCCCTGGTTGGTGTGGTCATCGAGGCTTGCCTTGTTGAGGAAGACCTTTCGACAATGAGGGCATGTACGATTTGCCGGTGCTCCAGCTTCCTTGGAGAGATCTTGCTTCTGGTGCTGGCCAACTGACAAGCCCTCCTCTTGATTTGTTTTCCATTCGTCTTTCCTGTCTTCTGCTCTGTAGTCGGGCTCGCTCGTGGCCGCACTTTCTAGGAGGTCGACATCGGCTCGTGGTTCCTGATCCCGCTCTATGTTTCCCTTGATATCATGAAGAACATGGTTATTGGCCACGCTCCCATCAGGGAGATCGAGAGCATGCTTAGGAGCATCCCGTGGTGAATCGGGCAAAGTCTGCTCAGCGACAACGGAAGGGGAGGTCTCGTCGAGTTGAGGCTGGCTCAGTCCTCCAAGCCTCTGTTCCGTCTCGCGACCATGCTCCTTTATTTCGGCTACAGGCGTGAAGTCGCCGGGTCGAGAAGCCGTGGCGCTGGAGGCATATTGTCGTCGTCTACCGCGGACTTGCGCTGCGGCAAGCAGTGGAGGTGCTCGACGGGCGACGGCGCGAACTTGGCATCTGAGACAGATCGAGCCACCCAATGCCGAAGGAGAGAACATGAAGACAAATTGAGAACCGCGAAAGGTCTCGGTCGAGACAGAGAGGAATTGGGTGGCGCGCAGGGTTGGGGAAAAGCTTGTGGATAAGATCCCAAAAATTTATTGATGCTCTCGACTTACACGATCTCCGGCAGGCATCTCCCCACTGCACCCAGGTACTGCGGCGCTGCAAAGCACCCAAGCAGATAGGTAAGTCCTCAGGTACCTAATGCTGCCGCGGCCGGCGAACGCGTTAATGTCTTAATTCATGCACAGTCGCGTCACCCTCACAACGAAGCTGTGTACGGTCCATTCATATCTGTTTTTTAGTATTTCCTCTCAATTCACCCTTCCTCCTCGTCTCTTGTCACGCTTCTTTGCGGCAGGTTGAGCCCAACTGCCGCTCCACTGCCGTCATGCCCTCTACATCGAGAAGGTCGCGCCCAGTGAGTTGTAACCTTGTCGGCGCGTCCGCGGTGACGTTCCAGTTAACACAATTTCAAGGTCGCCGACGACGCAGACGAGGAACAGAGGCCAAGACATCGCCAACGCCGGGACGAGCCAGAAAGCGATGTCGATGACGAGGAAGCCGAGGATGCTGAGGAAGCAGAAGACGGCGACCAGGCAGAGTCAGCAGACGGCCAGTTGATCAAGAAGCTCGTCAGATACGCCATGGCCTGCGATTTTTCTCGAGCACCAATACGGAGGGACGGCATCAAAGAAAAAGGTGTGTTTGCCGGGACTGAACTTCCCCATATATGCGACAAGGGTGTGTTTTGACAGCAAAAACAGTTCTGGGTGACCATAGTCGAGCATTTAGGAGAGTGTTCGAGGGAGCGCAGAAAACCCTTCGCGCCGTGTTCGGCATGGAAATGGTCGAGCTTCCCGTAAGGGATAAGCTGACCAAAGAGGAGAAGCGTAAAGGTATTTACGAGAACAGTTCTTCCACATGCGTGCAATTCTGACGAAAGCACTCCCGCAGCCGCGAAATCCAAGTCCAAGTCGTCGAACTCCAACAGCTACGTCCTCGTCTCTGTACTTCCCGACACCTACAAGACCCCAAAGATTATCGCACCCTCGAAATTCCTCAGTGCGGAGGATGAGGCCGCCTACGTGGCCTTCTATACGGTACTCATCTCGCTGATTCGCATCAACGGCGGCGAGATGAGTGACTCCAGGCTGAAGCGCTACCTGCGGCGCCTGAATGCGGAAACCAACTCCTTCCACAGCACGAAGACAGAAGAGACACTGGCAAGGTTGCAGAGGCAAGGCTATCTGATCAAGAATATCGATAAGGAGGCCCGGCAGCACGGCGACGAGCAGGAGGCTACGACATGGTACGTTGGTCCGAGGGGCAAGGTCGAAGTGGGCGATGAAGTCGTAGCCGGGGTGGTGAGGGAAGTCTGGGGCGAGCAAGACGACGACGAGCTCGAGGCGAAATTGCAAAATAGCTTGCAAATCCAAGAGAGGAAGCCGCCTGCACAGAATGGCGATGCTGTGAACGGCGATGCCTCGGATGCTGGCAATGAGAACGGTGTTATAGACAACGGCGAGGGCCCAAGTAGGAGGAGGTCAGGCCGGCGGAGGCAAGTCGAGGAAGATCAGGACGAAGAAGAGTGAAACCTGAAGCATGAAGAGAGGAGAATGAGTCTCTCGCTCATGTGCAGATCCTATTTGTAGGTCAACGTCCTCGTTGGACGAATCCTGGATGATCCATCTCCAGCTGCGAGGCCATGCCTGGAATGGCGAAATATGATACCCCCGAGACGCAGCCATTGCTATCCCGCATTATCTGTCCATCCATCTCCACGAACGTCTCCATAGGAGGTTCCATTTCCTGCGATGCCGTAGCAGCAAGCCAGTCCCTCTATCAATTTGGCGCGACGTGGTTGTGACGCCGACGCTCGTTGTCGAGTGTTTCTGTCCCGCGGCTGGGGTCTCAATCGAGTAGATGTTGTTATCGCAACAGCCCCATGTAGCTTTTCATGAGCCTCCATTGTCCGCGGCGGGCAGGGCCAATTCGTCCTCTCTGGGCGGCGGGGGCCCAACGGGCTGGACCATCTGTCGGATGAGCTGTGCCCTGACCTTTGCCATGGGCTCGTTCTGGGCGAGGGCCATGTAGGAGAGCAGCGGGGTGTGCCCGACGACGCTGGCCTTGGTGTCGCGGTGGATGTTGGTCTTCCACTCCCAGCTCGTGGTGTCAGGGTGCCCGGTGCCGATGTACTTGGCCTGGAGGCGCTCGAGCTCTTGTTGCGTGCGGAGCTTGTCAGCCTACCGAAGGTGAATTAGTCTGAGTTAGGCTTCGGATTGAGAGGATTGGCATGGTAGAGACGCACCATTTTGGCTTGTGTGTTGAAGAGGAAGAGATGGAGTCGGAATGGCTGGAGCTCGAGAGCGGAACGCGACAAGAAGGCGGCTGGTGAGGCCCTAGAAAAGTCGCGGGCGGCTGGCGCAGGGCTAAGAAACACCACCTCGGTAGTTGAATACCACACTCATACAGCATATCCAGCAGGCATTACTGCCCACCATGGGATTTTTTGGGAAACGAGAATTCAGATTCAGGACGCTTCTGCAAGCTCAAAGCGTTCATGGTATCATTTGTGGAAGTGAGGAGTGCATGTAATCGACAATGAGCGACGCAAGACCCCTTCATGACCAGAAATCGACCTCGTCCATATACCAGTCACGAACTGCAACCTGCCTAGATTGCAAGCATCATGAGGCCGGGCCTGCCGCTTTCTTCCCTGTCCTTTTCAATGTCCCGTGTCCCTGCTCTTGCCACTGAGCTCCTGTTGTACACGGCAGTGTTGATGTACAATGGCCTTCTCCGAGCCCGGAAACGCCATAGACAGACGATGTCCAACCCATCAAGTTACCAGATCCAGTCTTCAAGTGCCTCTAGCTCGTAAAGCACATGGACTGTCAGAGTGCAGCCGCCCGTGTGTGAGGCGGCTCAGTCCCAGCTGTTGAATAGATAGTATGTTAGCAGAGCTCACCGAGGAGGTAGTTGCCTGGACGCCAGAGTAACGGCGTCAACGTACCCCTGATCCTTCTGTCGCACGATGCCTCCCTTATTTCCCTTCTGTTTGCCCTGCATAACCGTCAGTCTGTTGTAGTCCGCCAGGGTGCTCCTGGGGAGCCAGCATACCGAGATACCGCCCTCGACGACCAATCGATCCAGCTCGAAGAAATGGCCGACCACCGTTTGCCGCTGCCACATGTTAGCCTCTCCGTCCTCTGCAAGACGAATGGTGGGGAGCCACTCGTTTGTGCATGTCCTCCCGAGAGGAGGCACGAGACTGGACTGCACCTTCATCATCTGCAGCTCCTTCAGGCCCTTCTGCACCAGCTCCTGTATCTTCCTCTGGTCCTCGACCGCCTTGTTCTCACGGAACGCGTCCCGTGTCCGCCGCTTCGCGTATTCTCTGAAATTATACGATGCGAACTGCTCGCTCTGTCGGAGGAGTTGGCGGTACTGGCACGAAAAGTGGTCAATATCACTGGTTTTTTTTAAATGCGAGGGGGGCGGGCGCCGCGTGTCTTGCGCCCGCTGCGACCCCGGATCGGTGCTGCAGCCTGGACCGCGAGGGACTCACCAACGACCGCACTTGCTGGGGCGAATCGCCCTTGAGCGCCGATGATAGCGACATGGCGAAGGTGGGCTAGGGAATGTGCATGGGGACAGATGGGAGGGGCGGAGGGAAGGAGATTTTCTGGGCTATTTGAAATCTAAGGCCGGCGCGGCCTATGATGCAACACTTTTTGGGCCCGAGGCCGCTCGCATTGAGAAGGGTCGGGCTCGGCCTTGCCGGACAAGTACACTGCAGTTAGGCCCCCAACCGCTGGTGCAGTATCCCGCTCTCTGACTATCAACATCCTCCGCCAACATCACTACCACGACACTGGTCCCCCTTTCCACACATTCTGGTTACTCGGGTTTAATAGTTTCGAACGAGACTTTGATTCTTTCGTCGCTTTACTGTACATGTATTTATTGGTTCACAACTGTAGCTCTTTCCTCCCTTCATGCATCAACAGGTGCTGAATCCCGATTGGAGCTGAAGACAATCTGGTCTGCCTCAACTCCTTCGGCCGAGGAGCATGCCCGAGCAGAGGGAACAGGAAAGTGTCTGCCCGTAGAAGTGTCCGAAATTCCATGGATTCCGCCTTCTTAAGCAAATGAAATCCAGCTCGGGGCGTTTCATGACCAAGAGTGCCATCTAATGAGATGGTGCTGAAACGGACGTTGATTCTTGAGCACACTTCTTCTTGGTCGGGCTCTTTCGATACATATTATCGTGTAATTATTGGGAAATTTCGTTGTATATCACAGGCACCGTGGTTATTTTCAAGCGATCGAAGAAACTCATGTCACGGCATTGACACTCAAGTAACCAGTTTCTAAACTGCTGCTCTCCAAGGTTCTGGTCTCTTGTAGCGTGCCTTCTTACTGAGGCCATTCGTCCATTGCATGAATCTGATAACACTGGCCATTATACTGAGATGTTTACTCCGATCTCAGCCATTGAAGACATCGGGTATTGTGGTTACTTACTTTCGGTCTCTGATCTTCAGGCTGTTTACACCTAGCTCTACGATTTGGGACACAGAGAACAGCGTTGCAAATGAACGGTTACTATTTCATGCCTCGTAGAAACACAACTGCTCCTACATAAACCCGCTTTTCACATAGAAAATCCAATGAGACACTCAGGTATGAATACGGTATAGACGACGCCGAGTGCCATTGTGGAGACGAGACTCTGATGAATTTAGCTTACATGAGCCCGCATCAAACCATGTTGTCTTTCTCATGAACCATGTCAACAATCACTAAGAACGATCATGAGCACATCAATATACCAAAAAAGGACAGACTGCTGAGGCTCCATGGCAAGGATCGTGACAAATGTCTGAACATCCACATCGCTCCGTTGACTGACGAAGGCTTCACACGCTGGAGAGATTCAGGTGATTTGGATGGCGAGAGACAAGGACACATAGGAGGTTTCGAGGAGAGCCAGTGTTCTAAAGGATGATTCATTTGCATGGGTATTTTACCATGTACTTCCGACCTCAGTTCCATGGGAAAAACGTTGTGCGGCACTCACGCCTTTGATGTCATAATTTCCGTTGTTCAGCTCGGCGCCGCCTGACTCACCTGTTGGTGATAGAACCAACATGTTCCCCTCCCGGAAACCCAACTCACACATGGATTTACGTGAGTTGAGTACCGGGTCACAAAGGTAAGCAGGAGCCGTCAATGTATATCGATCCCGTTCTTCTGCGCGAAGTCTTCCAACATATCATCCAGTGGCACCACGTGCAACTTGATGTCCCTCGCATGGTACCTCGACCTGTCCTCCCCGTCAAAGATTATGTCGTCAATGTCCCTGTTTACCTGAATCGATCTTCGCGTCCGGCCTGGTATGTGTACTTCTTCTCGATGGCGCCGGAAATTGGTGTCTGCGCATCGTAGGGAGCAGAAAATGGATTCGATCTTGTGAAGATGAGTGCATTCCCGGCACAGAAGTAACCGCTTGCTGTCCATATCCATATCGATGTCCTCGTCGGTGATCTGCGTGCAATAGTTGCCGCTTGCACATCCGTGGCTTTCTTCCATGTGGAGCTCCTGGTCCCCGTTAGCAAAGGTTGCACCCTGGCAGATGTGTGAGGCGAACACGCAAGGCTGAGGCTTCAAAGGGGTCCTGGGCAACAACGAGATAGCTCAGAAGAGATTACCCAGGGAATGTATCCAAGGTGGCAATCCAAAGACAGCATGCCCGATAGGTAACTTCAGAGCTTTGACAGCGAGTCACATCACTACTCAGTCGCTCGCCTCATGCAACCTCAATCGCCTGCAAACAAGCATAGAGATATGACAATAGAAGATTCATGAACTCACTTCGCCTCGGTCACTGTCTCTGCAAGCATGCGAGCAATAGACCGTCATCCTGGACCGGATGCCTGCATCCACCATGACCACGCATGCGTTGCACGGATAGAAGCTCCTGGTGTCCACATCTCTCCTACAGACACTGCATGGGGGCTGGTCGTAAACTTCGTTCGAAGGCTGTGGCTTCTGTGTGTCCTTGCGACCGCTCGCCTTTTTGGACTTCTGCAGCTCATGCGCGGCCCTGGCCCTGCGGAGCTCGTCTATCCGCTTGCGGTTCCTCTCCTTCTGGTCCGATGCACCTATGCTCGAGCGGCGGTCCAAGGAAATCTTGTTCACGATCTCGTCCATGGTTGCGCCGGTCTGGAGGCGGTCGGCATATAGTTGTGTCTTTTCGGAGATGTGCTCGTCCGATGAGACATGAAAGAACGTCTCCTTGTAGAGCTGGTACTTTTCCTCTGGCGACTTGGCCACGATCAGACGGTCCAGACTCTTTTTGGCATCCTCCCTGCTGCTGGCACCGTCAAGGGCGGCTTGCATAGACTCCAAGAGGTCCTCGAAGGGTGCGCCACTTCCGACTTTCGCCAGTACATCTTTATGATCCGTCAACTCCTCCAGGCTTTTTCGAATGCTGGGCGAGGATTTGATCTGCTCCTGATACCATTTGCGCCGCTCCGTGTCGATGCGCGCATCGATCTCCTCCAAGCCGACCGCATGATCCAGCGCCGCAGCGAACAAGGCCTTGAGCTCGCCTAGAAAGACCTCACGCCCGGAGAACCACTCTTGGTTCTTGGTGTCCAGGAACCAGCTGCGCATGCAATTGATGACCTGTGGGTAGCAGTCGCGACACTCGAGGACATGCTTGTGCTGTGAATGGTCCTGGGCGCATCTTGCTTTTATCTTGGCAACCTCCTCGGCGCATTCTCCACGGCGGGCTCGAAATGCGGCGAGGTCATCCCAGGCTTCGCCCATGATGATAAATATGGACCCACACTGTCCAGCCTAGTATTGCTCAAATGAACCAGCCCAAAAGGAGCACTCAAGTGCAGGACAGAAACTGCCCCAGGCGCGGCAATCAGTGATGAGCGAGTCGCCAGTGACACACACTAGGATTATGAGCTGTCAAGGGCGGGCAGAGTGGTCTAACCGAGTGCAGAAATGGGTATCAGACAAGAAAAAAAGAGCTAGACTGGGCGATCACTTGATGAGCAGGAACAGGATGAGGAGCAGCAGTCGCGACCAGCAAGGTTGATGATATTCAAGGGCATGGTCTACAGCGTAGCTGCTCATAGGCCCAGAGCCACGGTCGAGATCGAATTGTCAGGGTTTAACCCTCCGCCCATAAACAGGTCGCCGGCCAAACCTAAAGTGGCCAGGCGCGGTGGCTAGCTGTGTGCCTCTACGTGCGTGCTCCGAGCCTTGGAACCAGCCTCGACCGGCGCGTCACCCAATGCCCGCATCGCGACGACGGACCTTTGCGCGACTCGAATCACATGCCACATGACCAATATCAGGATTATCACCACGGCTTACTCATCGGCACCTTGATCGCTTGATGTTGACAGCTACCATAGGCTAATTCCATCTCATCTGATCCTCAATCAGCACTCGAGGGCCCTCGAACGAAACGTTGCTCGCCGCGACGGCGCCGTCTACACTCCAGCGCGCAGCCTCATCGGCCATTCTTGCCCAAGACTTGCTACTATGGCTCCTGGTGTCAGTCACAAGACTTTTTCAATCCCTCTAAGATACCCTATCAAGGTGCTGACAGCAATGGCGCAACTCGCAGTACAGGACAACGGCCACTAATACAAGGCGCGGAAACCGAAGCGGACTCGCGGAACACGATGACTTTGAAGGTACGAAAATGCGCTTGTCTCTGTTCATTCAAATCCGACAAAGTCGAATCTTCATGCTTCCTTGATTCTTGCATGAACTATGGAAGGCTCTCGGACAATAGAAGATTGGGAAGATCACCAAGTCTACCTCCACAATCGCCTTGTGGCTGCTGCTAAGGAGGCCTACCGGCCTCACCACGCGAAGGCCACTACTAACCATCCGGAGTCCGCGTATGGCACACCCGAATCAGAAGCTGACGAGCAATCACAAGGTCTCCCGGTCCGGCAATGGCGCAAGCAAACGGTGACTGTTGCACCCCCTCCCGAACGTGAAGAAAACAAGAAGCAGGACCGCTGGGCTGTGGAACTACCACATGGAATGCCCAGGGACACCCCTCTGCTTACCCCACACAACCAAGAACTGCTGAGGCTGGCGCGTTCTGGAAAGCTGTACAAGAAGCGGCCGCTTCCCGAGGAAGACGACGCCGACGCCGACGGTATACCTGGTGAAAAACAGGACAAGAAGGAGTCGGCGGCGAGCGAGGGCTACGGCTTCAAGGTCAGGAAATGGGTACGGCTGGAGCGCAGCGCCGAGGATGCAGGGATCAACCACCTGGCTCCAAGACAAAAAAATACTATCACGAGGCCGTCAAAACAGCTCGGAACGCAGGTCACAGGACCTATGGTCACGAAAGCTACAGTCAAGAGGTTAGATGCTGCTGGGAACCCATATACGCAAGAAGTCATTGTCCCCGACGGACAGCGCGTCGACGGGGAGATTATTTCTACCAGTGTTGTTCCCGCACCCGAGGCGACTGGCGAGGCAGTATTGCCCATAGCGACGCCTGCGAGAAGAAAGCCACCTATTCCTCAGAAGAAGAAAGGCCGTGGCCGCGGCCGTGCTGGGAGAGGCCGGGGAAGGCTCCCACTGGCTACCCCCACTCGACCTGTTCCCCAGCAGGATGGGTCCACCGAAGTCAAGCCCGAGAACGTCGGTCCAGATGTGAGTATGCGCCTCTTGGAGTCGGGTCGCGTGTGCCTAACAACTTCACAGGGTGTTAAGATCGAGTCTGAGGATGCCTCTCGGGCCGCTGGTGATATCGAAATGAACGAGTCTAGTGCGCTTGATGACGACGATGGAGACGAGGGATCTGGCGATGACGACGAGGGCGATGGCGATGAGAGCGGGACACCTGCCGCCGAGGGGGAAGATCAGGAGATGAAAGACGCCCCTGCATACCCGCCTCCGGAGCCTGTTGCAGATGCTCCGCCTGCTACAGATGCTCCGCCTGCTACAACGTCGGCAGAGGTGGCACAGCCGGGTGCGAACCTCGCGCCGCCTCAGTTGGTCACCGACCCTGTGCAGCTCGAGGGAAGCCCGCTGAAGAATGTGACGCTTCGGTCGCCGACGGATCCATCACCACACCTGTCGCCAATAGCAACAACAACCGCCGCCGCCGCCGCCGCGAGCGCAGACGCTGGTCTCTCTGAGGTGCCGGGTGAGTCCACCCTCGGCCTTCAGCCATCCATGCCAGAGCCGCAGCAACCAATTCTGCTCTCGCAGGCGTTCTTTAGAGAAAATCCCGTTGACAATGATCCTGCAGAACCGCCCGCTCCAGTACCCGCAGAGGCAATTCCTACAGAGGATTCCCGAATGGATGGTGTCACCTCCACCAATACCGAATCCCAGGACACAGGCCCAGAGCCGATCCCAAATCAAACAATTGTCCCATCCGATGTATTTCAGTCAGTACCCGTCGTCGAGTCAGCACCTGTCATCGAGCCGCCGCCCGTCGTCGAACCATTACCTGCTGCCGATCCGCCACCAGCGCTCGAGGGGCCACCCGCCGTCGAGACACCGCCTGTATTTGAGCCTCCGCCTGTATTTGAGCCTCCGCCTGTAGTTGAGCCATCGCCTGCAGTCGAGCCGCCACCGGTAGTTGAGCCACCATCGCAGGTCGAAGAACTTCCAGCCGCGCCGCCAAAGGAAGACGTCCCGCTACCATCCAACGAGGAACCCATGCCCGGCCAGGCGATTGGACCTTTAGAGCAGCAAGTTCCTGCTGTCACTGAGCCGGCGCCACCATCCCCGGTCATAGCACCTGCGCCTGCCCCCTCGCCCTCGCCACCGCCAGTCGCACAAGTCCCGGTAGAGGAGGTAATGGGTGATGTAGGCACTGGTGACGTCAAGGATGAGTCCGGAAGTGCAGAGGGAATACCTGCTGAGGGCGTACATGCTGAGGGCGACATTGCCGCAGATGTAGTTGTCGAGGACGCGGGAACCGAAGCCTTAGGAGCCGAGAATGCCGGTGACGAGAATGCTGCCGAGACTGCCGGTGCCGAAGATGCTGGCGCCAAGGACCTACTTGGAGCCGACGATGTGCGAGCCGCTGAAGGGCCAACTCCAGATGTGGGAACCGAGGACGTGGGAACTGAAGACGTGGTAACGGAGGACGGAAGCTTCGATATCCTTGGTTCATTGTCTACGAGTCTGAACCAACAAGCCGAAGACGATGCACCACCGCCGTCTCTTCCAGCAGGCCCTGCTGAAACCGTGGCATCCGAGCCAGCTCATCCCGTCCAACCCGATGAGATAGCCCAGCCATCCCAGGCCGACGAGACGGGCCTGAGTGGCCAGATTGAGGAGACTTCGCGGACGGATCACGCGGAGGAGACGGGCGAGGCTAGCAAGACCAGCGAAATCAAGGAAGGAGGTGAGGCACAAGCACAAGAATTGCCCGGGAAGCCCGAAGAGCAGATCTGAGCTGCTTCGCCGTCCCAAGACGATAACTCTAGCGATTCTACGCTCCATCACCGGATGTGGATTCAGCGACCGAGCGAGAGCGTTATACAGTACCGAAAGGTTAAGCGGATAAGTCGGTGTGGAACCGAATCGAGGGCGGTCTTGATTCGCTGGGCGAAAGGGGTCTTGAACACGGAGGGACACGACACGGGGTAAAAGTAATTTGGCAATACTGGATATGCCAATCATTGTCTTTTTTGGGGAACGATTCTTTCACGGGTCTGGGGAGACGACCATCCCTTTCTATACTACTAGATTCGCAAGAGCGCAAACAAGTCTCAAAGATCGCCCCATATCCATCGCCATCTCATGTAAAAGATCTTGGAATTCTCCTACGTTGCCAAAATGGCCCATTGCTCACCGGCCTGTGAAAGTCCGCCCCGTCTAGTCATTCACTCTACCGGGCCAGCTCTGGAAGTGAAGCAACCCCCTTCTCTCCTTCCATCCTCCTACCAACCCTCAAACCCACTCTCCTAGCCCTGCGTCCGCCTCATCCGTCTCCATTTCCAGGATATCAAAAGCTAAACACGTGAACTAAGCATACAACATCTCTATCTCCTCCCTCGTGAAGCCAAACAGGTAAAGGAGATCCAGCAGGCTCTCGCCGTTGAGTCGCGCGCCGGCCTCCATCTGCACCCTGGGCTTGGCGTTCCAGGCGACGCCGAGGCCGGCGGTGGCCATCATCTTGAGGTCGTTGGCGCCGTCACCCACAGCGACGACCTGGCTGAGGTCAATGCCCTCGTCCTTGGCGATCTGCGCCAGCAGCTCGGCCTTGCGCTCGCGCCCGACGATGACGCCCGAGACCTCGCCCGTCAGGCGGCCGGCCTCGTCGATGACAACCTCGTTGGCGTGCGCGTGGTCGATGCCCAGCTCGGAGGCGAGCCACGCCGTCAGCGGCTGGAAGCCGCCGCTCAGGACGGCGGTGCGCACGCTCAGCCTCTTGAGGGCGCGGATCAGCGGCCGCACGCCGGGGGTGATGTCCAGGGCGGAGCGCAGCTCGGCGAAGATGGACTCGGGCAGGCCGCGCAGAAGGGCGACGCGCTCGCGGAAGGCGCTCTCGAACTGCAGCTCGCCCAGCATGGCGCGGTGGGTGATGTCGGCGACGCGGGCGGCCAGGTCGGGGGGGTCGGTGATGGTGGCGGCCAGCAGGTCGATAACCTCCTGGGTGATGAGGGTGCTGTCCATGTCGAAGACGACCAGGCGCGGGTGGCGGCGCCACAGCAGGTCGCGCTGCAGGGCGACGTCGACGTTCCACTCGCGCTCGAAGCGGTAGATGAGCTCGTGCTTGCGCAGGTCGGCCAGCTCCAGGTAGCTCGGGGCCGGGGCGGGCGACAGGGTGAGCTCGACGACGAGCGGGTGCTCGCTGTTGTCGAGGCAGCGGTGGGCCGAGGTCATGTTCTCGGACCCGGGCGGCAGCGGGAAGCCCGACATGAGGTGCAGGAACGAGGTGACGCACAGCGGCGACACGTACGAGCCATAGAGGTGGTCGAGGGGCTCCGGCTCGGCGGCGGGCGGCTCGAGGGGGAAGGAGTCGGGGTCGGTGGTGGGCGCCATGTTGGCGGGGATGTCGGAGCCCTCGGGCTGGGCCGCAGCGGGCTGCTGCTTCCTGGGCGAGGCGGGCGCCTGGGGCGAGGGCACGGCATTGTTGGAGATGCGCCTGTTCTTGGTCTTGTAGAAGAGGGTGGCAACCAGCTTCTGCGAGGAGGCGCCGGGTGCGGGCGCGCAGTTGGGGTGCGACAGGTCGTGGTTCAAGCCGCTCTCGACGACCTTGGGCGGGTTGTCCGGCGAGGGGACGCCCCGGTAAGGCGCGGGTGCCTTTGGGGAAGGCGTGGATTTGACGGCGTCGACGTTGGTAGCAGCGGCAGCGGGTCCTCTGGCCTGGCCCGAGGCATCCTCGACGACGGTGTCGATGCCAAAGTTGCTCTCGGGCTTGTTGGGCGGGCGGTACTGCTGGAACTCTTGCAGGTAGGAGCTGCTCCTCTTGGAGGAGTCGAGCCGTGGCCGGACCGAGATGGGCTTGGAGGGGCTGTCGTTACTAGTCGTCATGGTGAGTGAGGGTGCAGCGTGCAGAGTAGCGGGCAGTGTGTCTGTCTGTCTCCCTGCCGGCACGCCTGGTGTTCCCTTTACACGAGCGATGCAATCGTGGGATAACCGATGTCAACAAGGTGGCAGGGCGCCTATGGGATGGGGCCTATCGATTATACGGACGGACATGTACAACAATGCAGGATGTGGATATGATGATGACACTGGGGTCTGGTGGCTCTGGAAAAAAGCCTTCTTCAGGCTCGCTCACTGACGGACAAACTGACTGGACGAATGACTGACTGGTCAGGGCCCGGGCACCGGCACCGGCTCTGACTTTTGGCTTTGGCTTTGAGTTTTGCTCTGCTCTGCTCAGGCTCAGGCTCAGGCTCGGGTGGGCGGTGGACCGTGGGCTGTGGCCTTGGAAGAGAGAGGGGCCGAGGGGTCGAGGCATGCGCTTCAGGAATTGGCTTTGCCTATTTTCCAGGATTCGGAAACATGCCGTAGCTCGGCCCGGCTGCACTGCAGCCAAAGACGTGCAGGCCGCCCCTTGCCCGAGATGGGCCCTCAGCCACGCGTGGCCCTCGCCGCGGGGAGCCGCCATTGGGAGGGAGCTTCTACTCCGACCAGCACAGGCCAGGGTTCATTGTCGATCTTCAGGAGGGCCGCAACGGCATCAGGGAAGAGTGAGCCATGTCAGCTGGGTAGGGCTGAATCGCGGACCCAGGCTTATGCAACATTAACGCTGACATTTGCTAGTGTCGTCGTCCTGTCGTAGTGCAACTCTTGTGTGCCCTCTTCTCCTGTCTTTTATCTATTTTGTACTCGCCGTATGGGCTGCCAGTTTTTGGAAAATGTTTTTCTTTTTCTTCTTCTTCTCTTCTTCTCCAGCGGTAACGCTATCGCGAACGGAAATAGAGGACCAATTTGTGGAGGCACATAGGGCGCAGCTCTCGATTTCCGTGCATGCACGTTCAACCCAAGCTGCGCAATTTGCAGGTAATATATCACAGGCACTGCGGCTTAGCCCTTGTACGGGCTGGGCCCGACCATCAGCTCCGGCTTCACGAGCGTGTCGAACTCCTCCTCTGTCAGTGCGTTGAGCTCCAGTGCGGACTGCTTGAGGGTGAGGCCCTTCTTGTGCGCATTCTTGGCGACCTTGCTGGCCATGTCGTAGCCGATCTTGGGGTTGAGGCAGGTGACAAGCATGAGGCTTTTGTGGCACAGAACGTTAGCCACTCCTCTCGTGTAAATCTTTACAATCTGTCAGGGGGCACCTGAACTTACGATTCCTTCATGATGCTGCCAATCTTCTCCTCGTTGGCCTGCAGGCCCGCAACGAGGTTCTTCTCAAACGACCGCATGCCGTCCGCCAGCAGGCGCGTGCTGTGAAGCAGGTTGCGGATGACCAGAGGCTTGTAGACGTTGAGCTCGAACTGGCCGTTCATGCCACCGATCGTGCAGGCGACATTGTTGCCCATGACCTGCGCGCAGACCATCGTGAGGGCCTCGCACTGGGTGGGGTTGACCTTTCCGGGCATGATGCTGGAGCCGGGCTCATTCTCGGGCAGGATGAGCTCTCCAAGACCGCATCGAGGGCCGCTGCCCAGGTACCTGATGTCCTGAGCAATCTTGTTCAGCGACGTGGCCAAGGTGTTGAGGGAGCCGTGCGCCTGCACGATGGCGTCGTGGGCCGCCAGAGACTCAAACTTGTTTGGCGCCGTCTCGAAGTGGGTGCCCGTCGCCTTGGACACCTCCTCGGCGATGGCCTCGGCGAAGCCCTCGAACGTGTTGATCCCGGTGCCAACAGCCGTGCCACCCTGCGCCAGCTGGCGCAGCTCCGGCAGGCTGGACTCGACCCTCTTGATGCCATAGTCGAGCTGAGCCACGTAGCCTGAGAACTCCTGGGCCAGCGTCAGGGGGGTGGCGTCCTGCAAGTGTGTCCGCCCAATCTTAATGATCTTCTTGGCCTCAAACTCGTCAACCTTCTTCTGCAGGGCTTCCCTCAGGCTCTTCAGGCTCGGGATTAACTCGCCCTCGATCTCGAGCACCGCGGCGATGTGCATGACGGTGGGGAAGGTATCGTTGGAGCTGGCGGAGCGGTTGACGTGGTCGTTGGGGTGGACGGGCTTCTTGGAGCCCTTCTGGCCGCCCAGGATCTCGATGGCTCGGTTGGAGATGACCTCGTTGGCGTTCATGTTGGACTGGGTGCCGGAGCCGGTCTGCCAGACAACCAGAGGGAAGTGGTCGATCAGCTTCAGGTCGGCGACCTCCTTGGCAGCCTGCTGGATGGCCTCGCTGATCTTGGGATCTAGAGAGCCGCATTGTAAGTGTGACTGGGCTCCGAGCCGTGCTGGTCCTCGGTTCGGGGACTCGACATACCCAGGCCATATCGCACGTTCACCTTGGCGGCAGCGCCCTTGAGAATACCGAATGCCTTGATGATGGGCGGGGGCATGCGGTCCTGGGGCTGGTTGATGCGGAAGTTCTCGAGGGATCGCTCGGTCTGGGCGCCCCAGTACTTGTCGGCGGGGACCTGGATCTCGCCAAAGGCATCGCTCTCGGTTCTGGTAGCAGCAGCCATTCTTGTGGATGAGGCGTGGAATTGTCTCGTGGAGGTGAATTGCGTAGGTGCGGCTCGAGGAGAGGAGACGGCAGACTCGTTGCTTCGCGGCTGGCGGCCAACCACAGGCACCGAGTGGCAGGCGGCGGAGCTTGAGAAGCATGTGCTCATGGCCCTCACGCCGTTACCCCTCGGCCTAGCCAGCCAGCGCATGGCGGAGCCGGAGGCGCATGATGTTCGTGCAGCCGAGGAAAGCATTTTGCGCTAGAGAAAATGAATAAGAATTGGGGCAATCCAAAGTCAGCAGGAGCAGCTGTCGGCGATGTCTTCCTATCTAGTCAAAAGAAATACCTCAAAAAAGATCTCAATCGGGTCCTACGTTTCGAGGCTGGCCGGAGCTCTGCTGGAGAAAACGCCAGCTGGGGGAGCTCGGGCCACGGAGCTCTCCCCCAAGTCTCCCCGATCTCGGCAGAAACCGGACGGAACGGAGAAGACCTCGGGACGGAGAGGACGGACCAGAGGCGGATGTTGGTTGGGCCGCCCATGTAGATACGTTGCCATCAGGACTGCTTTAAGCAGCGCTGCCTGAGACGCTTCACCGTGTTGAGGAAGCAAGATAGCAAATTGAGCTGTCACCAAAGCCAAGGTGCGGGTTGGAAGGGACAGCTTCGCGCCCATTCACTAGGCACACAGGACAAGCGCGGCCTGGCTCTATTCCGCGTAGCACAAGTTACAGTTTACAGTCGAACAATCCCGCCGCTCTTGTTTGAGCAAAAACTACCACCGCTTCAACAATTAGCCGACACACCATTGCGAACCGCCAGCCCTGGGTGGTCCAGCGGTACATGTAGACTAACAGACCGCTCACGCAGTCGGGCTCATACCAAGTGTCGTCAGGAAGAAGCTCTTGTTCGCAACCGCCCCTGTAAGCCGTGCATCCATGTACGCGGGGCTTCCTGACTCACAGGCTGAACAGAGACACGCGCCGGCCTGCGGACGCAGATTGCTGGTGACACGCTGGCATACTGTCAGACTGTGTACTGTAGTTACACAAGAGCAGCGGCAGACTGATATCAGGAAGACTTGTCCGGCTTGGCGGTTTGCCGCGTGTGCGATCGCGTGCTCGCAACTACATTATTAGCCTAGGCCGAGAGAGTGGAAAGAATCCGGGGAAGACATGGTATAGTACGGCAATTGATCTGTACTTATGACGTCGAAGAAATGACGCTTGTCTTGCACGTTATCCACGGACATCAATGGATTGTCAATGACACTACTCCAGGGTAGGTAGGTACAGTCTAGTGTAGACTGGATCCAGGAACATGATGGGAAATCATGGCCAAAGTGCACAAATCCCACCAGAAGCACTACTACCGCTGTTGCTGCAGTCACACAATGGGATGGATGGTGAGCAATATGGATGGATGTGTCAGTGTCAGTCAGACTCGCAAAAGGGCGACGGCAGTGCTACCTTCTTGACACGACAAATCCGACTGCTTACAAAACAACTGAGGATTTCCAATCGGATGAGGTAACGAAGGCTGGGCGGGAGAAGGGGCGAGGACAGTGCCAGCGCGCTTGTTCGGAAGGCAGGGATGGACATGGAATACTTCTGGCCGAAACTGTTTTTGGTGGACCAAGTCAGGACCAATACGGCGTGGCCCCAGCGGGCGGGCAGAGCAAATCGTGCCGCATCCCGTCTGAGCCGACCAGACCAGATCCAGCCTTTCCCGCCCCGTCCCCCCCCCCCCTCCCGGGACAATTTTCCTGAGGACTCTGGGGAAACCACCATGTACTTGTCGAGCGACGACATGCCTCTGCATCAGGACGCGAGGTTCCCCAGATCTGCTGGGCGAGTTCTCGCGGCAGATGCAGATCTAGTTAAGTAATGTCATCCGCGGCCCCGGACTTGTCACACTCGCAAAACAACCCGGCCAGCCCACTTGCCACGCCTATTTTCCCAGAGGGACCCCTTTCAGCCCAGCACCCGCTGCTTGTCACTGCGAGGTACCGTGGCAGATTTTGACCGTCGGGCCAATCAGCGCCAGGACCCTGATCACGAAAGGTATAGCGCGGATTGCACCATCGATGGCCTGGATGAACTCACATCGCCGTGCCATCACCGCCTGCCTCAGCCTGTCCTGGCCCAGATTGCGCCATCGCTCGGCCTGCTTCACTCACCCACGCCCCTCACAGTACTGCGAGGCGGGCACGATTCGGGCCACGTCCTGTATCGGCTTTGTACTCGCTCCAGCGCCTTCTCCGCGCTGCTCTCGGCCGTCCGGGGGGTTGCCCATTATTCATGCTGGAACGTTGTGTCTAATAAGTCTGCCTGGCCTGTATCTGGTCTCCCGCCGGGCGCGAGCCGCTCCTCCCATGGGGAGGGACCACGGCCCAATATTAGAGTAGGCGTAATTCCGCAACCAAGCGTGCCGGATTGTGATTTCTCATCCTGATCTGATCTCATCCTGTTCCTGTCTTGTGCGGACCCAAGTGACCAAAGAAAACCCTTTTAGAAGTCAACTGCTGCCGTGTTCCTCCTCTGTTCCATTCACCCAAGAGCTCATCCCACACCAAAACACTCTCTCCCTCCACAACATCATACACTCAACTCTGAGCTGCCACGCCAACACTTGCTGCTGTGCTGCCACGACCTGAGACCCAGGCCTGTGTAAACTCCACAAACCCCATATTCGATTTTTCAAATACTCGTCTTTCTTTGTCAGAGAATCGAGAAATCAGAAGAGCAGGCATTTCAACATGGGCAACTACTCCCACTCAGACTCTTCCTTGTCCTCCCTGGGGACCTCGCCTCGCTTGAGCGCCCTCGACACAAAATCCGACACACAATCATCATCATCGTCATCTGCCGAGGACATCGAATCCGGCTACGCATCCGCAACGTCATCCACAATGACGCTGCCTGCTGTGTCCTTCTCTCCCTACCACCTGAAGTGGCTGAACAGCCAGCTGGAGAACATGCACCCCATGGACATCCTACGCTTCGTCAAGGTCCTCTTCCCCAACCTCTACCAATCAACGGCATTCGGCCTCACGGGGCTCGTCACACTGGACATGCTGTCCAAGCTGCAAAAGGAGAACCCCAGCTCCCAGAACGTCGACATGATCTTCCTCGACACCCTGTACCACTTCAAGGAGACGCACGAGCTCATTGACCGGGTGCGGGCGAAATACCCCAACGTCAAGCTCCACATCTTCAAGCCCGACGGCTGCGACACCGTGCAGGACTTCGAGGCCACGTACGGCGAGAAGCTGTGGGAGGTCGCGTCCGAGCTGTACGACTGGTACGCCAAGGTGGAGCCTCAGCAGCGCTCGTACACGGAGCTCAACGTCGCCGCCATCCTGACGGGCCGGAGGCGGTCTCAGGGCGGGCAGCGCGACCAGATCCCCGTGATCGAGGTCGACGACGAGAGGGGCGTGGTCAAGATCAACCCCATGGTGAACTGGAGCTTCGACCAGGTGCAGAAATACATCAAGGAGAACGACGTGCCCTACAACGCGCTCCTGGACCAAGGATACAAGTCCATCGGCGACTGGCACTCGACGTCTCCCGTCAAGGCGGGCGAGGACGAGCGGGCCGGCCGGTGGAAGGGCCAGAACAAGACCGAGTGCGGCATCCACAACAAGAAGTCCCGCTACACCCAGTACCTCGAGGACCTGGAGCGCAAGCGAAAGGAGGAGGAGCTCGCCCAGGCCTTCCAGGAGAACACGGAGCGGCAGGCTGTAGCCTCGCCCGCCGTCCAAGTCTCGTCGTAGCAAGAGCCCCGGAACACTTTTGTCCGAATGGGTGATTTCCTCACCCAGACAACGACTTTGATGATTTCAACGAGCATAGCACTGGCTTTCTTTGTTTGTGCAGTAGAACTCTTTTTTTCTTCTGCCGGGAAAATTGCGTCTGGGAGTCTGGGGGGAGAAAACATTGGGATGGCCCATTCATGGTCTGGCGTTTGGTGGCATAATTGTTGATTCCCCTGCCATGCCTTCTCTCGTGGCACAGCATCCCCGAGAGGGACGGCTCATAGAGATATATATATAGAGCAGTCAAGAAGAACAGACACAAGTAAAATTTTATCTCTACCTACCAAAAAAATGCCCCATTGCGCCATCATCAGGTTCTGTGACTCAACACCATGGGGGAGCGGACAACAGCAAAGCCGTCCATCGACCACGTCTGCCTCATGGCGCCCGCGCTGCCGCTGGGGGGGTTTTCTCACGCACACACGGTCCGTCCAGGTCGAAACCCTAGGGTTGGGCAGTGTGTGCGTGCGCTCGCGCGCGTGTGTGTGATCTCGCCATTCGAACTAGGGGGCGGATGGCTCGGTCGGCGATGTCGTGATGCCGGGGTCAGAGTGAGCGATGGCCCTTCTTCGTGTGGGCGGGTGGCGGGAAGAGCAAGAGAGGACGTCGGCGGTGGAGCAAACCTTCCCGGCGGCTGCGGACGGGTCTCGGGGAGCCCACTTTCTGCTGGCGCAGAGCCGCACCGATCGGCTGCACGGCTATCGGGTCAGAAGTGGAAAAGATGCATAATCTGGCGTGGATTGCGCCATTGGGGGCGTCTGCCAGGGGTGCGTGTGTGCGTGCGTGCGGTTTGACGGGTGGTGCCACCCACACCAACCTTCCTCAGCTTGCCTCGTTCCCGAGTACGTGCGCGCTGCGGGCCCGACACTGTGCCACGTCTGGAGGGGCGCGGCTGGCGCTTGGGGTCGGATATAAGCGCGGTGCTGACTAACACCCGATGGCTAAGTGGGCATTACAGTATGTGCCGACACCAAATGGAGTGATACTGCTCCAACCCCTTGAACTGGCCGGAAACATCTGCAACAGTTTGGTCTGTCCGTCTGTCCCTCACATCACAATACCTTGACCCCCAAGTATCGCTATGTGGACATGTGCATCATGGCAATTGCATCCGAATTGTCTACTTGTCTGCATTGACTCATCCGAGCAGATAAGCTTGTTGTTCAGGGGTTCAGAGGAACATTCCCACACCACAATGTAGAACAACATAGAGGTCAAGGCCGACAACAACTTGTCTGTTTGTTCATTTACATATCACCGTGATAAAGGTCGCATCAAACGCAGACAGTGTTCTTGTCACTGCGCCGGACCCAGAAATATCTGGCTCTCGGTCCGGATCGGTGCATGGCCTGGAAGTTCTCCAGCCTGTTCTTGAACCCGCAGGAAGATGCTAAGGGGGTTTTGGCCTGCCAGAGTCGAAAGAAGTGGATGTCGGCTCCCGTTCGACCATGATGTTCCATTAATACTGCGCACGAGTAAGAACATTGTTGGTTTGTATGGCTGCTCCACGCCCGATTTTGAAGGCGCCAGCTTAAGGAGGTGGTGTTGGTGCTGGCGCGCCGTGGCGGCGGCGTGAAGGTAAGCACGCGTTCCCAAGGCACTAGTTCTCTGCTCCTGAAACTGATATCAATTCTAGAAGAATAAGAAGAAGCATGGTGCCCGGGGCGCCAACGTAAGTTAAGTCCATCCTTCGGTTAATGCTTTTCACTAACTTGAGTTAATTGTAGTGCAAGGGCGGTGCTAAGCACGGCGGCCCGTCCGGGGGTGGCTCTGGGGGCGACCCCTCGCCTCCGGCGGCCAACGCTGCGGCCGCATGAGCTCCGGTGTTGTTCGCGCCAAGTTTACCCACCCTCTGCCCTCCCGATCTTTTGATGCCTTGGTTCGCATTATGCTTTACCCTTCTGCGATATAAGGGATGGTTTAATGGACGAAGTTTGAGCGGAAATGGTTTTGATTAGCTGCATCATGGTCTGGCAGGGTTGATTTACGCCTTGCTTTCTAGCATTTAAGAATCGATTGATGGATTACTGGTTACAAAAGCTACATCATACTCCGTGATATTTCGTCAGCGTGTGTATGCGTGATACTAACATTAAGGGCGGCCATGTTTCCCGCACGGAATTGCTCTTCCAGATGATACCAGATAAAGGGATCGCGCAGATCTGATGACTTGGCAGTGAGGCTGTCCATAATGTTGAAGATACTATTCGGCCGGGCACTGGGGATATTGAGCCGGGAATGCATGGCGCAGACGCTACTCAGGTAAAAGCGGCGTGTGTATGTAGAGCCGGTTCTAGTAAGCTCATTTCAGTACAAGCTTGAAAAGGAGAGTGACTCATTGACAAATGCACATTTATGATGACGAACGTTTCCTATCGAACACATTCATGAAGTGTTGAACCTAGATGGCACGGCTCATAACATGCGAGCCGCTCATGTCCGGGAGCGGCGCATTCACTGCTCATGGTCCAGGAGCGGCTACCTAGGTAGGGGAGGTACCCGGTTCTGGCACTGCGCGCTGCACTGTACTGTACTATAGCACGAAACACTGCATTGAATGTGTCTTGATTGACTGCACTGAATAAAGGGTATCTACCATTTGACCGAACGCCTGTTATGTAGCCCCTGACTGAGTGCTCAAAGTCCAAAAACCTGTATCCGTATACCAGCATGACTGGACCACATGAATATGTGAGATTCACCAATGAAACGAATGCACCAAGTATTAAACAACAACTCCGCCTGAAGGTCGATGTCCACGTCCGCATTGATAATGTTCCGCTGAGCAGAATCATTAGTGCAGAATGGCACCATGTAGTTGTCTGTGGTCGTCCTCCAGAGCCGAAAGACCAATGAGCTCTTGGCAGGACTCGGCCTTGGCAGCGGCCTTGGCGAGGGCTGTGTCGGCATGGGGTTTGTAGATCGGTTATCCGGTGAGCGGCCCTTGTGATGTCCATGTCGGCAAGTGGCGTAATGAGAAGGAAGGTATAAGACTGGCCCGGGCCTACATAGTATATGTAGTTGATGGTGTGTACGGCGGACGGGATGAGCCTAACTCACCAGCCAGGATCTCGTGTGTCATGATTTGGTCCAGACGCGCCAGGGTTCACTCATTGCCGCGGTGACAAGCGACATAGTCGCCGCGGTGGAACATGTATCGGCGAGCCCCCGTAGTGGAGCTGGTGATAGTCAGTATCTGCTTCGCTCGGGGTAAAGAATTTTCTCGAACAGACCTACTTGAGAAGGACAACTTCTCCCACCACTTCATAGGCTGGTTACTGATGATAATGACGTTCTTGCCATATTCCCTTCCTTGTATGCGTCCACCAAAGTGAGGTCAAAGACAGGAGACATCTTCTTGCTGTTCAGAAGGCTGAGCTCCCTGGTGCAGGCATCGCCCTCGATCCTCACCAAAGAGCTGGGGTCACGATAATTGGGATTATCGAGCACCCGGATAGAGACCGATGGATCACCTTCGTCCTCGGCATCAGCCTTGTTGAAGTGACTATGAGGCAACAGGGAGGCAAACAAGGAAGGCAAAGTTCGTCTCTAAGCCCCGCTTCTGGTCATAAGTATCTATCGTCCCGAAGCTGACGTCCAAAATTTGCAGGCTGGAAAAAAGCACTTGATTAGATTTATACTCACCAAGCAGTGCAATCAGCAACAACATCAGGCCATCTCGACGGAGGATCTCGAAATAGTGCGAGCCAACGTGGACATTGGGACGTGCTGCTCACTATCCGTACTTGATAGTCTTCTGCTGAGTCGTCATCCGACCGATTTCAATAACATCGTTGGGATTCTGGACCTCCAGAGACTCCAGCACAGCTTATCCCGGTTCATCAACGCCTCCGGCGGAGGACTCTCTCGTAGTTGGACGGGGTCCAACCGAGCCAGGACGGCTCCTCGACCGAGTTCTTATACCAGTATAAGTGGCATCATCATAGGCGTAGCAGCCCGGGAACCCGGCAGGGATGGAGTCGCTCCAAGCCGCGCCGCCATGGCCTCGGCTGCAGCGCCTCTCAGGGCCATGGTCAACGTAGCAGCAGCATCGCATATGCGCTGGAACATCCGTCGACCAGTCTTTACGGTATCCATGAGGCTGTCAATGTCGCGCTCTGACTCGGTCATTTCCTTGGTAGAATGCAACGCGTTGGTCTTGACAATGCTTGTGGGAGTCAAGGCGAAGTCGAGCAGCAGCTGGTGGTACATCCTGGTAATGCCGCCGAACTTAGGGTGTGCCGAATCGCCAGGGCGTCCAATCACCAAGTTGAGCAGGGCACAACTGTATAACTGCTGGCTGTTGCATCGAGACACCATGCTTGGTCGAGAGCTCCTGCTTGGCCTTCTTCGTCTTCGCCATATCAATAGCACAACAGAGGCGATTCTGCTCCGTATAATCGCACGCCTAGAGGATAATGTCCACGTCTAGGTTACCACGACTAGCCGCAGAAACAAAGTAGTTGCGACAGCCGTGGTTGGCAGTAATACTAAGATAGCCGGAGTTCTCATTCTTCTGCACCATATCACTAATGAGTGCTATGATTGGGGTATAGACAAGGCGATATTTTCCCTTAACCTTCAAAGTCAAATCACGATCCAATACCTGGAGAGGCTCGACAGCTTATTTGCCCTCGTGGAAGTTTAAGCCATGTGGGCCTAGAGTCAAGGGGAAGACATTCATCCGCCCGGGTATGTTCAGACTTCGGCATGGCAGCAAGCTGGAGGTATACACCCATGACAGACTAATACAACGTGCAGTAGATGGCAAATACATCGTTGAAGTTCAGCAGCGATTAGCTACTAGTGCAATCATTGTTCACCTCCTGGGATTCCTAGCCCAGTAAGCAAACTTTCTTGATCACCACCATGTTTGGTATAGATAATAAAACAAAATTCGGAGCGACCACCAGAGGCCATAGCTCAGTGGATTAGAGCATAAGATTGCAATTTCCTTGTTGAACAAATCTTGGGGTCCCGTGTTCGATCCACGGTGGTCTCTCTTTCGCTCTTTTTACATCTTTTAATTTAGAGAACAAGATTGCAACATTCATTAGGCAGCGATCTTGGGGTCCCGTGTTCGAACCACGGCAGGTCCTCTTTTTGTTGCATTTCGTTGCGTTTTGTTGCTGCAGAGTCCACAATAGAGGCCACTTGGTGTGGAGATGGCAGTCCCGCCCGTTCTAATTTGGTTGTCTGTCTACTTGTCTTGGCTCGGCCGGAAGAGTTTCTTCCCGCGCCTATCATGGTCCTGCCAAGACGCTGCATGAGAGTTTGGGAGTAACCTCCATGGACAGCATCAACATCCTATCGGATCACCCCTTGATTTTGTCCATAGCACTGAAATTATAAGATTCTTAACAACAGAATACATATAAGTGTGATCTCAGCACTGTAAACAGGTTTCAAGTTTCCCTAGTTTGGGTTCGCAGTCCGTCTGTAGCAACATGGACGACGCCCTCCTATGCACCGCAGCCTGCGGATCTACTCTCCAAGTGCACAAACGGGCGCATGACGTGAATTGTGATGTCGTCCGCGAAGCTTAAATGCTCAACGTGTTTGCCCCCTCTCCCTGTTTCGAACGTGTTTGGATCTCGACGAACCCGCCAGGCTCACGGAAGCCCAAGCTTCCCCTCGGGCAGATCTTCCGACTGCTAGCTCTTACTTTCCAGATGAAGCGGCCGTTTTACCCTCATCCCAGCTCCCCATTGGCGAACCGCAGCACCCGCCTGCCCTGTCAAACATTCAAGCTTAAATCCCCAAGCTCCGTCGATCACTAGGCTGCGCAGCAAGGAGGCTTGATAGGTGTGATACCCCAGATCGTGGGCAAGGGGTCCCGCGTGAGACGAGTCGTGTTCGCCTCCCAGGCTTTGCTGCACCGAGATCAGCCGGTCTAATGGGGTAGGCTAGACGCTGGTGGTTTCCAACGGCAGCTTCACTACCCGGGCCTTGTCAAGGTCGTAGACTTCAGGCTGGAAACTCGCGGACATGAGGGGCTGTGTTGAGGGTGTCACTAGGTCCAGGGAGATGGCTGGAGGCCGGGGACGTGGAGAGATACGCGGAAATATATGATACCCGGAGGTCCTTCGTGAGGTAAGAGGAGGTTGTAGCTTGTGCGTGATAGCTTCTTCTCTCGCCCGTCTTCCTCTTCTCACAGGTCCGGCACCGCTTTTCCCCAAGTCGTCTTCCGTGAAGATGCGTTTCTCACAAGTGTTGACCTCCGCCATCGCGGCCGGCGTTGCCGCCGCCGAGCCATTGGCGAACGTGCTCGCTGCGAACAACAACACGCTGAGCACCCTCAACTGTAAGGCGCAAGTCCCTGAGGCCACCATGAACATGTCACAAGATGACTGACAAGCAGAGCGTAGCTATCCTGGCCGGCATGCCACAATTCACACAGGCCCTGACGATGCAAACCAATGTCACCATTCTGGCCCCGTCCAATGACGCCTTCGAGCAGGCGATGAAGGCCATGCCGACACTTACAAACGACATGAACATGGTCACTGCCCTCCTGCAGTATCACATTATTTCTGGTGTCATGATGTCGTCAGCCTTCACCGAGACGCCCCAGTAAGTCCCATTCTTGTCCCTTCACGGATCCCCGTCTGTCATGTTTTGGAAAGTCCCAGAATGTATCACTTCAGGATCCGTAGCAGGTGATTAACAGGTAGCAGGTTCGTGAGCACCTACATGGGAATGCCCTTCGCCATGGTCACCGGCAACCAGAAGGTCGAGCTCGTCAAGATGGACAACATGGCCATGATCTTCTCGGGTTTCAAGCAGATGAGCAGCGTCACCAAAGCTGACATCGCCTTCGACGGCGGCGTCGTACACGTCAGTAAGTGATCACAAAAGTTTTCGAGTGGCTCCTCGTGTGCGAAATAACAGACCGTCACATACTAACACACTCCCAGTCGACAAGGTCCTAACCATTCCCATGTCCCCGTCCGTGACAGCTGTCGACATGGGACTGACCTCCCTCGCTGGCGCGCTGACAAAGACAAACATGGTGACGGCCGTGGACGGCCTCTCGGACGTGACCATTTTCGCGCCGTCGAACAAAGCCTTCGAGGCTGTTGGCTCCGCGGCTGAGAGCGCCTCTGTGATGGATCTCTCGACTATTCTGAGCTACCATGTCCTCCACGGAAGCGACATGCCCATGTTCTCGACCAACCTGTTGATGGGAGGCAGTGCTATGTCCGGGACAACGATGGCTATGCCCGCCGGTATGGAGGGGATGCCTATGCGGAGGCAGTCCATGACTAGCACGCCTATGAGCTTCGCAACACTCCAGGGCGGCAATATCAACGTTCGCATGGAAAACGGCAAGGTGTTCGTCAACTCTGCGATGGTGACCACCGCGGACATCATCGTCTCGAACGGTGTCATACACGTGATAGACAAGTAAGGCTTTCTCCCCCTCCTACGCTCTGCCGCCTCCCCCTTTAATAGCAACAACTCGCTGACTTTAACCTCTTTCCCTTGTTCAGTGTTCTCAACCCCATGATGGCAGACGCCACGCCAAACCCAAGTGCAACAACGCAGACACCCGCCTTCTCCGGGGCAACAGCCGTTCAGGAGGCGCCGTTCACCTCAGGCATTATGCCAACCACCACAATCACGGCTGCCGGCATGACTGGTGGTGCTGGTGTGTTCGCCGCCATGCCCACTGCTGCTATCTTGGGCGCTGTTGGAGGTGCCGCGCTGTTGGCAGGGATGTAGATATCCCTTCGTCACCTATCTTCAAATTTCTTAATATGTTGTCTTTTGAGTACCGGAACCTAATGGGGCAAACACTTCCCCTGTCTGTTCTTCTATCAGAGGCATGGGAATAAGGTCTTCTCATGATCTATAGTGGGTGGAGTGCCTCATAAGGGCAGATATCATGAAAAGTAAATACTCAGTCACCTGAAAGGGATGGGTAAATACCTCGAAACTGATGTATATAATATAATCGGCTGTTCTTGGACGACACTCTTGGACTACACTTTGATGGTATAGGCGGAATGACCAGAAAGCCAAACCCCGGCATTGTGTCTGTAGAACATACACTTTTTTCCATTTCACTGTCGCAAGTCAAGTGATATAGGCCGTCAAAGGCCACATGCTGTTCCCTAGAGACCGAATTATGAAACAGTGCATTGCCTCAGCCTGTCTTCAGGCCACAGAGGAAGACGTGCCGTGACTCGAGACGCAATCTAACAGTGAACGCAACGGGGACAGAGGAAGAGTTGGCGGTGGAATCATCTCCATTGCTGACCGTCTATCTACACAACGCTCTCCGGAATCCGGGAGCTGCTCGCGCGACCCATCTTCTCCCACTTGAGAACAACCCATCTAGTAACCGTCCTTGCCCCACTTGTTGTACTTCTCGTGCAGCTCCTGTGGTTTCCGCGGGTCAGCTTCTCGTGTCTCGATATGCCGCATCCACTCACTGTCCATGACGATAGCGGCCCGCGCAGCCTCCCTCGCCCTGACATGTGCATTTGGGTGCGTACCTTTGGCAGGTTGACGTCGGGCACGACAACGGTGTTGATGGCGCTGGGCGCGTCCTTGGGCTCGGCGGACCTGTCACCGCCCGGGTAGTACTGGTACTTGCCCGTGCCGCCGGTCTCCCAGGGGTTGCCGGCGTGGGGCACCTTCTGCTCGGAGGTGGAGGAGGTAGGTGTGCGTCCTTGCGGGGATCTTTCTCAGTATTTCCTGGCTGCCTAAATTTCCCGACTGCTGCCGACATGTGTTTCTGATGGTCATCATGACGTACCAAAGTAGAGTCCAGCGCCACCGAAAGCAGCGACCATGACGGCGCCGAGGATCTGTCAGGCACCCATCGTCAGCTCGTGTCCGGCTCTTGGGGCTGTTGCTGCACCAGCAGGCCGGGCGGGGGGCGCATGCGTCGCCATCGCCCAGACTGCGGCGGCGGCCGGGTCTCAACGCACCATAAGCTCGGGGTTTCGCTTGGTCTCCTGCTTCAGGACGTGCTCGCTTTGCAGCCGGCGAGCGGTGGTGGAGAAAGCACGGGTAGCGATTCTGGACGCCATGGCTTCTGCTGAGGGGTCCGGTAACGGTGAGGGCTGGTTTGGCTCGTGAAGGGTCGTGGTGGAGGTGGTGGTTGCGGTCGATTGGGGAGGGTTCGTCTAACAACTTTCGATGATGGAGGTCTCGTATGATTCGATTCGGGTGTGCAAAGAATGGAGCTGCCGGCCAGCAGGCCGGATTATGACGAACGGGGCGTGATTGGCCGGCTGGCGGCTGGAGCAGTTCGCATTGGCCACTGCTCCAGCGAGGCTGACATAAGGCGCCCCGTGGTCCTGGTGGGGTTACTGGCAGACTGGTAGACAACTGGAAGCAGCACCGTAATCTCCCGCGGCACAGCCTACCTGGTACACCTGCATCGGCTAGGCAGGTATAGTCGGTGGCCTAAGCCGCATGAGGCTACAGTGATATCGATGCCGTTGCTGCTATTAAGGTCTGTCTGATCTTCCAGTCCAGCCAGTGTGCACGTTACTGCACGAGCCTAGTGGTCTACTGTCACGGTACCGGCCGGGAGAGGAATGGATGGTAAGGGGTAGGCACGGTATGTGCCGACGCAATACTGAGATGGCTGTGCCTTGGGTTGGCGATGTGTCGCCTGCACCCAGGTATGCTGGTTTGCTGTTTGCTGCATGGCCATTGCAGGTGGGACAGACAGGCTGGCCGGACAGGGCTGACTGGTGAACTGGGGGTCTGAACACTGGGGACTGGAGACGGCAGGTGGTGGTGACTGGATGGGAGGAATCCGCGCGCCCGTTCGCGAGGGAACCTGAAAAAGCATCTCGGACTTTGCTCAGACTCTCTCCTCTTGCTCAGGCCTCCTCTCCTCCGTCTCTACCGTGTCACACCCTCCCTTTTTTCGCCGCCAACCTTTTTTTGCCAACTCCTGTCGCTCTTTTTTCTGCCTTGTCTTGACTTGCGCTGCCACTCCTTTGATGTCACAATCCCAAACCCACGCATCCCTAATCTAATTTCGCTCTCCTCCCGCCTCCTACCGAAAGATCCACGTCCTGGTCCTGGTCCCGTCCCTGTTCCTAGTCCGACTCTGGCCGCCGCATCGAATCGCATCCGCAAGCTCAACCACATCGCCGCAATTTCCGTGTTTGCAACCCAGGAGGTGCCCTGCACACCACCCCCCAATTCTCCACGTTCCGAACGAACCTTAGCATTGAGCCAAGGCACCTGTCAACCACGGTCGACCCTTCGCTTTTCCTGCACGGCGCCCCTTTGATGCCTTCTGCTCAACCCGTGGGAACTATGATATAGCCGGCCGCTGACCCTGCGACTCACCCCATCCCGCCCGCGACCATCACCCTATCACGCCGAGATCAGCACCGCGGACAAGGCCCAGTCGCCGCCATGGCATCTCAGGAGGGCTCGAGGTCCAACACCCCGGCTGGCGCTGCCAGCAACGGCGACGACGACGCCAGCTTCCCTCAGTATCCCGGCAGGGCGACCGGCCCGCCCAGCATAATCTCCTCGAGAATGACAGACATTGGGACCGAAGACGGACGCGAGATCGAGGCACAGAATCCAAACAGGCAGAGTCTGGCCACCTCGCAGACCGGCACGGTCAGGTCGCAGATCTCATCGCAAAGGGCTCCCGGCGCCTGGCCGCAACCAATGCCCCTTCGACGTGGACTCTCTGGGAAACGAGGAAGTGTGGCTGCTAGCATCGGCTCAAGCTCTGTTGCGACGGGAGGGCGGCCTGCCAGTGCAGCAGGCCGGAGCCATGTTCCGTCCGTATCCTCGCACTCCTTCTTCCGCCCCATGAGCTCCCAGAAGCTACAGGCGCAACGGGGTGTGGCGAGGCCCTCGACCATGAGCCGCCCACCGGAGACGGCCGAGACTCTCTCACAGGAAGTCGGCCCCACCACCATCGGGGCCAATGTTGTACGCCACAGTATTCAGTCCCAATCGACTTCGCGCCGGTATACGGGAGATGAGCATCCGCCTCCGTCACGCGGAACCGAAGTGACAGCCCCCGAAACTTTCGATCGCGCCACGGCGAACACCAGTGCGAACGGCCACTACCCCCAAGGCAGCGTGTCCGACAGCGTTCGTCCTCTGAACAGGCAGAGGGAGACGGCTGAGAATAAGGGACTGGCTGTGAACCTGGACAAAAGCTACAAGAATTCCGGGCAGGCGTCCCCCTTGACTCCTCGGTCGTTTAGGTCCAGTTTTCTGTTGCCTGGGAGAAGCAATCAGGGGGAGAATGCATCGAATCGCAACATGCAAGGCGGCGAGAAACTCGAGTCCGTTGCCTCGTCCCCACGATTCGGTGACGGGGCCACCGATCCAAGACCAAATACGGCTGTTGCTCCCAAAGCTGGCAGACAGGAGATGGGTCGCAATTGGGAGTACTTTCTTGGGAACACCGTCTTTTGCATGGGCGGCAGACTCCAGAACACGAAAGCTCGTCCCGTCAACATTGCCACGGGTGCTTTTGTTGTACTGCCTTGCATACTGTTCTTCGTCTTTTCCGCGCATGATCTGTGGCACGACGTCTCGCCGGCTGTCCCACTCATTTTTGCCTACTTGGCCTTCATTTGCGTCTCATCTTTCCTCCACGCTTCAACTTCTGACCCTGGTGTAAGTCATTTTCGAAGCCACTGAGAGCGGGACATGAGACTGACTTGAGAGATAGATACTACCTCGCAATCTGCATCAAAACCCACCCCCTGACATCAACGAGGACCCTTTGAGGCTGGCCCCTCCCAGCACTGACTGGACGTTGATCAAATCGGCCGAGTCATCGACAGCCGCAATGGAAGTGCCGACCAAGTACTGCAAGACTTGCCAAATCTGGCGCCCTCCTCGCACTCACCACTGCCGGATGTGCGACAACTGTATCGAGACGGCAGACCACCACTGTGTCTGGCTCAACAACTGCGTGGGTCGACGCAACTACCGTTACTTCTTCACGTTCGTCTCCTCGGCCACCCTGCTCTCGTTGTACCTCATCGGGGTCTCTCTAGCCCAGATTCTGGTATACATGAACACTGAGGGGGTCACATTCGCCCAGGCGATAAACCATGATGCCGTGCCGTTTGCCATGGTCATATATGGCTTTATCGCTTTCCTATACCCGGCTGCGCTGATGGGCTATCACATGTTCCTCATGGCGCGCGGAGAGACAACACGCGAGTTCCTCAACAGCCACAAGTTCCTCAAGAAGGACAGGTACAGGGCGTTTACCCAGGGAAACTGGTTTACGAACTGGGTTGTTGTGCTATGTCGTCCCCGGCCGCCGACGTATTACCACTTCAAAAAGAGGCATAATGAAGGAGACCAGCGACTGGCAAACTTGAGGATCAAAGAGCGCCGGCGCAAGGCCAAAGAGCAACAACAAGAAGGTGTAGAGCTAGACGAGGTGCGACCGCAGACAGGTTTCCAGGGGCCAAGTGCGCTGAGGAATGAGGCCCGCCCGCCAACGACGGCATGAGAGCTCTGTTGGACCTGTTACTACCACGCGCTCCGTGTCTGCCTTCATTTTGCCATCTCTTCTTTCTGTTTTCTTTTCTTCTTTTCTTGGTTATCGTATTTTCAAGCGTTGCATCAGCCTCGGCGATTGAGGAGCGGATATTGGGCATCGAGCAAAGAGATGGAGTTTCTCGACTTGATACTTATCGCCCATGTAATGTGTTATTCCCTTATACCCCGAGTTTTCCAAAACTCTTCTCTTCGATCCATAGAGTCAGCGGATCAATTTCTATGTCTACATGAAGGTCCCGAATGAACCCAGGACGAGCATCCAGAAGCAAGTGGTTGTAGACGTACGAGCAATATGGACGCTCAGAAGGCAACTGGGTACTGACCAAAAAAAAAAAAAAAAAAATTACGAGGATGAGTTCCAAACTCGGTCGGGAACAGGCAACTGTTTGGGTGGTGAGCTAGTCAATTCCCCTGCCAGCCCTGCTCGTCACCAGTGGGCGCGCCAAGACTTTTCTCCTCGCACATCTCGTGGGATCAATGGCCCGAACTTGGCCCTTTTCAGATCTCGGGACCAATTTACCGTTACTATACGCCTCACTCATCATCAAGGCGCGAAACGGTCCCCGCGACGGCGTCATGATCTCATATAAAGCTGCGAGAGCATCCCACTCGGGGGAAGGCCCCTGGCTGGCCGTCCACAGACTTGCACCGCCCTGGATCGCCCCTCCTCCACCATGAAGGGCTTGTTCTCATATGCCAGCTTGCTCCTCGCGGGCGTCCTTACGAGGGCGTATGTGGAGCGCGCCGCTGGGCCATTCCTCGCCCAGGTCGACAACGAGACGTGGGTCATCGGCAACGAGCTGTGGAACCTGACGCAACAGCGGACCTATGGCGTGAAGCTGTTCTATAAGGAGCGCGACCTTGTTGGCGATGCCGTCGGCCACTACGTGTCATATAGTAAGCGTCGCTCACTATCTTCTTTTTTATTTCGCCGCCCCGACCTGGGACCGAGAACAGGCGCTGACTAGACCGTCCAGATGGTGCGGCGTCCAACCTCAACTGGACATCCGCCTCCATCGCCTCATCCGGAACGGATGAGGCCGGCCCATGGATCGATGTCTCCTTCAGCGCCATCGAGGGAGACATGCACTGGGTGATCCACACGGGACTGGCAGGAGCATATCAGTACTTCGTGAACCGGGCTGTGCCTGTCCTCGGCGAATTCCGCACGCTCTGGCGGCTCGACAACACGACCTTCCCGCGGGGGCGCACCAGCCGGCGCGACGAGCCCTTACCGCCGCTGTCCGACTACCGGCCCGAGCTCAAGGTGCAGGACGAGACGTGGCTGCGGCCGGACGGGAGCGGTTATATCACCAAGTACGACTTCTCAGCGTTCGTGCGCGAGCAGACGGCGTACGGGGTGTACGGCGAGGGCTTTGGCAGCTGGTATATCAACCCGGGAAAGGACTACTACAACGGGAACCACCTCAAGCAGGAGCTCATGGTGCACCGCGAGAGCGCGACGGGCGACGCGGTCCAGCTCAACATGATCCATGGTACCCACTTCCAGGTCAGCAGCTCCGACGCTTTCCCCGTGGGTAAGATCTGGGGCCCCTGGCTGTGGTACCTGAACGACGGGTCCGCCGAGGACGCCGAGGCCCGAGCGCAGGACGAGTTCGCCGCGTGGCCGTATACCTGGTTCGAGGACGATGCCTACCAGAGCCGCGGCACCGTCAGCGGGAGGCTGGTGCTCTCAGACGGGCGGCCCGCCGCTCACGCAGCCGTGTTTCTGGGCGACAACTCACCCAACAAGACGGCTCTTGATATGGGCAGTAATTATTATTATACCGGGTACGCGGATGCCGACGGCAACTTTGCGTTCTCTGACGTGCGCGCTGCTACATACGGTCTGCAAGCATGGTCAAATGGCAGCGCCATCGCGGGCGTGACGACGTCGCTCCTGCAAAACGACGTCACGGTCGCCGCCGACGAGGAGACAGACCTCGGCGAGGTGGAGTGGACCGTCTCGGACCGCGCCATCCTCTTCCAGGTGGGCGACTTCGACCGGTATGCATACGGTTTCAAAAACGGCGGCGCGCCGCACCAGCACGCGCTCGTCGCCTCGTGCCCGGCCAGCCTCACGTACACAGTCGGGTCCTCGCAGCCGGAGGACTGGTGCTTCGGGCAATCGTGGCTCGGCAACTGGACCATCCGTTTCGAGGTCCCGGCCAACGCCAGCGCGTCGGCCGACGGGTCTGGCCAGGCGACGCTGATCGTCTCCCTCGCAGGGTATAGTACTGGAACCAGCTCCAATATCTACGCCAACGACGAGGTCATCGGCAATTTGACGAGCGGGACTCCGCAGCTGCTGAACGATCCGGGTCTGTACCGGTCCGCCACGGTGGCCGGCGAGTGGAGATATTTCGAGTTCCCATTTGACGCCGGGGTATTGAACGCAGGGTGGAACACGGTCACGTTCGAGGTGACTAGGAACACAACCTGGAGGGGTTTCATGTGGGATAGCATCGTTCTAGAGGGGTAATCCTCGCTATACATTCAGCTGACCTGTGTATGTGTTGTATGAATTCATGGATGCTATTGAATCAAATTTGCAAGTCTCGACTATGTATGTGATCTGGGCCATAACATAGGCACGGCATCCAGAAAAGTTGATGGACAGATCCTCACAAATACAGCGTACCAGGTAAGCGAATGCTCCAAGGAGTCTATTGTGCCATCTTCGCAAGTAGTGGTCCAGATACTACGAACATTGTCGACGTGCCTGAGATGTCACGTCGAATCTCCCCGTTGAAGGGACCGTCCAGAGGATTTACATTCAAAGCACCAGTCCACTTTGCCCCAGGACATCGCAGAACGAGTCATCCAGTCGGACTGATTGTTCCATGTCCTCTATCGATTCGGTAGTAGACAGTGACTTGTACGTCAGTCTTTATCATCTAGTCGCGGGTGTCTATCCTGCTCCTGATTCAGGGGGGCTGGCTACTGTCGATTGATTATATAAGCCAGCAGACTCGCAGCCCCGCCAATGACCTCAAAATCTGCTTGCATGGTATCAAGAGCCAGAGACTGCCAAATCGCCCGCTAACATTGTTCTCGATTCTCACGGCAGAAGCGAATGAAGGAAACAATGGCGGCCAAGACGATCATTGTGACGGGTGCTGGCCGAGGAATCGGTCTAGCAATATCCCAGTACCTTTTGCAGAACTCGCACAAGGTGGTGCTGGTGGCACGAACAGAAACCGAGCTTGAAGCTCTCAAGAAGCAGTACCCGGCTCAAGTCGAATACTTGGCTGCCGATTTGACGAAGCTTGAGGTAAGAGTTCGAGAAATGCGATGTCGATACTAGAGGGGATTCTTGATTGACGAGTCTATGACAGAATGCTACGAAGGTCACAGACCTTGCTGTGAAACTCGGTGGGAAGGTTGACGGGATCGTCATCAACCACGGAGCACTTGAGCCCATCAAGCTCATTGCGGACTCCGCCGTGGACGAGTGGAAGACCATGTATGACATCAACTTCTTCAGCCCTCTTGCCTTGGTCCAGGCCGTCATCCCACAGCTGCGGCAGACCAAGGGCCGCATCATCGTCACCTCCTCGGGCGCCGCAACAAAGGGCTACAAGGCTTGGGGCCCGTACGGGTCCTCCAAGGCTGCCCTGCACTCTCTTGTCCAGCACTTGGCCGTCGAAGAGAAGGACATTGTTTCCGTCTCCCTCAGCCCGGGAAGGACAGACACAGGCATGCAGAAGCTCTTGCGTGAGCAAGGCAAGGGATTCATGGACGACAAAGACCACGCCAGCTTCGTGTCCGCGTTTGAAGAGGGCAAGCTGAACCCACCCGAGGGCCCTGGGAACGTGATCGCCAAGCTTGCGCTGGATGGCACGCTCGACTTGAGCGGCAAGTTTCTGCAGTGAGCCTACCAGACTCCGCCTCACCTTGTACAGTGCTAACCACGCGCAGATGGAATGGCCCGGAGCTGGCTTCGTACCGTGACTGATCGAGTTCACTGGGGAAGTATGTCAGCAGATGATCCTGGCAGTAGACTGCAGAAGAATATCTAGATGCATAGAGAAGCCTCATTCGAAAGATGAAAAGCAGTACATTTTTTTCCACACGGGTGATTCAGTTTTAGCATGGAATGATTTTTGTAATCATAGGCTCCTCCGACAACGATCGGGAATTTTCGAAACAAGAGAATCGTGACCCACCTTGAACGTCTCCCAGTTTTGTTGTTGCATATTGCCATGTGTAGTGACTGCGCGCAAGGGAGTCAGCATGCCCCCGCCGTCTCCTTGTTCTGCAAGCGATGGCCAAGATGTTTTGTGCTCAGGTATTGAGTTTTTCCGTCATATCGTGATCGGTATTTGATAGTACTACATTTTTGGACATCATGGCAGGTGCGATGTTTGGGCGGTCGCCGCGAGCGTAGAAGGAACGTGAGAACAAACCTGTCAGCGCTGTTAGTCAATGCCAGTTCAGAAGAATGCACGTGGCGAAGAAGAAGCATGAAGGGTATGTATCAGAGATAGTCCGTTTGGCTTAGGACGAGTCAATCACCATGGTTAAGTATGCCTGGGGCGACAACGAGTTCATCATTCTGTGCTGGTAAGGAGGGGAGACCGAAGGATGTGACAAACCTTTGCGCGCCTGACTGGGCAGACAGACATGGAGACACTCTGCTTCAGCCCATGTTGGCGTTGAAACCTGCTGGAATCAACAGCGAGGCCGTCGAGGGGTGTTTTTGCATCAATGCGGGAGGTTGTGTCGAGGGTTTGCCGGAGCAAAGAGGTAGGAGATTGTGAGTAGAACGCGCTTTTATGGACAAAAATCTTCGATTTTGCTGCGCTTTGTGAGGCCTGCCCGCTCAGTACCCGAAGCGGCTAGACCGGGACCGATAAGCAAGGCCGCCGATAGGCTGAGCCACACCTGTTGCCAAAGCGGCAAGCGCCCCCAAAGTGAGACGTTTCCCTTTGCCAGAGGCGTAAATTACGCGACTCAAACAAGGTCGTAAGGATGAAGTGCATGATATGATTTGAAAGACCGTCGACTTCCCTCCATAAATTTGATTTCCCCCTGGGCACCCAAAAATCCACAATCCCCGGTCGATCGCATCTCACTACAACCCTTCATCAAGCAGCGCCACTCTTTCACCATGTCTGATCACGAGTTTGGAGGTGAGTTTCCAATCCTGCCAACCCCCTGGCAACCCCATGCACTGCTTGGAGTTTGGTCGAACCTGAGGCTTTTGGAAGTGCAGCCAGAGGCTGCAAGTGCGATCTTGTTGTCGAAACGGAATCATTCAGCAAAGGCTCCTTCTCTTCAGGTGGATCGACAGGCTGCTCAAGTGAGGTATGACAGGCGGAGCTTCAGCGGTTGTCGCCTCAACATACCATGAAGCCCTGTCAAGTCCCTGGTCGTTCTCGGAGACTGCACCTCAAAGTCTTATACACAGGCCTCTTCGGCTCAACATCTAATACAATATTGCCCGGCCCTCTGCTACGAATTTCTTACACCTTTGTGCGGGTTATCCTCATCACACTTTTGTTCAAAGACGCTAACGAGTAACCCAGCAAATGACGACCTGTCGCTTCCAAAGGGTGAGTGACATTTCACTCTCGTGGGAGGGAGACGTCCTCGAGGTGTTGCCTGCATGTGTCTGGGCTAGATCCAGCCTTGTGCCGAGACCATGCTGGCAGCCGTCTCCAGCTTCTCGAGGCGAAGACCTCTTTCCCACCCGCTGCGTTGCCCCATACTGACAAGCGACGACAGCCACGGTCCAGAAAATCGTCACAGAGATTCTCCCGCCCGCTAACGGCGTGGCGTTCGCAAAGGAGGCTCGGGATTTGTTGATCGAGTGCTGCGTCGAGTTTATTACGCTCGTCTCATCCGAGGCCAACGAAATCTCAGAGAAGGAGGCAAAGAAGACCATCGCGTGCGACCACATCACGAAGGCCCTGGAACAGCTCGGGTTCTCCGAGTACGTGTCAGCGGTCATCGAGGCCGCATCGGAGCACAAGGAACAGCAGAAGGTATGAATGAATGAATGGCCCCCACACTCCCACAGGAATCGCGGACGGCCCCCACAGGTTGCTGACAGGATCCGAAAACAGGGACGGGAGAAGAAGCTCAACAAGTTCGACCAGAGCGGTCTGTCCATGGAGGAGCTCGAGAAGATTCAGGCAGAGCAGTTCGCCGCGGCTGCTGCACGGCACAATTAAGCGGCATTGTCGGTCACCTTTGCCGTAGGGCTACACATTTCTTTTTGCATCTGGACGGCGTTGAGGATTCAGTTCGGCAGGATTGGGAGGGTATACTTGCGGTGCACTTCATGAGCTCTAGACCGCGTGTATAGGTGTCCATACTTTTTTTCTCTCTAGCAATGCAACCAAACACTCGTGGCATTCGCGCGTATATCTGTCTCTTTTCTCCCTCACAGCTGACCCATGGGGTGAACTATGGCCCAGGGCTATCAGAAACCAGCCTGGCCCACAAATGAACCATTGAGGATTAGTGACTACCTGCTTGAAGCCAATGCCATTAGAGTGGTCATGCTTTCGCATAGTGCGAGCCCAGACATGCGACAGGCCATTTAAGCTCATCAAGTGCCGGCCTTTCCAGCAAGCCGGCTCGTCCACTAGGACCTAGGACCTTGGAGGCTCATCGAGCTAACAACAACCTGCAGTATATAAAGGCAAGCAATCCATTCCCAACTTTGCTTTTTCCTCTTTTCGTTTATTGCCTTCGGGCATCTGGAGAGAAGTCGCAACCTCTGCACAAGACACTGCACTCTCAAAATTAGAGAACGCCCCCCGGCACTACCGATACTTTTTTTTTCACTATGCTCATGACTTTATAGTGACATGGAGAAGAAATGCAAACGCGGCGCAGGTGAGCGAGAACCTAGCAATTAGACACACAAAATACAAGTAACAAGGCAGAATTATCATCCCAAAGTAATGTTGGCTCGATTGTGGCTGTAAAGCTCTGCGAGTATGTGTCTATAAGTCTACGGGAGAGTAGAAGTAACGCCATCCACAAAGCAGAGAAAAAGAAAAGAGAAAAAAAAAAAAGAATTCCCCATGATCTATAAGTCTAAGGTTCGGTATCATCAATGCAAGCATGCAAAGCCATCCAGGTAAGTATGCAGGTCGTAAGTCATCAGTGGTCATAAAAAAGCAAAAAGGAAAGCCGACCGAAAAGAAAGAGGGGAAAAAGAAAAAAAGGTCACTTCTCCTCCGCCTTTGTGCCCATGCTCTCCTCTTCCTTCAGCAGCCTCGCGCGCTCCTCACTTCTCACTCGCAGACGACACTCAAACGGCGCCGGGTGACCGCCGAGTCCCACCGTCAGCGTGGCTTCGGGCTCGACTACCTCGCCGTCGGGGCCGACGACCTTGTCGAGGTCGAAGGTTGCCAGCATGGTCACGATGAAGATGAAGACCGTCGCCGTGGCGAGGTGGTTTCCGGGGCACTTCCTCCTCCCGAAGCCGAAGTTGCCGACCGGGTAGGGCTCGCCGCGCTCATACCGGTCCGGATCGAATTTGTCTGGGTCGCGGTAGGTGTCGGGGTCAGAGCACATCGCCTTGGTATTCGCGAACATGACGGTGCCACCGGGGATGAGCATGCCATTGTAGACATCGTCTTTGATGCTCTGGTGCGGGATAACTAGCGGGTTCAGCGGCAGAGCACGCATGACCTCGTTCATAAAGCGGTTGAAGTATTCGAGCTTGGGTCTGTCGTCGAAGGTCGGCAGACAGCCAGCGCCGACCACCTCGTCGATTTCCTGTTTGACGCGCCTCTGGACGTCGGGGAATTTGGTGAGGAACAGCATGGCGCTGAGCACAGTGCCCCAGGTGCTGTTCCCCCCGGCGATGAATACCGCGGCGGTGGCACCTTTGAGGTCGGCGACGGTGGTCTCCTGCCAAACGCCAGCCTTCTCATTTGCGACGTAGCGTTCCCAGTGTGACTTCATGAACGAGGGAGAGGCTGTGCCAGCCTCTATGTCGCGCATGCTGTCTGCCCACGGAACCTCGTGGATCGTCTTGATCGCTCCACGGCTGTCCCTCGCATGCCGGAGAGGAGCCGACAGACTCGAAGGCAGGAAGTACCTGGCCGGAGGAAACAGATCAACGACCGAAGAACCTGCGATCCCGCCATTTGTGGTGACTTTGTTGGCGGCGTGGGCCATGGCCGTGTAGGGCGAGTCCTTGTCCTTGATCTCCTGGCCGTAGGCGATGCGGAAGATGACGCTAGTGGTGAGAAGCAAGGCAGTGTCGCGCCAGCCCCGGGAATCAACAAGAAGGGAGCGTACGGCCTTGCGGGCCTCGTGGGTCTGCATCGGCCGGAACGTCTTGACGGCGGATTGTGTGAAGGTGTGCTGGAAGAGGCGTCGGTGAAGTTTGAACTGCGGACCCCATCGGAGGAAGGTCAATGTCAGGCCCCAGCCCATGCTGTCCACAACCATTAGTTCCTTCTGTCCTGCTCGCCGATATAGGGGCCTGCTATCACCTACATTTCGAACAGGGTGAAGCGAGGCCTGTCGCAGTAGTTGGCCCCACGGCGGTCGAGGAGGTCAGTTGCCGCCTTGACGCTGTTGAGGCATATCATGTGCTGTCCTAGAACGTTGACATGGATAACATCGGAGTCTGAACAAGTCTCAGCCGGCTGCCCGGATATGCTTTGCTTTGCGTGGGTGGTTTCCCCCCCATCGAAGACTTACTGTATTCCTTTCCCCAACGCATGTAATCCAACTCCGGGTGCTCACTGATACTGCCCAGGTTCCCAACTAGGAACTTTCCCGGCGGTCCGGGGGGCAGCGGGTACGAGAAACGCTTGCGGTAGTAGAGAGTGTAGGACAGCCAGATGAAGAGCAAGACCAGAAAGGCGCCCAGGGCGACCTTGAGGTCTGTCGTCGGGCCAGCTTGTAGCAGCATCTTGACCTCGGGCTGATGGGGTGGAAGGAGAATGGGGAACAGCAACCAAGGATCCAAACTCTGGACAGAAGAAGGCATATTGAACTCAAGGGAGGTCATGAAGATTATCTACTGATTCATGTCGTAAGAAAACTGGACTTGCTGACCTTACTCGCGGCAGTCGCGACCCAGTGATTATGCAGCTGAACGCACAACTCAATAAGCGGGACCAGCTACCGACTGAAGGTGTTTTGACTCATCATCAGCATACTACTTGACGGCGACGTGGAAGGCCTATGAAAAGTCGCAGGTCCATAGTGCTCACGACAAGAGGGAGGTGTGGGGAGATATCTGACTTGGTCGTCACAAAGCCATGAAGCGGTCAGCTTTGACTTGGCTTCCCTCCAGTTGGGCAGTTATCTCCTCCTGACAACGGCAAGGTCGTCACCTGGATCCGCCATAATACAATAGTAGCAAGCAGACTCGGGCAGTGGCGCCTATGCAGGGGAGGGAAGGCCTCACTTGAGCGTGCCTCCCTGCCCTTTGTCGAGAGCAGCCCCTCACCCTGATGCAGCGGACGGACTGCCGAGTTTGCCTCGTGCAGTCTGCAATCTGCGATCAGAGCCTGTAAGGGCACCAGCACGCAGAGGTTCGCGGATCCGCAGTCCGGTTCTCCAGCAAGCTTGTTGTAGAGATTTCCTTCAGTCTTCCCTCATTAAGTTTGGGGCCGCATTTCCAAGGCGTGGATTCCCCGTGGTTGACAGGAGGCTAACCATGTTGGTCAAGGCGTGCTGCAGGGTGGCCCAATCTTTTCGATGCAGTGTTGCGCTGGCCCAACGATGACCCATCCAGGGAAGCGTTGCACTGAGCGGGAGAAGGCCGTGGAAAAGTTCTCGAAGCTTGTCAAGAAGGCAGTAGATGAATCATGTACTTCCCCTAGCGAAATACCAGACCATGGTCTCTACCATGTTTCATGGATGCGACCTTGAAATATCGGAAACTGTAACCAGCATTAGCTGAGGGAGCACAGCACAGCAGGCGAAAGGGGAGCGTGCAGCAGAGTCATGTCTGCATCTAATCACGGCCTCATGTGACAGTGCGTTCCTTGGATCCGATGTGAGACGAGCGGGCATTGGTGACATGTGTGGTGCCAAGTGATGGAGAGCACACCTTTGCACACGAGTCCGGCGAAGGCATGGCTGCCCGGGCCGTTGGGCTTGTGAGCCGGGCAGCGCTTTGGGATCCGATGCAACCACGTGCCGACTGGACACCAGAATAGTCGGTCTGCAAGTCCAAACTAGAGCTGACGGACAGCTGGCAGCAGGCTGAGGATGGCGGAGGCAATGAGTGGCCCACTTCGGTCCGGGGTCGCGTCATGGCCATGGATGGCTTGAGAAGCGGGAGATGGAGAGCGAGAGTGTGTGTGTGCGCGTGCGCGTGTGTGCGCACACTTTCGGCACGAAGCAGCCAGGTCCCGGAAGCAGGGAGACTCAGCGCGATGCCACACCAGGCCCTTCGAAATCAGGCCAGAACGGGTCAGGCCAGCTAAGGTCAGGCCAGTCCAGGTCAGGCCAGGGATACCTTCACAGCACAGTAGGATCGGACAGTGGGGACTGGATGGTTGGATGTGGATGGTGGGACCTAGGGACCTAGGGACGGAGGACGGAGGACGGGTGGACGGTGGATGTGGCGAGGACTGAGGGTGAGGACGAGGGTGTTGGATTGTGGACGGACGTGGATAGTAGGATAACGTCTCTATGGGGGGGGAGCAACCAGCGAGCTGGAGCTGGAGCTGGAGCTGGAGCTGGAGCTGGAGCTGGAGCTGGACAGAGAGGGGCAGAGGGGGTCGGGATTGGGGTTGTCCGCGTGGGCGACATTCCTCTGCCTACCTAGTAGGTAGGCAGCAGGCAGTGTGGACAAGCTGGTTGGCTCTCGCAGTGCCGTGACATCTCGTAATGCTGACCCAATCTGGGCAGCCGTGTCAAGGATGATGGGTTCTGGATGAGATGCGTGTCACTCGGATGGGACTCGCAAAGCTTGGAAGTGGACCGGTGCTGGTGAACAGGAGATGGTGGCACGGATGAGTGTTGTTCAATTCTCTCTTCTTTTCATTTCATTATATAACTCTGATGGACCCGTCCACGTCGGGACCGGACGGCCTCTTCAGGCTGGAGGATTTCTGCACGGGACGACTACGTCCAACAACAGTTCGTGACGAGACGAGGCTGTTGGGCCTCGAGGACGAAACAGGTTTAGGAAGGTGATGGGCTCGGCAGTTGTGCCGTTGGGTGCTGCGCAGGTGGTGACGGCATGAGATGAGGATGAGGATGGAGGTTCGCGCGGTTGGAGCCTGCGTGCCCGGATGCGGTCTCGGGAGCTGTTTCAGTGCGGGGTGTTTGACCCAGGGAAGCGTTTGTCTCCGGGTTGTCCTCGTCCGCGTCATACAAACAGCGTGTAGATGCACCTGTGACGGAAGGTCTTGGGAGGCACGGGGAGGCACGGCGAGACTCTGGGTGGGGAATTCTGAGGGACATCTAGATAGGTGCGAGGGAGGGGGCGGGGGAGGTTGTCTCTACCCTAGGCACCGTATCAGATTATCTCAGCCTAATATGAGAGAGAGAGAGAGATGCCGAGCTAGGGCGAGGGCCGGAGGACGAGGGGCGAGGGCCAACCACCCAACAGGAGGGCAGAGAAGGCCGGCCGGCTGCAGCCAGCCTCCTGAGACATCCAATCCAACTCCACCAACTCGTCCCAACCGAGAGGATGCGAAAGGCTGAGTGAAGGACCGAATCTGAATTCCCCCAGGCTCGCTGACAAGCTTTGATCGAACCAAGTCAAGGCTGCTGCGGATCCCCTGTCGTCGTTTCCGCCCGAGTTCTAGCCCCAGCGGGAGATTCACAGCAAGCCGTCAGCCAGATCGACGTTAGTGCTCGTCAGGGCTCCACAGGCACAGGCGCACACAAACCTGGAAGGTCCACCTCCACCTCCGCCCTGCCCAGTGCCAGCCCGCCAGTGCCCGCCAGTGCCCGCCCGTGCCCGCCCGTCCGCCTTCCCGCCAGCCTGCTTACCGAAGGCTCCTCTAGCCCGTTTTTTACGACTAGAGGCACTTCCCGAGGTCTTGTGGCGACCGTCGACTGCCTGCCGCCACGACAGCAACAGCAGCAACTCGGCCTCGACCAAGATCCATTCCGGCTTCGAGTCGTGAGGAACAGCTCCTCATGGATTTCACAGACACGAAACCCATACAGAATGTGGGCACCGACCTGAGCCTGCCATCGCCTGCCGCGACCTCTGCGCCTGCGCCCGCGTCTGCGCCCGCGCCCGTCATCAAGCGGCGCTCCCCAATTGCATGCCGGAGGTGGGTCAACGCCACGAACACACGCGCCTTGCCGCGACCGTCGCCCGTCCCCGTGTGCTGCTATACTGACTCTCGCTCTCCTTCCCCCCTTCTGTAGATGTCGCCGCATGAGGAGTAAATGCCTGCACGACAAAGCCAAACCACCATGCGTGGCCTGTCGGGAGGCTGGCCTGAGTGCCGCAGACTGGTATGTCTCCCCGTCCCTCCTCTCGCTGCCGCCATCACGTCCCATCTCACACCTGAGCTCGATCAATCATACTGCTTGCCCACCCGCCGGGCCCGGAGCCGTGCGTCGTCCTGGTTGTTGCTTGCCGTACTGATGAATCTCCTCGCATCAGCATATTCCCCGTCCGTGGCCAGCCCGACAATGATCGCGAATACCGCCACCCGCGCATGCGGGCCGACAAGAGCCAGAAGAGAGACTCGGCCAAGATGCGTCGCGATATACTCGATGCCCCCGTCATTCCTTCACCTGCGCCGCTCAAGAACATCAAGGGCGTCGACGAGTGGGACTATCTCCCAACGCTGCCGGATACCATCGAGGCCGTCAACCAGTTCACTAGGAACTACTTCCAGTTGGGTTTCATCCCCAAACAAGCCTTTCCCGAGCGCCTGCGGACCGACTCTCGATCCATCAGTGTCTTCCTCTTGCTCAGCATCCTGAGCATATCGGCGCGCTTCACCCCATCTCTTGTGGAACGGTACGGTGGCGGCATGAAGGCTGCCGAGACATTCATGGACAGGGCAACCGCGGTGGCATTATCAGAACTCTATCAAGTGCCCAGTCTGGAGAGGTGTCAGGCCTTCTACCTGCTCAGCATCGCCCAACAGGGCAGTGGGATGAAGAACAAGAGCTACGTATGTCAACCCACACTGTTCGCAAGTCGCACAGAAGTCGGCATGGCTAACTTCTGTCAAGATCAACATGGGCATCGCCATGAGGATGGCCGCCTTGATGCGGCTGCACCGAGAAGAGACGTACGCGCTTCAGAATCCATCAAAGGAAATGGTTATCGCTGCTGAGTCGGCACGTCGAACTCTGTGGATGCTTCACAGTAAGTCGTCTCACAAGCATACACACCAAATTTTATTTAACAAATCGTCCTTCAGGCCAAGATAACCTTCATTCTGGTCCCGAGTCCCCTGTTTCTCTTGCCGCTGGTGACATCACAGCCCTCCTTCCATGCAGCGAGGAGGACTTTGCCAAAGGCCAAGAGCCACCTTCCCGGGCAGCACTCGAAGACACGCCTCCTGCGATAGACAATCCTAAATTAATATCTGACCCGAGGCGTTCTCTATTCGCGACGCTGATCCAGACACACTACTTCTGGGGCCGGGTTTCCCGCAGGGCTGTCAAGTATGACAGAAGCTCCCGACCCTGGGAAGACACCAGCGAGTACGCAGAGCTAGTTGCGAAGCTTCACGAGTGGGAGAGCAATCTGCCACACGAGCATATGTGGAGTCCTGTCCTGCTCAAGGGCTACAAGGCAGGGGGCCAGGACCTGGTAGGCTACAAATCAGTCTTCTCGGGTGACAACGAATATTGACCATTACTGTAGGCCTATCTGAGCATTACAAACTCCACACGATTGTGCAACATCGTACTGCGGAAGGCATATTTGAGCGAGTACGTCGGGCAACGGCAGCACCCCTTAGTCTGGATGATGCTTACAACAACACAGGATGATCAACCTTGACCAATCAGACGCTCAACTGCAGACTTTCTGGTCCAACATGTCGCTCGAGCTCTTCAAAAATGTCAAGCTCCTGTATGAGCAGATAGAGACGCAGTTCATGGAGAGAGCAGCTGACGACAGCCTGGGTGCTCAGATGGCCGTATGTGGTTCCAATCCAGGTGCAATTACTTGATCGACCAGGCTAATTTGCCATAGTTGTTCTGCGTCTTTAGTTGCGGCCACATGGCTACGTATTTGTGCAAATATCCAAACGGTTTGTCCCATCCAGCCCGGCATGGAAGCCCAGAAGTGCAGTCACGCTAACACTGCCCCAAGTCTGTCCGGATCCCATGATCAGCCGAGATGGACCCATCATGCTCCAACGAGCCATGCAGATCCTCACGGAAGCATCCCAGGTGTGGCCACTAGCTGCTCGATGGCTCGAGAACCTGGAGAAGTTCTACCGTGATAATAAGGGTGCCATACCCGGCATAGAGGGAAGCATGGACGACAGCGTGCGTGTCACCCAACTTCTAGAAAACGTTGCTGCCCCCTGTTTGACTGTTACATATGAATTTGACCTGCTAACGGGCACACAGCGTGATCCTGTACCCGAGGCTCTGCAAGCGGCACTCGCGCGGCCTCCCTCCAGGAACGGAACTGGGACGAACCACACAGCCAATCAGGACGCTAGCAACCAGCAAACCCGCAACGGCGAGACCTCCTCCAATGCTGTGATGCAAGCGCCGCCCCAGGTCCCGACACCGATGATGTACATCGATCCAAGTATGCGAATGTCTCAGAGCCAAGGACAAATACCACAGTCGCAGGCAGCACAGGCCATGGCCGGGATGCAGCAGCAGCAGCTTGGAGACCGACCTGCTACCGACGGCTTGGGACTGCTTCTCGAGGCCTTCGACTCCCACCAAGGAGCGAACATGGCGGCAGCAGGCGCAGGTCAGCCATACGACCCCAACCTCGCTGCAAACCAGGCCGGCTACTACGGACAGCCAGGCACGGCCATGCCTGGCAACGACGGATACGAGAATGAGCTGCAGTTCTACATTGACGGAGCGCCAAGCGTGCATGGATGGGTCGGCACAGGTGCGGGAATGTATGGTTACTGATAGCTTCTGCGGTGAGATCAAAGACGCTGGGCTGGTATATCGTTATTAGAAGGCTATGGCTGGCTTGTAGGCAGACTGATTCCAAGAAAAGCATCTGGGAAAGGGGCGACTTGAGCGAGCAATACATGGCCCTGGTAATGTCTTAAAACCCCAATCTGAGTTGGGTCGGTGGGGCAATGAATGAAACGGGGCACACAAGCACGGAAAGATAGGTTTGAGCAATCAGAACATAACAACCGTTGTAACCAGATGCTGTGGGCACACTGCTTCGTGATACTATGCACCTTGACAAGAGAGACGGTCATGCTGTATACCGGGCCGGCTGACACTGAAGCTCGGCTTTCAGCGGAAAGATGTGGAGGGCTGAATATGCCTTCATCTTGACTGGCCGCTCTTACGTAGCGAGTGGATCAATGTTTTGCCATTGGACCGTCGATGCTTCTATGTCCAACTTCGCAAGCCTCGTGACTTGCAGAAAGCTCTCGAGGGCGTCACGGACAAAATGGGTTTGAAATGTTGTAGAGAGCGTGTAAGACCTATTAGATCGAAAGAGGGATGTGTTTAGCTTCTCAACTCTAGAAACGTAGAAATCACAAGGAGAGCAAATAGTGTAGCTCGCCTCACAAACGCTACCACCCCTCAGTCACGTCTTGCCAAGGATTATTACCCTGGTCTGTACCGACGGGGACGAGAAAAGAGGGAGTAAAAAAAGGATGAGCGGCCGAACTCGCCCAGGCCATTGCCACGCTCAGTGGCGCATTGGCGCAATGTCGCACAGGCTTAGGGAGAGGACGATATCAGTTAGACGGTAGACCCCTGTCTTTTGGTACAGTCGCACTGGCCTACCCCAGAAAATTGGACGACATCGGGCAGGGTTGCAGCATCAGCACCGCGATGGTGATCTTTTATGGCAGAGGTGACTCAATTGTTGACTCAAAAAGACCACTCCCCTTGTCCTATCCTATTTAACCGGGGATTTTCCTTGACATTGAGAGGACAACCTCTATTTCATACCTCAGTCTACCAATTGCCAACCATTCATCCCCGGGCAGCTTCGAGGAAGAGACAGAGTCTAGATCGAGACTGTCGCTCCCCAACTGCAGCCCCTCCAAAAAAGTGAAAAGTGCCCCTCACTTCCCGCCGTCAAAGTTTCGATCAGAACAGAAAGCGAGGCACCAACCTCCAGCGGTACCTCAAGATGCCTATGTAAGTTTTTCTCCGCGGAATTGGCAAGATCTCATTTCTGGTTCTTGCAAGAAAAGCTAGCTAAATAGTGTCACGCTCTCGCTCTTTGCAGGCTCAAGGATCCCTCCAAGAAATACAGGTCTTTCCCAGCAGTCAACCTGCCAGACCGACAATGGCCCTCCAAGGTCCTGAACAAGGCCCCCAGGTGGCTGGCAACTGATCTCAGGGACGGGAACCAAAGTCTGGTTGACCCAATGGTACGTGTTTAGACCCAGACATTCCCAATTGGCGCTCCTTGCTAAGCAGCGGGCTTCCCAGAACGGCGATGAGAAGTGGGACTACTTCAAGATGCTCTGCGACCTGGGTTACAAGGAGATCGAGGTCTCCTTTCCCTCCGCATCGCAAACCGACTTCGACTTCACCCGCCGCCTGATCGAGACGCCCGGCGCCGTGCCCGATGACGTCTACCTGCAGGTCCTCTCTCCCTGCCGCGAGGACCTCATCCGCAGGACAGTCGAGTCCCTCAAGGGCTCCAAGAAGGCCATAGTACATATCTACCTCGCCACGAGCGAGTGCTTCCGACGCATAATCTTCGGCTTCACCGAGGAGGAGAGCGTAGAGCTGGCCAAGAAGTGCACCCGCCTGGTCCGCCAGCTGACCAAGGACGATCCTTCACAACAGGGCACCGACTGGGCGTTCGAATTCAGCCCCGAGACGTTCAGCGATACTGGCTTGGATTTCGCGGTCAAGATCTGTGAGGCGGTCAAGAGCGAGTGGGAGCCTACCGAAAAGAATCCCATCATCTTCAACTTGCCTGCGACGGTGGAGATGTCCACGCCCAACGTCTACGCCGACCAGATCGAGTACTTTTGCAAGAAAATCACGGAGCGCGAGAAGGTCTGCGTGTCTCTTCACCCTCACAATGACCGCGGCTGTGCGGTCGCCGCAGCAGAGCTGGCGCAGATGGCTGGGGCAGACCGGGTGGAAGGCTGCCTCTTTGGAAACGGAGAGCGCACCGGCAACGTGGACCTGGTGACCCTGGCTCTGAATCTCTACACGCAAGGAGTAAACCCGCAGGTTGACTTCTCCGACCTGCAAGAAGTCATCCGGACGGTGGAGGTGTGCAACAAGATCCCCATACACCCTCGCGCTCCATATGGCGGTTCCTTGGTCGTTTGCGCTTTCAGCGGCTCGCACCAGGACGCCATCAAGAAGGGCTTCCAAGCCCGGGACCAAGCCGGCGCTCAGTACGACGACTACTGGCAGGTCCCTTATCTGCCCTTGGATCCCAAGGATATTGGCCGCGACTACCAAGCCGTCATCCGTGTCAACTCCCAGAGTGGAAAGGGCGGTGCCGCGTGGATTATCCAACAACACCTGCATCTCGACCTGCCCCGTGGCCTGCAGGTCGACTTCAGCCGGGTTGTGCAAAAGGCGGCCGAGGAGCGCAGCCGCGAACTCCTGCCGGTGGAGATCACGGAGCTGTTCGAGAAGACATACTTCCTGCGCGACAACCCGCGCTTCACGATTGTGGACTACAGCATCTCTCCCGACCGGTCGCGCAGCCCCGCGCCGCCCGAGCCGGGCAAGACGCCCGACACCATGTCCCTGCCCCGTCTGTTCGAGGGTGTCCTCTCCGTCGACGGCAAGGAGTACAAGCTGCGCGGGCGGGGCAATGGCCCGCTGTCGTCCCTGTCGGATGCGCTGCGGAGCGTCGGCGTGGACATTGACGTGAACGACTACAAGGAACACGCCGTTGGCAAGGGCCGCGACGTCAAGGCCGCTACCTACATAGAATGCACGGCCGCCGGGTCAAGCCAGACCAAGGTGTGGGGTGTGGGCATCCACGAGGATGTCGTACAGAGCTCGCTGGTGGCACTGCTGAGCGCGGCTAGTAACGTGAGTGACCTTCAGAGCGGTCCCGACCCAAGCACAAGCACAAGTCCAAGCCCAAGCCCCCTGCCGTTGAAAGTTCTCAGATTGTTCAAACCCCGTCTCTGAAGAATTGGATTTGGTAACCGGCTGACGCAAAACCCCTACTGCCACTATAGTTTGTCTTGTCCCGTCCTAGCAGTCCCATCCTGAGGAATCTGAGCGACAAACAAATCGAGGGCAATGGCAAGGCTAATGGGGCGGACATAATTAACCGCCTGGAGTCTGCTGCGGACGAGATGTAAATGGGTCTGTCTGTGCTAGACGGACGGAACCAGGTGGTGGGAAGTGGGATCATAGCTCGCTTTCTGAGGGCCGCCGAGGGATGGATGGCATAAAAGTAAATTGCATCTGGTTTGGTCTTGACCCTCTCATGACACCGCCATCCAAAGCATGGGAGGTTGACATCTGGTCGTATATCGAAAGATGTCACGGCGCCTGTAGTTAGTCGCAAGGGAAAGGCGAGACGCATAATTATTAGGGCTAGGAAAAGTCATCACGTTGATTTCGGAAGAGGCTGAGGTTACCCTGACGGATATTCAGATCTGTGAAACATGACTACTTGAAGGTGTCTACTCCAGATTTCGTCACAATCTATGTCGCCGATGCTTAAACCGGACACCGACACTTCCAGATACATGCCAAGCAGGCGGAGTACCCAGTTTGTCTACATCCCTAGATAAGCATTGCCCGTTTCCGGAAGCGCTCACCTCGGCCTTAGTGTTGTAGCGGCCTGAAACAACGGTGTCGGGCCCTTCGTGAGTCCCTCTGTCGTCATATTGGGTTCCAGCTAAACATTCGAACGAGAGGCTGTTTCCAGTTGCATTCATACCGAGAGAAACCAGAGAAGCGCACCGGGAGGTGGTCAGCCTTGCTCAAGACGCTGCTGGGCAAGGCAACCAGAGCCAGGCCTTTGGGTTTTGGTATAGCAGATCCCTCAGGGGCATGGCACTGCCTGGGTGGTTCTGGTCTCTTCCATGGTAGCCAACAGACTAGCAGCCTGGTAGGCATTCTGCAGCAGGTAGACAGAGGAGGGAACCCCTGGCGTGTAGCGATCCTCCGAGAGAAGATACCTTACCCTGACAGCAGGTGTGGCTGCTCGGCTGCTTGGGGACGTAGGCGAGCAGGGCACCATGCAGGTGGGACCCGGACCGGGCGAATGAAAAACGCAGGAAGGGACGAGAGGCACGAGGGGGGCAATGGCGCTAACTCTACAAGCGGCGGCCCTCTTTTCCCCAAGGCTGCTGGGCACTGGGCTGCAGCCGGCAACCGCAGAAGGGACCGGACGTCAACACCGCCAAATCCGCATTCCTCCTCGTCTGGCCGACGCCCCTCTCCTCGCACAATACTCGCCCCTCGGACGAAAAGAATCCAACTCCCTGGCGGCAACCACTCCATCTGCTTCTCCTGGAGCCCACGACGACTGTCTTTTGACGCGAAACAACCTCCCCCACAAAAGCACCACGCGGACAGACGAGACATAAAATAGAAGGACGGGCGCCCTTGCTGGACCACCCGTCTCCACGCTCCTTTGTACCTCCCCAGAGCAATCAGCAGGCGCGACAAGGCTTGTGCACGGCCTGGAACAGCTTCAGAGCAGCAAGGAGAGTCAGAAGAAAGCGTGATTCAGCTCCTGTGGCTACTTGGTCCGAAGCCGCAGCGTTGAGCCGTCTGGACATCATCAGGTCGTTGTGTTGTTTATTTCATCGAGCCCGGTACGTAAGGTGCGGTGCAAGCTCCCAGGCGGAGGGGTCGATCGGCCCAAGTTCGACTCAGGAACCTTGCTGCCTTTTCCACATGCCCAGCACCTACCTAGGTCTGCTACCTACACACCTGGCCCGCACTAGACCTACATACTCCATCCAGTGCGGTCGAGAATAAGCCTGTGAATGTGATGCGAGCCGCACTTCAACCTCCCCGCTGCCGCTAACAAATTATTACGACCAACAAACTCATGTTTTTCTTCCCCCCAGGCAACCCACACCGACCTCTACACCTCTCTGCAACCCGTCCTACACAAATACCAACCTCTTGAAAACCCGCAGCCATGGCGGAAGGGGCCCCTCAGATCAACGAGGTGCTTTTGAACTCGCTGTCTCCCGGTGAGTCCTCCCCATCTGCCTGTCCACCTCGCCCACCAGTGCCGTGCACCCCGTCCCGTCACGATGCGATGCGCCCGCCGAGGACAGTCCTGCTGACCACCTCACAGACGCGAACCTTCGAAATGCTGCCGAGCAACAGCTCACACAGGCCGCCGAGAACAACTTTGTAAGGAAAAACCCCCCTCCACACCCCACCGTGTGCCTGCGTGCTGCCTGCCCTTCGGTGACCACCGTCACTAACAACATGCCCCTCACTTAGTCATTGTACCTCGCGACCCTCGTGCAGGCATTGGCAGATGAGAACGCCGAAGGTCCCATCCGAGCCGCCGCCGGTATCGCCTTGAAGAACGCATTCACCGCCAGAGAATTCGCAAGACAAGCAACATTACAACAAAAATGGCTCCAGCAAACCGATGATGAGACCAAGACACGCGTCAAGGATCTGGCCGTCCAGACCTTGTCGTCCAGCAACTCCCAGGCCGGCCAGGCTGCTGCCCAGGTCGTTGCCTCCATCGCTGCCATCGAGCTGCCACGTAACCAGTGGGCCGATCTCATGGGAGTCTTGGTCCGGAGTGTCAGCGAGGGCAACCCACATCAGAAGCAAGCCTCGCTGACAACTATCGGTTTCGTTTGCGAGAGCCAGGATGCCGACCTGCGAGCGGCTCTGGTTGGCCACTCGAACGCCATCTTGACAGCCGTCGTGCAAGGCGCCCGGAAGGAGGAGACCAACAGCGAGATCCGGCTCGCCGCTATCACTGCGCTGGGTGATTCTCTGGAGTTCGTCGAGAACAACTTTAAGCACGAGGGCGAACGGAATTACATCATGCAGGTGGTGTGCGAGGCCACCCAAGCCTCAGACGCCCGCATACAGCAGGGTGCTTTCGGTTGTCTTAACCGGATCATGGCCCTCTACTACGACAAGATGCGCTTCTACATGGAGAAGGCTCTGTTCGGACTGACCATTCTCGGCATGAAGAGCGAGGATGAGGACGTCGCCAAGCTTGCCGTGGAATTCTGGAGCACTGTCTGCGAGGAGGAGATCGCAATCGAGGATGATAACGCACAGGTGAGCTTCGCCACTCAAACATGTCGGTCGGGAATGGTGCAGAAACTGACATCCTCCCAGGTCGACAGCTCAGATCAAATGCGGCCTTTCTACAACTTCGCCCGCGTCGCGACCAACGAGGTGGTGCCAGTCCTGCTGAACCTGCTCACCAAGCAGGATGAGGACGCAGCTGATGACGAGTACAACATCTCCCGTGCTGCTTACCAGTGTCTGCAGCTCTACGCCCAGGCAGTGCAGGCAACTATCATCCCGCCCGTGATCGCATTCGTGGAGGGAAACCTGCGCTCAGACGACTGGCACAACCGAGATGCTGCAGTCTCTGCTTTCGGCGCCATCATGGAGGGACCTGATGAGAAGGTGCTCGAGCCAATAGTGAAGTCTGCCCTGCAAATCCTCATCCAAATGATGGACGACTCGTCTGTGCATGTCCGGGACTCGACAGCTTATGCTCTCGGCCGCATTACTGAGGCGTGCTCAGAGGCCATCGATCCCGCCACGCACCTGGACCCTCTGATCCGGTCTCTCTTCTCTGGCCTGCAGACCAACCCCAAGATGGCCCCTTCGTGCTGCTGGGCTCTCATGAACCTCGCTGAACGCTTCGCCGGCGAGCCTGGCACACAGACCAATGCCCTCACAGGGCACTTCAACGACAGCATCCAGTCCCTCCTGACTGTCACTGCCCGGCCGGACTGCGACAACACGGTCCGCACGGCAACCTACGAAGTTCTCAACATCTTCGTTCAGAATGCTGCACAAGACTCTGTTCAGTCAGTTGCACAGCTCTCCACCGTCATCCTTGAGCGCCTGGAGAACACGATTCCCATGCAGAGCCAGGTCGTCAGTGTCGAGGACAAGATCACTCTTGAGGACATGCAGACAAGTCTTTGCTCCGTGCTCCAGGCCATCGTTCAGCGACTGGACAAGGAGATTGTTCCCCAGGGTGACCGGATCATGCAGATCCTCCTCCAGATTTTGAGCTCTGCTGGCGCCAAGTCCAGTGTGCCTGAGGCTGCTTTTGCCGCCATCAGCGCGCTTTCTAACGCTATGGAAGAGGACTTCGTCAAGTACATGGATGCCTTCACTCCGTTCCTTTACAACGCGCTGGGCAACCAGGAAGAGCCAAGCTTGTGCTCTATGGCTATCGGTCTTGTGAGCGACATTACCCGATCGATGGGAGAGCAGAGCGCACCGTACTGCGACAGCTTCATGAACTACCTGCTTAACAACCTGAGGTCTACGGCTTTGTCCAATCAGTTCAAGCCTGCCATTCTGCAGTGCTTTGGCGACATTGCAAGTGCCATTGGCGGCCACTTCGAGAAGTATTTGTCTGTCGTGGCACAGGTCCTTCAGCAAGCAGCGACTGTTACTGCCAGTCCCGAGGGCAGCTACGAGATGTACGACTATGTCATCTCTCTGCGGGAGGGCATTATGGATGCTTGGGGCGGTATTATTGGTGCTATGAAGACCAGTTCCAAGAGTGAGTATTCTACCTTTTTGCTCTCAAAGACGCACAGCGCTGACCCTCACCCCGCAGCTCAAATACTCCAAGAGCACGTTGCCTCCATCTTCCAGCTGCTGAACATCATCGCCAATGACATGAACCGCAGCGAAGCTCTGATGCGGGCGTCCATGGGCGTTATCGGCGATCTCGCGGACGCGTACCCCAACGGAGAGCTGGTCGAGGCCTTCCGCCAGGACTGGGTTGCTGCGATGATCAAGGAGACTCGGGCCAACCGCGACTTCCAGCCTCGTACTATTGAGACAGCCCGCTGGGCCCGCGAACAGGTCAAGCGGCAGGTCGGTGGCACCGCCAACACCATGGCAACGTGAGCCGCGCTTCCAATTTAGCGCTCTACCCCTGTTCCCCATCACTTTCGCCTTTTTAATGACAGCCTCACGAGCAATGAGCACGACACAACTGGCTTTTGCTCCTCTGCCCTCGGGTGGGCAGACGAGGCAAGGAGCCTTAGCCGAGCGGAAGAATGCAGCATCATGCGATCCCCCCATCCCCATCCAAACAATCATCACATCATCAATGACACCAAGAAACACCGGCGGCATGCAGGCACGAGTCCATACGCCCGCAATTGGAGTCGAAACACAACCCCCAATACCCCATGACACTACACTTACAACACTTTGGAAGCTACTGCTGCTTTTGTTATCTTGCCTATTCGAAGAGACCACCCTCAATATTCCAGACCAGGAGGCAAAGCGAATAGAGAATCATGTACTGTCCATGCTACGGCTGGGCAAATCGAACGTCATGTAGAGACGAATGTCACAAAACGGAGTCAGGAAAGGAAAGGAAGGGCACGGGATAAGACAAGAGGAAGGCCGAGCCTCGGATGGGTCTCTTTGTGTTGTCCAAGTGGACAGAGGCTATACCGGGCGTTTCAGGAGCGGAGGATACTTTCTGGCAATGGGAAGACTTTCCGACACAACCTCCTGGGACGGGATGGGAGAAGAGACGAGAGCGCAGCTACACCGGGATGGTTCTTCCTGGTCAGGGAGCATATTTTGATGTCCGGGCTTTGTTCATGCCACATGGGTCAGCCTGGGTTTCTGGCAAGCGGCGAGATGTGGGATGGACTTTCTGTGTCTGGTACGCTTGCTGGGGAAAGAAGAATATGGCCCAAGACTTTGAGGATAGACAGACGATGCTGGGCTGCCTGGTCGAGTGACCACAGTTCGACATAGCTCGTTATATGGTAGCGAAATCACAACCCCAAATACCCCCCCCCCTGCAATCGGTGAGGCCTGGATCGAAGACCGTTACCGTTAAATTCTGATAGACGCAACTATTGGCGGACTCCAAGTGTGATGCGCGATCATGAATGGGGAAAGGCCAGCCGGATGTGGTGTGGTCGTAGTCCGTTGCAGCAAGGCAAGCTTAGTAGGTCTTGCTTGCTGTGCGGTGCCGGGTGTCCGGTGCCCGGGCGAAAATGGTTCGCGCCAGCATCCCAGTACTGAGCATCGAGGATGAGCGAGCAACTGAACAGTTCCTACAATATCAGACAAGGACCTGAGAGTCTACTATATGGCTGGGTCCAATAGTGTTGATGCATCCCAATGAACCTTTGATTGTGAATAGACGGGGTTGTGGACCCTGACATCATTCGGTCCCGGTGACCCCAGAACCTGGCCGAGGCGACTCGCCTCTCATGAGTAAGAGAACAATGCATGGCGCCAGCTGCGCCCAGGACAACGCCCTCGACCCGCCGTGCAGGGCGAGGGCAAAATGTAGGGAAACCGACCCCTCCCCATGCTGTACACCGTCCTTTCGGTAGCATTAATGGGCATGCGGCACGCACTGACAGGCGAAGATCATCAAAAGACAATACGAATCTTTTCGGGCGTTTACTCAGCGACCCTTGCGGGAACCGCAGCGTCCCCACGTGACACCCCTCAGGCCAACCCGCGAGATTGACAAAGAAAAATTTAAAGATAAGTCGGCCAAACCTCTAAAAGGGCCCGAGGCTCCAAAGAAGGGAACGTCATCGTCCGTGTTGTCTTCGGGAGCTACCGTGGACGCAGTTGTCACCAACGGACATCATCAGTGGCACCACCACAACAGGCAACCCTCTCAGCGTCCCTTGTCGCACGGTATCCTTTTTAGAGGAGACTGGGGACAACACACGACGCCCGTCGACATCATGCACCAACCACCTCGGGACCAGCAGGCGCCAGCAGCAGCAACAGCGCCCATACCGCCCTCCTTCGCCCGCCGCAAGGAGGCCATCCTGGCGCAGCTCGCGGTCCCGGACGACGAGTACACGGACCTGAGCCCCAAGGGCACGGTGGACGCGGGCATCAGGGACCTCATCGACGAGATCAACGGGCTCGACGGGCTCGTCACCACCAGCAGCTGCGCGGGCCGCGTCAGCGTCTTCCTCGAGGGCCGCAGGGCGGGCCGGGGTGGGCCCGCGGCTGCGGACGAGGGGAGCCTGCTGCTGCTGCCGGGCCACCACCTGGCCGTCGAGGAGGGCGAAGGGGAGGACGGGGTTGAGGGACAGGGGCAGGGGCAGGGGCAAGCGGAGGCCGGCGGTGCGGCTGCCGGTGCTGTGAGGGCCGGGGCCACGCCCGGTGGCGGTGGCAACGGGAGGGACGAGCCGGCGGCCGCGGCCTCGGTGAACACTGTCGCGGGCGTGGGCGGCAAGGGCGGTGGGGGCCGGTGGCTGTTCGTCTCCCACGAGCCTGTCGAATCGCGCGGAAAGCTGGACAGCGAGCCCAACATCGTGGCTGCGCTGCTGGGCATAGAGGAGCCCATCTTTGACGGGAGGGAGGGCAGCTCGGCGGAGGAGATGGGGGAGAGCAGGTTGATTCATTTCAAGTTTGAGCCTATGGTATGGTTGCCTTTTCACTTGCGTTGCTTGCTTCTACTCTTGATCTGTCCCAAGTTCCACGTTTGTTGCCGCATGCTAACAACCGATCTCTCAGATCTTACATGTTCTCACGGCGTCCCCCCAGCACGCCCAGCTCATACTCCGTTGCGGCCTCCAGGCTGGCTTCCGCGAGAGTGGTGCCATTAACCTTATTCCGCCGACAACGACCAATCACGATGCATCGGCAGCAGCAGCGACGCCCATCGTGGCGATCCGCTCCATGGGCCTGGGGCTGGAGAGCCTGATCGGGCGGGAGACGAACGGGACCAAGCACTGCACGGTCTCGGTGGAGTATCTGCGGGCGCTGGTGAAGATCGCCAACGAGAGGTTCGCCGAGAACACGAGGAGGATTGGGCGTTTCAGGGCGTTCCTGAAGGAGGCAGCGGCCGGAGAGAGGCGGAAGGTGAGGAAAGGGGAGGGTGGCGGCGAGTGGGAGAACGCCGATGCCAGGAGGGAGAGGAAGAGGCTTGAGGGCCTGCAGATGGCGGAGGAGGCAAGGAGGGTCAGAGAGCAGCGGCGGCAGCAGCAGCAGCAGCAAAATAGCGAAGCTGACGATACTCCGGGCTTGGGCTCGCTAGAACAAATCCAATGATTCCGATACGTCTTTTTAAGCTTTGCTTGAATTTCCTTTGCCATCCCAGGGTCTGGGGCCGTAGTCTATATCTCCCTTTTCAAAGCGTCAAGAAGAGCTCCCGTATCATACACGCGCTCCCGGACGCATATTGTATCTCATCGGTGATGTCCCCCTCCCAAGTGAACGCACAGGCAGGCCGCTCTCCACCCCCTCATGAGATAACTTTCTCAACCCACCCCTTCTCCAGCCGGCGCACCTCCTCCTTGAACCGCTCCACCTCCCTCCAGCAGTCCAGCGGCCGGCGGTCGTTCTCGCGCAGGCAGCGCACGACGTCGCCACGGGCCGCCTCGACGCCCTCGGGCACCTCGCGCACGCCCTTCCTCTGCTCCAGCTTCGCCCGCAGCGCCCGCACCTCCCCGGACACCTCGTGCCGCGTCACGGACGGCTGCTTGTTGTTGTCGTCGGCGCTGGAGGAGGCCAGCTTGTCGGTGAGCTCCCTGAGCCGCTTGTCCTCCTGCTGCTGCAGCTTGCGCAGCTCCGCGGCGACGCGGGCCTGCACCTGGAGCTCGGCCAGCTGGGCGCGGGACGCGTCGGTCTGTCGGTTCCTCGTGGGTCAGTATTTGGGCTGTCCGGTACACAACTACCCAAGAGGGTAGGGGAAGATGGTTCTGTGTCCTCTGATCTAGGGCGAGTGGTTGACGCACCTCTGTGCTCGACTGCAGCGACTCGACCATCTCTTGTGATACGCTGCTGGGTGATGACCTGGAGATCCCGCACCGTCGTCAGCAACCGCGCAACGGTCAAGTAAAAAGACATAGACGGGTGCCAGGCAGGCGGGCGAGCTTACCCCTTCCACACGTGTGGCGGCTGGGTGTCGGACGGTTTGGACGAGTTCGCGCCCATCTTGTTGCTCGTCAATGGCTGTCTTGGGGAGGGCAGTGTGCGCGTTCGTTAAGGCGGTTCGACTCTCCGGCTTGTACGCCTGCGGCGGCGTATCACTTAGCAAATTTCGGAATGACGTCTCGCTGACCCCAACCCTGAAGCTCTGGGAGCTGGGGAGGTGGTCGGCTCAGTAGAAGGGGCTCCGACCAGGGTTAAACCCTGACATACGAGGTCGGACCAGCCTGAGAGACTCATTGTTGGATTCTTAGATGATCACATTGCGTGTGCCCGAGTCCAGGCTTCCTGTCCTGAATGCTTTCGTAAGGGCAGGATTTGTGATGTTTCTTGGACATGACGGAGACCTTCGTTCATCATGAAGAGACTTCCACCTCGGCAGCAAGTGAGAATAACTTCATGCGAGAGGCGGAATATCACCGTGGTACAAGCTACACTTGTACTCACTCAATGAAACAATCCTGTTATGAACAGTTGCATGGACCCGAAAAATCGTTGGTCTGACTTGGCCGTACACAGACTACTGTAGCTCCCTTCCATGGGATGAAGTCCTATGGGAATAGCCTCTTCCTTTTGCAGGATGGCCACCGTCTAGAATAATTTTTGAAGGGTTCCATACCTTTAATGAGTCAGTGCCTGACAATTTCTCCGGGATCAACACCAGCATCCATCTTGCAGTGCCTCGGTCCAGCAGCGCAGCAGCTGCCAACCCGGAGAGCTGGTAAATTGTGAGGGAGATTGTGCTGCACAATGTGAGGGCTATGTAGGTGGCGGCTATATGATCTGCCGCCAGCCTCGGTAGCATCCGAGCTTTATTCTGGAGCGGTAAAATGATCATCTACAAGGAGTCGGGGGAAGACAAAATCACAACGTGGGAGTGCCAAGAGACGAAAACGTGAGATCTCGTCGCTTAATCATAAGATCTCTGTCAAGGCGAGGCTCTGTGGCCAGCATCTCGGGTCCAGCAGCGACCTGGCAGTGTCGACTATTGGCCGAGAACGCGTCGACGTTCCCTGTTTGGCAGGAAATCCGGGCTCTCGCCCATCCTCTTTATTTTTCTTTTTCAAGATTTGCTTTCGCATGGCAGGGCCTTATCGCCAGCAGGCCTGTGGCCTGGCCGGCCCTGCCAAGGGGTTGTGCAGGGTTCGGGGCCGTTGGCCAGGGGTGGACGGGGCGGGAGGCTCTCAGCGAGATTAAATTGAGGCAGTCCTTAGATTATGAGAAGCACTCAACCTGAAGATACGAAGTGGGGATCTGCAGGCCTGACTGCGTTTGACAGAGTGCTCATACGCTGCCATGCGGAGCCTCCATCCCGCGCAGCGTGGCCCAGGGAACCGCAGGAACGTGGCACTGGAAAGATTGAGCAGTGGGCTGGCCTCAATGCGGCTGGATGGTGCCAAAAAGAGCCAAGGCGCCTGTCAAGACCTCATATCTTGGGAGGATTCCGGTCCTGCGATGTTGGATCTTGGGTTGCTTCTTCGTAGCTTCGTATTCCGAGCTTGCCGACAGCTGGCGCATCCCCCACCGTCGCTGGGCTGGGCGGCTTCCTTCCGAAAAAGGACCTCGGCGAGGGAGCACCAAGCGCCTTGGGGTCATCCAGGGCCATCTCGCTTGGTCTGAGGTCCTGCACAAGGGGCAGCCGGACTGCGAAGGATGGCACGCAAGCAGGGCAGAGCATGGCAGAGGTATGGCAGAGACAAGGTGAGGTCGGCCGGAATAATGTCATGTTCGAGCCAAACGGAGAAACACAGACGGGGCGCGACTGTCCTTCATCAAGCCCCGTTGTGCCACCGCGACAGATCTTGCGCACCTGGGCAGGCAGAGTCGCAACACCGTCGCCTGATGATAGCCATCTGCCGCGATCCTGGAGGCTTGTGCAGAGGACTCTCTGCGTATCGTGTTGCCCAGTCTCAGTGTGGTCCCGCGTTCTGGGGATATCAAGGGGCCCCTCCGCCGAGTCCCAAGGATTCGGCGAGGTTGAGGTGGGTGCGGGGAGTGACACAACGTGGTGTTGTTTCCATCTGATCTTTGCAGATCGGCGGTAGTAAGCAAGTCAAGAGATCATATGTTTCGACCGGTTGTTTCTGTCAGTTGGCTCTGTTCTGTTCTAGCCTGGTGATGGCGCCCTGGTGATAAATGTTTGAGGTTTCGTTGGCGGCCCCCTTTTTTCCTGCAAGGCAACCTCGGACCCCTGACCCCGGGCAAGGGGCTGGGCCGCCTTGATTGGCTCTGCTGAGTCGCCGCCGAGCTGCCGTGTCCGACTGACAAGCGATGCCAGCCAATGCCTTGCGGGCTACCAGGGCATAACCAGCTTGTGCATCCCTACTGGGTGGTATTGATCGTCCCGTCGATGCGAATGCTGCTCAACGACTCGCCCAGACGCACGCCGGGACAGCTTGGATGGGTTCGTCCAAGGCCTCAGTGCAGCTGAACCCATAGGCCGTGGAGAGCTCTGCTGCCGTGTCAGAAAACCCCCGAGGTGCCTGCAGAGACTCCAGACTCCAGAGGGCTCCGGAGGGGCGAGGGGCAGAGAGGGGATCGCAGCAGGCACAGGGACAAGGGGCAGATTGTCTGTGCAGGAAACAGGCACAATGCAGCACACCGTGCCGTTGTACCTCCGTACCTCCCGTAAAGCCCCCCGTTACACAGCCAGCGTCCGCAGGTGCACTAACATGCGAGGGACAGGTTCACTCACCGTCGGGACTCCACCGAGCATGGGTGCGGACCAGTCCTTGTCTCTTCCATCTCGTCTCCCTTGACGCCGTCGTCCTTTTCGCCGCCCACTGGCAGGGCCTGCATGGTCCATTTGGCCCATCTTGGCCCATCTGGCCCATCCGGTCCTGGCGGCACGTTTTTGCTCTCCAGCACTGCACAGCTCAGGCCTGGCTTGGTCTACTGACTTTGGGTGCATCTCGGGTGACGCCGAGTGGAAAACTGCCCACCTGTTGGTACCCCTGGCCTCCCAGCTTGTTCATCTATTCTTGTTCTTAACCCACGGCGATCCCCTCGTCTTCCTTGCTCTCCCCGAGCAAGCCTCTCTTTCGCTTTTGATTCTGTGGACCTCTGGTCAGTTCGATTCTCGTGTGTGGCCCTGCTCTGCTGTGCTCTGCTGTGTCCCGTATTGCGAAGCGACATCATTGGTGGCACGTCCAATCTTCTCTCAATACACGCGCGCGCACACACACACATTTGATCTGTTGATCTGGATCATCTTCAACCCTCCCCCTCCCCTCCCAAACCTTCTTCGACCAAAAAAAGCAAGACTTGGCCTGAGCTCTGTTGATCTTCGCTGGACGGTGGATAACTTGCCCCTTGTCTTGGACGGCCATCCGAATCTTCCCTCACCCTGTCAATTGTCGTCGACTCATTTGGCAACCGTTCACCCTTTTACTCACGCAACCACTCCAACTCACCCGTCAACCGCCATCACGCTGCCTCGACAGCCTCAACTTGCTCGTCGTTTGCGGCGGTTACACTCGTTCGACGTCAACTCATCAACACCCACCAGCCACTCACTGCTCCCGCGGTGCTAGCTTTTCACTCGCTCATTCGAAAACCCGCCCATATTTGTCTTTGGAAGGAATACCTGCGGCTTGCGACTGCCGACCGCGCCTGTCTGAAAAACCGCCGATTGTCTAAACCTTCGCCCGCTATTCATCTACAGCGTCACGCCACGGCAAGGCCCACTTTCACAGGCGAGCCACTCTCCAAGACGACATTCATATCGACTCAATATCGGCTCCCCGCGCTGATTTGAGCAATCACGGTCCTTTCTGCCACACCTGCACTGCCAGCAATCAACCATCTTATCCGCCGGCCCGGACAACCTAGCCTCTCATTGACCGCGACGGCCTTGGCATCTCGACACCAATATCCACCGCCGCTGCGCCCAGCCTACCAACGGCCTCGACTTCCGATCTGACTGCTCTGTCCTGCTTGCTCCGGTACTCACAAAGGGTGACTCGACTCTTTGTCCCAGTGGGCTGACTTTCGATATTGTCTCGTCGCCCTCGTATGAGACAGTCGCCACAAAGGACCATCCCAACCCTATTGTGCCCCCCCTCCTCTTTGTCCCTATTCATAATGCTATTGTCCGCCACTCCGTCCCAAAGACAATAGCCTTTTTTGAATCGGGAGGCCCTAGGCAGGGACGTTTCACGCGGATCTTGCTATAGATTCGGAGCACCACCCCGTTTGCCTCGAGGACTGGACGGACAAGGCTCAAACATCTCTCTCATAAACAACCCGAATTTCATCTGTCTCACCATCCTACCCACCTAACAAAGATGGAATTCCATCGGCGCAGGTTCGCCGCCCTCGCCCACATGGACCCCACACCCTCTCTGTTCTCCCGGGAGGCGGAAGCCGCCTCGACCGACAGCGATGACCCGATGTCAACGATCTCTCCGTATGCCCATGGCCTCAACGGTGTCAACCAGGTTAACAACCTGGTCTTTGTGGACATGCTGTGGTGGACGCTGGGCATCTTCGGTTTCACGATCCTGGCCGTCAGGATATTCCAGGTCGTCTGGGGCCACATCCGCCAGGTCTCGGCAATGTCGGTCCAGGGCGATAGGCAAACTTACTGGAAGTATGCCCAGTCCCATTGGATGCCCAGCTTCAAGAAGGACTTCATCTACGCACCGCTATGGGGCAAGCGACACAACCGGGAGATCCGACTCTCCAAGGCCATGAACATGGGCACCCTGCCCTCGAGGCTGCACTTCATCCTTCTCTTCATCTACACAGTCAGCAACCTGGTCTACATGTTCTACCTGAACTGGTCCAACGAAAACAAGTACGCGCTGTGTGCTGAGATCCGAGGACGATCGGGAACCCTAGGCGCCGTCAACATGGTCCCTCTGATCATTTTCGCCGGTCGCAACAACCCTATGATCTCATGGCTCAAGATCAGCTTCGACACCTACAACCTCTTCCACCGATGGCTCGGTCGTCTGTCAGTTGTCGAGATCATCATTCACTTCCTGGTCTGGGCCATTGTGCAAATGGCCGCTACTGGGTGGTCGGGTCTGATGGATCGCTGCCTGTATGACCCGTTCATCGCGTCTGGAACTGCAGGTACCTGGGCGATGCTCATCCTGCTCATCCTGTCCTTCTCGCCTATCCGCCACGCCTTCTACGAGACCTTCCTTAACACACACATCATCCTCGCCTTCATCACCTTCGTGTGCACGCTGGTTCACTGCCTGACGCCCACCGAGATCCCCACGGGTCTTCCCCAGCTTCCTTGGGTCATTGCAATCTTCGCCATCTGGATGTTCGACCGCCTGGCCCGTATGATCCGCCTCACCTACTGCAACTGGTCCCACCGGGGATTCACCGAGGCAATTGTCGAGCCGATGCCTGGTGAGTGCACCCGAGTCACCATGCACCTGCCTCGCCACGTCGAGATCAAGCCCGGCTCGCACGCCTACATTCGATTTGCGGGAATCAAGCCTTGGGAGAACCACCCCTTCTCCATTGCATGGGTCGAGCACCACGCCGAGGAGCTGCCCTTGGACGAGAAGGAGCCCATGATTCTGAGGAGGAACACAACCACATCGGTTTCATTCGTCATCGGTGCCCAGACCGGCCTCACGCGAGACCTCTACAACAGGGCCGCCGACGCCGGCAGCCGCGCAATCAAGATGAGGGCCGCCTTCGAGGGCCCATACGGTGGTCACCACGATTTGGACAGCTACGGACATGCCGTCCTGGTTGCTGGTGCGACTGGTATCACACATCAGCTCAGCTACCTGAGGCCACTCATCGAGGGGTTCAACAACGGCAGCGTCGCCACTCGTCGCATCACATTGATCTGGATCGTTCGCGACTACGAATCGCTCGAATGGATCAGGCCCTGGATGGACGAGGTGCTCCGGATGCCGAATCGTAAGGAGATTCTGACCATCAAGCTCTTCATCACGAGACCAAAGAACAGCAAAGAGATCGTCTCCGCCAGCACAACCGTGCAGATGTTCCCCGGCCGGCCCAACGTCCCGCTCCTGATCCGCAAGGAGGTTCATGAGCAAATGGGCGCCATGGCCGTGACCGTCTGTGGCCCTGGCGCGCTGGCTGACGATGTCAGATCCGGCGTGCGCCAGGTGCAAGATGAGAACACCGTCGTCGACTTTTTCGAGGAAAGCTTTACCTGGTAAATCCGTGTACATAAGTCTCTTTTCCGACGCGGAAACAGAAACAACAGTCACGATGCCATGGTTTACGATTTACGGCCTGACCGACGGGGGGTTCTCTTCTTCTAACATCTTTATGACCGGTACCCAGCACCCTCATTTTGGTGGACCTCTTTGGTGATCCAGATTTTTTGGTGGTCTACAGCCTTGCTGCGTTTTCTGTCTATATTTTGCATTTCACACACACATCTGGCTGAGGGAGGATGAGTCGAGGAAGCTGAAGCGGCAGCTAGTTGAGCACGGGAGGGTAATCTTCAGTCTCAGACATGTCGAGGAGGTGTCATCACAGCCATTCGCGAATATCCCCAGATGCATTGCGCTTGGAGTTATGGAAGGTCTGTTCATTTTGGCCAAGAAGGAAGGAGCCTTTAGAGGAGATAGAAGGCATTCGCCTGTACATAGCCAGTCACGCTGTACGCAGCTCGTATATATCCATCAGGGGCACATCATTTTGGTTGTCCCTGTAATATCACTTCTCTTGAAGTTCATCATAACTTTTGACCTCTTCCTCGCTTGCTCCCACCGTGATCACGACGTTGCTCCTTGAAATGTCTACTGCCTCGTCCGTCTGTTTGTTTTGTCTGACCTCACATGCAGTCGAGGGGTGAGGTCGGTCCAGCGGCCCGCCGTTACTCAGCCGCCTTCGTCATTGCGTCCGTGGCCTGGCGACCGAGCCGCCCGGGGTCCCGCTTGGCTGGCATGGCAAGCTTGCTTTTTTTTCGTGGGCCGTCGACCCTGCGACCTCAAATTGGTTCATGGTGTACTGCTACTCACTCCCACACTCTTGCCAAACACATGGCTTTGGAGATGCATGCAGTCGGCCCGGTGGCCACGAGGACGTGACCGCCCAGGCGGGGAGGTCATGACACGCGGAGGGCCAGGGTGAGATTCCCTCATCTCATCACTCCCTATCTTCTCACATCACTTGGAATTTCCCGGTCGCACGATGTTGCTGACATTATGTCGCGATTGCGCATTTTGTAGACGAGAGTAGCTAACGTAGTAGTAGGGGGCCGGGGGGGTTCCTGGGCCCGTCTGTTCTCGCTCGGGAGGATCGTGGGCTTGGCGTAATACTAGGCAAGCTCCCAAGCCGCGCTTGCTGGAAATGAGGTCTTTCCACAAGCGTCGGAATAGGGGTGGGGGTTTCTCTAGCTTGCGGGTCCAGAGAACTTCTTTGCAACGGTCGCTTGGCATAGTGTTGGGGATCTCGAGTTTGCATTGTCGTCGTCACGCTGCGTGATCCCGATTGCCCGCTTGACGAGTTTGCGTACTGAAGTGCTTATCAAGACACCCCCCTCACAGATGGTGAGTAACCTGGCTCCCGGAGATGGTCAATCCGTCAGGCGTGGGAGCCTCAATCTAGGCTATACACGTATCGAATCCAATTCCGGGTAGCACCAACCATGTGGAGTTTGCGTACCAAATTTACTCATCTGCCCAATGTAACAATACCACGCAACCTTGCCCTATTCTCTCGAGGGCACAGACAAAAGATCGCGATTTCCACGTGCAATCAAGACGCGGCAGAAAGACAATGCAGAGCGCGGCAAGCGCGATAACCGTTGCACTTCTCTACGCAGCCGGATGATCTTCCGCCGCGGCTTCAAGGCCGTTCGTGTCTTCCCGCAGCTCGGCTTCCTTTTTCAGCCTCTCCTCTCTCTCGTACCGGCCTTCACTCTGTGGGTCGAAATACGCTGACCGGTATCTCTCGTTAGCACATGGAGGTCCAATGCTGTAGGTCGGTGAGTAGCAATGATGTGGTGCTACCTACGTTTCTCCCCAAAGACAGTCGTCCTGATCCCTTTCCTGTTGCCTTCATAGCGGCCGGGGATGACTCGATGTACGGCACATCTATAGCTTAGGCGTCAGCACGATAACGAGACCCAGCTTCAGGAGCTCACACTTCCCTGCCTATTGTCCCACATAGCCACGCTACCTACGGTCCACTTCCAGCGGACATAGTGGTCGTCCGCAGAGTGGATGTGGTAGGCAAAGAAGTCAAGCAGCTTATCGGACTCGACCTTGTTCAGCTCGGCGAACCCCGTTACAAAGCCCGGGTTGACATTGAGCGCCCTGAGCCCGGTGACGGGGTGAGTACGGACGGCCGGGTGGTGAGAATCGACCGGGGCGCGGTTCGGTCCCGTGCCCCAGAGGTCGAGAATGGTATCGTACTGCAGGCGCGAGGTGTGTGCCGCATGCAGGCCGTCGACGAAGCGACGCATGGCGGGGGACAGCGCGTCGTACAGCCCATAGGCTGAGACCCAGGCGGTGTCGCCGCCGACGAGCGGGTGCTCCTCCATGCGGAGCATCGAGTACGACCGCGGGTTGACCTCGAAGGAGGTGTCGGCGTGGAAGTCACCCGTCGGCCAGCGCGTGTACTTGAGCAGCTCGCGGTGGTTCTCGCGGCTGCCCCGGATGACGACGTGCCTCGCGTCCTTCTGCGCCAGGTGCCGGTCCAGCGTCCCGTAGTGCTCGAACAGCTGGACCTGCCGATTCCCTCACGCACACAATTTTGACAGGCAAAGGAAGATGACTTCTTTTAGCAGCTCGAGAGCCGGAACTTCTATCGCTTCAGACCCCAAGGAGACTGAAGAGCATAAGGCCGAAATGGAATTACTATTCATAGGTTCAAGTCTTTCGAAATGATGCTCGTGGGTTGTAATAACTCAGTTTGCATGGGCTGTATCGAACTCGGCGCTTCGGAGACTGATTTTTAAGATGGATAACATCAAGTAACACCCATTTCTGAAAGCACTACCTAGTTCTTCAAGACATACATTCCTTAAATATTGCGCGGCTGAAAGGCCAATCTCAGTTGATATGAATAAGGCCTGCAAGCATTCCCCCGGTTTTCAAAACCCAGCTCTCCTTCCTATTGTCAATCCTGCACCGCTGCTTCTACTTGATAACGGCGACATTCTGTAGACGTCTCGTCATCCAATTGTGGGTTCTCCCTTGTTTCAGGCCCGCACCAGCGAAATAGATCATGGGGACGGAGTTTGACGGTGAAGCCAGTCGTACACACTTGCCAAAGAGCAGCCAGCTGCCGCGACAAGCCCTGGGCTGCGTCTAGGGACGAAGACTCGGCCACATAACCACATGACAAGGCGACACATGGGAGTGCAGAATGAGACGGACTGTTGCTCATGAACAGTTGAGGGATACAGCAACAACATATACTAAACAGTCGTAAATTTGATGGGCGCTGGGAATCAAGTGCCCCATAAAACATAAATAACTGAAGACTAAAGTTTGCCGTTCACGTACTTACATATAAGTCTCTGTGCATACTTGAACTTGTGCTCTCCAGGACTAGCCCTGATTCATTCATCTTGAAATATCCGGTGTCGTTTCACCGGTTCGCCCCCGTAGAGTCACGCTGTATCGTGACTTGGCTTATCACTCCCCAGCTTCACTGTTCAAGGGGTGGGTGGATGATGCAAGAGACATACAAAGCCGAATATTGTTCCCTTTCTTTGCTGGTTCTTCTTCAACTCCCACTGAAATAACCGCATCAACCAGACGCGAGCAAGCAGACCAATCCCGTCGCCAATAGCCACCAAAACAAGCACACAGACTGTATCTACACTCCGAGAAGCTATCGGAGATGCAGCTCAACATCACCAAGGTCGTCCTCGTCATCGCCGTCGGCATGACCAACATCGTCCTTGCCGACTACCGCTGCTGCAAGGAGCAAACCTGCACTGAGTGTTCCGTTCCCGTCACCAGCTGCAACAGTTGCATCAACGTGAGTCTCCCTAGGGAATCCCATTTTGGCGATACCCTTTGCAGGTTTCGGCAAAAATTTACGAAGACTGATCGCGTCTCCTCCCCACAGCACCTCCCCTACCAGTACTGCTGCCCGGCGTAGATGCTTGAGAAATACGTCTTCACTTCGCGCTGAACATCATCATCCTATGATCGTTGACAGGAGGGCACTTTTTTGAACTCGATTGGGCTGGGATTGAGATGTAAGTTGGCGCACGGGACTTCAGGAGAGGACATGACGGAGATGACTACCTACATAGGGAATTAACATCAAGGTTCTCTACGGGTCTACATGATGGCTTTCGTTTGGGAAAACAGGGCCTGCTTCTTGCGAACGGAACTCGTGACACATTATTCGTTTGTAGTAGTATCCAGAAACCCGGATTGACACGAGACAACTTGGAAATTGTTAATCACTGAATGCAAGACTTGGGATGGACTTCCTACTTAGGGATCAGTATCATCGATTCATGGACCATCATTGAAGGTTCCGCCACCGGCATGTATTTCGAGACGTATAAGTGGCCCGGTCCATTCAACTGTCCAGGCCAATACCCAGTACTTCGAGCATCCCTTGAAGCTATTTGACGTGGCGAAATTTTCGCTCTGGAATGCAACAAATGTACGTTTGTCTAAAATCAATGACGTTTCGGCCGCACTAGAATTGAATATGCTGTGCCTCGGGCAGTGGATGCTGGTGGGACGTTGTGACTGTCCTCTGCATCGGCCCCTGACAAAGGATGAGTTGTGATGAGAACAATCCCTTTAGTCACTGAACAGACAATGGTATTGTCTGCAGAACGGCACTGTTCAAAGGACTCGAGTCTCTTCCCGATTTATTTGAACAAAAATCCAAGCCTATTATGATCTATCTGGTCTTGAAACTTTCCTGAGTTTGGCACCACCAAGTCGAAAACGAGAGCAACAACACCTTCCCGGCACTATAACTCCCTTGAAGCGAACGACACAAAATGTGTAGCGTCATGAAGGAAGTCGGGCGGGACGAAGTCCTTGCAGACCGAGAGTTCGGCCCTGGTCTCCGAACAGGTCCCCTTTTAGGGGGCATAGCCGTCGGCATCGTCCTCTCTTTCGAAGACCCTCCTAGGGCAGGACAGCCACGTTGCGACAAGTTTCTCGCCCACCTTATGGAAGGACATATGAAAGAAACTTTCGAATATCTACAGGAGCAGGTGGAAGAAGCCAAGCGCAAACACCGCGTAAAAAAGACCGAGGTCTGGTTATGCTATCGCGACGTCTCTAGCCTTCGGGATGACAAGGAGATGATTTGGAACTCCCAGATGATCTACGCCGAGTACGAACTGGTTGAGAACTTCATCGAAATGACCAAGGGTCTCAGCAGCTATGTGCAGCTCCACGCTCACCACGTCCTTCGTGAACAGGACATGTGTATCACCAAAGATGGCAGAATTCGGATCCGGAAGTTGGAAAAGGATGCTGGTATCCATTCCCATCACTAGTCACCGACATACTGGCGATATGTGATACTAAGTATCCAGAGCCATCACAGTAGATCAATAATAGCGTATTTTAAACAATTCAAGTTCCCTGAAATTGCCCAGGGGACTGTGAACTTCCAGGTTATATGTGCACAAATGGCAAGAAGGGCTGTCACGGGCCTGAATATGGTATTGGGATGCCATAACTAAGTACTCGTATGGAAGTCATTTTAATGAAACAATTTTACCTCAGGAGCAGACACTCCTGCCTCGACAGAAGGTAGACATTTGCGACTGCAGCACAAGTTCCAGGAACGTGGTGGGTTTGGACTTTGAAGTGTGGAGGAGAAGAAATCGGGAATCCAGACCAAGAGGTTACCGGAGTATCTTAGTTGAGCTTTTGAAGTAAGTGGGCCAAGTGTATCAAGAATGGGAGGTTTCTGGCTTTCTTTCTCGCATCCAAAATTCGAGCTCAATGCTCATGCACCCGAGCAAGGAGACGAGTGTCGAGAACCCATGGTGTGTACCTGAAGCGACCTGACAGCTTCGTGCTTTCCGGTCTATTTCTGTTCCAGTGTGTGTAGGCTGAGTGGCGTCAGGGATAAGGCCAAGCCGCATCTGCTGTCACACCGAGTCCGTTCTGTTGACCATCCGAGTTGGCAGCCGTGCAGTCTTTTCCTTGAGCCAGTGTATTGCCCGTGGAGTGGCCACTTAGCTTGACTTGATCGTTTTCCAGATCGGCCGTAGTCTGATATGCTCAGCAATACCTCAAAGTCGCAAGATACGTTTGACAGCATCAGCATATGATGATGGGGCGCTCTGATCTTGACACTTGGCCGCGTAAGCTTTTCCATTCTACCCTGACTGCCAGTCTCAGCTGGCCTGTAAGAATGAGCAGGTCAAGCATAACCGTCTTAATAAGATAGCGGCGAAGACAAAGGCAGGACGAATCAGCGGCGATCGGCAGGTAGGAACCGTAAAAAGCTTGATATAAGCCACACATGGGCGGGATATGCGGGTCAGATGGCACCGGGCCTCCCTCGGACATTTGTTTCTGTCGCCTCGCGTACCGAGAACCCAAAGGCCGTCTCATGCCGTCAGCTCTCTTAGCGAGCAACAGTACCATCCTTCCGGTTCGACCATCCATTGTCCTTGGCTGCGGTTCCGAGGTTCACGTATGCAGTGGCCTTGCTATGGCGTTTCAACAAGCGGAGTGGTGTGCCTGTAGAGTATGATGAGACTCTGAGAAGATGGCCGTCCGGATTATATCACCACCGTGCCTCTTGGGGCCAATGAAGGTTTGTTTTCGGGCTGGGTTTGCTGTCATGCCGGCACTCAGGCGTGTGGACGGCGATGTCTGTTGCATGCGACAGGCATACACTCTCAGGTCGACCTCTGAACGTTGGTTACACCTTGTGCAAATTGGCCCAAATCATCCACGGTTCTGCAGGTGATGGACTTTTCTCCTGGGAGCAAAGGGTCTTGTCCTCTGCTCAACCTCGTCCCGGAGCCGTGAGCCAGCAATGGGAACGTATGGCATTGCTTGGAGTTGCCCGCCAGACAAAGTACAAAGGCCAGTGACTCAGGCCAGAACGCCCGGCCATAGTGCTCAACTGGAGCCTCCCCAGGCTAGGTAGCAGGCCTGCAGCTGTCGTGCTCAGCCCAGCCCAGGGCCCCGGGCGAACACGCCATTGCCCACGGATGACCAACCTGGGCTTCTGCATCTGCTGAAGGGCACATGTTGATGCAGGCAGACGAGGGATTGGTATAGCTTCGTGCAGATCGCTGCCATGTGCGAGGTCGTGCCACAGGACTGGGCTTTGGGAGAGGGCAGGCATGCAGTGCAGTCAGTAATGATTATGCCGCAGCTCACATAAGTAGCTCACACACACACACACCCCGCCGTGTGGCGAGACCTCGACCGCCGCAGTCGCTGTTACTCATCTCAACCACCCGCTCGGCTCGCCTTTCTCCCCAGCACAACGACCGACAGTCATCAATGGGAAGTTGATAAATGACAGCAGGCACGCGCAGTCGGCTTGCCTTGCCTGGCAAGTAGCCCAATCAGCAGCCCGAACACGAAAGGCGCAGACGCAGGCGCAGGCGCAGACGCGGACGCAGTTGCCGTCTCCTCAGGCGGGCCGGCCTCGCTGTTTGGTCTTACCCCAGCAGCTTCCTCAACGGTCTTCATAGCCCGACCTCTGATGTGACCACTTCCCACCAACACCCGAATTTTTAAAATGGCAGACACCGTCATTCTCGGCGCTGGCATAATTGGGGTGTCCACGGCATACTACCTTTCTAGGCACCAACCTGGCAGCACCATCCATCTCGTCGAACCCTCCCCGGAGCTCTTCGCCTCGGCCTCTGGCTATGCAGGTGGTTTCCTAGCAAGGGACTGGTTTGGCACCGGCGTTTCCTCCCTGGCCGCCCTGAGCTTCGACGAGCACAAGAGACTAGCAGAGCTTCACGATGGTGCCTCTAAATGGGGCTACTCCCGGAGCACCTCCCTCAGCTACACCGCTGCCTCCCAGTCCCGCGGCAAGAAAAGCCAGAGGGGAGAGGACTGGCTACGTTATGGAACAAGCAGGGCCGACGCCGCTTCTGGCTTTGCGAGCAACGGCTCCGACGGCCACAGTGTACTGCCGCCATGGCTGCGACGCGAGGATGGCGACACAGTACGGCCAATAGGCGATGACAGGACAACGGCCCAGGTCGACCCGTTTCAGCTGTGTCACTTCCTGCTCAAGCAATGTCTCGAGAATGGCGTTCAGCTCTCCCAGCACGCCAAGGCCATCGCCGTCATGAAGGACGTCCGGGACGAGCTTTCCAGCATCAGGATTGCCGATATACAATCGTCCACTGAGACCGATGTCCCCTGCACTAGGCTGATTATCACGGCTGGTGCGTGGTCACCGCAGGTATTCAAAGAGGTCAGCTCCCGGAGACTACTTCCACCTTTCATTCAACATGTTCCTTCCCTTGCTTGCCACCTTGCAACTTGCCTTGGCGGTGTGCATCTCTCCAACGGGGTTGCAACTCCAAGATCAGGCCATAAGCCGGCAGTTTGGTGTCTCGGTCACGTCCAGTACAGTTCCACGGCAGAAACCTTCAAAAGCTGACTCCATAATCTGGATAGCTGTTCTCCAAATCACAAAGCGAGCTGCCCATTTCTAGCCTGGCGGGCCATTCGTTAGTCCTCAAGTCACCCCGGTGGACTGTAGAGATGGAGAACAAGGGATGCCATGCTCTCTATGCGACGAGCAAGACAGGCTTCTCGCCCGAGATATTCTCACGCATTGGGGGCCAGATTTACGTTGCTGGTCTGAATACGGACGCCATTCCCCTGCCAAGACTGGCGACAGAGAAGCCAATCTCCAGCGAAGCTATCAACGAGCTTAAGAAAGTGGCTGCCAAGCTCCTCGGCCCAGAGGGCGGCACGGTCGACGATCTCGAGGTTGTGAGGGAGGGGCTTTGTTTCCGGCCAGTCACACCCTACGGCACCCCTATCATCTCGAGGATCGACGACGAGCACCTGGAGGAAGGCATCGCGACGCGCCCTGATGCTAAAGGCGGCGTGTTCCTGGCTGCAGGTCACGGTCCGTGGGGTATTTCACTCAGTCTGGGCACTGGAAAAGTGCTCGCAGAGATGGCACAAGGGCGGCGCATTAGCGCTGATGTGAGTAGTCTGGTGTTGTGGTGACACTGCATGTTTCCTTCTGCCACTGCCGTGGTAGTCATGAAGACAGATCGCTGCCCTTCTACAAAGCTCATTGGATCTCTGGCCGGCCTGACTGGATGATAATGGCAGCATTTTAATGGTTACTGGATAGGATTCGGACATTTTCACATGGATGGCTTCATAACTGGCTGTGGAAGATTGAGGAGTCAGCCCCCTTTACGTATGCTCCAAGGATGGGGCTAAATACAGCACACTGGATCTATTGTTCCTCTGGCACTTCTGAGAGAGACGTTCAAGTTATGAGGTGACAGCTTCGTGCCTGGTGATCCCAGCGCCATCTGCAGCCCGCGCCTCTGCACTGTTTGGTAGCATCGATGAGGTGAGGTCAAAAATAAGGTGAGGTGAGGTTGATGGACGGGAACGGGGATCGTCGTCACGGATGATTCCGAGGCGGCGTTGGGTGAAACCTAATCACAGGGCTAGACTGGCCTGTGGGAAAGCAGCAGACTGCCATGCTGTGTGATACGTGAGAGAGAAGCTCTCTGGCTATGTGGTAGGAACCAGGTGATCGAGACAAAGCCGGCTTGGGTGGCGAAGACTCTAGCCTGCCTATCAGAGAAGCCAGATGGAAACAAATGTGAAGGTTCAGCGAGGACCCAGAACGGCGGCAGCGATCCAGTCTGTCGGTGCTAGCCTACCCACTCAGGCGCAAGATCAATGTGACTGTGACTGGCCCGGCACCTGCGACTGGGAGGGGACACAGATGTCGGTCGCTGAAAGGTGCTCGCCTACCTTGCATATCGATCACGTCGCATGGTCCTCGCTCAGGTACCTACCTCTGCAATGTCGTTGCCAACAACGGCGAAGATGGAGCAGTCCCCCAAAAATGTGTGAAAAGTCAACGTCCAGGCGCGCATGCTCTCTTCATGATCGTTCGACACATGAATGTGGTCATGCCATAGTCGGCTCGGGGATACAAAGTAGACGCGGATGGAGCTGGGCGGGCGGCATCGTCAAGTCCCTCAGCGAATGCTACCGATGCCGAATCGAGATGTGAGGGCCAAGGAGCAACAGGGGGACAGGGCTTTGGGCACACGGGACGCAGAGCATGTTGGCCCACCCTGCAGCGCCAAGGACCAATCAGCCAACATACATAGCCGCCCGCATTTAAGTTCCGATGCACTCGACTGCCATTGATCCAATTGCTCGTCGACCATCACCAACAGGGCACCATGAGATTGCATCCCACCATCCCGCCTAACCGTCCTCGGCGCCCGTGGCCCCCAATGCGACCAGGGCGGCCTTGGACCTGCTGTACCGAGATGGGCCAGAATGCCTGAGATGCGCAATGGGCATGGTGGGTGGGGTTGGTTGCAGTTGCTCCCTGTCCCACCGCAGCGCCCGGAAGGCCAAGCACCACCTCTCCTCGCCTGGCCCAGATATCATCTCTTCCCCCATTGTCACCGACGGCGAATCACTGACCGCAGAGAGGGGTCATGAAAGCTTTGCGGGCGACAAAACCGAGGCCAACTCTGCTTCCGTGCTGGGCTAACTGGCCCTATTGGTCCTTGGAAACCTCCACACGGCAAATCTCTCACTCCCTCTCATGTTCGACTGACGACGACATCTTGGATTGTTACCGGGTCACGGTCCTGCCAGAGATCCACGCACCATCTACGGAGCACAGCGGCCGCCCACACACCCGCGGAGACCACTCTCCTCGTCCGTGTGGACCACGGGGGCCTGCGTATCATCACTTCACAGAATTGGTGTCTTCCGAGGGAGAACACCGTCTTCGTCGACACATGTACGCGTACTGGATTTCTGTCGCACCATCGAGCGACCAGAAGCGGGTGTGATCGCATCGCTTCGTCTCACTGGCCGACACCAGGAGGACTTGTTGGTTCTCTCCGTCTCCTGGATAAAAGCACGGCAAACAACAAGCTTCCGTACCGGGCCATCGATCCGTCTGTGTGATAGTGCGCTGCCCGGCCCGCCTGCATCGAGAACCACATTATCTGCATGCACTTCCCTGCCGAATTGATCGATGCTTGCCCACTCCCAGGGTCCACACCTACGACATCCTTCACGACCATTCTTTCATCCAGTCACCCAGCCTGTCAGTCCGTCCGGTGTGGCCGACGACTCTCTCTCTTCTTCGGCTCGCCTGCCCTGTTCTTCCCCACGCATGGCCCGTCGTGTGTGACATGCATTGGCGGGGAACAGGCCAGAACCAACGACCAGCCAATATTAAAGTCTGGTCTACCGCTGGGCCGCCCTAGCTCTTCACGTCTTGTCGTCCGACCCTGAGCTCACTCCCTCCAGGCAATACCCTGCCTTTTCAAGTCATCGGCCCGCGTGGGTTGACATTTCGGGTCCTCGTGCGAGATCTACTGCGACTACGCTACCGCACGCCAACATCTCATCCCCAATGTAGCTCCGTCCCCGGCGGCTATTACACTGCAGCTCACGTTGCCAACGCCTGCTCGATATCAATCTAACCCTTCGTGTTGGGACTGCATACGGTGACCCAATTCCGATCGACCACGCTACGCACGCCGCAACCCCTTGACGCCCAGGACTGTTCAACCGTCATATATTCGCGGGCCTCCCGCAAGTGACTGCCCGATCCTTGTGTATATTAACCTGGATCTGGCCGTCGTCCAGTCTATCTATACTGCGACGGATCCTTCTCTTTAACTGTGACACGACCAGGGGAAGGTTTTGGCACCTCCGCCGCCGGCCTGTCTTACCTTCCAGTCTGACCTCGGTGTCCTCCATCCCTTCGCGAACAACTTTGTGGTACTCGCGTGTATGGATACAATTCTCCTTCATTCTGGAACAACCACAGCACGCCAATATCCTCGAGGATAGGCCACCACTCATCGAAAGGTCCATGTCAACCACTTAACGTCATTGCGCGTAGCCGCATTGTACGCATACCGGCACCTTACATACAGCTGGACTGTCCTCAACTTGTCAACAATGGCTTCGTTAATACAGCCCGCCGTTCGCGACGCAGCATCGTCTGCCACACGAAGATTAGGAGAGCTTCTTAAGCGGATCAACGTCCCGCTGACGACGACGAGTCCACCGGGCTTGGTGCAGGCGAACACGGTCGATCCCTGGAACAAGGCTGGGAAGTATGGACTAGGATGGACGTACTTCTCAGTAGCGCTGATGATGTCGGTCGTGGTCGTCAGAGTGTGGCATTTCTGGCAAGACAAGATCAGGCAAGCCATCTACAAGCAAGAAGTCGAGCAATATTATCAGAACCTCTACAACCCGGAGACTGAGTGGGGCCAAACAACTGCGCAGCCTGCGCAACTCACCGGGCAACCAGTCACGGCGCGGCACTTCTTCCCCGAGGAAGAGAAGGCCGAAACGGCCTTTCGTCCCAAATCCAACATGTCTTCCATTGGCTTTGTCAACGACACTCTGGCCCTATTCCGATGGACATTCTACAGGCCGATCCCGGACATCAGGTGGCGGAAACACAGGTTCACCTTCTCGTCCTTGTCAGTGTTGACGGTCGGCTTCATTGCCTTGGTATTTGTCTCCCTGTACTGCTTCCTCCAGCAACCGCTGTACTGGGCCAGCATTCGATATGGCTCACCACCGCTCGCTATTCGAGCCGGCATGATCGCGCAGGCCATGACCCCGTGGATCATTGCCACGAGCATGAAGGCGAACATTTTGAGTCTCATCACGGGCATTGCCGCCGATCGGCTCAACGTGTTCCACCGGTGGGCGGGCTACTTGTGCCTGTTCTTGTCTTTGGTTCACATGATCCCATTCTTCATCCAGCCGGTATGGGAGGATGGTGGAATGACGGTGTTCAACAAGCTGTTCCCCCCTGGGAGTGGTATCATCTACGGCAGTGGCATAGCCTGCTTTGTCCCTCTATGCTGGTTGTGTGTGCTCTCCCTCCCGGTGTTGAGACGACACCTGTACGAACTCTTCTCGGTTCTTCATGCTCCCGTCGGGTACATCTACATCGGCCTCCTGTTTTGGCACACCAAGAACTTTCTGATGTCATGGGACTACCTATACGCGTCCATCGCTGTTATCGTGATTTGCAACATGTGGCGCTTTTGCAAGCTGAACTGGACCAAGCCATGGAGAATGGCGTTCCTGGTCGGGGACGAGGCCGCCATCCAGATCATGACGGAGAACACGATCAAGATCACCATCCCAACCCAGCTGAGGTGGTCACCCGGCCAATATTTCTACCTGCGAATGCCGGGCATCTCGTTGCTCGAGAACCACCCCTTCACGGTAACATCTTTGTGCAGCGAGGATTTTCCATCAGAATACGGCGAACAGTACCGAGACTGCGTGCTGGTGTTTCGACCATACGGTGGATTTACGAAGAAGGTACTCGAAACTGCGATAGAGAAGGGGCCATTCCACACATACCGCGCGTTTCTGGATGGACCGTACGGAGGCATGCGCCGAGATCTTGCGGCGTTTGATACCTGCATCCTGATCGCGGGGGGAAGTGGCATCACATCGCTGATGTCGCAATTGCTTAACTTGATCAAGCGGATGCGAGACGGGAAGGCCATTACCAAGAAGATTGTCGTGGTATGGTCCTTGAAGCGACTTGAGGCCATGGACTGGTTTCGTGAGGAGCTGCGCATTTGCCGCGAAGCCGCGCCGCCAGACAGTGTGACGTGCAAGTTCTTCGTGACGGCTGCAACTAGGAACTCACATGGCGGTGTAGTTGGTGCGAGCGCTCGCGCGCCGCGGCCGATATCGAACATGTTTCATGACAGGCTGGACGGTTTCGTCGCGGGGATCGCCTCGAAGCGCAACTCAGCACTGATCGCGGATGTCTCGCAAGGCGATCCAGCCAGAGAGGCGGAGCTGAGAGCAGAGCAGCAGGACCGGTTCACCGCGCTGCCTCAGCAGAAGTACCTGCAGCCACATAACCCGCCACCCCCACCGAACCCACCACCGAATAATCGACAATCATACACGGACGACGCTCTGCGTCGCCTCGAGGGCAATGACGACAAATCAGACGCAGGAGACACCAAGGATAGCGCCGCCGAGCTGCCCAACGACAAGGGCAAGCAGAAGGACTTCCACTTTCCCCCCTTGAAGCCCAAGGCAGACGGTCCATATTTCAACTACGCACCGCCCAACTCGCCGGGCAACAAGCGATTCAGCCAGCTCCTTGAACCCCCACAGACCGGATCGCACCCCGAGTCGACCCAGCAATCGTCAGACACCCCCCGGGCACCCGACGTGCCCGAGCTGGCGCACCTCCGCACTGATGTGGGCACGCTGAGCCGGCCGCGGCCGACGAGCACGTTTGGCCCGCCATCCGGGTTCGAGTTTGGGTTCCCCGAGACGCCGACCGAGTTCCAGAAGAGCCTGATGCGGTTCGCGTTCCCGGTGCCGCACGAGATCGACGGGGGCTGGAGCGTCGAGTACGGGAGGCCGGACCTCGGGTACATGCTCAAGGAGTGGGCGACAGGCGGGAGCGACGGGCGGGGCATACTGGGCCGGAGGACGGCGGTGTTCGTATGTGGCCCGCCGAGCATGCGTGTGGGCGTTGCAACCACCGTGGCCAGACTCCAGGCCGAGATCTGGGGCGACCCCATGCTGGAGGAGATCTACTTGCATGCGGAGAACTATGCCTTGTGAGGGGCCTCTTGAGAACAGTGAGAACAAGAGGACGAGGCAGCAGCAGCATGAGCGAAGGATGACGAGAGCGCGCCACGGTCGAGCACGATACGAGATACCACTTTTCCCTTTTTCTTTTGAGTCGATTGTACTATATTATCATGATGAGGCACGAAATGGGACGGGAGATACCAGAGCAGGAGACTGCTCGCTGTCAAGACTGGTTGGGTTGGGCTGGGCTGGGCTGGGCTGGGAAAGCAGGATGGCCTATGCCAGACATATATATCTAATTTCCCACAAAAGGGGACACTAGCGTTTCTGTCACATATACGTACGCCTGTACGAGAGATGGATGCGTTTTACCTAATATCAAACAATGAATATACAAGAGATGTACTAGTTGCAGTGCAGCCTCGATCACTGTTACATGTGAATGCGCCCGCTCAAGCGAAAAGCCGTGGACGCGGTGGGCCCGGATCTGGATCTGGTTGCCTTTTGTGAGATCTAGTTGACTGAACCCATCAGATCTAACCTCGAGAACCTTCCAGCTGGCTGGGGAATATGACAAGCACATGACTTTTCACTTTGCTCTTTTCGGAGTGTCTCGATGTCGCGCTCACCGTAAGAACATATGTGGGACACGCGCCCCGGATCGGGTCGAATCGAATCGTGAAAGAAAATCAGAGAGCAAAAAGACAGCTCACCGCACAGCTGCAGGTGCGGCGCCAGCCCACTGAGGCTCGGGGCTCAGACCGCCTGCAGGCCGGTGCCACAGCAGGTCTCGCTCGTCGCTGATCGCGGCAGCCAAGCGAAGGTAAGGCTAGTCTAACCTGCCGTGGGTGGTGGCGGTGGTCGTCGATCAAAACGGTGGGGACCGTTGGATGGACCGTTCATGCCGCCGGGTCAGTACTTGTATGTAATAATGGAGGCACCTGGGTACCGCGGGATGGTGGTGGTGTTGGTAAACATAGACGTCACCTGGGTCAAAGTTCAAGGCCACCTGAACAAGCCTTTTTTTCGCCCTTGTCCTCGAAGTCATTCATCCTTCTCGGGGTGGACGGATGGATTGTTATGCCACGCCCTCCCCATTCCTACGGAACGACGACACCTCTTCTCCTCTTTATCATGTAATAACTGCATGCCTAGCATTCAACTCACGCGCGGAGACACATGTCCATACACACGTACACTACTTGCCACGATCCTCTGCTGCTCTGCTGCTCCACTACTCGACCCTATTGCTGAGTTGTTTCAACGCTATCAGGAGACAGCTCCACTCCGCCTGGGCCCCGGGAGCTCCTGAGCTGTGTCGCCATCCTGTCAGACACCCGCAGGTGCCAGCTACTCCACACGGCGTCCGCACCAGCCAAGCGCCACTATCCCCATCTCGTGTGCACCGAGAGTGCTGGTCGTGTTCCCCGGTGCTCCAAACTGCGGACGAACGTGCTGCACATGCGGGCGATCTGCAGCTAACATCGTATCAGACGATTCAAATCGAATAGTAAACAAAAAAAAGTTTGTCTCGAGACGCACGCCCCTCCTGTCCCTCTCCTCACTGCTGCCGCTACTGCGAATACTCTCGTCCACCATGACGACCGTCCAACACCAGCCCGTCGCCAACCGGCCACCGTCGCCTTCGCCGTCCCAGCTCCCGCCCGTGCCCGCCTCACCAACCTACTCGTACGCGTCAACCGCGAACCAGGCCTCGGCAAACATGAACATCTCGAGCTTCAACCTGCCACTGCCCCCGCCACCCCCGGCAGTGCAAGCCGTCCTTACAAAGGCAGACCTCGCCGCCAGCCAGAAGTCATATGCCGACCTGCTCTCCACCGCAAAGACATACCGCTTAGCCCTCGCCGCCCTGTCCAACGCCGCCTCCTCCTTCGGCTCAGCCCTGGAGTCGTGCGCCCGCCTGAAGGAAGCCACCTCCGACTCGATACATCTGGGCAACGCCCCGACCACCGCCGTGACCTCCAACAGCGGCTGCACGGCGGACAGTCTGCTGGCCGCCGCGGGTGTGCACCACCTCATCGCCAACCACGAGCACATCCTGTCCGAGACGGTATACAGGAGCTTCGAGGTGCCGCTCCTCCACGAGCTGGACAAGTGGCGGCGGGATGTTGAGGACGAGGAGGCCAGTTACCTGGCGGCGGTCAAGCGCCAGTCGCAGGAGATCCGCCGCCTCGAGAAGGAGGGCATGAAGCTGCACCGCCAGCGCGGGCCCAGGGATGTCTCCAAGTTCCGCGGCCACCTCGTCGAGCTGACCACTAAGCTGGACGGCCTGACTAGCATGCACGCCGAACACAGCCGCACCCTGCTGCGCGAGAGCCAGGACACGAGCGTCAAGATCCTGGAGTCGAGCTGCAGCCTCGTCCGGGCCGAGGTCGACATATTCGAGTCCCTCGCGCGCAAGGGCTGGTCCGGTGGCGGGTTGGACGAGCTATTGGAGAAGGGCACCGACCTCTTCGCCGCCGAACCAGCCGCTGCTGAGGCCGAGGCCGACACGAGCAAGCTGTTCAGCATCCTGCCGCCCAAGAGCATCCTTGCCGACACAGCGTCCGACTCGGGCATGGGGCTGGCGAGGGCGATGGGCGGCGTTGGCGGCCGGAAGGGTCACGAGAGGGCAGACAGCCTCGGTGTCGTGTCCGAACCGTACCAGAGTCTGGCCGGCGCGGTCACCAGCCCCGACTTCATGGCGGTGCCCGATACCGACAACATCAGCATCTTCTCGGCCGATTTTGCCAGCAACGGCAGGCCAAGGATGACGCGGCCATTCTCGCCGCAGCCGGTGAGGGTCAACCCGGAGGAGGTGATGGGCGGCACCGACGACCAGTTTCAGGCCGGCGCCGATTCAAACGTGACGAGTGACGACGACGGGCCACCATCACCTGCCACGATACGCAACGGCGGGAGGTCCGCGTCTGCCGACGGCTTCCGCATGCGCTCCTCGCACGCGGATCTGTCGCTGCCCATGAGCGGCGACGAGGACGAACACCCCTGGGGCAGCAAGAGGATTTCGTCGGCCGCGTCGGACCCAGACGAGAGGGAACGGAGGTGGAATGCTGCGGACGACGGGATGGAATAGATTTGTGAAATCCCCCCCTTCTTTCTTGGGGAGGGCCGGCGGTACCAGTCGTTCATTCAGGTTAACAAGCTAGGCGTCACGGTTTGGTATAGAAGCATTGGTGTTTCGGGTCTTGGTGAAATTACAGGGCGCTGTCCTCTCGTGGTATTCTCTTCCTTTTTCCTTCAGATAGGTACATGATACATAAGACGGTTGTATAAACCTTTTTTCGATGTTTCACCCAGGCACGCCACACGCCAGACCTCGCGGGAACGCCTATGCCAAAGACGCTATATGCATTATCATCCAAATCGCCTGCCATCTTTCAACCCCGCAAGCCGAAGGACACGACATCCTCGCGGAGTGTTCCTGAGCTGTGCCGCGCGTCACAATCCGTATACATCCCATATGATGTAGAGTCGCCCCTCTTGTATAGCAGTCGAGCCCCAACCATCCTGGCTCTTTCAACAAGACCAACAGACTTGCCATTCCAGTTTCTCTTCCCAAATTCCCCACGAATTTCCCCTCAGTCATCCTTGTCGGGGCTGACAATCTCCCCGCCGAAGAGGCGGAACATCAGGTCCAGCCAACAGATGAGCTTCCAGTAGAGCGACGCGTTGACCCAGTCGAACTCGCCCTCCTGCGTGCGCGGCACCTCGTTCCCGATCATGGACCCGCTGAACCACTTGATGAAGGGGATGCGGCCCAGCAGGCGCTGGGCGTACGACTGCTGCGGCAGCAGCGCCTGCTCGGCCGGCAGGAGCACGACCCTCCGCGCAGTGGGTATCCTCCTACAATACACGCTGTTCTCGGGGTTTGCTGCTGCTGTTCCTGGTAATTGGAGCTGGTCCGCCGTGGGCCCCGTCACCGTGTTGGAGGTCGACGAGGAGCCGTTGATGGTGCCGCTCTCGACGGTGCGGCTGCTCGCCTGGGACTGGGGCGGCGACATGTCCACGTCCATGGCGCCGTCGCCGGCGACGACCTCGGACGGAAGCCCGCCGCCGGGGAACGTGGGCCGCAGCTCGCCGGCGGTCCTGTTGCCGCCGTGGCCGGCGCGTCTCCAGGGCGCGGGCACCTCGTCGCCCAGGGCCGCGGTGGTGGCGTCGGGGACGGGCTCGTCGCGCAGGGGCGGCAGGCCGCGGTAGGGCTCTGCGTAGACCAGGTGGCCCAGGATGGCCTGGGGGCTCGAGAACAGGGCCGCCTCGGCCGCCTGGCTCGACTCGAACGTCACCTTGACCCAGTGCGAGCCGCCGTCGGCCCGGTTCACCTTTGCGCGCTCCTCCGGGGTCAGGGCGCGCCGCCGCGAGTAGGCCGGGTCGCGCAGCTCCGATTTGTACCGCCGGATCTCGAAGGGCGGGTCTCGGGGGTAGTCCTCGCAGATGCGCCCCGCGAGCTGCTCGTAGTGGTTGACGGCCGCGTACTGCTGGTCGGCGGTCTTGTAGCCGCGGAGGATGACCTCGGTGGGCACGTTGGGGATGTTCCGGGCTGTAGCGGGTGTGGCGGCGGCTGCGGAGTCGTCTGCTAGGTCTTTGGTCGAGGTGGATGGTGGTAGGAGGGGCTGGACGGTGGAGGCTCTTCGTTGTCGTGGGGTTGCTGAGGAGGGCTCTTCTGCCGCGTCCCCGCCCTGTGAGGACTGCTGCTCGAAGAAGGCAGCGAAGACCTTGCCGGCTGATTGTATCGTGGGGTCCTCGCGCCTGGCTGGGGTGGCTGTTTTTGATCTGGAGCGTCGCGTCGACTTGCCAAAGGCTCCTGTTTCGGGGACTCCTCGTCGTGCTCGAACGTTCGTGGGGTTCCCGTCTTGTCTGGATGGAATTGTCAGCTGCCATTTTGTTTGAGACGGTAAGTAGGAAGGGTGTCAATAGACATACTGTGGCCATATCATTGCATATGGTCTCTGGACGCCATCCTCGCCTATGTACTGCTCCTCGTCGGGGACATTGTGTAGGATGAGAGGCGCCATGCTGTGCTGCTACACAATCTTCGAAGTCTGGGCGGGCTAGGTATGGCGAGTCTGGCCTCAGTGTGATTACAAGGAGCAAACGGAGATGCCCTGGTGTGGAAAAGGGATCAGGAAGAAGGTATTTGGAGCTGGGTGGGAGGTTGGATAGGATTCCTTGCCGTTTCGAGGCTGCTCAAGTTGGGACTCGGGCATGCGACGCGATTGAAATTCTGCCTCTGGTGTCTGCTCTGCCCAGCAACAGGTGGCTACCGAACAGGGGGCCCTGCCAGGCAGGGGTTCATGCCTACCTACCTAGCCAAGCTCTTCCCTGTCGCCTAGGCCTTATCGATAGCCGCAGCCCGACCATTCATTCTGGCCATGGCCAGCTAAGGCCACAGCTCATGTGTGGGTCCACCACCGTACTGTACAGCACATATCTACTACCTACTGTGCCGGGTACTGGCCGTACTGACTGCCCTGCTTGACTTACACATACACATGCACACCCAAACCAACTTCCTTTCATTTCATCGGAATACAAGCTGCTGCTCAACTCTATCTTTGTAGCACCCATCTCATCTCATCTCACTTCACCCTCGACTCTGTGCCCATCTCCCTGGCCAACAGCCTGCACAAAGTCTCGGCTGTCATGGATGGTGAGCCGAGCTACACCGTCTACATCCGGCTGCCCTTTCCCCGAGGCGACTTTGTCGATCCGCCGCCTGTGAGTGACCCGAGCCTGTGCCGGCATATTCCATCACCAATACTGATCGACCGTCATTCCCATCAGGTGAAATGGGATGCCTCCAAAGATGAATCTCTGTGGAAAATTCTCTCAGGTGTTTCAAAGACCGAGATCGATTGTGAGTTGCCCTGATTACTATGGCGGTATTGCTTGACCTTGACCTTGAACCAATCATCTGCTAACCTGGGCTCATTTCAGGGGTCGAGTTGTAAGTCACAAGTCCATCATCAGACAAAACCCCATGACAGCCACCACATTCTTTCTGCCTTTGAAAGCCCTACTCACATTCTTGTCTTTGTGCTCCTGAAGAGCTGCCAGGTTTGAAGTCACTATGGACTTTCTGCTCCAGCAAGCAACCTACCTCACCGAGCGCCATGCCTCACAGGTTCGAGCCCAGATGCGCAAGGCAACCGCTGCGGCGAGGAGCTCAGCTGCGCCATCACCCGTCCCCGGCTCTGACTCAAACGCTACCCTCGAGGCAATGAGGAGAACAGGCTCGTCTCAAGGAGCATACGGCCACGCGAGAGCCCCCTCGTCCCTTTCCGTCCGGAGGGACTCGCCCATGCCAAAGAACGACGGCGGCGCCCCTGAAACTCCCAGGATAGGGACGTCCGGAGCCGGGTCCGCTGGTTTCGGCGCTCCTGGTCGGCCTCAGGCATCACGCAACTCGTCTTCCGGCACAACAGCACAAGTTGGCAGTACAGGTAGCACAGGGGGATCGTTAAGAACTAGACCGGGAGCGGTGCCGACATCGCCTCGCTCACAAAACAGACAACGGCTGCCTTCTCTGCCCACCGTGCCATCCTCAGTGGCGAACCCTGCTGGCATGGAACCTACTGCGCCGCAAGCTATCGACCCGCCCTCCCCCGGGCCCGGCCGACTCGCCCTCTCCCACATCTTCGGCCTCATCCAGCCCCGCACAATCTCGAATCATCCGGCGACCTCCTCGCTTTCAACAGAAACAACAGGATCAGGGTGGTGTTGGATCTGCATTTGTTGATGACGACGATGACGACGACGAAGAAGCAGAGCCTGCATTCTTGCCTTTCAGGGCGAAGGCTTCCACGTCCATCGAAGCTGGAGGCAGTGGCGGCGACGGCAGCGGCCAGTACACTGACCCCAGTGCCACGTTACGAGGGGACCCTCGTGACTTTGCTTCCAATGCCGCGAGGCGATTACAGAATGTCACCGGCTCTGACCAGGGCAAGGGCAAGGGAAAAGAGAGGGAGCGTGTACTTCAGAAGTCGTCCAATTCTGATTCGTCGGAGAATTCGGCGGCCTTCATGTCCAAGCCGTCGTCCAGTGGCCGCAGGCATCCTTCGGGGCCGCTATCACCGCGCAGAACGGTCGAATTGAAGCAGAAGGGGTACTCGAGAGAGGGAAGTGACGGCACGCCGAGCATGGGCAGCAGCTTTAGTGATCTGGACGGTAAGCCTACTGCAAGAAACTCATACCTCCCATGATGCTAACTTTGCCCTCGCAGATGCTTCAGTGACCCAGTCAGCCTTGGAGGAAGCGCTGGCTAGCAAGATGCAGGGAGGAAATACCATTGGCAGCACAATCAGCAATGTCTTTAGGAGTCGATATCTGCCAAAGTAAGACGCCAAGCCCAGATCTCCCAAATGTCACACCACATCGACCACGAGATGCCATGGTGTTGCGATTGAGGAGCAAGAAGTGGACTGTTTCCTGCTTTTTGCTGGGAATTGTGCAGAACGGGAAAGTGGGTGCTTTCTCATCTTCTGTTGGATACTCGTGTGTACAAATAAGTACATCTCGACTTGAATCATACAGGGCTTGAAAATGCCACTGGGTGACAATCTCATTCGATCGCATATATCTCTGCTCAAGGTGACTCGACCACCCTTCAAAATGTGCCGGAAAACATCAAAGCCCCTCATTCGAGGCCCGTCATGGAGTCTAGCGGCCCCGCCGGCCATTCTGAAACCTTGGGACCCTTTGAGTTTGCAGTGTTATTTCCCGACGCTGGCACTGTCTTGCTTGTCCTGCGCTAGTATGAAGTATGGGGTTGTGGGTAGGGACAAACCAATCGTGGACACTGTGTTCTGAAGCCTGCAGATATTCCTTGCGTCTGCCGAGGTTCTCGGACCCAGATGGCAAAGGAAGGATTTCAGTCTCGAACGTTTTTGAAAGACACACAATTGAAGCATTCGGGCTGTTGGACAGGATTCGTGAGGTGATTTTGAGGCTGCAATCATGTCCATCCCGGGAGTATCAGATGCTGGAGGTTGGCCTCTATCCAACATCGCGAATATCCAGTCTGTGGCCTGGTTGAGCGTTGCTTGGCTGGCCTATCAGTTCCTCAAGGCGCTCTACCACGTATCGCCCTTTCACCCCCTCAGCCACATCCCCGGCCCAAAGCTGGCGGCAGCAACCTACCTGCCCGAGTTCTATTATGATGTGGTCAAGTTTGGGCGGTACACCAGAGAGATTCGGGAGATGCACAAGAAATACGGGCCTCTCGTCCGAATCAACCCCTACGAGATCCACTGCAGCGACGTCAACTTTAGCGATGAGATATACGCCGTTGGCGGCCGCAAGCGCGACAAGCCATCGCATCAGGTCGATGGGACAGTGTAAGTTCTGTCTTCTGCCCCGTTCCACTCGTAAGTTGTACCTGCGACCGTGTCTCACGAAGCTCCCGTGTAGGATTAACTTGTCTGAATTCGGTACGATCGACCACGACCTCCACAGGGTGAGGCGCGCCCCTGTGGCCAAGTTTTTCTCGCGCGGCAATGTCGCGAAGCTGGGGGGCGAAATCAAGGAGCACGTCCAGATGCTCTGTGACAAGCTGCTCAGGCACAACGGGAAGGAGCCCTTCGACGTCAAGACCGCGTACAGCTGCTTCACGGCTGATGTGATATCCTGTGAGTGATCCGCCTTCATGGTCTAAACGAAATAAGAAGAAAGGATACACCATCCTTGAGAGTTATGTCACCTTCTCACACAAATCCCTGACCCGTTTCCGTGTAGCATACTCTTTCGGCCAGAGCTTTGGCTTCCTCGAACAAGAGGGATGGTACCCAAATTTCAAGGACCCGACCGAAGCTGCCTTGCAGACCTCGCATTTCTTCAGATTCTTCCCCTTCTTGAAGCACCTGGACCAGCTCGCGACCTGGTTTGTGGATTATCTACCAGAGGACGTGGCCCTCTTCGTCCGGACGATGCAGATCGATATTCCAGTCAGCATCAACCAGACAAGGGAGAACGTAGAGGCTGGCCTGATCAGGTCGGACAAGCGGCCAACCATCTTCGGGTCCTTGCTTGTGGAGCAGGAGCTGCAGTCCACCGAGAAGGGTACCAAAAGGCTGGCAGCTGAGGGTTTTGCCATCCTCGGCGCCGGCACCGAGACGACCGCTTCGGCCCTGGCTGTCATCACGTACCACCTGTTGACCAAGCCGCACCTGCTGGCGAAGCTGACGGCAGAGCTCGAGCAGTTCGGCGTCACCAAGTCCCCGCGGGAGCTGCCGACCTTCCCTGACCTGGAGAAACTACCCTACCTCGGCGCCGTGATCCAGGAGGGCCTTCGTCTCTCGTATGGCGTGGCCTCCCGCACTGCGCGGATTGCTACGGAGGAGGATCTGGTTTACCGAGGAGAGTGGAACAAGAAGCCCGTGGAGCTTATCATTCCGCGTGGTTACGCCGTGGGCATGTCGACTTACATCACCCACCACGACGAGACAGTCTTCCCCAACTCCGACGAGTTCATCCCCGAGCGGTGGCTCGACGAGCAGAACCACCGCCGCAAGGAGGTCGAGAGAGGGCAAATGGCCTTTTCGAAAGGATCAAGGAAGTGTCTCGCCATGAAGTAAGTCGGAACAAGTCCTCACGTCGTGGTGCGATGTCGTGCTGCTGCACGTGTCTACCTCTTTGTATTCGAACTGGTGCTGACAAGTGACCGACCAGCCTGGCACTCTGCGAGATCCATTTTGTCGTTGCGGCTTTGGCTATGAGAGTGTTGCCTCGCATGACCCTGTTCGAGACAACGGAGGATGACGTGCTGTATGACCATGATATGTTCATACCAATGGTCAAGGCTGGGAGCAAGGGCATTCGTGTCACGGTGTCTTAGAGTGAACCGGCATGCATAATAGGAGAAGATATCGAGGGATCAATTGATCATTTGCGTTGCCTCATGGGCATCGCAGGCTTGGTGGAGATGTAAGACTGGGCTAATACAATAAAGTCATGGCCTTCTCGCAAAGACACAACATCCAGTGACTAACTCTACATTCCCATGGATCTACGGATTCCGGTTCTGGTCCCCAGCTATTCGGCTGTCCTTGTGTTTTCCCCCCAGGTATATACCTCGCGCAAGCCTAGCAGACACACATGTCAAGCTGCCTACATGTAAACTTAGCTCCCGGGCGCGGCCAGAGGATACCACGTGTTATACTGCCTGGGCCCCAACGTATATACTGGGCCGAGTGCTCCTTCCCACCAGATGCGCTCTGGCCCTAGTCCTTGGCTGTAGATGCGTTGCTGGAGGCTATTTCGATGCTGGAGCAACATTGTAGATGTTGCGGTCAAGGGAGACCGCGGCCTTGGTGAAGCGTGGTTTTGTTCAAAAAAGCCCAACATATCCAATCGCCGCTGGTCCCACATGACAAATCCCCACTGCCTGTCCGGTGCGAGACCATCGATCTCATGGCGCAGGTCGTCCGGGCTCTTCTTGCCCATACGCTGGATGGAGGAGGCAACTGCGAGGCAGGCATCACGGGGGCTCTCGTCGGAATCGTGGATAGCGATCTTGCTCTTGGTCACCTCGAGGCTGGAGTTGCGCCCCGTGTAAAGTTCCGCAGTGAGGACGTGGTAGAAGATCGTGTCGTGCTGTTTCGGGATAGAGCATGATCCATGCTCTATGAGCCTCACCGCTTGGATCAAACCACACAGTCTAGTCACGCTCCTGTCATTGAAAGCGGCCCAGATGTTGTACACGTGGTGAATGCCGGCGAGAACATGAGCCGAGACCCGTTGGTCCGTAGCCCAATTTTCGATGAGACTCAGCTCATCCAGCTCGCAATCGTGCCATAGCATGTCGTTGATCGCTGGTGTAACCAGCCTCTTCAGGAACCCGTATATGCAGTGCATCTGGATGAGCTCCACGGTATTGAAGCACTCCTTGAACTCCTGAATGAAATGGGGTACGGGATCATCGAGCCAGTCACGGTACCAGTCCGCGTCGATGTCGTAAATGCCACGGTTTGTCTCCCGAGCCCACCGTCCCTCGAAGGAGCCAAACGTCCGACGGAAGATCTCGAAGCGGTAAAAGGCCCTTTCGATCCGCTCCCGCTCCCCGAGCGTGACGGGGCGCTCCCGGAGCGTACCCGCCAGTTTCGGGTTCGACGCCGCGCATTGTTCGATGTAGATGTCTGCAAGCTTGCGCACGGTCGGGTGTATGTTCTCCAGCCTGGAGACATCCCGGAAAGCACAGCTGCTTGCGAGACATCGGTTTCTGCTGCCCGTGAAGGACAGGGCCATTTTGATGGGGATGCAAAGATCCATGGGAAAAGGGGTGTGCCTGCGGCTTCCATTCACTCTACCGACACGATAGCCCAGGCTACGGCTCTGCAGTAATTGCTCGATGTCGACCCCCGTACTGTCATACAATGGTGCGAGGGGAAAGTTTGCGGCGCAAGCTGCCTCTTCCAGCACGCCGGGAGCCATTCCCAACATGTTAGTGATCAGTTGCACTCTGTTTGTATTCCTGTTTAGCAGTGTTAGCAACCGGCAAACGGGCTAAAGAAAAAAGGAAAAAGGAGAAGAAGGAAGACGAGGCATCCGTGAAGCGGCCGCTACATACCACAAGGAAAGAAGATAGCGACATGAATGTACAGCGGCTCGAACGTGGTTCTTGTCAGGGAGAAAGCCGAGGATCATGGTCCACAACTCGACTGGCAAGTCCGGTATGGAACACCGGGCAGGGTTATTTGTTTCCGGTTCCACATTCTCTCTTCTGATATCGCTGGCGGCCTTTAGGAGATCCGAGGTCTGATCGGGGCGCTCGAGGGCTTCTTCTTCGAGATCGAGGAATTCCTCTTCGAGCTTGCTGATCGTGTTGTCTGGGCAGGCAAAAGGCTCCATTTGGAGATTTTGGCGTTGTCCTGAGGCCATCGTGATGCCTGGCTGTTTGTGTCAGTGGGCAAAACGAAAATTAACGTGGTTTCTGCCTCTAGGCGACATTCGAAAACTGGAAGTGTAACAATATGCGATCCTGTGGGTGGACTGGTTTTAAACTCTATTTTTTTTTTTTTTTTTTTCCTTTTTTTGTATTTCTGGGTTGTGCTTGTGTCAACTTATGGTCAAGTGAGCAGTCTAGTGCGGAGTAGAAGCCATAGCCCCATGGGCGGAACCCATATTGATACCAGCTAGAGGTTCCCACCAGATAACTGCCCAAAGCGATATTGAGCCCAGGCAAAATTTCCTTCTTGTAGCGTCCAGATCTGCTCGCCAACATCCAGGCCAGCAGCACCAGCCGCTACGTGCACAGGCATCAGATGGTCCATCCACGGGTGAGCTTGCTTAGCGTCAGAGCGGCCGCACACACCGGCCAGCATCATCTGTCTTCGCTCCACAGGCGCCTCTACAGCCTCCTTCAGCGCGTTGTCGAAGGACACAGCGTAAGGCAACGGCCGCGTTGGGTCATCTGAGGTCATGACATCCCACATATCTCTGAGGTTGTGTACAGACATGCCTGCGCCGATGATGACCACACTCTCGTCTCGGAGAGAAGCGACAGCCTGCCCAAGGCGGTAGTGCTGGTCTGGATCCTCGGATTTGAAGAGAGACACCTGGACCAGGGGAACGTTGAGAGGATTCTCAACCGGGTCGAATGCTGACAGTCATCAGTGCCATATTCCGAGACCATTTCTCTTCCCGAGTCTCGTTCACACTCACCGACGTGGAATCCGGCCCAGACTCCGTGGTCCAGCCCTCGCTTGACGCCTTCGGATTTGATTCCTGCCGACGCAAGCAAGCCTAGGATATGGCGAGCCAGTGCTGGGTCGCCTTTGCTTGGGTATTTCGCCTCGTACATGTAATCGGGAAAGCCGTAGAAGCTGTTACTCGGTTAACTCCATCTTATGTATCGATATTCATAAGGCAAAACAAACTCGTATATCAGGTCGTTCTCGATGGCATTGTTGACCTGAATAAGATCGGGTTTCGCTTGCCAGTGGGCGCTGAAGACGACAACGGCCTTCGGCTTGACCTTCTGGGTAATCTCCTTCCCGATATTCTGGAGCACCGGATACACAGCATGTTCCTTGTTGTACATCACATCTGGCTGATTCCAAGAGTTGGTTTCAGTATTTTATCGAGAAATGGTCGGGATTTCGTGACATACACCTCCATGACTGAAGAAATAGACGGGTGTTCTAAAAGGCATTGTCACGTTGGTGGTGGGAAGTCCGGCCTTGGATCTCAGACTCGACAGAGCTGCGGCAGCCCTGGACACCTGCGAAGGCACCGGCAGCTCGGGGAGTAAGGAGGCGTAGAACGCAGCCACCAGGGCGACAGCAATCGAAATTGTCACAACGACGACCCTAAGAGGTCCTGAGGTAGCCATCGAGACGAGTTGACAGACAGGATTAGGCTCATGATGAAGAGAGCCATGGGCAGGTTTGAAGAGCATTCGCGCCTTATTTGTATGGTCTGAGGTCGAGATGTTTAGGTAATCCCAGGTGGGTTTCCGAGCATGCTTACAAAACGGCGGGAGGAATCAGGGAGGGATCAAGGAGGGAGGCTGAAAGACCCCTCCCCTGGCCCGCCTGCGAACAGTGGAGGACCTGAGACCCGCCCACGCCGTTGGTCTGCCCCTGCATACCTAGGTACCTAGGTACCTACAGCAGGTAGAACGTCAGGGGTCGCGAAACGCAACCTCACCTCTCCGTTTGACCCCACAAAAAGTACAAGACTGAGATATCGCAAGCCGTAAGCCGCAAGCCGTAAGCCGCAAGCCTCACTTGAATCAGCATACAGGCAGGACTCCTTCTCGCACGGGCTGCCAACGCTACAGACGCTGTCAGAATGGCTCTGCGATACACCCAACCCCTCATATTCCCCGCTGTAAAGAGCCACACAGCCACCGTCATCTTCGCCCACGGCCTGGGTGATACCGGTCACGGCTGGGCATCTGCCGTGGAGAACTGGCGCCGGCGACAACGGCTTGACGAGGTCAAGTTCATCCTGCCGCACGCGCCCACAATCCCCATCACTTGCAATGTGAGCAGATCAACCCGCCAACCATGCGCGTGAACCGATGCTAATCATCTCCACAGGGCGGCTTCAGGATGCCCGGTTGGTTCGACATCGTCAGTGGCCCGCGCAGGCAATCATTCGAGGGCCCCCGGCTGACAAACGCCACAGAAAGTGCTTGACGGTAGCGTCGAGTCCATGCGCGAGAACGAAGACGCCGAGGGCATCCGCACCTCGGCAGACTACCTGCTGTCCCTGGTCCAGGCCGAGATCGACGCCGGAATTCCAGCAGACCGCATTGTGCTGGGCGGCTTCAGTCAGGGCGGAGCCATGTCCATCTATACCGGTCTGACTGCTAAGTTCAAGTTCGCTGGCATCGCGGCGCTCTCCAGCTGGCTGCTTCTCAGCAAGACGTTCCGCGAGGTGCTGTCTGCCGGTCCGAAGATGAACGACAACACCCCGATCTTGATGTGCCACGGCGACTCCGACCCTCTTGTGAGGCCTGAGCTGAATATGCTGAGCTACCAGGTCCTCAACACCATGGGCTTGAATGTGACGCGGAAGGTCTACGAGTAAGCAGCAAGGTCTTGATGGAGATGCTCATGGCGTAGCTAACGTTACCTCAGGGGCCTGGCTCACTCTGCCTCCTTGGAGGAGTTGGATGACGTGGAGGCTTTCCTTAAAGAGAGACTGCCTGCCTCGGGAGACAAGGCAGGTGCAAGCACAGACGGTGATGGCAAGTCTGAGTTGTGATAACATTGTGGATAAACTACAACGTCTGTCCTCAAGATGAGAGCTTGCAGTGTCTGGTGTGCGATATTCCCGAAATCGGTGGTCTGGGACTTGGAAACGAAGCTTCAGGTGAAATTTGGGGAAGTGCAAACTGGACGTCGAGCGAAACTACATACATCAAGGGAGGATAATACTGAATCCAACCTAACACAGCAAGTAGTCAGCCAGGTGTTGCTCAGGCTTCAGACGGCATGTACCAGGTCAAGCACCTATCTACCTACCTAGGCAGGCAGGCAGGCACCTTATAGTAGGGACTTGAAAACTTGCAGCCCACAACTTTCCTGTGATGTGGTCTACTAGCGTGGATTGCCAATATCGGTCCAACCTTCCTGTTGCCCTGTGCCGTTTTCAGACCAACCCCTCTTCCTTTTCATATTCACACTCTACCTCGAGAAACATCCATTGCCTCCGACTGGCAGCTGATGATCCTCGCCGCTTCGATACATAATCGTATCACATTCCATACAGACCTTCAAATCGATCTTGTAAGTTGCAGTCATCACCGAGTTCTTTCACGATCATCGTTGTCGGCCTTTCACGTCGACGCGTCCTTGAGCAACATCATCTCCACCTCCAACACGCGTTTTCCCATTCCACATCTCACCTCCCACACATCTCTTCAGCCAAGCATAACTTGATCGACCACCCACCATCCTCCGTTCCCTCATCATTTACAATCCCCGAGCGTATTTTTCTTCCAGAATATGCTCCAGGACGTGGTAGCTGACTTGTCTCTCCACAAAAGCCCTTCCAGAACAAACCATCAAGATGGCGAGCACCAAGGAATCTGTCACCCTGAACGAGGCCCAGACCAACTTCCTGGCCCTCTTGATGAGAAACATCAAGAGTAAGCCTGACATCGACGTAAGTCATCCCTTCCAACAAGGTTCTTTCCTCTTTTTCTGGGAACCTTAGTCCTGACTTCATTCTGCTTTCCCTGTCAAAAGTTCGACGCCGTTGCCGCGGAGCTTGGAATCACCCCCAAGTCCACCAGAGAGCGTTTCCGTCTGCTTTCCATCAAGATGGGCTGGAAGGACGGCCCCGCCACCCCGAAGAAGCCCACGGGTGTCACCAAGCGGACTTCTGCCAAGCTTGGCAGCGCAAAGAAGGGTGGAAAAGGCAAGGTGGAGCCCGCGACTCCTGTTGGCGGCGACGACTCCGATGCGGAGCTCAAGAAGGATTGGGACTCTGATGGGATCAAGGACGAGGCAGAGATTTGAATACGGGCTGACTTTGGCGGATCACTTTCGAATGCTCCTGTTGATGGAGTATGAGGGCTTGCTGATGAGATTGCGTCTCGACTTCGAACACAACGGCACATGGGCGTGGTTGCGCCCATTTCGTCTTGGGCTCTTGACAACTACATAGCAACAGACTGACGTTTCCGACAACCTCTACCTCCATGAAGTTTCGTGATCATGCAATTGAAATCCTTGCGCATGATAAGCGAGTGTTGTGCTGCCTTTCGAAACTTCTCTACAAACGATCCATTTCTCCCTCAACAGGTTCCATTCCAAGCCAAGGCTTTCCACTTTTTGATTCATGATCACACGTTCCTGGCTGTTCAAAACGTGAGGTGCTCACGGTACGTCCCCGGATTCTGTAGGGTCATTTCTAACTTTTTCAGGCCAAGGCCTGGACACCGGCTGCTTCCGTAAAAACGCACATGGATAGCGGGAAAGGCTGCCCATTTAGGTGAGACCATTTCACTACGAGTTTACCTTCCACCTTGGGGACTGGTAGAAACGAGTTTCAAGCGCCCAAACTAGCAATCACTACAACCGCGATCAACAGAAACGTTTTTCTCACCCTGGTCACGGAGGACCTTGAGTGGATGAATTTGATAGCGTTTGCTAGATGCTAACTAATAGGAGGCACTTGGGCATTCTTGAACTCCAAAGCCAAAGCATATGGCCACAAAGGAGTGCTTCCTTTGGCATCAGATTGATCCACGTACTAGTTTTGGGATGACACCTAAGTTTTCACAAAGTGCTTCAACACCTAGCCATCAAGGCCTCTCGAACTAGGATCGGGCAACTGGTTACTGTCACAGTCTCTTTGGAGCAGCGTAACCTGATTTCAGAGGCTGTAGAAATAGTGAACTTGTGACCTCATAAAGGGCATTCCCAGTGACCCACAAAGATGCCAAAAGAGCATCTCATACGTCTATGCCTTGAATGCATTATCAGTGCCACAGTTGGACAAACCGCGAAGAAGCACTTGAAACAGCACAAATTCCCCACGGAAAACAATACATATGAGACCCCCAAGGCGTCAAGGTACTATTGGTAGCATTTCCACTATTCAGATGACCAATTTCACTAGAAAGGCTTCCGAGGCAGCCCTGCGAGAAGCTTTCACTGGTTCAAGTCTATCTTTTCGTACTTCTAGTCTATGCTGAGCTTGTTCAGATCGCCAGCTTCAAGTTCAGACCGCGACGATACTAGGCATCGTCGCCGTTGCCTGCGGAAGCAGGCGGAAGCAGGCGGATTCTGCAGGCGGGCCACCATTTCAGAGAAATTTGGTAGAGCTCAGAACTTGACAAATCTTTCCCCTCTCAACTATCTCCATCTACTCAAGGGGTCTTTCGTGGACAAACGTCCCGTGAGAATTCCTGTGCACTTGACTCAAGACATGACTCTTTCTTGTTCACCCCTTTTTGTTGACTCTTCCTGTCAACCCCTCTGTGGTGACTCTCCTCTCGACTTCTTCCTGTTGACCCAACCCTTGGGGTACTGCCGCCCTCACAGTACCTAGGTACTTAGGTACTGCCCCCCCTGCCTTCCACAGCAAGGTTGGGACGGAAGGGGTGAGCTCTGGGAAAGGGCCCGTGCGTCAGCACCCTAGGCCTTCCTTCCAACAGGAGTACGCCTGCAAACGGTTACCTCTTGCCTTTCGAGATCTGTTGACCGTTCGCGAATTTCTGACCATCGCGATCTTCAAAAACAAAGTCGTCAAAATGGCGACCAACCACCAAGAAGAAGACCACAAGAAGGCGACAGGCCTTCAAAAGGCGCTGGAGACCGTAAGTCGACCATCTTCTCAACCACGACCACAGCCACCGCGAATTCCCTGACAACCCAACAGCAGCTTCTCGGTCTCGAGAAGCTGGGGGCTCTCCCCACCACCGCCGCGGACGAGGTCCGCAACATCATTGCGGAGGGGATCGCCGACAAGTTCGGCGAGACCTACCGAACCTTCCCCTGTGCCCGCGAGGGTACCGAGATCCGTCGGGACGCAGTCCCAAAGCAGTGCTCGCTCAGAAAGAGCGTCGAGGGGTTCGTTGCAGAGGCACGGTAAGTTTACCATCCCCCTCCTTCCAGCCTGGCAGCATCGCATCCCCCTTCAGGGCAGTGTTTCCTCCGTCGTCACATCAGCCACAGCCCGCTCCCCCTTCAGTTCCACCCCCAAGTACGTATGCGCACCACCTTTTTTCATAATCGACGGGACGAGTGGATATCATGTCACAAGCTCTTCGAACGCTCCCTTCAATTGTCTTTGTCTCCGATCTGCTGCCAGCCCACCAAGTCTCCTGAGGCTTTCACCTTGGAGTCAACAACTAACGCTTTCAACAGTTCCCCTGGGAAAGTCTCCAAGGTCAAGGTCCAGGGAGGCCAGAAGAAAGTGTATGTCACATTTTGGCTCATCCTTCCATACTTACGTTCAGGCTGAATGGCTAATGGACTGCCAAAACCAGCATCACCAAGACGACCACTGCGAAGGAGCGCGCGACATTCAAAGCGCTTGCTCAAGTCAACGCGGCTCAACGTAACCTGGGCTCCACCATCGGACACGCTGCGCGAGACGAGAAGACCACGCCTCGCAAGACGGCATCGCCTGAGAAACAGCAACCGAAGACCTCTCCCAACCCGTCCGACCCCGCCAAGGATGGCACTTCCAAGGACTGGCAGCAGTGAGCGACGAGCCAACCAATCCTCCGATTCGTCTCATTCTCCATCACTAACACACTTTGCAGGACTAGACTTGAGAGCGGAGAGAAGGCCTGGGATGTCTTGCTCGCGCAGAAGGCCGCCGGAATCAAGGCAGCTGCTCGCGCTGGTAACCAGCAGAATCCCATCACGCAGGGAGCGGGAAACCCAATGCTTCCCGTCGCTCAGAAAGCAGGAGTCACATCGCGCAAAGACGGGCGGGCTGCGACTGCTGCGACTCCCAAGAACGGAACGGGTGTGCCCAAGTTAGCCACAACTCACCAGCCATCCGCGGCCGCTGCTGGAACCAGCTGTGAGGCGCCTAACGGCCGCACCACTACCGAAGAGCTGGCTAAGCCAAAGTCTTCATCCTCTGGAAAGGCCAGCAATGGATCCAGCGAAAACCTCATCGACTTCGGTTTTTAAAAGCTTCACGAAAACACCCTCAAATTCATACCCACACGACCAAAGGTTGCGGCTCCTCAATCAGTCAGCAATCACTACTGAAAATCGACTTCTATCTTTGACTTGACATTTGTTCGAGGCTTATGGAATGCGAAAAGCGCACCCATGGTTGGCGATTTGCCACTGGAGTACTCGCTCACGTCAGAGAAAGAGAGGAGTCGCTAAACAAAATGGAAGAGGATGCGTCATTTTGATACAGCATGAAGACAACCTGGCTCGGATAATGGCAGGTTATGCGACAGCTGTGCAGGCCTAGGTTCAGGGGATTGCGCGCATGCCTCCTTGATATTTGAGATTCTGTAGAATAGAGAGGCCTGACCCATTGGTCCCAATAGAACGTACCGGACCTGAAGAGTCTGCTTTGACACTTATGAAGTCTCCCGAACACTTGCTGCAACATGGTTACTAAGACCTAGGGTTGTTGCAAGTGACTGCCGCCCAAACGATCAAGGTCACAGCTACTCACAGCCTGAGGGAGTTGAGCGATTCTACGGTAAGCGTTTGTCACGCTGTCAGACCTGTGAAACCTCCAGTTTGCTCTCGAGTAATCGTAGCACCTTGAGTGTGAATGTATTAGAACCTACGAGTCTCCTTGAGGCAAAGCATGGGTAGAAGCTACCGCTACATCCAGGGTCGATGTCGGTTGGAATCTCTGGCTGGCTTTTGAGGTGGTTCAGGCCCAGCAGACTTGTCGCCCTCGGTCCTGTTTAACTCTCAGCACCACGCGCTGTGCTCAGCTTCAGCTGTCTCTCGAGCACATGCGGGCTCATTCTGTACCCCTCTATCAGACCAAATCCAGCTTGGATGTCATTTCGATGCAATGATCAAGATCTAGTTCTGGAACGCGGCCGGAGTGTATGCTCTGAGGCAGCAACACCGCCATGATTTTCGAATTCCACAACCGAGCTCCCTGTGAGATCTTGGCTTAATGTTGTGCAGCTCGCGAAACGACGAGGTTGGGCTTTCAAGAGGCCTTCAAATCCAGCGGACGCGGCTGATGAGGAGCCCTAGTAGCATTTTGACATGCCCGGGGGACAGAAATTCAAGTCAATGTGTCGTGATCAGTCGCCTCGCCCGAGAGTTCACCGAGGTCACTCAAGCTTAGGGACTGCAAGGCTTCAAAGTTTGGCTCGCCGCTTATTCCTCGATACCATTCGGGACTGAAGTCGATGACGGCTGCATTTGCCTCTCACCTTGACCCAAGTCTCCACAGCTGATGCTGCCGGATGATGGCAGTTCCTAAATTCGACAAGAATCTGGGTCGACGGAGACCAAATGTGGAGATCGAAGGTGCTAAATGTTTACGTATTCGTTTGCAATCTTTGACTGGAACATGTATTGACTTTTGGCCAAGGCTGATTATCAAGTATTTGTTGCACGCACATCCCTAACCCTGGTTTGCAACTACTTTCTGAAATGCTTAAATAGTTAAATTTCTTTTATTTCCTCCTTTTAAACTACTCTTAAGAGATAAATGCTTTTATAATTATGCTTTTAAACCCCTTACAATACTTATAGCCTTCCATAATTATAAGCTTAGTTTGCATAAAATAATCTTTCCTTTTTATAAGCTATAAATAAGTTATATAAAGCATATTTTAATTATATTTATTTTATATTATTTATTTCCTTTTATTTTTAAATATATATTTATATAATAATTATAAATGCTTCTTTAAACTTTATTAATTAGGTAATTTATTTAAATATTTATTCCTTTTTCATTTAATTTGCTATATTATAGTTTTATTATTAAATTAAGGGGTATTGGAAATTTATAAACCTTAATGTATTAAACATAACCCTTCTTAAGCAATTAAATATAATCTTAAAATTAAATTTTTAATTTATATAGCATAAAAAGAAGAAAAGAAATATTTAAAAAGCTTTATATAATAAGTATTAAAAGCATTTAAGTAATAATAAGCTTTTAAAAGATAAAATAATACTTACTTTATTCTTTCCCTTATTCTTTAGTAAATTAAAAAAGGGATATAATTAATATCTTTAATAATAAGTTACCTTAGCTTTTAATAAGGTAATTAAATTTAATGAAAGATAAAAAATTTAAGAATAAATATAAAAAACGATATTTAGCTTAATTCTTTCCTTATATTTAATTAAAATAATAAATATAAAATAATTCTTTATTTAATAAGTAATTTAAAATATTAAAAATAACCTTTTACCCTTTAAATTAAGTATAATAAATACCTTTTAAACTTAATATTAATAATATTTAAAAAAAGCAAAGAAATTAAGTATTAAATCATAATAATAATATTAAAACTTTATAAATTTATATTTATAAGCTTATATTTATAAGTTACTTAAAATTAAGGGATTTATTAATTTAAATAACTTCCTATAAGTAATTATAATATATATTGCCCTTAATTAAGCAATTTTTAAGCATTAAAAACTTATTAAATAAGATATATTAAGAAATTTAATTTATCCCTTAAAAACCTTATTTAAAGAATTAACGGTATTTTTATATTATAATAAGCTTACATTAGCCTTTAGAAATATTATAATATTTATTATATTAAGATTAAAAGTATTTTTTAAAATAAAGAGTAATTAATTAAGAAAGCAATTAAGAAATAAAAATGCATTATCTTAATTATGCTAATGAAATAAAATATATAAGTGCTTTTATTAAAGAATTAATTAATAAAAGGGATATACTTAATTTTTTGCTAATTGCCGCCACCTTTATTTTATGCTTTTAAGAAAATAAATTTTAAAGCTAAAAATACTTTTAAGGAAACTTAAATATAATGAGATTAAAATATAATTATAAGAAAACTGTTATAAGAACTTAATTTAAGAGCTTACTTAAAAAAACCTTTTCCTTAAAGATTAAATGTAAAGCTTATTAAAAATATTAAAAACCCTTTTAAGCATATTTTTAAGAGCTATTAAGGAATAAAATCTTAATTTCCTTTTTTAATTTTATTTTTTCTTTATAAAGCAAACTTATACTTTTTTAAACCTTAATTTTAAAAAATTAATTAATTAATAATACCTTTATTATATCTTTATTAACTCTTTATTAATTTATTTATGCTTTAATTAATTTATTATAATTATTAATTATAATTAATTCCTTAAAAATATATATAATCTTAAATTTTATATTATATCTTTTATTTTTAAATATAATTTTAAATAATTATAGCGTTATATACCTTATTAACTTAATTAATTATTTAATTTTAAGCACTTTTAAAAAAACTATTAAAATAAATATTATTAAAGCAAGAATTTTATTTTTAAAGGTTTTAAGTTATAAAATAAGGCGCTTTAAAAATATATTATATAAAGTAAATAAAAAAAGGATTAAGGATTTAATTTTAAAAAATATAATAATTATAAATAAATTTTATATTAATATAGTATTAAAAGCGCTTCTATAAAAATTAAGTATTTAATATTATAAAATTAATTTAATGCTATGCTTTAAATTACTTAAATAAAGCATTGTTTTTCTTAAACTTATTTAATAGCATAATTTAATCTTTCTTAAATATATATTATTACATTTCCCTTATTTTTACCTTTTATTATAAATACTTATAAGCGTTATAAGCATATATAAGCTTGCAATTTTTTTAATAAATTTAATAAAACCTTTTAAGCCTTCTTAATACTTAAATAAAAACTAAAAAAACTTAATAACCCTTTAATATTTTTAATTTAAACACTTAAGGGCTAATATTTTTAAATTATTAATTTAATATGCTTAAGATGTAAAATTTAAGGGAATTAAATAAATTAATTATAAAAATTACTTTAAAGCTTTTGTTAAAAAGGTAGTTTAATGCAAGCCGTTAAAAGGCAAGAGCCTAAAACCCTTTTTTTAAATTTTATAAGATTTATTTTATTATTTATAAGCATTAAATAAATTAAACTATAGGCTTATAATAATAAATAAGTTCTTAAGATTTATTTACATTTTTCCCCTTATATTAAAGACTTAAAAATAAGTATTTAATACTTTTTATGCTTATAAAAGCTAAGTAAAATAATAATATGGTTTAAATATTTATAAAATTAAATAAAATGCTAAGGTTATAATAATTAGCTAATTTATAAATATTAAATATATTAAATAAGTAAAATAAAAGGGTATTAATTTAAAATTTACTTCCTTTTAAACCTTAAAAGTAAATAATATTATAAAAAGGGCTAATAAAGTAATAATTAAATATGCCTTAGCTATGCTATTAAAAGCTAATTTACCTTTTAACCTTTAGCTAAAAGCAATATAAGCTGCAACTTAATTATATAATATATTGCTTGCTTTAAGGAAAAGAAAGCGTGCCTTAAATACTTTTTTATATATATAATTTTCCTATTATTTTTAGTAATTTAAATTAACTTAAATTTATCGTTTTATAACTTATTTATTGCCTTATTAAAGTAATATTTATGCTTATAAATATAAAGCATATATGCTTAAAAAGGAATATAAAAATAATATAAAGAAATGCCTTATAAAAAGGGAATTAAGGGCTTATATTAAGTATTTAATTAATTATATAACATTTAATATCTTTTAAATTTAAATTTCTTTACTTAAATAAATAATCTTTATAAGAAATATATAGTTTAATAAGAATATATTTTATAAATTAATAATAAATAAAGTAAAAAATAAGCTTTTAATTCTTAAAGTAAAATCGCTAAATATTAAAATTATTAATATTAAAAAAATTTAAAACTATATTTATATTATACCCTTAATATCTTATATAAAAAATAACTTAATTAATTTAAATAATAAATTTAATACTTATTTTATATTAAGAAAGAATAAAACTAATACTTTTAGCTAAAACTTAAGAATAAGAACTTTTAAATTTAAAAGGTAAAGTTTGCTATGTATTACTTTCTTAAAGAGCTTAAGAAATTAAGAATAAGGACTTTTAATCCTTAAAAGAACCTTAAATATATTAAAATAAGGTTTTTATAAAGAAAAATATACTTTTATTAATAAAATAAGGGCTAATAAACCTAAACCTTCCTTTTAAAAATTGCATATACTTAAAGTTATAAAAAATTAAGAATTCTCTTAATTAATATAAATAAGAAAAATATAAGAATAAATTTAAGAGTTTAAACTTATAAGAAGATCTTCTTAAGTATATAATTAAAATAAACACCCTTAGGAATCCTTTAATTAATTATTATATTTAATAAATATAATTATATTTTACTTTAATATAACCTTTTAAAGTAACTTTATAATTACTTTTTTGCTTAATTAACTTAAAAAATAAAAATAAAGAATACTTAAGGACTTATATTTTTTAACCTTAAATAATATAATGGCAACCATTATTTAAGCCCTTAAAATTAAGTTTAAGCTTTACTTAATGTAATAATATTATAAAAATCTTTCTTTAAAACTAATTATATAAAAAAAAGCTTAAAAAAGCTATTTTTAAAATAAATAGCTTAAGGCAATATATTAAAAAATATAAAGCCTTATTAAGCTTAATATTTAAAGGATTATTAAGCGCTAAAAAGTAAAATTAATATTGCTATTCTTAAAATAAGTATATAAATATAAGCTTAATAAAAATAAAATAATTAAATCTTTTAAAGCATGAATTTATATTTAAGAAAACTTATAACTTTATTTTATTATAAAAAGCATATATATCGCAACCTTAATTATAAAATCATTTTATATAATAATAATAATTATTATATACTTTAATTTAAAAATTTAATAATTTAATATTAAAATTGCGTTTTTAAACGCTAACTAAAAAGAGTTAAATTAAATTTATTATAAACTGCTTAATAAATTTAAGGAATTAGGGAAATATAAAGTGCTTTTAAGGGTACTTTATAAATTAAGAAACTTCTTATCTTTTTAATATAAAGATTTTAGCTATATATTATAAAATTTAAGCTTAAAACTCTTTTTAAAAAAGCCATGCCTTTTTATTAACTTAACTTATAAGGTAGCAATCTTCTTTTATATAAATAATATTTTAATTATATATCTTAAAGATAAATATAAATTCTTTATAAGAATTAAAAATGGGATTTAATTTATATATAAAATAAAGAATTAAGGGAAGGCTTAATAATTCCTAAGCATATAAATTCTTAAAGATTAAGAAAAGTATATTATAACACTCCTTTATAATTTATATATTAAAAAAATAATAAATAAATATAACTTATTAAAAAGTAAAAACTTTTTATTATTTATCTTAATGCTTAAAGAGGAGCTTAAGCTTTTTTTTAAATAAGCCTTAAAATAAAAAATTTAAAAATTTTAAAAAAAAGTTAATTTTATCCTTTATATAATAATTATAATATGCTTAAATATAATATTTCCTTACTTTATATTATTAAAATTCCTTATAAACCTAAGTTTAAGTTACCTTAAGGCAATAAATTATATAATTTAATATTTATATGCTACTTAATTCCTTAAATTATAATTTAAAGGAAATTAAAAAGCCTAAGCACTTTTAATAACTAAAGATGCTTTATTTATTAATAATAAGGAAAACCAAAGATCTTCCTAAGAATATATAATAACTCTTTTTAAGAGCTTTATATATTAAAAAATATATAAATAAGCAATTATTTCCACTTTAACTATTAAGGTTAAATTATTAGCTTTAAAGCTTATAGCTAAAGAAATAATGGCTTTAAAACGCTTATTTAAAAACATAACCTTAAATTTAAGCAAGCCTTAAATTATTTATTATAATAATTAAATAACTATATACTTAATTATTAATAAGCATAAATAGCTAAAAATAAAGCTTAAATATATAAATATTTAATAAATATAATTAAAATAAGAATTTAAAAGGGGTACCTTTAATATTACATACTTAAAAACCAGGAAGATATTAATAAATAAACTTATTAAAGTTTTATTATATGCTTAATTTAAATATTTTAAAACTCTTTTAAATCTTTAAAATATAAGAAAAGTAATAAAAGGAAATTAATTTATTTATTAATTATTCTTATTATTAAATTTTTATTAAAAATCTTAAAAACTATATTTCTTAAAAATAATAATGCAACCCTTATATAAAAATTATTTTATAATTAAAAACTACTTTTTAACCTTTGCAATAATATGCTAATTAATTTAAAACCTTCTTTTAATTATTATAATAACTTCTTAACTTTTTTAAAAAACTTTCTTAACCTTTAATTAAATTCTTAATTATAATTTTAAATTAAGATTTAATAATATTTATTCCTTAGCGTTATCCTTAAAATTAAAAGGCTTAACTATAATAATAATATAATCCTTATACTTTTTTATAATTTTTAAGTTATTAATAACTTAATTTTAAAGCTTTTAAGTTTTTATATTAACCTTATTACGCTGCTTTAAAGCAATTATAATTTAAGCTTTAAAGTGCTTTATTATATCCTTATATTTATTCTTTTTAGCTTTTAAAAGTTATTATTATAAGATAAAAATCTTTTAAGTATTAAAAAGGATTATAGGAATGCAATTAATATGGGCTAAACTAAACTTCCTGCGCTTATATATATTTAAGGCTTTCTTTTAAGCATGCTAAAACTTTTTAAATGCTAAGAAATTACTAAATTAAGCATAATAAAAATAAAGTGCAAATAATAAAAAGAATATTAAAAGCAATTTATAGGAATTACCTTAAATATAATAATAACAATAATTATTTTTATTATTATAATTTATGTAGGAATTATTATTATGGCTATATATAAGGCTCTTAATATAAGGGAAATAAGAAATGCAATGCTTATTAATCAGCCGCGTGGCGCACTGGTTATGCATCTGGCTTCTCTCCACGGAGGGCGTAGGTTCGAACCCTGCCACGGCCGCCGAAACCTTTTTTGGGAATTTTCCCCTCAACTACGCTATGGCGAATCGCGGCCTGCCCACCCGCGACCCCCCTAGCCAAAAGGGGCCCGTGCCATAGGGCCCCGAAAACCCCACCGAAGCCAACGGAAAATAGGCACCCAGAGAAAGCCCTGGGCCCCTAAAACCTCGGGCCAGCGGCGCCCCAAAATGCGCCCTACAGAAAGGCCCCCCCGCGAGGGGCCTCTAAATCAACCGGCGAATAGGCCTCGTTATAGGCCTCAATTAGCTCCGTCAAAAGCCCCGCACTAGCAGAGGCAGCTTTGCGACCCCGCACCAAAGCCGCCGCGGCCCCCCAGCGAAGAAGTAGTGACCCTTAGCTGGGCAACTACAAGGGATCTGCTTATAAGAAGCGGCCCTTGTTAAGATTAGGATTGGAGGAGAGGATTACTAGGAGAGGAGGAGCTAGAAGGGCTCCACAAGTCTTAGGCGAGATCAAGGGAGGAGCTCCTGATTGGAGGAATTGAGAGGCGTACTGGTTTTCATCCAGCTCCAAAGCACTCCAGCTCCAAAGCACGGTTTTTCCAGTATGGGTGAATTTGCAGAGAGACCGCATGCCAAATGGCAAGCTCTATGTATATATATACATATAGTAGCTTTACGTGAATAGAATATTAAAAAAAAATGCTTATTAATCTTCTTAAGCTTTTTTATAACTTCCTTCTTTTCCTTATGCTTTATTTTAACCTTTTCTTTAAAAAAGAGTTTTATTTTAAGCTTTAAGCTATTTAAATATGCCTAAAGGTTTTTTAAAGCTATATTAAGAATTAATATATACTTTAAAACTAGTTTTTAAATTAATTAAAAAACTTACTCTTAAGCATATTATTTAGCAATATTTTAATAAAAGCATTAAAGCTTTTATTATCCTTATTAATAAGCTTCTTATTAATTTAGCCATGCTTATATTTCTTTTTTTAAACCTTAAAGGTAGGAAAAGGTGAAATAACTTATAGCTTAAAAGCTTATTTTTCATTACTTTTAGCTATCTTTAATATAATTAAAAAGATGCTTAAAATTAATAAAAATAAGTATTTTTAAATATAGATTTAACTAAAAAATTTAAAAAAGAGCTTTCATTATTAATTATAAGCTATATTATAAGGTTATAAGCGGCTAAAGTTTAAGTAATAAAGTGCATATATTATAAGAAAGGTTAAATAGTTAACTGCTTGGCAAGCTGTAGCTAATGTTTTTAAGTATAGATTAGCCGCCTAAAAAAGTAGGGCAGTTAATAAGGCAAAAACTGCCTTTTAACTAAGGAGTGTATTACATGCATATCCCTAACCTTAGTTTGTAACTACTTTTTAAAATGCTTAAATAATTAAATTTCTTTTATTTTCTCTTTTTAAACTACTCTTAAGAGATAAACGCTTTTATAATTATGCTTTTAAACCCCTCACGACACTTATAGCCTTCCACAGTATTTGGTGCGAGTGTACGGAGAGAAGATACACAACAGTACCCACCAAGTGTCAAAAATCCTTGAAGCTCATCCTGTATGTGTGTCACCCACCGAGGGAGCCCCGAATGGCCAACTTAAGTATGTTTCGGTCCCGTGGCGCATTCGGTCATGCGCTGGGCTGCCTATCTGCTGAAATGCAGAGGGCGCGGGTTTGACTCCGGCCAGGGCCACCGACCGCACTGCATTAATACGCACTGTTGACAACATTGTATTTTCAAATATACCTGGGCTGTAAGGGAACACCGCACTGTATTTCCTAGGTAGTCAGCAAAACTAGCTATAATTAGGTACACTATAGCAAGCTACAGCCCTAATCTCATGTTTCGGGGCACGGTGAAATTCCGGATACCGGCTAGAAGATTGGAATGCCCCTTCGTTATAGCGCGAAGTAAAAATAACTGACACCCCCTTTTTTTTCATTTTTTTTAAGTGTGTTTCATGAGCCACGAATAGATTCGTTTCGTTATTGTATAACACAGGAAGAGCAGCTGAATACCGGGAGCAAGAAATAACTGGACATTTCCTCCTCAAGGCTGAGTGTTGGATTGGCACCTGAAGCCTCCGGGGGCTGACGCGTCCACTACCGTCCTGTTAGCTCAAGTCTGACCTCTTGTCAATTGCAGGCTTACCTCGGCAATGGCTGCTGCAGCACGGGTCGGGATCTGAAACACCAGGACAGGGAGCTTTCGGGCAGGTCAGTCTTGCGTCCTAGATTTCCGCCCATGACAACTTACATCCAGGGGGAAGGCCAACCCCCTGTCCACTCTGACAAGATGAACACCGACCACCTGCTACCTGGTCAGCTCGTTCATGGGGTCGGCTGATGAATGTCATACCAGTGCAACGATTAGAAGCGCAGTCATATCCGGAGCCGCAACCGTCTATTTCCCAAGGTTCAGTCATCGTCATAGAACATCTTAATGTGAGACCCACTCACCACCGGTAGAGCCTCGAGCACATTTACGAGTTGCTTCAAGTGGGAGCCGTTAGTAATCTGCTTGGACGTATGGGATTTGTATATGCTTACAAGAGTCGCATATACCCGTGATGCATTCGTTGGCAGACTGGCATTGGACTGCACTTGTCAGACGGGCGGACAACAACGGATGGGAATACGAATACATACCGCCTGCGCCTGACAGTTGGGCCAGGGTGGAAGCACTGAGTGCAATGAGAGTGAGTCCGGAGAGCAGCATGGTGAAGGTGTCCCAAATATGTCTAGTTGTCCTGCTTAAGAAAAGGAAAGTCGAGGTGCGAGAGTGCCCTACTTATAAGCGAGAAGTACGACTAAATCAGAAGACAAGGGCTTTCAAACAGCCTGAGATAGTGATAGCGCATCTTTTGGACAGTTCCGGAGCTGCCGTCGTCAAGTTGACTACACTGCCACGGACCGATCGTTTCAAGGAGGACTGCCAAGGGGGAGCCAGCTGTAGTGCGTGGGTCCAGATGTGAACGAGCCACAGGCAAGCTTGGTTGCAAAAAGGGATAGTGTCGTATTCCCATTCCCGTGCAACAAGTTCGAAGCTTACCTCTAATAAAGAGTCTTGCCTGCCAAGTCACGCTCGACCCGAGTTTGCATTTCCAGCCCTATATTAGCTTTTGGCCCACTATTGGCATTGTATGCTCTGGCCCAAGTATTTGAGTTAGCTTTAAACGGCGTGTATTGCTTAGATAGACTACTCGTGTACAAATATAGCAATAAGGGAACCAGGTGGCTCCAAAGTTACTATATATTATAGTGTCAACCTTTACGTAGTGCACAGTCCAGATCGACCCTAACCATACCATCCAACGGCCGTCCGGTGGCAGTTAACCTGCCCACCTAGCGCATTATCGTTCTCCGATGGCTTGGAAGATTCTTCTAGTGCCTTAAAAATATCGAAGTGATTAACCTCACTCCATTTGCATCAATCGCCCATTCATGAGTCCAAAGAATTCAAGACTCTGGTCCATGTCTGCCTTGGTCTGTGACTTTTCCCGCCGTTATGGAAGCCTTCGTGCAGCAGGACGCGACAGGCATGACTCGGCTCTCGTCTTATGGATGGTGCGGAAGCGCCGGAATTCTCATACCAGTACCGAATTGATTAGAGACGAGGAGCTATTATGATGGCTTACTCTCAAGCGCTTCAAGTTCTCGTCAAACTGAGTTCGTCCGATGGGTAAAAATGAGAAGATCAAAATAGCACCTGAACTGTGGCCCAATGGCTTGGCTGTTTCCTTAGTGGTAACATGCTAAGAAAGCTCCCACAATGTCTGTTGCTGAATTCCACACGGGTCTGTTTGGCAGTCTTCGGCGATTCACGGAGACTGTGTCCACATGGGTTCACATGCAAAGCGCAGCCATGATGAGCCGAAGACACTCCATTCTTCAACCATATACCAGCTGGCAGTGTCGGGAATAGTAAAGGGGGGATTCGACTGCTATATAATTTTTACAATCCTAACCGCTTTGAGATCAACGAAGAGAAATATTCTGGTGTAGTTCTAAATATCTAACGACATCTAGTCCTCCTAAACTACTAGTAATAGCGGGTTGAGGGGGCTGGAACTATTGTTAACCATTGGGGTCTGATGCATGACACAATTATTAGTCAAGCGTACACGACTGAGGTGGCATAGCTGTTGGTTCTGTTCTGTCTTTCTGTTGGAAGGAGACTCTGCCGTTGTTGTGCAGGACGCTCACGAGTTTCGTACAACCCGGACTGCCTCGCCTTGAATGTATGGCTAGAGCGTGACCCTTCTGGTAAAATCCTGCGAATCTGCAAACCCGCGATGTGAGACGAGAAATGCGCAAGTGACCTATCAGCTTCTACCTTGACGTGAAAGTCGCTCGCGGGCTGCTGCTAACTGACCAGCTGCTCACAGGCTGAGAAGGTTTTTTGAGACGCCGTCGAAAGGAACCCCCCCCCCCCAAGCATTTACCCAATCAAGACCAGATTTGGGAGGGACGAAACTGCACTGACCTTTTGGTAAGCCCAGCCCCTGTCCCTCCCTTACGCCGTACCTGGCCAAGACAAGCGCGGTCGGCAAGGCTCCAGTCGACTAGGCACTTGATCACGCCCTAAAGCTACCCGGGCTTCCGAGATGTTGATCTCATCACCCTGTCTTTTGCTACGTTGGATCCGCACGGAGCCTGGATGTAGCCTGTGAAATGAAGCATGAGATTCACCACTGTTACAGTACGCCATATAGGTGATAGCCACGGTAATGCTCTCGGCATTACAACGTCCCTCTTTTGTGGTGTTTTGGCGCAATAGGCTTGCTTGTGCCGTAATAGTTTATTATGCCTCCCTAAGGGTTTTAAGTTCAAGCCAGACTTTGTAACTTTGTTTCTCCTTTAGCCATGGAATTTTTTCTCACATAGGCAGGGGCCTAATGTGATCTCAAATCCACCCATAGGAAGGAGGCAAATTACAACCGAAAAGCTAGATAACTTAACTTGAAACTTTAAAATAATGCCTCTAGATCTATTTTAAGGGGTACCTATCTAGCAGAAAGATAGCAAACTAGCCTTATTAATTCATTAGGACGATTAATCTTAAGGTTAGGCAACTATTATAATACACTATATTAGTGATAGCCACGGTGATGCTCTCGGCATTATAACGCCCCTCTTTTGTGGTGTTTTGGCGCAATAGGCTTTCTTGTGCCGTAACAACCACGCATAAACCGGCACTCTCAAATTGATGAATCTCAAGCCTGTTGTGCAATGTCGTTGCCCGAGTGCTCTGGGCTCTGATGACAAATTGCAAACCGGGTCCGTACACGTTGCGCAGGATGTCGAATGAGGACGTGCGGAGGCACAGTGAGAGACTCCAAACGTTGGTTACATGAGCCAACTGTGCATTGGATCTAAGACGAAGGCGCGCAGAGCTGAGGCAAAGTCGCAATGCCGATTGGGTGGAGGCTGACAAAAGCATCTCACCATAAAACATCCGTCAGATCCTCTTCCCAAGGATCGAGAAGGGAAAAGTCCTCCCTTCGCTCTCCACGGCCTCTGTGCTACAAGGAATCCCTTGATCGAACTACATTCTTTTCTCCAGCTGCTCCACCCGCCACATACCACGGCGTCAAGCGACAAGACACTCATCGTCATTGGATCAGGACCTGGCATCGGTCGATCAGTGACAACGCTGTTTGCAACAAAGCGCTACAACAACGTGGCTCTCATTGCACGGCGCGCCGAGCAGCTGAAGCTCGAGCAGAAGGCCGTTGAGGAAGCCGTCGCCGGTGTCAAGGTCAAGACATACGCTGTGGACGTCGCCGACAGCGAGGCTCTCCTCAAGGCGTTGGACGACATTGAGGCGCAGCTCGGCAAGCCCGAATGCATCTACTACAATGCCGCTCGCGTGCGCCCCTCCGAGCTGCTCACCCACGACGTCAAGGATATCGAGTATGATTTCAAGGTGAGCCTAGAACCCGTTCCTGGCTAGTGGATCAGTTGGCGCCTCGCAGAGACATGGAGGGGGCTTTATTATGCTAACACTCATCTCGGGCAGATCAACGTCTCGGCTCTTTACACCGTGACCCAGCGGGAAATCCCCCATCTCATCGAGCTGGCCAAGCAGGACCAGAAGGCGATGCCGTCTATCGTCGTGACCAGCTCCGTGCTGCCACAGCACCCGGTCCCCCAGTTCTTTGCGCTTTCACTGGTCAAGGCTGCTCAGCGCAACTTGGTGCAGAGTCTTTCCATGACGTATGCTTCGCAAGGTGTCCATCTGGGACTCATCAATGTTGGTGGCCAGGTCTCGCCGGAACATGAGACTTTGAATCCCACCAACGCTGCTCCGAAGGCGTGGGACTGGTTCGCAAAGTCCCGAGAGGAGCCAACCTTTGAGGTCTTGATCTGAGGCTGGGGGCCATGCTCAACTTACAAGTAGCTAGTTCGAAGTCTATGAATGGGAATCTTGGTGCATGGGATCTCAGGCTCAAGGAAAGGCATGAATAATCCGACAATCTATTTTCCTGTAACTGCAAAAAATACTTGGTCGGCAGTCACCGATTTCACCAACTGAGGCAATCGACCTTTCAATGGTGGCAAATGTGCAATGGTGCCGAAAAGCGGTCACTGCTTCATTGTATTTATGTATCAAGGCTATTGTCTCTCCCGAGACGGACGTCTGCAAACTACTACCAGTAGACGAGGTCTGACTGAGGCTAACCTAACCATGATATATGATTCTTTTCTTACATACACAATTGAACAATGTCACAAGGGAACTAAGCAGAGAGTGCTATTGTGGTGCTAGAAAAGCTTGAAAGAGCACTTCCGCTTGTCTTTCACCCGGACCTGTTGCAGCACCGAACCAACCCATAATGCTATTAATGGTCAGAACAAAGCCTCGCGGGTGAAAGGAGAATGGCATTGTGTGGAATCGTCATTCATACTGATGACATTATTGTTGGTATCGCAAGTGTATACCGTATGGTGTTTCTACAAATATCTTCAGTCGGCCCAGCTGAACGTATGATATTTCATGCCAAACCAGCCTCAGGACTCAGACCTTGGAGATTTGAATATCTCTACTCACTCGATTGGATTCTATAAGTATTCGACCTCTTCTAGTGAGCCTCAACTCACGAGCAAGCAGCCTGTAAGATGCCACGACCAATTGTTGAAACACACCTTTTCTTTTGGCTGTTGCATCAAAGCATCACTGCCGCCATCGATAAATATCTTGCTACTGGCAATTCTTTTCTAGCAGCTAATATGGCAAACGTGATCTACGAGCAAAGGGCTGTTTGGGCCAGATATTTGTCAGCGGACCCTAATGGCAAGTATTTCAGGCTCGAACTCTTCGATGAAGTGCTTGCACGAGTCGTCCGTCAGAAAGCTGAGGTCTCGCTTCCCGTAACCTACCAGCAGAACATGCTGGTGCAGCTCTGTCTTCACCTCTTTTCGTCTTCTCAGAATTCGAGAGGGTCCCTCGGCGTTCAAACCACCATTACTGAAATCGGAACCCAGTTGGTCAGCCTTCGCACTCAGCTGTTGGACTTTATCCAAGATGATGATACCGCAGGATCCGCTAACATGTCCAACACAGTTGCGAAATTCACCAATCTGGGTTGTTTCCTGAGCGCTATCACTTCAGATGCGTCAAGGCGCCCGGTCTATCCACTCGATGACCACGACCTATGCTCGTTGGGGCAGGTAGGTGTGGAGCTGGTTCTCGGCATCTTGCAGGTGGATAATGACTTCGACATCTACGAGGACCTGATCCGCCTAAAAATCTTCAAGGTTTGCATCACGTGGTTTGATGAGAACAAGGAGCCACTGTTCAAAGAGCTTTGTGAAGAACATGACCTGTATCTCTGCCAACATCGGCTTGGCAGCTTTTTGGATTCAGACTGGTTGGAACATGCAGACAGGGAATCAGAGTACCCCGTTTTGACTGTCAAAGCCGAAGAAATCGTGTTGACGATCCTGAGGAACCTAGAGAAGAAGTTTGGCCGCCAAAGCGTGCTAACAATCCTTCAGGAGTACGAAGAAGATTGGGTCGAGTGGGTCTTGAGTGACTTGAGTGAATAGGCTTCAGTGTAGACACAGGAGTTCACATACCAATGATAGGGTTCTATCTTGGGACTTCAGGAGTAGGTCACAATATAGACTTTAATACTATTCTAGCAACCTGTCACTTGCTGTTGGGGTGGCAATTAGAGAGCCGATATGATTCGTATATTGTGAGCTATGCAACATCATGAACTTGAATAAAAGAGAGATAGTTTCAACCTATTTGGCACACACAGTGTAATAAAGCGTCCACGCCCTCTAGACCAGAACCAGCCGAGCACCATCCTGCAATATTGGGCCAACCTATCCCACTCGAGCATTGGGCTGGCAAATGCGTTTGCGCCCTGCTAAATATTCCTGACCAGGAGTACTGTGATTTCACCATATCATGTTGTTTCAGTTAGCCAGTGTTTGGCAATTGACAAATGCCCACAGCAATGCACAAATAGCTGTGCCAGCTGCTGTTGGTAGGCAGGTAGGCAAGCAGTAGAGGTGTGTCTGTGCATGGGTCCAACCTCCAGTCTGAGATTGCCTCGGCATACTTGCCTGTGCGGCTTCTACAGATCAGGCTTGTTGGAGCAGAAACTAGCCCAAACTAATTTGCGAGGGCAACGGTAAAGAGATTTCGCTGGAGGACTAGGTTCCTTTTGTCCTTTGATACTATATATGCTCCATTTAGGAAAGTAATAATGGCTAGATTTTGTTATGGCCTGTTGACATGCCCCTGAAAACATCATACTGATCCTTTTTTAGAAAATCGCTGGTTGCAAAACTAAGGGGAACCATAGAATGACGTTGAGTATCCTCTGCTGGTCCAAGGAACCTGGTGCCATTTTTGCAGACACGAGGTCTATTCTAATATGAGATGAAGAGACATACCAGTACCTATAATCATGCTTCTGCGGCCCAGAGTAGGACCTACCCGCCTCTCTATAATCCCAAGATAACTAGCGAGCAGCGTCGGATGCCCAAGAAGGTCCTTGTCTATGACATGCCGCTGTGCTTGTCTGGCTTGCCCTTCTTACCTTCGAGATTCTCAGGTTTGCGGCCGTTGCGTTTTGGGATGCAGCTCTCAATGACTTCCAAGACCCGTGAGGACACTCGCTCCATCCCGAGTGTACGTTGTGTGCGATAATTCGAAGTCTTCCGCCAGCATGGCAGAAAGGTTGTTAACAGAATACGTGGAGCGGCACACGTCGAGCGGCCAGGGACCACCACACCCCAAGAATGAGAATAGTAGGCCTGATGACGTTTTGACAAACCGGAACCTACCCAAGCGAATGCGCGTGACGTTAGAAGCCTCAGTGGAGTAGTTAGCGGTGAAGCATTGGCTGTCGCTTGTTCTGGCGGTTGAGCCTGGGGATTTGTGCGGTAGGCCATGGATAGGAGAGCAGAGAGATGGGTCACTTGGTTCGTTTCTGTATTGGCTTGGCAAACTCACGCCTGCAGCATTCCATACTTGGTTGGCTACAAAAACCAAGCAAGTTTCCCCAAAGCCGTCTGAGCCCACTGCGCCGGCAACTGTAAAGATCCATGCACAGCTCTTGCTGTTGATGCTACCCCTGGTGGTACTATAACCCCTCTTCCACATCCCCCGCCGATCCCATTTTTGAGCTCTCCCTCCCAGCAAGCACTCGTCTACCTCGCCACGGGGCTCACAACACAGAAGCACAGCGCTTGTGAGGTAGGCAGTGACCGGAATATCAACAGCTGATGATTATACCTCTGCCTCTTCATCCCGGGCTCGTCGAGCATAAATTCTGAGACCATACGACGTGATCACAACATTCCCGTTGCATACCCGGGCGTGAGCGCTGCTGGAGAGGAGAGGTCCAAGGTAAACGCAGCCCCTCCAAGCGGAGGTCAAGCTCTCGTGCCCAGCCGGGTGCACGGGTGCACGGTGAGGAAACGCCTCGTCACAGCCAGCCAAGAGCCCTGTCTAGAATAGGACGTGTAAGCTGAACTACCTTCCCGATCTGGGCGCGTGCTGAGGATTCCCCGTGGGCTCCTCGGAACAAGGAAAAACATGATCGACCAAACGCTCCCCCAAATCACCTGGTCCGCCGACATCCAGGCCCACCTTCCACAACACCGCATTCGTGAATTGCACGGCCGGTCAAAAGGCCTCCTACACGACTGCCCAATGACAACCCCGAGCGCGTCCGCTTTAGGCAACTCAAGTCCGTCCCAACGGCTCGCAGGCCTCTCCCTGTCATCTCCCGGGGGGGCTGTCTTGGCCTCTCCGCACAGCACCCTGCCAGGGCGCGAGGCGCTGGTCAGGGACCCGCGATGCCAGACAGGTGCGGCGTCCGCGGGCGTTGGGTTCGTCACGCGGGAGGGTGGGTTGATGTGACACCAGCGCGGGCACGTTGGCAAACACAGGGAAGGAGGTGCTGTTCATCCCGAGGTCACGCAGCTGCTGCTTGGGGCAGGATGGAGGACATTGTTACGTCCACAACCGCGGACCCGACTATTTCTTTGGACAGCTCCCCGGCTTGCTTGAACCCGGGCTCCTGAGGTTGTCAGGAGGATCCAACCGTCTGTCGACAGCCGCTGCAATGAGGTCTTCGAGCAATCTTGTCACTCTGGCACTCGCCTTTGCGGGCGGTGTCAGGGCTGCGGAGTACAACTCTTTTGATGGTCCCGGCTTTCCCACCTGCTACGATGTCACGGCGGTGCACAACGCCACGAGTGTGGACGAGAGTGAGTCTGAGACATCCGGGTGGATGCAGTTGTCCGCTCAAGAGACCTTCCCGAAAGAGGCTGACCAGGAACTTTCATAGTGGTATCCCTCGTTCAGGCTGCTGCCGCCTCAGGGAAGCAGGTCCGCGCAGGGGGCAAGGGGCACATGTGTAAGCCATACCCCAAGCTCTTCACACTTCCTTCAGGGCTGCTTTGGTGGCAAGCATGGCTCCATGAGGAAATGCTCATGGTATCACCCAGCAATAGAGTCAACTGACACGATGTATCAAAGGGTACGACACCCAGTGTGCCGACTTGCCAACTGAGATCATCCGGACAGAGCTGGTCAACAACATCTCTGATTTCGACCTCCCAGCTGGCGCTGAATCAGGCAGCGTGGTCGTCGAGGCTGGCGTGACGTTCTTCCAGCTGGCAGACTACCTCCACGCGCGCGGCGCCAACATCGGCACGGGCCTCGTGAACTGGAACATCTCCCTTGGTGGCAGCGTTGCCATGGGCGCCCACCGAACATCGCTCAGGGAGGACGCTGTGGTTGTAGGCGGCGTGTTGTCCATGGACATCATCGACGGGTCCGGAAATATCAGGACCGTCGAGCGGGACGAATCCAATGACGAGTGGCTGGCGGCATCTACCTCGCTTGGGCTCCTGGGCGTAATCGCGAGGCTGAAGATGAAAATCTACCCCGAGACTGTGCTCTATGCGATGCAGAAGACGTAGGTTTCCCCGCTGTGCCAATTTTTATACAAGTGTTTGGGCTGACGAGGCAAAGGCTTGATGAGGAGGATGTCTTGAACGGCGATATTGAGGCGCTCATATCACCTTACCTGACAGCAAACCTCTGGGTAAGTCGATCTGTTCCTTTAGTTTGGTTTAGACTCAATGCTGACACGCCGAAAAGTGGTGTAGGTTCCTTCCTGCCTATTCAGGAGCTTTTGGATCCCCAAAGGGGTTCCTGGGGTGCATCACCTCAGACTCTGTAGAAGGTATTGCTGACACAGAACAGGGCCTTACAAGAAGAAGTTCCACCAGCGATACTACGACGTCGTCGGCCCCAATGATGCTAACCAGCACGGTCTGCAGTCGACCTTCTCCGTGACCGGGATCGAGGCCGCTGCCGCCATCTCCATCCTCGAAACAGGCAAGGCTCTCGCGACATCCAACATGCTCGCCGAGGAAATCTTCTTTGGCATTTGGGAAAAGCCCAACTTCCACACCAAGGATACCAATGTGGAGCTTACCACATGGCCTGTCACAGGATACAACTGCAAGTAGACGTCTGATTGAGTTGCTACTCAGCGTCCTCCTGAACGACCGTGGGTTTCTAACATACCACAGACGACGTCCTCATTGGTGGCCTGTACCCGGACCAGAAGGCAGAGTGGGATTACAATCTCCGTGGCTACACTTTGGAGCTGGCATTCCCAGTACCTCTCGCCAATAAAATGTTGAAGCGTGTTAGGGAGCTTTTCGATGCCCAGTGGAAGGAGAAACTTATTGTGATGACCTCGACATATCGAAGCGGGTAAGAAGGACCTGAGGATTCTTGAGACCAACCTGAATACTGACTCGGGACCTTCACCCTCAGCATCAACATCAAGTTCGGCAAGCCACACTACGACCTCCTCGGACAGGTGACCACCAACACCTCCGATGGGGCCGACTGGAGCAAAGGGGCCATCATGTTCGACTTCCCAAGCTTCAGGCCGAACACCGGTGATCACCTCCGTTTCAATGAGCCATTCTGTGAGGCCTCGTTGATTCTCCCCCTTGTGGACACAAGAATGCTGACCCTCGACAGACCACAACCTATCGCAGACTCTCATCAACGAGTTCCCCTGCAGGCCTCACTGGACCAAGAACACCCGGGAAGTCCTGACGCAGGCTGTCAAGAATCTGGACCAAGATGCAAGTATCATGTGCTGTACAAGTTGAGCGCCCACCGGACTTTTGCTGACACAGTGGGCAGCATATTGCCAGGTTCAAGGCTGTGAGGGAGGATTTCGATCCGAAGGGGACATTCAGGAGTGTTGTCGGCGAAATCATTGGCGTGTACTGAGTTTCCAGTTCAGCCAATAATGGATGTCTATTATGGCCTAACATGGTGCTTTGTGGTTTAGACCACAAGCCTCAGCTAGACTTGGCCACGAATAAAATATTTTGGACATCATCCTGGCGTGGACCCCCTTCAAAAGACGCACTGATAACACAAAACAGCCTCCAGTAGAAGGTGATGTGACACAAATTCGTTCTGTGTTCAGGACTTGGGGTTATTGCACTCGTTTCTGCGAGAGCAAAAGCTCATCTGCCGAGTTGCAAGCAGTTCCGTCGAGATGCGTTGCTATTGAGGAGCCGTTTCCTTGACGGTAGATGAAGCCAGGCCCTGCGGATGTCAAGGGCAGAGGTGCAGCTTGAGTAAAAATTGACCCCATCAACAAATGAATCTTCAAACTGCTACATCTCTCTGATGACAATATTACCTACTAAAACAGCCAGTCCGGTGGCTGTGAAGTGTGAGCAGCTGCGGCATCGCAAGTTCTCCCAGAGAGCATTTGTGACAATGTTGGGTTGCGTCTGTGGTTTCATTCGGATAGATGTTACCCAACTACTCGCTTAGAGCGACCCAGCTAGGAATCTCATGTAGTTCATGATCAGATGGAAAACTTGTCAGGTGCGGAATAGGCCCCGGGAAAGGCCCCGGGAATTGACTGCATGACATGGCTGGTCCGGTGTCTCTGGTGTAGCGGGGACAGCAAATCGGATATTTAGCAGGGACCCCTGTAAATCGGCCCCAGATCTGCCACCCCTGCAGCCGCTGGAAAAATGTCCCGCTCGGCCGGTACCTCAAGCTCCTGGACCTCGACGCATCATCAAGGTCCTCAACCAACACCACGATCCACCACCAGATCCTCCAACATGAAGCCACCCACGCGGCTCGCCAGCCAGGCCCTGCCCCGGCTCTTCGTCACCAGCCGACCACGCTGCATTGCGTCTAAGCCCATCGCCGCCAGAGCAGCCCTCCACTACTCAGCCGCCGACCCAGCCAACGTCGCCCCCTTCTGCGCAACCGGCCCTCCGCCGGACCCACCACAGCCGGCCGCGGAGCACCCCTACGCCAAGGTCGAGAGGAGGAGGAAGCAGGCCGAGCTTCTCAAGAACGCAAAGGAGCTGCGGGAGGCCGGCAGCGGCAAGAGCCCCGGGAAGTCGCCGCTGAAGAAGCGCTTCTGGCAGGACGTCCACATCAAAGAGGTCGATGGTGAGCAGACGGACTACGATGCCCCTCACGCGGCCCCTTCTTCTTCATCGTCGCAGACATTTTGTACTGACCAGGGATGTCCCTCTCTCTCTCACACAGGCGCCTACCAGATCCACCTCGACGCCCGGCCCCTCCGGCACCCAACGACCAAGACGATGGTCAACGTGCCGCTCTCGAAGCCGTACCTGGCGCACGCCCTCGCGCTCGAGTGGGACCTCCTGACCTCGGCCCAGCAGGCGACCAAGAGCCACCTGATCCCGCTGACGTCGCTCGTGTGCCGCGCGCTCGACATCGCAGACGACGACGCCAAGCACCGCGGCGGAGGCTTCGCGCCCGCCCGCACCGCTGTTACCGACGTGCTCCTGCGCTACCTCGACACCGACTCGTTGTTGTGCTGGGCGCCGCTCCAGACCGACCCTCTCGCCTCGGACCAGGCCCCACTGAGGGAGCTCCAGGAGCGTACGGCCGGCGAGGTCATTGGCTACCTTAGCACGTCTGGCCAGGCGTGGAGATCGAGCCTGTGCTGGACGAAGGGCTGCTGCTGCCCAAGGAGCAGAAGCCTGGGGTGAGGGAGGTCATTCAGGGGTGGGCGATGGGCCTCGATGCCTGGGACCTGGCTGGGCTGGAGAGAGCGGCTCTCGCTGGGAAGAGCTTGTTGGGCGCGGCCAGGCTGGTGGTAGAGTGGAGTGAAGGCAGCGCCGGGCGCACTGGTAGGGATGCTTCTTCTGGTGGACAAACCATCAAGAATAGCAAGAGGTCATTTGGGGTTGAGGAGGCGGCAAAGGCGGCCAGCTTAGAGGTGGATTGGCAGACAGGCAAGTGGGGAGAGGTTGAGGATACCCATGATGTAGAAAAGGAGGATTTGCGTAGACAGCTGGGAAGCACAGTGCTCCTGGTCTCGGGTAAGGGGGCCTGGTAGATGGCTGACGGCCTTCCACAATGTCATTTAGAGGTTGATACCAGCTCCTTGTGCTCAGCGAAACCTCTGTCACAGCATACACATGCTTGGTTCTAAAGACCTTTTCTTTCGTGAAGTTCCTATGAAAGCTAATATGGCCCTTCAATGATATCGATGCTGGCCTTGATCTCAAGCCATCAAACAGGAGTAGCGCAATGTTCACAGCACTGCCAACTAACCCAGCTAAAATAGCAGAATCAGAGCATGTAGAATGCCCATATCTGCCTTCCACCACATGTGGATTAATCCGAATATCCTCGAACCCAAAAGCCAAATAAGCTGAGAAGGCCAATATCGGCTGAGAAGCCTGTAAGCCTCCAGATCTCGTAGCCCTCAAATCCCAAGGCAATCACCCCTATCTTCAGAGCAAATGGTTGCCAACCAACATCCCCATGTTTTTGTTCCATATTCATACATCTCCCAAGAAAAAATGTCTTGATGTGGTAAGGTTTGCCATGCTGGCTCCACTCCATGAACACGTCTTACTGCACTTGGTCCATTTCCCATCGATAGCAAATGGCAGGCTAGGCATGAGGCCGGCAGATATGAGCATGGCAGAGACAAGAGTTGACGTGTGCACTTGTCTAAGCAGCCGTCTCTTGCTGGCTACCCAACGTGGTGCCATTGTAAGTGAAATGAAGAGCACGGTCTGGGATCTGTGCCGCTTTCTCCATCTCATCGATGGTCAGGCCTTTCTCAATCAATTTTTCGGTCTCCTTCGGCTGTCTGTAGTAGTCGAAATTAATGGTTCGACTGGTCATCGCATAGCGACGCATGGCGTTTTTGTCTGGGATGACAGTGTGCTTGCCTTATTGTTAGTGCAATGCCAGCAGCTGGAGTCCGGAGCATCAATAACTTACATCAGTCAGAGCTTGCAGACGAGTGTCGCACATGGTGGCGACATCTCCATGACGAAGCTGTACCTCGAGGATTGCCTTCTTGCTCTTCTTGAATTTCAGCGCCATCTTGCTGGGTGATCCGAAAGAGGCTGTACTTATGACACCTGTCAATTGGTCCTCTCCATCGTCATGCCACTTTATGTACCATGTTAACATTGAAACTTCATTTAAGAGGCTTGTGAGACCAACTTACATCGATCTTGTCTGTCTGCCGGTATGCCAGAGCCAGTAATTCGTTGAAGGGTTTCTGAGTCATGTGAAGGGTTGAGCCTGTGGTGGATCTGTATTTCTCCTTCAAAGCGATGCGCTGGGAGCTCTCTAAAGCCTTCTCTCCAAAGTGCTTCAGGTAGACAAGCGACTGCAGTACCACATCAGGAGCATTCTTGAAAGACTCTGTGTCGATGCCCTTTGGGCCGAATTCGTACAGAGCACCCTTGATATCATCAGTGTGATGTATGAAAGTGAGTGAATCTCGAGTAACTTACGAAGTTAGACTGGAAGTGGCGAGTGAGATTCTCGATTCCACCTGAAAATTGTCAGCAATGAAATTGAAACACATGATCAGGTCTCAGTGTGGTACTTACTGCCTACACATCGAGCAGGGTTTCGCTGGAACTTCATTTTGCCGCCCTCTGCCTCGATGCTGTTGTATAGCTCATCAGCACCACCTGGAGCCTTCTTTGCGTCATCGCTGGGCCTTTCAATGACAAAGGTGCCAACGAGGTCCCCCTTGGTATCCTTGATCATGTAAACAAGCCGAATGGACATGCCATCCTTCTCAGCCTCGACAAACTGCTCAACGTGATCTGAATTGAGCTTGATGGTCACGCCATCATTTCGGACATGGTAGTTCTTGGTGTGAACTTGAGTCTCCTTCTCAACCAGGCTCAAGGGGTATGGTAGAGGAGCGAATTCGTACTCAAAGCCGCAGTAGCAACAAGCCAGTCTGTCCCAGTACTTCCGGGTAGTGCAGCACCGGCACTTGGGGCATGTCAGGCCACCCCGAAGAGCCAACTCTGTACCATACTTGTCGCCACCCTGAACCAAAGCCTCTGGGAGTGGCCGAAACATGGTCGACTTGCCTGGAACCATGTCGTAGGTGATGGTCTGGTTGATGAATTCTTCAGAGTACCGCAACTCCTTGTTGTCGTCTCCAATCTGACTCAAGGTGTTGCCATCAACCCGGAAGAATTGCTCACAATCATCCTCAAGGCAGACCCACGGTGCATTGGCGAAGATCTTTGGGCTTGTGTTATCACAGCTGTTGCAAGTCCTCTCCTCGATGGCAGCGGCAGGGGTGCCGTTGCTCGTGGTGGTGACATCCTGGATGTCTTCCTTCCAGTACCATGGCTTAGTAGTAGGATCAATCGTCTGGAGCATGATCTTCCAGACTGGGTAAGGCTCCTTGACATCTTTGGGTTTCACCAGTTCTTTCCAAATCCTGGTCACCATGAATTGGCCCAGCTCCACGATGACACCGTGCTCGCGCACATTAATCGGCAGTTTGATGTTTCCAAAGTCCGGGTGATCTTTGCCTAGAGAATTTCCATGTCAGCATCGCAATTTGAAGCGACATCTCAAGGAGACCCACCCATGACAACGAAAATCGAGGTGTCGATTGCAGCCTCCCATTTGGACACAGAGTCAGGCTTGGTGTCTTCGCGCAAATATTGACCCTTTCCGTTCTCCTGTTTGCGCCCACCGCCGCTACGTCGGAGTCAATACGAAGTGTGTTACAATTCCAGCGTGGGAAACTCACGCGCAAGTGATCAACTTGTTCCGGCCAAAGAAGTCTCGAGGCTCGTGGAACTTGTCGATGTACATTGAGAAGACGATGTTGTCCTTGGTGTAGAGACCCGACTGCCAGGACTTGAAGATGTCCTGCGCATCACAAAAGTTTCCCCGTGTCGTTGCCCAGATAGTGACTGGGCCGTTGGGAAATTCAGACTCGGTGTCAACAACTCCATTAATGGAAGCTGTAGGTTCAGCGCCATCTCTGGTGGATTCACCCACTCGCACACGCTTGCGGGCGGGCTTGGACTGATGAGCCTGGGACGCTCCACGCTTTGAAGAAGCAGGAACTGCTACGGCAGGAGGCGTGGACACGGAGGATGTCGCCGAGCCGGAAGCCGGCACAGACACGGACGGTGTCGGCGGGGCGGCGGGTGGTGCCGGCGGAATGGAGGGCGTGACAAGGATGGAAGGCGTCGCCGAGGAAGGGTTTGAATCGATAGCCTTGTCGGTAGGAAAGAACTCCTTAATTCCTGCCTGCCTAGACATGGTTGCTGGAGAGATATGCTGAGTTTTGCTATGTATATGTTAGAATTCAGTATCAAGACTGAAGACGGAAAGCGATGCATGAATCCTAGAGCTTGATGATGAAAATAGATGACTGAAACTGGCTGAAGTGAGGGGAATGTGATTTCTATACACCTTAGTCTCAACTGAAACGAATAACACAAGCTCCCTGTATAACAGGCACAGACTGATGCATACGGGCACTCGGCTCATGTGCAAATATGAGCCAACCATAGTGAACAGAAGATGGGAGTACCACGGGTCAAAGAAAAGGCAGTGAGTGCTCCTCTCCGGGATACAAGGCATTGTGGAAGACTTGACTGCATCTTGGAGAAGGAAATTGAACAGTAAGTGAAGTAGACTTGAAGAGGAGAAAGAAGTTGCAAGATTTGTGTCTGGATGGTTGTGTTTGTGATAACAGAAAGGAGACCAGGGATGAAAAAAGAAGGTAGAAAATGTAAGAAGCACTCACGAAGAAGGCAGGTCTCACTGTCTGATCCGGGAGGTTGTTGTCAGGTAGAGTCAGCCAGCAGATCGAGCTGTCTTGAGCGATTCCTGAACAGCAGACTCGTCGTCACGTCCTGGTTTGAATCAAGATAGATACGAGGAGCGTCTGTGATGTTGTAGGCTTGGTGGAGGTGATCGTGTGTTAGATGCTTTCAGGTCCAGAGAGATCTATGAAGGTAGTGTTGGTCGAGAGTCTATCATATGGGAAAATACCGTGAGACCCAGAAAGAAGGTGGAAAGAAGATGAATATGGGAAAGCGCTGTGGGATTCACACAAGCAGAGAGAGAGAGAGAAAGAGAGAGAGGCTGGGAAGGAGATGATGGTTGAAGTTTGTTCACGTGAAGAATATCGTAAGGTTCAAGGCAGGCGGTGAGGAAGATGTCGGTTGAGGGTCTTGTGTGTGAGGAATGAGGTGAGGTTCAAAGCAAACGGTGATGAAGGCATCTCCTCAAGGCAAAGTAGGGCTCATCATGTACTCACGAAGGTTGAAGATGGAAACGCTGAAAAACAGGAGGTTCGGTCGGTGAGGTATGGTTGTGGTCGAGGCTGGTCCTGGTCGGGCCCGATCTTGGTGTGTCCTAATGATGTTATGAAGATCGTAGCCCTGCAGCAGTCGAAACCGACCAGGTAAGATGGTGTCCTCGAGAGCTTTTGGTGTTGGGTGAGGAAGAAACAAGGGAAAGGGATGGAGTTCTGCTGTTGAATCGAGTTCTCGATTTGAAAACCTGTAGCTGAGAGCGGGATGAGTTAGGTGGACTGTGACGTGGTCGAGAGGGTATCGGACGAAATTGTTTTCCAAACGGCACTGAAGGGCTTGGAATAACGAAAGTGCTCCCTGAGATCATCCAGGGGATTGAAAACGAATGTGATGGTCAGGCTGGTTGGGAAAAGATGCAACGAGAGTCGTATTCTGCAGGGAAATTGGAAGGAGGTGTATTGGAAGGAGAACGAACTGCTTACCTTATTAGAGATGATGGCAGGAGGACGGACGCATCACTGGGAGCTGTGGTTCTCTTTTCCTGTCGAGGAAGGTCGAGGAGCTGCTGGTTGTTCCTTCCAACGATGGGAGGTGCCTTCCCAAGTTGAAGGAAGTCGTGAAGAGTGATAGCCCGATAGCACTAGCGTGAACACGACACACGGGCCACACGTAAGTCTCTTTCCACCGAACCAACTAGGGGAAGTACTTGTCTCTGGTGCTCAATAGATGTAAGCTGTGAGTGGACAGGCTCCGGTTCCACGGCCGGCAGCTGGGGACGTTGCCGATGGCTTTCAGAAGGTGCAACCCTTCTTTTGGAAGAGGACACTTGAGATAGTGCCTCCGATGGTAGGCCACTGGTGGAAATTTCTCATAAGCCGTACTCCCTCGAAAGCAGGAAGTTGGGGATGTTGAGAGATGGGACGAGCAAAGATGACGACTGTGAGCTGGGTTCGCACTTGAGAAAGCAGGCAGACAAGGCTCACGAAACGAGTATCTACTAGCGCCATTCGGTGCTCATTTGTCGAAGCTCCTCACTGGCCTTTTTCGCTTGAGGGAGAGAGCGCTGTGGAGGTTGTGATGCCGGGAAAGCGAGAGTCGGGACAAGCGAAACATAGGACGAATATTTGTGAATAACTCATGCTCGTGGGTAGGCCCGGAACGAGAAACAGACCAAACGAGCACGTAAGAACTAACATCCTAGTCACTGAGTCAGGCTTTTCAGGTCTGGCTCCCTCGAAGAGAAAGAACATTGCTTGGCATGTGGACTTGAGATGAAGGCCTCGTGTCATAAGACACGCTGTCACCAAAATCCTTTCGTAGTCACTGGGGGATGGTGCTTTACGCTTTTGATCTCTTAAGAAGAACAGAGCATTGTGGAGGCCAATCATCAAGGGTATTCTGTCTGCGATGTCAGGGCAAAAGACACACAGGTCCCGAGGTCTTCTACAGAATGTGCCTTGCCCGGAAGGTTGCACTTTATATTCCATTCATTGTCTGGTTTGACCATCACGTCTATGGCCATAAGCAAATACTTGAATATACACCATGGAAACAGACAAACAGATTCGCTTGCTTGCTTCATAATTCATTGCCGGATGTGTCATATCGTTGACATGGTACTGATGTTGGGAAGAAGAGGAGGATCCGGCGGATGACTGGTACGTACGGCAACGACTCTACATGAAAATCAGTGGATGACTCTCATAGGAGATGCTGTAGGACCAATTCGCAGTGACCCGTAACAAAAAGACGGGAGCATAGAACCGGGGAAATGAGACGTAGCGATGAGCCAACCAGCGGAAGGAGGAAGCGCCATGCGGTAGAGAACTTGAAGATCGTCATGGACAAGGAAGCTTGAAAAAGTAGGTGATCAGAGCCAGTAGAAAGTGAGTTGGATCTCAGGCCAGAACATGACAACGCGTTGGACCAACGTCTTGGGTGTGGTTGCTAGTTAGGACTGCGGTGGGCCGAGGGCGGTGTGGTGGAGGAGCGGGCTGTGATGCAGACTTGGGGTCTCAAGAACCAGAGACATTGAAGACGCAAAGATGGCGTTTTGGTAATCTGGGTAGATATCTCGAAGCAAGAATTGTTAGCAGTGTGCCTTGCTCTGTCATACCGCACTTGTGTGAACCGCAACTTGAAGCTGTGCAAGCTTGAAGCAGCTCAGAGACTGTTGACGTCAAAAGACGTTGAAAGACGGAGATACCGGATATAGATGATGTCTCTTCGGTAGCCCACCGCGTCGTGCCCGCTCACACCAGACAGGCTCAGGGGCAAGCGGGTCTGATCGTGGAGAGAACTGGGACCGGGGGAACAGGGTTGAGTGCGGGGGAATCGCCGAGACGCCGCGATGATGTCGTGGGCCCCAACTCCCGGGCAGTCTACCCAGGGTGGAGTGGAGTTGCGAGGTCCCGAGGTCCAGCGGTCTTTGTGCGTGCTATCTCTGACAATTAGCGCAGCGTCGGCGAGGTCGTCGTGTCAAGTCGGTTGAACCCTTCCCGCGGAGCTCTCCTTTCCTCTACTCTTTTCTGTACTGCAGACTCTGCGCTGTTCCGTGCTCTCTCGTCTGCCCGCCGAGCTCCAACCACATTTACGTTGTACCACGAGCGAGCTGGTTCTGCCAGACGCCAGGCCACAAAGGGCATCAGATCAGTGTCACACGTCGGTAACGAGAGGTCCGAGTCAAGATGGTTTTCGAACCGCCAAGCTGGGTGCCAAAGCTCCCCTTTGGTAAGTGGGAATGCCCCTCAAGCCGAGGACAACGACAACTCCCCCTGACGACCTGCCAGACCCTCCAGACAGCATCCCAATAGCGGAGTTCATGACAAACGACAAATACGCCCGCTACCCTCTCGCCAAAAGCAGGAACCCATTCACGTGCGGCCTGACAGGAAAGACATATGATTGGAACTCGGTCATTGAGCGGCGCGACTTTCTTGCCCAGGCCATCGGAAAGCGGCTCGGGTGGCTGCCGAACGAAGAGACCGAGTGGGACAAAGTAGCCTGCATATTTTCGGTTAATACGGTAAAGACTGCAGCCCGCCGTCTTGTGTTACATGCGATCAAGATAGCTGACATCTTTTACAACAGATTGATTACTGTAGGTGGAGGTCCCTCATTTCGGTCTTGAGAAACAGCGGCCGAGTTCTCTGGACCAGCGTGTCTCAGGCCTGCATCCCGATCTAGCAGTCACTAACGCACGTGCCGAATCAAAAGTAACAATCTCGTGGGCGATACACCGACTCAATGGAATCGTCACCCCCGCGAACGCAGCCTACTCGGCCCCCGAACTGACCCATCAACTCAAATCCTCGGGCGCAAAGGCACTCTTTGTCGGCGGCCCGCAGCTGCAGATCGGACTCGAGGCCGCCAAGGCCGCAGGCATCCCGAAGGACAAGATATGGCTGATGGGCATGCCCGGCTTCGAAGAGGCAGATGGCTTTGTGACGGTCGAGGACCTCATCGCAGAGGGCGCCAAGCTGTCCCCACTCGACGCGCTGCAGTGGAAGAAGGGCCAGGGAGAGCGACAGCCGGCATTCCTGTCCTACTCGAGCGGGACGTCGGGGCTGCCCAAAGCTGTCATGGTCTCACATCGAAACGTTGTTGCAAATGCGATGCAGCACGTCGCCTACGAGTCCGTCTCCAGGAAGAAGCTCGGCATCTCCACCCAGACTGTTCTTGGCCTTCTCCCGCTGAGCCACATCTACGCCCTGGTCGTCATCGCACACAATTGTACCTACCGAGGAGATGGAGTTGTTGTATTGCCCAAATTCGAGATGCCGACGTATCTGTCGGCCATTGAGAAATTTAAGATCAATCATCTCTTTTTGGTAGGGCTGCTCAGGAATTCCTTTCCATTCCAAGTACAGACTTCGTTGGTCCACTGACACATTTCGATCATTAGGTACCGCCAATTGTGATACGCATGACCAGGGTACCGGAAGAGTGCAACAAGTACAATCTTGACAGCGTCAGGGTCGTCTTCTCTGGTGCGGCGCCGTTAGGAGAGGAAACAGTCCTAGACATGAACAAAATATGGCCAAAATGGCGCGTGGCTCAAGGCTATGGTAGGTGGTGCTCCTGGCCCGGGCTGCTTCTTGTCCTGGTTGCTGATGCAAATTCCTAGGTATGACCGAGACAGCGACCATTGTCACGTCAAACAGCGAAGACGATATCCTGAACAAGTCCTCCGGCTCTCTCCTGCCAGCCACAAGAGCTAAGATCTTTGGCCTGGATGGCACGGAAGTCAAGGGCTACGACACACCGGGCGAGCTCTGGGTGCAGTCTCCCTCAGCAACGATTGGTTATCTCAACAACCAGAAAGCGACAACTGAGACTTTCGTGTTTGACGAGGATGGGAGATGGGTACGCACCGGTGACGAAGCGGTCGTGACGTTGGCGCCCTCCGGAAACGAGCACATTGTGATCGTGGACAGGATCAAGGAGTTGATCAAAGTGAAAGGTACGAGTGCATGCACCCCATTCAGATACATAGTTCTGAACTGACAAAAGTTTTCAACTAGGCCACCAGGTCGCTCCAGCAGAACTCGAGGCCCACCTCCTGTCCCATCCGGCTGTAGCCGACTGTGCTGTGATCCAAATTCCGGATGACTCCGCAGGCGAGGTACCGAAAGCATTCGTTGTAAAGGCGCCGGCTTTCGCCAACAAGCCTGAAGACGAGGTTGTGAAGGCTATCCTGAAGCACGTGGAGGAGCACAAGGCACCGTACAAGTGGATCAAGGGCGGCATTGAGTTTCTCGAAGTGGTCCCGAAGAGCCCCAGTGGCAAGATTCTGCGCAGGTTGCTGAGGGACCAGGAGAAGACTTCGAGGACAAAGAAAGGACCCAAGCTCTAGACGACTCAGAACTGGCTCCTTCTGTGCTGTCTGTGGCTTCTAGTCTTCAGGATGGGTGAGGTCGGATATCATTCGCCGCTGGTGCAACCACACCCTCGAGGGGGCGTCATCCTCAGAAGCGAATCACGCGCTCCGAAACTCTGATGAGTTTCCCGATCAGGCAATTCAAGTTGAGTCAGCACCATGTTTGCCCGGACAATGAGGTGCCCAGGCAATGTCAAAATAAGTGAGCTTCCAAATGACAGTCTCGCCATACCTTCGGCAGAGTGCTTGCTTGTCCTGATGTGCAGCCGGAGATCCCTCACCGGCACGGCTTGGTCCTGCCCATGCTTGGCACACAAGCACCTCCGGCATTGAGCGAATTGTTGCAGGCAGGCGAGCCAGCCTTACAGATACTGCAATGTACCCAGATCTATAGCATGCCAGGAAAAGATCTACGGTGGCTTGCTTATTTGCAGTAGACAAGCCTCTAGCGGTTAATCTCACACATGCCCGACATTCGGCCTTGTGAAACATGTAGCCCTGCGGTGTGATCGACAGGTACAACGCTGTTTTGGCCCTGACTAGACATGCAAGTGAGAATGCAACCTGTTGGTTTGTTTTTGTGCAATTCCACCTCCTTGTTTAGAAGCAGACCAAGTTGTGCCTGGCTTGCAGTGGAGAGAAAGAAGCTTGAATTTAAGGTCGAATCGTCTCAATCTTGGCCCGGGTCCGATCTCTCAAACCGTCATTTCCACTGCAATTTAGGTTGACAGGCGGAGTGACGTTGGACCAAATTCCAAAACAAACCCTTACTGCAAGGAGCACATGGGGGCACATGGGGTGCGCGAGTTTAGCCACGCAGCCAAAGCGCAAAATGATTTCCAAAACAGCCGCCAAGAAATGCTGGCACAAGCCGAGTGGCAGGTTCAGGAGCGGCCACTAGGGCCCGTGTAACACCAAAATGGAGCCTCGACGACGTCGTCCCAACTTCTCCAACCCAACTTCTCATACACAAGCGGTCTGATGATGGACTTTCTCCGGAGCGGGCACCACGAAACCAGCAGCTGCACAGCCAGCCAGCCTCCCCCCGTATGCAGAGGACCAAAACAGCCCATGGGCGAGCCTGGAACGCCAAGAGCTATGGATCGTCGAGAGACACGGCAGCCATGGGCGCGTGTGGGCGCTGCTTGGGTTTCTTGCCTCGAGGCTTCTTTCTCTTAATGGAAATAGCCTGCATGTTCCCACTGGTTAAGATTTGTCTTGTCTTTTGCTTGTTCAATCTTGTCGTCGTTGGGAACTAACTGGGCCGCCTTCGCTTCCGAATCTGTTTCTACCTCTCTCCTTATCCCCTCCACTTCAATTCTTAATCCCTTTTTTATTTCCTGTGGACTGGTATCCTCAGCAGAATGTTGACCATTCGTTTCGCTCTCGTGGCCCTCCTGACCGTCTTCGGTGAGGTTCAGGCGGTGCCACAGACCCGGGGAAGGAAGGGAGGCAACCGGAACGGCGGTGGCAACGCCGCGGCCCAGCAGACGCCTCAGCAGCAGGCCGCTGCCATCCCTCAGGGCATCTCCCAAGCGACAGATGGCTCCATGATCCTGGACATGACTGCCACAGTCAAGTAAGGGCACTGCGCAATATATACGTCGTCCAGCAACGGGCTGACAAGACGCTCTAGTAACCTCGACCTCCGATTCAAGATCTCCGCTCCGGCAGACCAGTTCACGACCGCCTCCGGAGTTCCAGGAGCCGCCGCACAGCCCGGTGCGCAAGGACCCAACGGCATCAACGTGCTCCTGCACGGAGACGGTGGCCAGTCTTTCTTCGATTTCCCCAACCAAGCGGTCCAGCAGGGGCCTGATGGGAGTCGTTGTTCTCGCTCCCTCTGGTATGTCCTTCTTGCCTCTCTTCAAATCACACTGCCCAGGCTTACAGTTCCCTCAGAGCAACTCCTCTGGGGCCAGTCCCAGGGCCAGCCTCAGGGCCTGTCGCGTGCGGACGGCGCCGCCCACTCCCAGGCAGTCAACGATCTGATGCAGCAAGTCCTTCCACAAATGGTCGCGTTCAACTCGTCCAACGTCTTCATGACGGGCGTGTCCGGCGGCTCCCTCACGCTCTCGGGCTTCTTCGTCCCCGCCCACATGGCCAATTTCGCCGGCACGGGTGTGCTCCTCATGTGCGGCGCGCTCGCACCCCAGGTCGACTTCAACAACTCCGCCGCCGTCGCCTCCACGACCAAGATCCACTTCCAGAGCACGCAGCAGGAGCTCACCAGCCTTCAGGCCGCCATCCCGGAGGCAATCACCGCCTACGAGCAGCTCGCCACGGGGGCCGGCCTCAACGCCCAGCAGGTCGGTGCCCTGCAGACCGTCGACAACACCCCCAACGGCGGCCACTGCGAGTTCGACGAGCAAGGGTTCTCCAGCGGCATCCAGCTCGTCTCCAACAACTTCGCCAGCATCATGCAGGGCGGCAATGGCGCTGTCCAGGGCATCAACACCCAGACTGTGCTCACGCCCGTGGTGGGCAACGAGAATGTGCAGTTTGCTGCCACGGGCAACAACAAGAGGCAGCAGGGGCCGTACTGGATTGGGGTCTAGGTTATCGTCGTGTCATCAATGGATGTCCTGGTGAAAGGGGCAGGCCGTAGTCCATGTCAAGGTGGAGGCATCTCGGGCGACAAATTGAAATTGTTGGATGTCGTGCAGCCTATCTGCCCTTGGCGATGAGCAACAAGGTTCCTGGGTATAACAATTCCATATGGTACATACTCACTCCAAATAAGGACTGCGCTCAAGTGTGTCCACGTGTTTGTGAGGCCTCTCTTCGTAGCAATCAAGTGTATCCGGAGACTGTCCTATCTCCCTCGTTACACTTTGTCCACCGGTTTCCACTTCCTCGCCCTCTTCTGGCCTTTGATTTGCGTGGAAGCCGATGCCTTGCCCGGATCATCGACTGATGGGCGGCGACAGGATTATCTCCACGCCTTTTCTCGGCAAGGTGATGCTGATGGACGCTCCTTGGACCCCTGATGCCCAGTTGGCCGAATAGCGGCGTCATATCACGGTATTGATCCTTCATTGAGAAGGCTCTCCGCTGGTTTTGTTCGCCTGCTCAGCGCTTAGTTGCTGGGGCTTTTCATGCACTGCCATCTCCGACAGGTTCTGCGAGGCATCCATCTCGTAGACCCGAGGAGGCGGCGGCGGCGCGGACTCCGAGTGCAGCTCAGGCTTCAATCCTGTCGTGTAGGTGTCACCGCCTTGGTCGTCCGGCCGTTCATCGGCCTGTGCAGCAAACTTCTTTCGTCTCAGGAATAAAATCACACCAAGCAGTATCAGTGCGCAGGTCGAACAGGGTTGTCGGCTCATAGGTCTCATACCATGTGAGCCATGACGTTGGTATTGGGTTGTGTTCTGCGGTGCTTGTCGCATCTTGTGTGGATTGTGAGCTGGCGTCAGTGGCTTCACAATAGTTGAGGTATTGCGCGAACGACGAGTCGAGATACTGTCGTGATGACACTTGATCCTGGTCTTTGTTTACATCTATGCAGCGGTTGCAGGACTGCTAGTAATTGTAGAATACCCCATCTACTGCACAAAGCTCTGGTACCTTCCCCATCTTTTGTGCCTCGAGGTTGGCATTATCTATCTTTAAGTCAGCGGCGTCGTAGTCAACACATTGCTGGTTCTGTTCTGAAACTCACTGCAAGTATCAAAGCATACCGCCGGAATTGTGCCCGTGACCGTATCACGAGCTTTTATGGCCTCCTGGGACGTGTCCATAATTTCCTGCTCAGTTGCTCTTCTCACGATGTTAAATAAAGCCACTGCAGAACATTAGTACTTTGAGACCCAGCTTAGCTGTGCAGGAAAATGAATGGGGAACGTGAGAGTTTTACTGAGCAGGCCACCCACAAGCGAATAACCTGGGAATTCTTGACTGGCGCTGCATGTTGCCTGATGCGAACACCGGCCCAGCCTTCTCTTTGGAGGACTATTGTGAGCTGCAGCATTGCCTGCATCAAGACTGTGAGATGTGGCCGTTCTTGGTAAGGCCCCCAAGCAGACTGTGCATCGCAGCTGGCAAATTGAGTGTCTCTTATTAGATCATCCTATCACAGACTGCATGGCACAGAAGCAGGAAAGTAATCAAGTGTTGTGTGCTACACCAGCTGTGTGGACGTGGTCATCACCGGCTTACTAGAGGCGATCCCTGCTTTGTTTGACTCTGGCTTATGCCCAATGAGCTGTCCTTGTGATCATCGAGTAGTTGCAGCCGGGAACTGGGCTTTATGGCTGCAGTGCTCAGTAAGCGATGAGGAGCATTGCAGAACGTGCACCAGAGAGTTCTCGATCTAAATAATAATGAAGCAATTAAGCAAACGATAGTTAATTGTTGGGTGTTGAGGAGAGAAATCTCCCCGCTATCAAACGCTTAAAAGGAGCCTATTTATAGGCTAGCGCTAGCATATAGGCATACAACCCTTGCACTTTTCAATACACCCCCCATCGCAAATATTATTATCCTAATGATAATAAGAAATATTCCGTTTTAATAGCTAAAAATATAGTTTAAATATTCCGCTATAATTTATATTAAAACCATTATATAAACATTATTTAATATCCATATATTCCGCTTGCATTATTTCCAATTAACTATTTAAACGCTCCCCTTAGCAATATAAACCCCGTACTTATCTTAATCTTAATCTCCCATAAGCTTCTTTAAGGGCAGGGCAAGGCAACATTTTCATGCAAATATTAGCGAGATTATCTTTAAATGCAATGTAATAAACATTATATATTTCTTTAATTTTTTCACGGATAAAGTAATAGTGGATAGCAATATGTTTTAATTAAACGTTAACTTTATAATTTTAAATAAGGGTTTAATGCTAATTAATTATTAATATATAAAATAGGTAAACATTTAATATACTTAATGCTTAAATTTTTTAATACTTAAATCATTTAATAAAAATATAATAATGCCAATAAACATGCTATATATTCCGCTTTATAAGTAGATTTTATAATAATAAATTAACGCTTTAATAATTAAGCGATTAAGCCACCGTTAAGAAGTTGCATATATCCACTAAATGCTTTTAAATTATTTAAATTGGTATTATAGAAAGCATTAATATATATATTAAGTATAGCAAATTAAAATAACGATATTTATTTTAAAAATTTGCAAGGCATAATCTAATATATGCTAAATATATTAAAGCACCCTTTTTATAATATTTAAATAATAAATTGCGGGCTTTGCATTAAATATTAAAAGCATTATATATAGAAATGCAAGATTAAATTTTGTTTTAATAACGAGAAAATTAATAAATTTAATAAGTAATTAATATGTTATTGCATTTATCGCAATATCGTTAAGTTCCTCTTATTATGGAAATAAATTTGGATTTATAAAAGTTTATCTTTAATTATAATTAAATATATTAAAGCGTTCTAAAATCCGTTAAGTATATCCCTTTTAAAAAATGCAAATCTTATCATTAATTTATATAATTTTTAATTTAAGTAAGTATTTATAAAGATTAAAATCCTTGCACTTAAAATATTATATAAGCTTAATGTAAAATTTTTTAACTTAAGAGGAACTCTCAGTAATAAGAATATTATTAATATAAATAGTAATGATAATTTAATCTTTAATGAAAATGCAAGAATTAAATATTATTTCCATTAAATATTTAATTAATTCCTTTTTAAAAGTACTAAATTATTTGCAGCCTAATTATTTAAGTTTATATAAAGCATTAAGAAGTTTTAAAACAATTTACTAATTATTAAATAATGTCCAATATCCTTACAATAATTATATATAAATATTATATTTTAAATGGCTATGCAAATATATTATTTTAATATTAAATTGCTAAAGCTACTAGCCCATTATAGCGGTAATAGTAATGATTAATCTTAAATTATTATAGCGCGCTATAGGGCTATAAGTATTATTATAATTCATGTTATGAATTTATATATATTTGCAAGCAATAAGTTAAGCCTTATAGCGAATAAGCTTACTAAAAGCATTAAACTTCTTTGTATATATTTAGCGAGGATTAATAATATATTGATTTGCAATAGTAAGTACTTTAATCTATATATTTATATTTAAGAGTAATTTAAGTTCTCTTTTAATAGCTTATTGCTAAGCATCCCTTTTATTGCTTTTTATAGCTTATGTATATATATTAAGGATATTATTAATATTTATTATGCTAATAAGCAATGCTTAAGTAAAGATTTAATTAAGGTAATTAGCATTAATTAATGCTAATTAAGCAAGATTTAATATAAAGTTTATATTAATTAGTGCTAAATTATTAAAATCTTTAAAACATTTTATAATGATATTTATATTTTTTTTTGCTTTTTATAAAGGCTAAATCCATTATTCTTAAGAACTATATAATTATATAGATTTCATAAGTTTAAATAGTTTATTAATAAGTCTTGTAGGTTTAAGCGGTTTATTTACGGGTTTATTTGTGGGTTCCATATTATTAGTAGATTTTATTAGCTAAGACGTTGGTAATACCTTTATCTTAGGTAGTACGTTTTTATTTAGCTAGCTGATTATTTATGTGATTTTTATTGCTAAATTAAACTAAGTAATATAGCTTAATATTGCGGTTATGATAACTTTTTAAAGTAGCATAAATAAACGGAAGATAATTTTATTTTTAGCCTTAAATCTTATAAAGTATACCTTTTTGGCTTTATTTAATAATTTTATTTTTAGCTTACAAGCCTTAATAAGGACGTGGAAGTATATAGGGTGAAAGTATAGTTGGAAATGTTTAATATTAAGCTTTTATTTATAAAGCGCCTTAAATAGCGTTATTTAATACAATAGGGCTGAGTATAGTTTCCAATTCCATAGGTATATTGCATGGGAAATTGCTTTAGGCTATAGAAATAAGTAATCTTTATTATAAATCATTATATAAGCATTGGTAATAATAATATATATAAACCTTTTAGGCATATTGTTTAACTTATAATGGTAAAAGGGTAATTTCTTATAAATAATTCTGCGTTTTTAAAATATTACAATAATTATCTTATTTATATATTTACTCTTATTGTTTAAATTAAATATCTTAATTTTTGCATTAAATTAAGTTTTAATTATATTTAAAAATCCCTTAATAATGTTTAAAACATTATCCTTTTAAATAATAAAGTAAACTTAATAAAATTAAGTATAATTATTAATAAATAAAATAAAGTATTAAAAACCTTTTAATAATCTTATTAAGAATTTACCTAATAAATTAAATTAAATATACTTAAATAACTATATAAATTATCGTTTTAGTAATAAATATAAACGTTTCTTAATGAACTTTATAAGTTAGCATAGTTTATAATGAAAATTCATTAGTTTATTTAGCATAATATCTTTATCTTTATATAAGCGTTAAGTAGTTAATTTTAATAAATTGCTATAGTTAAAAGCTTTATAAAATTTATTATATATTATAAATATTGCAAAGTTATTTTTTATTATTTAAATTTTAAAATTTCTATATTGGAACTTTGCCTATAATATCTTATGAAATTTATCGTTTTTTAGTAATAGGAAGATATCATTTTTTTATGCATTTAATTAAAACCTTTTTTAAATTATAATCTAGCTAAATAAATAAGTATTTTTTAATATGCAATTATATAAAATATTAATAAAGATGCTTTTAGTAATTAATTTATTTAATAATCGCAGGAAGATTTCCATAAAGTTAATGCCTTTTATAGCAAGTTAATTACTGCTTATAATGGTAATTATATTTAAATATAATTGCAAAGAGCTAAAGTTTTCTATGCATCTTATTATATACTTTAAAGCATTAGAATTAAAAATCCATAATATTAAAATATTTATAGTTATTGGTAACTTTACTGTATATACCAAAACGTTAGCGTATAGTGCTATTATATTTTCCTTATCATTATTAGAAATTTTAATGATTTCTTTATTTACAGCTTAATTTATAATAACTTATTTCTTACCCTTTTTTTATTCTTAATTAGCTTTATATTTAGCAAGCTTTGCATAATTAGTATATAAATGGCTAATAAATATAAAGTTTTATACGTGGTATTAAGTACATTCTTTATTACTTAATATAAAGTTAGCACCTATTAATATGGACTTCGCAGCCTTTTTTGCATTCTTTAGTATTAACTTTTTTTAAGTAAAGGTAAAGTAAGCTTTAAATTATTTAATCTTTATATAGGAAATAATATTTATTATCTTAGGTTTAATTTTAAAAAACATTATAAGGTTTTAGCTGCTTAAGTTATTAATAATATTATTTATAATATTTAATAGCATTATTAAGAAAAAAGAGCCTTTAACCTTATTGCTTTTAAAAAGTAACTTTATTAACCTCTTAATTAATTATCTTAACGTTAAGGTTTTAATGTAAAGTTTTATTTAAAGGTTTTAAAAGGCATTTAAATGGCTTTATAAGTTAAAGCTATCCTTATATTATAAGTTTATTAATTAATAAAAGAGATAAATGGTTAAGTTGTTAATATTATGGTTAAATTAATTAGCTAGTATTTTTTAAGCGTTAAAAGATTTTCCATATAATATAATAAATATTATAAGGCTTAAATATATTAAGCTTAAGAGCATAATAAAGGCTTAATTATTAAGCTTTTCCTATTTTGCAAAAGCCGCATCCTTATTTAATTATTCCTTAATACCTATAATATATTCGCTAAGGCTAGCAAATTAAAAGCCGTAATTCCATGCTGTCCTTTAGTTTAAAAAGTTTTCCCCTTTTAGGTTTAACTTTAGGAAAGATAATAAGTTAAGCTTAAAGTTAAGTATATTTAATATCTTTTAAATAGTATTTATACGTTTCTAAGCATATTTTAAATAATATTTATATGTTTTTATTTATTTATAATGATTAACATTAATTAATGCAAATAAATAAATGAAAAAGAGCGAGTAGTTAAAATATTAAATAGGGCAGGAATGCCGGATTATCATGAGTTACTATTGGCCGTGGCAGCTATCATAGGGTATAATGATAATATATGGGTAGAGGCTAATAACGTTAAAATCTTAATAATTTGGGTATGAAAATAATTATAAAAATAAGGGTATTAATATTTCTTAACGTTTTAAGATATCTTAAGCAATGCTAAGCTTATAACTTAATAAAGCAATTAAGCAAACAATAATTAATTATTAGGTGTTGAGAAGAGAAATCTCCCCATTATTAAACGCTTAGAAGGAGCCTATTTATAGGCTAGCGCTAGCATATGGGCATACAACCCTCGCACCTTCCAACAAATAACACTCCTGCGCGGCTGATATCGCTAGCCGGCTTGAGATCAGAGTTGGTGAAGCAACAGCAGTGGTGCCAAGCCCATTCCGCAACCACTGCCTCCGAACAGCCACAGTGTATATATATAAAGTATTAAAGTATGCAGGTATTGGGTGTATGGGTGTTGGGTGTATTACTGTGTACGGGTGTACCCTCCATTTTTGCGGGTGGGAATATCCGTTCTCATGAAATGGCAAGGGTGTGTTGCTAAACACCATGAGACCAGGGGGGTGTCTTGGACTAACCCTGAACCTGGCTTCTTCCCGCTTGATTTGACCTCAGAGCGATGCGGTGAGCGCCTGCAGGTCCTTCGAAACTGCCAAAAAGAGGCTTCATCTTGCTCCACTGACGCAGTGGAGCAGAGACTCCAGTCCCCAGCCTAGACACGAGGATGCCAATAAAGTAAGCAGCTTTGGACTCGCGCAGTTGGTGATCACTGCATTACCGGATACTACGTGCTGTCTTGTGGCACACGACAGGCAGGCTGGCAGGTTTGGTCATATTCTGGACAGCCTTGATCGTCCGGTCGCCGAGCCTCCTGTGCATCGCCCGGGGCACTTGGTCGGGCTGGGACAAAAGAACGACCCATTCCCGGCAACTGGGGACATGGGTCCAGTAACCCGTGCGTATCAACACAATCTTGATCATTGCCGCTGACCTTTGCTTCGAGCAGCAGTCGGCGAATAACGCCTCCGATGATCTCGATTACTGTTGATGCGTCTGTCAACGGGATTGACCCTCGACACTCCTCTGTTCTTCTCCTCTGTTCCAACCACTGAGGGGACGCGGCCCCAGAGATTTCAATGAGATGCACAATCCACACTCATTTCATCTCGGCTTGATGGAGAGGCCGGGCCGTTGTCCTCCCTGCCAGCCGTGCGCGCAGGATGCACCGAGTCTTGCAGCTCCATCAAGAATTGCTTGACGACATCTCCCACTCTTATTCAAGCGAGTCAGGTGCGCTCCGCGTGGTCATCACTGTGTAAGCGAGCGTTGATGGCTGTCCCCTTTGGTTTGTGGGGACGGGAGTCTCCCCCCTGAACCCAGGAGGTTTCCCACACTGTTCAGGGGACCTGTCCGGGGGGCTCAGGACTATTGTTCTGTCAAGGGAAACTTGAAGCCCCAGAAGACATGCGCTGCTGCTGCCGCTCCTCCTGGCCCTTCACGTCGCTTGAGGCATAATCAAGCCTTTCCGAAAACTGCAAATCCTCCGTTGAGGTCGGGTCTGACACGCGATTAAACGTCGGGTCTTGAGCTCTTGGGCGCCGCCATGGTGACGGCCCCCAGAGAACACGCAACGCACCTTGTTCATGACATGGATCCAAGTGGATGATACCTGCCAGGCCCCTTTTATTACAATACTACAGTACTTGTGTGTGCCGTCAATACCGTCAGTTATGGAGAGCCGAGGCGACAGCCAGCAAGCCGGTAAATGGCATCGCGCTTCCTTCCAGTGCAGACGTCGGCCGCCCGAATCCCTTCTGTTCTCCTAACTATATTCCGTAACTCGAGTGATTCGACTCCAAGGATGTCACCACATGACCGTCCGCCTTACCCTGCTTGACGTTCCGGACGCGAACGACGATGGACGATCCGAATTCCACCGACTCGATCACGCCGTTACCAGCACTGTATCGACGATGTCAGACCGCGATGCTAGTCCTCGGGATGATCTCCCTCGTGACGACCAGCCTGCTCTTTTTCCACATCACCTACCGGCTCATCATCTGGAAGATCAATGATGCCCGGCCCCATCGAGCCACCGACTCGACCAGTGGGGCACAGGTTGACTTGAGTCTCGGGTTGTCTGAAGCCCAGTACTTCCAGACGAGACAGAAGCAAACCGGTGGCGATGCTGCAGCAACAACGTCGACACAAACACCAGCACCCCATGACCATCTGGCGAGGAGAGATACAGCACAGAGTGTGATATCACGACGCCAAAAGCCGCCCAATCCTCTCTTGCTGCTAATCTATAACCTTCTCTTCTCCGACATAGCGCTCTCCGCAACATATGTAAATAATGCCGTCTGGCTCCACAGGGATATGGTAGAAGTCGGATCTACAACCTGCCACGCCCAGGGCTGGATCGTTAGCTTCGGCTGTCTAGCAACCAGTGGGTTTCTCTTCACGATATCAATCTTCAGCTATCTCGGCATTATCCGTGGCCACAAACCGACTACTCGGGTGGTGGTCGCGGCATGCGCCGCCGTCTGGGTCCTTTCCGTGTTCCTTGCGAGCCTGGGGCTACTTTTCATTAATGTGGATGATTACTACAAGAGGCAAGTCCTCTGGGTGAGTGCCCCTAAAGCATGCTCGATGTTCCCACCTGGTTCCCGCTGACATTGACTGGTGTAGTGCTGGATCGGCGAGGAGCATCGACTCTGGAGACTGTCAATCTATGTTTCGGGATTCACTTGTATGTCTGGGACGTGCTTTCTCTATTCCATAATATTCTACCGCCTCTGGCGCGAAAATCGGTCGTCACGATTCATGCCTCGCCGTCCCGATTCGGTCACTTCAAGCTCACGGGCCAGAGCCGACGACAGCACACCGTTGCGCCCTTCGGGTCACCATCCCGCGTTCCTTGTGTACCCTTGCATCTACACCTTCACTGGGACGCCACTCATCCTCGGGTCTCTAATCCCAACTCTCGAAAGGCTCCCAGTGTTTATGGGTATATCAGGAGCCCTGCTCGCCGCGACCGGTCTTCTCGACTCCATCTTGTGGTCTTATATCATTGTTTTCAGCGATAAGGCAGACATCCGTAACACGGGTCTCGATCAATTCACCTTCATGCGGACACCGGAAGGGCGTAATCTCGGCAACATCGTGTATGTGCAGGGAGGGCAGGACAAGTGGAAGAGGCAGTCGTGGCACTCCAAGAAGGACAAGGGCTGGTGGAGACTGGGCGATCGCAACAGCAGCCAGCCGTCGCTCCCGTCGCAACAACCTCAGTCTGATGGCGGGATACAGATGGACATTGTTACGACGGTCGTGGTGGATGACTCGAGTGTGGATCCGTCGAGTCGCCAGTCAAGAGACAGGGGCTATTCCACGGACATTTCTTCGAGCCCGTCTCATGTGAAGTAACTCGATATATTTGGTCAGTCTGTAGACTTCAGGTAGTCGATTCTCGCCCAACTCGTCTCACTGCTCTCGGTAGAGTTCTTGCTCCAATGCAGAACCTGCGATCAACGGGTCCTCTTGACGACACGTGGGTTCTAAGCCTGCCCGCTGCAGCCCGGGCAGCCCTCGGGTGATGAATGTCGCCATACACAACAGACCAATAGTTCACATTCTAAGCTTGGTCTGTGGCCCAGGATGGCTTCCAGGTCGCCAACTGAATCGAGCCATGTAAAGGTGATGTCCGGAGCCAATGCACGGCGGAACACGCATGAGTAGGGCCGGCAACTGTCTTCGGGGCACAGGTTGCTCTGCTTCATTCCGACGCATGGGACTACAGTTCATAGGAACTACTTCTCCGCAATAATCATCTTGAGCATAGCATCTGCAACTTCCAAGGGGTTCGTCGCGTTGAGGTAGTGACCACCATCAGGGATGAAAGTCAGCTCTGCCTTTGGCGCAGACGTGAACAACTTGATGTGCTCAGCAGGCACCGTCGTCGAATAAGGTATGTCCTTGGTTCCCTGGGGACCATGAAAGAACGTCAGTCTAAATCATCCTCGGGTAGTACGACTTGAAACATTACAAAGGAGGATTCAGAGATACGAACCTGCAGCCAATGGACCGGGCACTTGATATCCTTCAGCCTGAGGAGGAGGCCATCCCTCGTCAGGAGGTTCAGGAGGGCCATCTTGGCCTTCTTGCGGCCCTCGTCGCCGCGGTAGACGTCCTGCAGCGTCTTGGTCCAGAAGGCCGCCTTCTCGGGCGTGCCGTGATCCCCGAACCCGACGCTGCCGACCATTCCACACCACACATCATCGACCACGAAATCCGCAACGGGGCTCGACCACTTCTCCAGGAAAGGTGACAGCATGGTCGCCGGGTCCCAGCACCCCTTGGACCTGGAGTCCTCGGACTCGTAGTCCATCGACGTGCCGAGCACGAGGAGGCCTTGTATCTGTAACGTCACTTAGCATCAGGCCCAAGGTCGTGTTTGTGTTCGGTTTAGATGCCCCCCAAGAGGAAGGGTCATTCGTACCCTCTCCGGCGCAAGGATGGCCATCCGCGCCACCATCCAACCGCCCTGGGACGTCCCCAACGCGTACGCCCGCTCGACGCCCAGCTTGTCCAGCACCTGGAGCGCCATGATGGCCGTGTCCCAGTAGGTGAAGTGCTCGGTCGGGCAGCTCGTGGCGCCGTGGCCCAGCGGCTCGATGGCGAGCAGGTTGACGGCGGCCGTGAGCCTCTCGTCCTCGAACTGGTCCCGGTACAATGCCACCGTCATACACATGGCATTGATGAGCACGCACGTCGGCTTGGACGGGTCGATCTGCCCGCTCCCCGAGATGGCGTATCCGGCTTTGATGCCGCCCAGGTGGGGCACTTGGATGGTTTGCGTGACCGCCATGTTCTCTCTCTCTCTCTCTGTCTTTCTCTCTGTCGTGATTTCTCTCTGCAGGGAAGGGGCCGAGAAGCGAGGACTGTCTGCTGGTGATGCTCCAAGTTCTGCAACACGCGAGTACCGTCGAGGACTCGGGTTCCCGCTTGTGGAGCCTCACGCGCAAACGTTGCGTGGGATTCAAGCCCCTGACCAGAGGCTAGCTCCGGAAAGCCGCCCCTGTCTTTTGGAGGCATTGGCTACGGTCGTGAGCGACGACTCCAATGAGGATTCCTATGACAGCGCCAATCCTGGATTATTCGCCCCCCTCTATCGACCCAGCGGTACCGGCCTCGTCGCCCCCGGACTGCGACGGCAACTTCATGAGAGCACGAGCCCGCCCGCCTGCCATTGCCTCGGTCCGAAAGTCAATTCCAATCAATGATCGACGTCCCCGCGGAGGCGTGGTTCGTCCGATACCACGGGCTGGTATCTTGTGGGCCTGTCATGACTCGAACCCCCTGAGTGCCCTCCGTGCTGTGTCCACCATCGTCAGACTCCCGCTTGATCGGCCGCTAAGGCTTCGTGACACTGTTCGGGAAATTAAACCAGCCTGCAGAGTTCTTGATTGTTGGCGGCTCCAAGCTCAGAAGAATATGATATGTTACTCGCATGTGTCTATCTTCGATGACGTTCCGAAACGGGACGTTCGGGGTGGCATTGCTGTGGAACACATCCATCACACCGGTGCACGGTACGGCCCAGAAAGCAATGGCATTCGCTTAGCTTCTCGAGAACAGGGAACACAATCACATCGATAGGACCCGTTAGATACACTGTGGCACCGAGCGGCGAGTTGCCCATCGTGCCAATGCCAAGTAACCCCCACCGATGGTCCCGTCGCTCCGCGAGACATGCAATGCGAATAGCAAGCAGGCTTCATGGAACGTGCTCAATGATCGCAGACCTCAGACTCTCCTGCCCCCAAATCCAGCAGCAAGCACAATCTCGGACACATTTTTCCGCCCGCCCCCAAGCGCATCCACAACCATCACCCCGTCCCCGTCCCTCCTCACATCCACAGCACCCCATCGCTGCTCCCTCGACGCCCTCCTCGAGCCCCATGGCGGGCGCGCCCCCTCGCCCTCCCACACGCCAACCTCGTCAAGCAGCACCTCCACGACCCAGCCGTAGCCGACCGCACCGGAGCCAGTGCCAGTGCCCGCCGCCTGGCTCGGCGGCGCGAACAGCACCTCGGCGTCCGCCCGCGTCCGGGGCACGCGTGTGCACAGCAGGTGCATGTCCAGCATCTGCGTGAAAATGAGCCCGAACGAAGGTTTGTTGCGCCGCGAGAGCGGCGTGTCGTGCGTGTAGCCCAGACCGCTGGCAGGGAGCGGCGGGGGGTTGAAGATCGAGCGTAGCGTGGGGTCTAGGGACCTGTTGGGGCCTCTCGTGTTGGGAGCCTCTGGTGGCGGCGGAGGAGGCGGCGATGGCCTGCCCTGTCCTTGCGTTGGTTTTGTGCTTGTAGCGGAGGGGGCTTCTTGCGAGTTCGTGGTTGAGTTGAGGATCATGATGAGGGGGCCGCCGTGGCCGGGTGAGCGCGATAGGTAGCGTAGGTGAGAGGACAGGAGCTGTAGCATCTGGTGCGCCGTGTCCTTCTCGCGCTGACGAAAGAGGGAGGACACAAGTGCGGACATGTGTGTTATCAGTACTAAGTCTGGATGTCGTGAATCTGCCTGCTTCCTGATCTGGTCGACGCCGGACTGGTCGACGCCCGCCTCCTTCTCATTGGAGTTGTCCTCATCAGGGACTGCCTGTGCTGCTGTGTCTGGCTCCGACGATGCTTTTGGAGGGCTCAGAGGAGACAAAAAGTCATCCTCGTCCTCGCTATCTGCAATCTCCGTTCTCTCAGCGGGTGGTGGTTTCCTGGGCTCCGCCTCCTCAAACTCCATCTCATCTGGTAGACTGCTGGGAGGGTCTGACAGTGGACTCGAGGACAATTCTGCTGTATTTGCTTCTCCCTCTTCGATCCTTCCACCTGTAGATGCAGTCCGAGGGCCAGGCAGTCTCTCTTCCTCGACATTCTGTTGACTGCTAGGCGGCTCCTGACGCGCCTCATTCTGCGAGGCCAGATTATCCAGCTCTCCGAGAGCCTCCCACAGCCCAGAGACGTCAAAGACGCGCGATATAGAGACCCTCTCCAAGAACCGCTTCAGCAGCTCACCCCCTTTCCCAGGGTCTTGGCCCTGCGCCACCAGCTGTGCTTTGAAACTGTCCCGCAATATCGGCAACAGTGCGCCGGCAGAGAGCGTCGTGATGACCGTAGCCCGTGGTGCCGGGCCATCTCCAGCCCCGAGACTGGCGACGAACAACCTCGCCACGGTCTGGAGCCCGATCTTGACGCGTCTGGTTAGTGAGGCACGTTCCACTGGATACCATGCAAGGGATTCTGTGCTCACCAGCAAGCCTACGTCCTCATCCTCGGCGCTGACGCCAACCACGCAACCCCTCTCGAACCCGCCCAGGAGGACCTGGTCGTCCAGCTCGCGGCACCCGGTCAGACACCTGCCCCGCCTCGCGAGCGCGTCCCTGCGCCTCGTCTCCTGCTCGAACAGGGTCGCGCCCGAGACGGGCTCGAGTTGGAAGTGGGAGCTGGCCTGGGACGGCTGCGGCGGCGCCTGCTCCATCGCTGTCTCAGCCTCGCCTGCCTGGTTCCCGGCTGGCGCTGTCCCTGGCGTTTCTGTGCGCTACCTGCGTGGTTCACGCGCGCATCCGCAAAGCGGCGTTGTCTTACGGCGGCGGGATAGAAAGGTGATGGTGGCCGGTGACAGTAAGACCGCAGTGCGTGGCTCGGTCGAGGTCGCGCATCTTCGTGTGGATCAAACGTGATGAATGATGTCCTACAGGCCACGACAGTCGGTGAATGCTTCCCAGACACACCGCAGACGTGTTGGTCTGCTGTCACGAATTCCCAGGTCGGAACGCAAATGTACACTTCGTTGCGTATCAATCGGTCATGAATGGCCGCATCTTTGGAAGTGCTGGGTTTAAGTCAGAGATCATAAAAAGTTGCTGATCCGGTAAGAAACGGGCCATCATCGCTTGCATCGTTAGCACGATTGGGTGTCGGCACTGTGCTTAGCTGATAGTGCGTTCCTCGTGGAGATGGGGCATGTACGAGCCTCTCTCTCAAACACGCAGAGGCCGCTCTGAACAATGTGAGACACTACGTGATAGACTACTTGATAAATAAAATGCGGCATGTGCATTGTATCAGCAGCCTGGGATCTTTGGGGCTGCAGTCGCGGACTTTGACACGGACGATCTTGATTCAACATGAATCTGAGAAGTGGGGATCGAATTTGCGTATGACCGTCCTTCGCCCCTTGCCGCAACCTGACGCCCGCTCTGGTTATCTGTGCGACACTACTAGAGGTTTAGGGAATGAGTTGTATTCAATCTGCTTAGGAAATTGCCCGACTGACTTGCTGCTGTCTATCGGACGTAGCGATTCGTAAGAGCAAATATTCCACACGCCTGACTTAGGATCGATTCTTATCCTCGATCCTGCCTACTAAATAAAATCTTCCATTGTAACACACGCTCCCATTGGTGGCTTTGCCACGTGTCGTGTCTGCCTGCTAACCTGCTCCTGAATATTTTTTTGTAATTATCGCATCTCGAGGAATCGTTTGTCTCTTCGTAACGCAGGGCGGGAAAAGCCGAAATCGTCCCAATGAGACTGGTCTCCATAGTCGTTGAGTGCTTCTGCCTCGGTGTCTTGTCGTGGTGGGTGTCCACGTACACACAGGGTTAGCGGTTTCAACGAGTTCCTTGAACGCCTATTCCAATCGGTGGCCGTGAAATAAATTTACAAGAATGGTAAAAATCATCCACCATTCACTCATTTTCGAATCGCAGTATACCTCAACGTGCGACGAATAGAGAGCCGCTGAAGGGTGTTTCTCTGCCGTATCGCGAGGTTCTGGTCTCGTCTAGAATTCTGCAGTCTCATCAGAGCGTGACTGTCCGGGCAGACGTCGGTACGCAAGAATGCTGGGCGTCCTGAAAAGGCTCAGAGGGCTGGAAGAGTGACGGAGGCTCGTGCCTGCCCCTGAAAGGTTGCTCGCCTAAGCTGCGTTTCCGGTGTCCCTGTCGGAGGGACGAGATCGAGGGCCTCCCTTCAAACTCTTCATTCGGGTAAGCAGGCCGCCGCCGCTCTTCTTGGGCTGCTGCTCAGGTCCACCGAGGGCATCGGTTGTGGAGCGTCTCTCGAGGCTGCCTGGCAGGGGAGGAGAGGCCGGAGAGCCTGGGCCAGCTTGGCTCATCTTGCGCACCGTTATCTGCTCCTCGCCGTCCTTGCCCGGCTCATACTCGGCGAAGAAGGGGTTCGTCTCGTTGCGAGCGCTAGACATGCTGGCGGATGTAGAGTGGTCGCGATAGACGGCATCCGGGTTGGTCAAGCGACCAGACGGTCCGAACTCGCCCCTTGGGGGTCGGTTGATGCCTCGAATGCGCTGCGCAAGTGACTTCTTCCGCTGCAACCCGCCATCCTGATTCTGCAAAGCAGACTCCTGCTCGGCCTTTTGCACAGCGGCTCTGGCGGCCGGGGTGCCCTCAAGGAACGTCGAAGTTCCTAAGCCCACGGTCTCGTCACCGTGAATGACGGATGCGCGACGGTGAGGGTCGAACAGAGCCATGTCCTTCTTCGTGGGCGGGGCGCCTGAAATGCTGGTGGCATAGTCGGTAAAGGCTTCCTCGGTACCGTTTCCCATGAATGTGGAGTGGTCGGCGCGAGCCAGGAGCGGGCCAGAGCCACCGATTGACATGTTCGCTGAGTCCTTGGCGAAAGCAGCCATAGGCGCGCGACCGCTAGCGGCTTTGTTGCGAGACGCAATGACAGCGTCGTAGGGACCAGAGTGATGGAAAACTAGCAGCGGTGTTAACATGGACTTCAGAGGATTGAGGTTGGAATTGTTGGGAACTTACGGCCAGTGCCGTAGATGCTGGTTGCATCAAGCTTGTCAATGAGATCCATGTCTCTATGGGTCCTTGGCGGCTTGTCGCGACCCTCACGTCGCTTGCGGTCCTCTCTGCGCCTTCTATCGCGCGCTTTCTTCTCCTCTTCAGTCAGGGCAGGCCGATCAGTGAGTGAAGACTCCGAGTTCCGCCTTCCTCGCCCAGATCCAGGTCCTGTGCGTCGGGGAGGGGAGTTGGGTCCGTCACCGTTAGGGCGTTGCCGACGAGCTCGCAGCGCCTCCTCTTGAGATCGCGTGGGCCTATGGTTGGGAGGAGGAGGTCCGCGCCGGCCAGGGGGAGGCATGTTTTCCCCCCTCGGAGCGCCAGGACGGTTCATAGGTGGAGGTCGCTGAGGTGGATCTGGCTTCTTGTCCTTGGTGTCGATCGTGATGCCAGCCTGCAAGCGAAGATAATGATTAGCCATCAGAAAGACGAGACAATGTTGACAATGACGCAATGTCGATCGAGGAGGATGCACCATGGACTATGGCGGCGGCGGCGGCATTGACGCTATTGTGTGTTTCACCAAGGTTGAGAAAGAGGGGTTTTTGGGGAATCACGTACGAACATGTCCTCGATAGTAGGGGACGCAGAGCGCTTGGTGTCAGCCATTTTCTCGGTTGGTGAGTCGAGATCTGGGATCAGTAATTGATTCTGGGGTTGACTCTGATTCTGATGCTGATTCTTTGTCGGGTCAAGAAATGGATTGTTGGAAAGAGGTCGCGACGACGACGACGGTGGTTGTTGAGGGGCAGGGTCATCGAAAGGGGAGGATGGACTCTTGGGCAAGGGCGACCCGGCACGGTTGCGAAATGGGTTGTTCGAAGATAAGCTGAGGGTCAGGCCGGGAGATGGTTGATCTAAGAACCCAACAGCAGACAATTGTTAGCAGATGTGGCTGTCAATTGATCGGGCAGGCGGCAGGTTGCATGCAAATGACGATTTTGATAGGGACGATGAAACAGCAATCTCCTTGCATGATACAGCGGGGGTTCAGCCAGTTGGTTTAAGGGGACTGGAGATGGAGCTCCTCTCTGCAGCAACGCCCAGATTGCGCGCGGAAGCTTACGGCCAAGGAGCCCACCCAGCCCATGAGCCAAAAAGGGGCTTGTAGTTAAAAATGAAAAGGAAACCGGGGAAGGCGCCAGATTTGCTGCTCCTTTTGCGCCTTGGAGGGGTATGTTGAGGGCAGATCGCTGTCCCAAGGCAGGGTTTAGGTGCTCACCTCGGGAATCCGGTTGGGTAGCAGCCATTTTTTGGGCGGCTCGAATAGGGGGAGTGGATTGATGCGCGTCGTTTCTCCAGCCAACCTTGGAAGGGCCCAGTCAGGGGTCGTGTGCCCGTGTGTGCACAAAAATGTTCAGATGCCCAGTCAAGGTGTGTCTGGCCTGGTCTTAAAAGTAACTCGCTCCGCACAGATGATTCCACACATGCGCCAGAGTCAGTTTCCCCGTCTGTCACTCGCGTTGGTATCGAACAGTGTCTTGGACTCGCAAATCCCTTGGCTCTTCTTGTTCCGTCACTGCCTTCGCGCTAGCGGCATACCAAAACCCACAGCCTATATCAGTCCAAGATGCGAAGACCTGGGACGGTTGCTCGAATCGAATGCGGTATCAGGATCGGGTCGGGGTCAGTGTTCAACGCTCGAGTCCGGATCCAACGGCAGGACGAAATGGTGGCAAGCGGGTTGCGATCGAGGGGCCGTGTTCGGATGTGGTCGTCCGTGCCCGCAGGAACTTGTGCTCGTGACAGCTAGGGGGTTCTTCCTTCTCCCTTATGCCTTGCTTCGTGGGCTTCTTCGTCCAATGATGCAGTGTAACGTGACCAATGGGACAGCGTTTGTTGGCGTTCTCGCGACCGTGTAAATGATGGCAAGGGGTTCCGTAACGTCGCTCGAACTCTCTGGCGCGAGTAGGGTTGAGAACGGCTGACGACAGTTCGTAAATGGAGAGAACACGTCTAGGTTGGTGCAGCGGACAGGTGCTCGCTGTCTTGGGCGTTAAGTAGGTAGTCCGTTCCGCAGCCACACGTCCGGATGGGAATGCGCTTCTAAGTCGGGGCGTGCCCTGCCAGGCGACTGTAGTGCAGCGCGGTGCAAATGACGTCTGGGGTTTCTGGCGGTCCGCGCTGGCCTTTTTGATTGCTCGCTCCACCGCAAATAATTGCTGGTTCGCCGGGGTGAGACGGCTGGACCGTGGTTTCGCCCTCGGCTGAATAAGTTTTGGAACGATAGTGCAGTTATGGTCGAACGGTTGTCTCCCGTTGGACAAGAAACGAGTGTGGTGAGCGTGTGAGAGTGGCTGACAAGTGACGAAGGGTACAGAGTATGATGCAGGTCATGTAATCTGTAGGTCGGGCGAAAGGATGCCGGATGAGGTGTAGTATTGAGGCCAGGCCAGGTGAGGCGAGGGGATGTTAGGTGATGCGATGCGGCGCGATGCGATGCGATGCGATGCGATGCAGTGGTAGGAAAGAGGATGCTGGAGGCGAGGGCAGGAGGCTTTCTAAAGACGGCCGCTGGACACGAGAGGGCACGAACGGGGGTTGGAACTGTGGCCCTGGGCCTGGGACGGGGACGGGACGGGGGACGGGGAGTGACGACTTCGGGAGTGAACAGGAAGAGAAAGTCGAGCGGCTATGTGGCGACGGGATGGGATAGATCTACACGATTCGTTGCCTCGGGCTTGCTTGTTTCTTTTGAGCTGACAAGACAGTGTCAGTTGGGCCGTGGACCACTGGACCTGGACCATTAACACACCGGACTCTGGGCCTCTGGACCTTGGGACCGTGGAACCTTCAGTCATCTGTCTCTTTCCAATTTTGGGTGCCAATTTCAGCACCCAGCTCCTTCCCTTTATTAGTCCCGACCCGGCAGCTCAGCGTAGCTGCGTATGTACCATATGCAGCCGTCCTGCCCCATTCCGTGCCATACCTAGATGCCGTCCCATGTACCGCACCGCAACGCACCGCACCGTACACACGTTACCATGGGCATGATGAATCAGTCTGGTAGCAGCCCGGACTGCGGTGTGCTACCCTACTGCAATAACAGTAGACAAGCAAGAGACAGTGCTGTAAGATGATCAAGTCCCTGCCGAACAAGGTGGGTCCGCCCTCAGCTCCGCCGATGGGTCCAGCCCCCCTCCATCTCCATCTCCGTCGTCTCCATCCCCCATCCAGTCCCAGTTCCAGGGTGCGGACCAAGCTCTCCCTCCCGTCCTGCCCGTGCTCGACCGTCGCTGGCGTGCTGGGACTAGGACGTTGCCATACTTCCAGATCACTGTCAGAGTCAAAGTATAGTTGTCCCCTTTCATTTTCCGTTTCCTTTTACTTTTCCCTTGCTCGCATGCGATGGAAGCTTCAGGGCCAAGACAGGGACGAGCGTTGCCAACGGTCGCCGTTGGAGACGACAAAGGCTAGGCCCTAGCATCAGGAACGGAGCCAGGTGCTAGAGCGTGGATCTGTCTCTTATTCGTGCTGCCCGCCCGTTCCTGCCTGACTTGGCGACGCGCTTTCCCCTTCCCGCCTGGGCCCGTCAACCTCTGCTATGGCACACATACCGTACGCCCATAGACACAATTACGTTGCCACTCAGCCACTTGCAGAGAGAGCTCCCGTCCCTGGCTGTTGCATTTGAATACGGTAGGCAAGCTGAGCTCTGGCATGTTCATCTGGGAACAGGGGTTGTGAGCAAACACCGCCGAGCTCCAAATCAACCACCTATCCGGAGCTGTCGGGGTGATTCAACCTACCCGGGAGCAAAGGGGGAGGAGAGAAAAAAAAAAACCACAGATGAGGCCGTGATGTCGTTGGCTGATCGTCTCGGTCCCGCTGCTGGCGGTGGCTGATTATCCAGCCATTAGCCCGCGACCAAGTCTACCTAACAACCACATCACGCTTCTTTAGTGCGCTTCACATAAGGAGGGTCTCAACTTCTCTTGATTCAGGGGAGATTGCGACTCTCGGGGGCATTTATTTCACAGTCAACGACAGCCGCGGATCCACATGTCTGCAGACTCCCCCTTCCACGGCAATCATCTACGTATGCTACCCACTGTAGGTCTTTGTATTCCGTGTCTGCCGCACTTGTATCCTGTCCTGCTTGTGTCTGCGTGTGACTGCGCGCCCCGATGCCGCCAGATGGCGCAACCAAGCAACCAACTGTGCGTCCATGAACGGCTCCGCCGAAACAACAAACATCAGCCCTCACTTGTCTTTGCAGCGCTCTTGCACTTGTCTATCCCGCTCCAAAGAACAGGCCATTTTCCTCCACCAATCCTCGCAATCAACCGATGATCGACAAAGTTCTCAAATGCCCGGTAACCCACCCTACCTGCTACGGTACAGAGCACAAGCATCCCTTCTCCCCTGCTGGCGCTGCAACGTATGGGCCATAATCTGAGCGCATCGGGCTGCTCCCTCACGGAAAGACCCCTATTTCTTCGCCCCCTGACTTTTTTCCCTGTCCTCCACCACCTTGGCTCCGCTTGCTTAAGCGATTTGCGGGGTAGCTGCTCGCGCTAACCCCCATCACGATGGCCGGCGCCACTTCAGCTGCAACGACAGCCCAGACCGCAGCCAAGCTCACCGACAGCCTCTTGGACCCCCAATACCGAGGCCAGGGAGCTATCATGTGGCTTGGCGCACAGTCATGAGGGCTGCCCGAGGCGTCTCCGCGGCGTCCTGCAACGCACATGCGCTGTGTGAGGGCTGACGGCTTGCGCTCCTAAGCCTACAGGACGAGGCTTGGAGAGGCTGATAGAGGCGCATACACAGCACCGTCCCTTGAACTGTGACAGCTCACGTGTCGTCGGGTTGAGAGGAAGACTGACGAAATCCGCTGCCAGACTTTTTGGCAGCGGGCGTTGGTAGGTTCAATAACCGTAAGCTAGGGGGTCGCCGCTCATCCTCCGCCATTGGACATCTGATACTACCCTGGCGAGCCAGGTACGCATCGAGTACCGGCACACCGCAGGGTTGCGACTGGACCAGAACGGCCCCGGCCATCAGAAATCAGCCCGGTCGCTTGGCCGGTGCCCTGGGATCGCGTCTCAGGCCACGGCTGTGCTGCATCTCACCCTTCGGATATGTCTCAGGTGTCACGACACAGCCTGCCTGTCCACAGCTTGTAGTGCCCGTTACCGCGGGTGGTTACGCATCGCCGACATGCGGCCAGTCACTGCTGCCCCGGTGTGACCTCTGTCGGCATGCCGCCCCGGAATCCTCGTCAGGGATTCTCTTCTGCACGTGCCACGAGGGATCAAAAGGACAGGGGTGGCCAGGTCTGTGCGACCTCATGTGCTCTGTAGTGGCACATCGCGCAGGACGGGCGATCGTGGTCAGTGAGCATAGTGGAGGTAGTCTATCCCTCCCAAGCGACGAGGCTCGCGCTAGGGGAACTATGTCTCCCTGCGGATGCTGGACGCGGGTGGTCCAGCGCGCCCGGGCCATAACAATACGGGCTGGCTGTGCTCCCAAGCCGGGATTGACAAGCAAAGCCAGGGTACAAGTAAGCATACTGTGCGCCAACTCTTAGTAAATCCCGTGTTGCTGCTTGCCGACGTCGCGGTCTCTCTCGACGGGTGTAGAGGTTGAACAACCAAGGATCTGCTCGTCCTCACAGAGGCAGAGGCCCGCATCGACCACCGCGCAAAATTGCACGAGACTCGCAAATCTCAAGACCGAGTGCTCCTGTGTGGTTGAGACCCTTCTTTGGTCTGACCCCACATGCAATGTATGAAGAATAGGCTCTCTGTGCCCCTGATTCCTAAGAATGATGTTTTATCCCGCCGCACTGTGCGTTTGCATTATTGACAAGTGAAAACAGTTCCACAATCTCAATGCTAAGTGACATTAGTCTTGCTTCAAATTCAGCCGCCGCGGGAAGGGTCCTTAGTAATTGTGCACGAATCATAGTCTGGTATACCGATGAGATGCTGTTGCCAGCCATTCGATCTAATTTCTGCAGGACAGCGTTCCGGTGCAACCAGCCAGAACAGCACCCTTTTCATCCACGCCTTAAGTGTCCAGACCGATGAAGGTGGAGGGGGCAGGCTTCTCGGGCTAGTTATGTGTGATGAATCTACCAGGCATACCGGCTTCATTGGCGGCGGTGGAAATAGTTAAAAATTTGAAGAATAAGAAGCTAGCTATTCCATTCGCCCAGTGGAAATCTCCCCCTCTCCAAGGCTCTGTCCAATTCCTGAGCAAGACGTTGAGGAACTGAGGTCCGATGGTCCCCAACTTGCAGTCTGCGAACATGTGATCAGGAAAAACATGACCAAATCGTGATGGGCGGTTCAAGTGGGCGCCAAAATCTACTCCGAGGAATAAGATGGGAGACGAGTTGTGGCTCCCCAGCCCTACTAAGACTCCTTGCTTTGTGTTTGGCCCGTCCAGGAAGATCACGCTTTCTGTCGGACGAAAAACGTCTAGTGGAAACGTTTCGACCACGATCCGGCACCCATCTGTTCGTTCCGCAAGGCATGTGCCACCCATTGGATCCGATTTGAAACCCTACGAGGACAAGCAGTGGCCATCGAGTAATTTATCCGAATGGTCGAAGATAAGCAGGAACGATTACTGAAATCGTTGTGGAAGCCGATCTAAGATACGGGGTTGCACTTGAGCGGTCGGAGCTGGATTGGAGCGTATGTACAGCTGTGATTGGCACAACGACCACCGGCACTAAATAAGAACGTTGCCTCACGAAAACTCCCTCTAGAAGTATTGAATCCATCATACTGCCAGCGAGGCTGGCGATCTATGCGCAAGTCTCCAGAAGCACTCATGTCGCAGATAAGATATACCACCCTTCACTCCCCAACGTGCCGCCGGCCTCTTCTCAGGATGGGCCGGAAAGCTCTTCTTTTCAGTGACCTCAATTTCTTCCATAACAAGGCTAAGTCATGTTGACGTGAAGAGCGTGTCTCAGTGGCTTCGCACGCGGGGCTGCTATCCGTCCTTTCTGCGCCGTTCAAGATCGTGCCGCTTCCGGATGGGGACAGTAATGGCACCTCTGGCTTTGACATGTCTATCATGGCGATAGAATGAAAGTCTTCTGATCAATGTGGTTGCTCAGAACGTTGCTGTTTTTCCAATACCGATTCGTCAGTTCGGCTCGACAAGGAGGGCGGTGGCTCCTCTGTGCACGTGCTGTGGGCATCCGATGAAGTAGGAACATAAGATGTCGCCGGAGTGGAGAGAAATTCCAGCTCGGGAGGTCTATCAGATACTCTGATATTTCCGCGCACCCGCAGGAGGTCCGTATACGGAGAATTTTGCGAGGCGGTATCAGGAGAGAGATCTAGTAGGTGGGGCCTTGGGACATTCTGTTGTTGAAGTACCTACGGTATGTAAGGCTTGATTCGGCTGACGGATTAAGCGTTCGCTTTTTCCACATCTGTAGCATATCATCATCGCTCCGTGGTATTGAACCAGTCGCAGCGGCCGAGGGCCCGGAGTGCTTTGGACCTAGAGATCGAGAAAGCATGGGTTTCATCTGCGAAGACATCCTCAATTTGCCCAAAGTCGTGTTTCGAACCAACAGAATCGGTGGGGCTTTGTCTTTCCGATCCATCGGAAGACGCGCTCGAGGTCAGATTAGCCTGTGCCGAAGCCTGGGAGTAAAAGTGTGGGCGGAGGCGCTGGCGATATTCGTCCTCATCCCATAAAGAAGGAAAATTGCTGGCAAGACTAGTTACCCACGGTCTTCCCACATGGCAATATTCTGTGACAGAACCATCTTGACGGCTCTGAGTAAGGATCGTGGCCAATCTCTCGAGCACTTCCTGGATAGGCCATCTGGTTCCTGGCCTGTGTACGAGCATATGCTCTTGTATGACGTCCCAGAAGTCGTGCAGAGCATCAGAGCAATTATTCTGTCCATGCAGATACAAGAACCACTGCAATAATACAGGTCAGTGTATTTCGAAGTCGACACTCGAGTCTTGCCTTCCATTACCCACCTGTATGACAGAATTTTTGACCTGTGGCTCTTCCAGTCCTGATTTGTAGAGGAGATACTTGTCTTCAAGGATTCCCGACTCTACAAAGTCTTCCTCGAGGCGGGCTGTAACAAAACTTTGGTAATTCCGCTCATCGTCCCCTTTGAAGTAACTCCCACGCGTGGCGTCATGTCCAACGAGATGACAGCTGATGAATTCCAGGAACACGCAGCCCAGACTCCATACATCGTATTTCTGGCTGACCTGTTTACTGGAAATTACGGCCACCTCTGGGGCACGATAAGTCCTAGTACCACCAACGTGGGCCATGGCAGTCTCTTCGTTGCTTCCTTCAGCGTGAAATCGCATTAGTGTGAAGTCCGAGAGAACAAGTCGGTCCCCGGCGGTGGAAGGGTCCCTGAACCAGAGAATGTTTCGAGGCTTAACATCCCCATGGCGGCCCAGGAGTATCTTCTGCTTGGGTGATGACTTGGGGGTCCTGTATTGGTGGATTCTGTGCAGGCCTTCCGTGAGTCCGTGACATTGTGTGAGTAGCCACAAGGGATCCCGAAGCGAGGGACCGGCCTCCTGCCAGACTGTGTCAAGGTTACCTTCGGCGAGGGGGAAAATCAAGAAGTGCTTTCCGCAATGTGAATACGCTGCCAGGGCCTTGATCAAATGCTCGTGCTGGGTATCGTGTTGGCAGAAGAGTTTCAAGGCCTCTAGCTCATCTCCTAAAGTCGCTTTCCGTACCGAACTCTTTTAGAGCAAACTCGGGACCTTGATGCAGAGGCTCCCAACGATTCTGACATTAACTTGATGTCAATACAGTTCGGGAGAACTAAGAGGCCTTGGGGTCACTTCAACTTACCGACTGAGTCTTTGTTTCATAGTGATCGCAATGGATTTTGACCTTCCAGACTACCCCTTGCCCATCACTGGAAATTGGAAGTTTCGTCAGAAATGGAAGTTGCTGAGGCCGATCGTATTTTTCCTCATGAATTTGGTGTGCAGAGAAGTCCCAAACGGGAACAGCGACTTCATATTGATAAGACAAGAAGAATTCTTTAACGTCGCGGTCTTATGCCATCAGACAAGCCTCTAAGTGGACCTGTTCCAGAGGCAAGTCATCGTCCGAGACACTTTGCTGGATGAGATGTGCTCGGTCTTTTTTATCAGAATCAGGATAGCGAATATCTTGATGCGTTTCTTCTCGCCAATTATGTCGGTCGAACTGATGTGACTTGTCTCATGCTTCTGTTTCAGAAGCAACTGTATGGTCCTCTCTGTCAAGATCTTTGTGAGTGCCTTTCTGGGAAGAAATCCGTCACCAGAGTCCTCTGCCCAGGCCCTTGACTGCTTGAAGTTTTCCTGTAGTCTCTTTTGTACGGACTTCAGAGTGATATTCTCGGAATCGGGTGTGCCAGACAGGGGCTCGTATATAAACCGCCAATTCTCATTGTAAGATAGCAACTCCGGAGCCGACGGGACTTCAAGGATCTCTGGATCTCTATAGGCAGCCAGCTCGGCATCCGCTAGTACCCACTGACCGTCCATCCACACCCTGTCGTCGAGAGGCTCTTGGTTTTCGTCAACGCCGCCGGAGGTGTCCCCACTGCCCTGTTCTCCGCCTTGGTCATAATCCTGGATGTAGTCGATGGACAAGAATCCCGCCCGCTTGACATGATCTGCTATGTGCAACATGAGCTCTTCACGGATGTCAGATTGCCTTGGTCCGGATCTTGTAGATGCTGGACTGCTAGCCAACCCTTGGCTGGCCACATGTCGTGATTTCGATCTTATCAGGGATGCAATTGCAAACAGGACAGACGTTGGGTTGTCTTTTCCGTCGGATTTCGCACCAATCCTTAAACATTTCAAGCGCTGGGCTGTCGGCGTGCTCGGTATGTTCGCATTTCACGTGCTCGTCAAACTCGGCCTCATCCGTGAACGACAACGGCTCGCCATGAGTCCTGTCACAGCACCAACTTACTGGTCGGTGGATGCGCTGAGTCCACTTGGGAGTGTGCTCGACATCCATGTGTTTCCTCCAGTCATCGAATCGGGCGAATAGTTGAGGGGGATCGGCGCACTCTTCCCAAATGCACGCGTACAGCCGGAAGTCGGTTTCGACATGGCGCCTAGAAAAATGTCAGGGTAAGTCGAATCTTCGGGTAACCAGATGAGAGAGAATGGAACGACTTACTCCCACCATGCTTTATTCTCAAATTTGGCCCGGGGAAATCTGTGGCGACAGTACGGACACTCAAAATCTCTCACGGTTGATTCGATCTTCGGCTGGTCGGGGTACCTGGCTTGCATCGGCCGGATAGATATGACGGATGGGGCGATATTGTCGTGACGTTGGTGGGAATGGGCAAATGCTTGCCTCACTCTATCAGTATCTGGGATGCTGGGATCCGTGTCAGAACGGGGTGCAATCGCCTGTACGTGTGAAGGAATCGCGGATGGTCTCCGCGCCGAAGTTGGATCCGGCCGACGCAAGCCAGGCACCTCGGGGACGGGAGCTCTTCCAGAATCCTGGCGATTGATTCTGGGTTCTTGCTTTGGGTCTACTTTATCCGCATGGCTGCGCGTGTACAGAATGCCGAAGTAGCGGAACGTGACGGACATAGCAAGTTGCCGGCATAGCGAAAGCGCCGCCCCGGGGGGGGGGGGTTCCGAGGTGCTCGTTCTCGTGGCGTTTACTCTTACGCTGTCCACCAGGCTGAATTTCAAGTGAAGATACACCATGTTCTCCAGATTTACGTCGTTCTGTTTCTCCATGAACGCATTGACCCTTTGTGTGATATTGCCCGATGAAGACTGCCGAATGGCAATGCCCAAGCGGTATAGGCTCTCCACTGCCGACTCCAGAGCTTGGAGGTTCTCCGCCAGAGAAGAAGATAGCTCATCTTCAGCTGACCACTGCATCTGCTCTACGGTGAATCCGGGAATTTCATCGTGCGAGTCATCTGAGGTCATGCTTCCCGGGGATTCGACTGGCGTATCGTCATCAGCTTCGATGGAGAACGGCCGGGATGAGGCACGGAGCGGGCAGGGGCATTATACGAACTGTCCTCCAGACTCTCTTCTATACTCCCCAGGTATCGAAGTACGATGCTCCGCAGCGATTCGCTATACCTTAGACGCGAATCCAGCGACACTTTAGGTGTTGGCAAGTACGACCCTCGCCCTTAAACGGCTACTTTAGTTATTCCCTACGGGGCACGTAGCCTTTTAAAACTTAGCTAAAACAACACTAAGAAACAATTGCTTCCCTATATAATTATTATAAATATAAGAAATTTATTAACATTAATTAATAATTATAAGTATTGTAAATTAATAAGGTAAAAAAGGCAACCTTATAAGGATTTCTTTAATTTAAAAATTATATCTTTTTTATTAATAAGTATTATATAATAATAATTACTTTATTAAGCTTCCTTATATTATTAAACTCCTTAAGTAAATATTATAAAAATTAAAATAATATAATTAGCATTAATTAATATTAAATATATTTTTTTATTAAAAGTTAATTAATTTAAATTAATATTATATTTATATTAAAATTTTTAAATTAATAAAATTAATTATATTATTAAAAATATAATTTATTATAAATTATTAATATATATATATTAATATTAATTATTTATTAATTAATTATATTAAATAATGTAATGGGCTTAGGCTATTGCCCAAGCCTTATATAGTGTGGCTAGATAATCCAAGGGAGCTTGGATTATTACATACCTTTTGGCTTAATGGTTAAAAGGTTGCTGCTTTGCAGCTTATGAGAGAAGGCGCTAGCCAGCCTGGAGCCCCTTTGGGGCCGAGCCCATAACAAATAATTACTTTTTAATAAATTTAAAATAAATATAATAAAACTTTTTTTAAAACGTTATAAGTATTTAAAATAATTAAATATATATTAAAAAATATATAATAAAAAATTTAAAATTTTATATAATATAATAAAATTATTTAAATTTATAAAATAAATTAATAAAATAATTCTTTTTTAACTTATTTTAAAAAAAATTAATTTCTTTATTATATTAAATATAATATACTTTTAATAAAAATTATATTTCTTCATAATAATTTATTATTTATATATTTTATTAAATTTTTAAAAAATAAGTGTTACGGTTTGGGCTTTGCCCATTGTGATTAATTAGTGGGCTTTGGCCCTATAAGAATAGGCTTTAGCGTGGGTGCAAACGGGGAGTAAATCTTTTCCTCTATACTCTAAATATAAACCCCATTTAAATACCTTACAGCAAATAACTTAAGGCTAGCCCATAATATATATTTAAAGTCTTCTTATATTATAAACCCATAATATAATTATATAAAACTTAATATAGCAAGACTTAGAAAGAATAATAGCAGCCCGTTAAGCCCTTCCCTATTTAAAGGAACTTTTATCTTAAGAATACTTAGCAACTTAGCTAATAAAGATAAGGGCTAAGTTTGCAATAAATAGGAAGGTAATTAATGCTAAAGGGGCTTAATTCTTTTATATATTTAGTTAGCTAGGAACTTTTTATAATTAATTTTTACTTTATATTAATTTTATAAAGATATTTAAGGGGCAGCTAAAAAGCTTTTTAAAGAAGGTTTGCCTTGCGCTTAGAAATCCTTTTAAGCAAAGATATATTAGGCTTAACTTAATTGCGTTATAATAGCATTATAAAAAGGAAATAATAAAATTTCTTACTTAATTTAATTAATTAGCTTATATAGCAAAGACTTAAGTTAATTAAATAAGTATAAAATATTATTAATAGCTAATAACTTAACCTTTATAATAAAAATCCAGCTTAATTACAAGGAATAGCTAAATATATTTAAAGCCTTTTACTTTACCTTGCAGCAATATAAGGGCGTTTTTAATGCTATAATAAAGAAGGATAATACTTAACTTTAAAATAGCAAAGCAATAAATATTAATATTATAGCGGTTTTAATAAGTAAAGTTGTTATGGGCTTGGCCCCAAAGGGGCTGCAGGCTGGCTAGCGCCTTCTCCCATAAGCTGCAAAGCAGCAACCAATTGAGCCAAAAGGTACGTAATAATCCAAGCTCCCTTGGATTATCTAGCCACACTATATAAGGCTTGGGCAATAGCCCAAGCCCATCACATAGCCCCTTCCTCCAGGGCTCCCCCTCCTTATATAGTGGTACAACTACCCCCAAGGCTCACCCGCGACATCGCCTTTTCAAGCCAGAGATCTTCTTCATGGTTGGGTGAGACCATGACTCGAACTCTCGACCCTAGAGCTTGGATTATTTGTTATGGGCTTGGCCCCAAAGGGGCTGCAGGCTGGCTAGCGCCTTCTCCCATAAGCTGCAAAGCAGCAACCAATTGAGCCAAAAGGTACGTAATAATCCAAGCTCCCTTGGATTATCTAGCCACACTATATAAGGCTTGGGCAATAGCCCAAGCCCATCACAAAAGTTAAGTGTTTTATATATAGCTAACTTAGCTATTATAAGCGCAACTACCTTAACTATCGTAAGAAAATAAGGATGTAGCTTTTATTAACTAAGGCTAATAAGGAGGAAAAGTTTATTTAAAGGGGCGTAAAATTTTTTCTATAAAATGGGGCTTAAAAGTAATGTTGGCTTAATGCCAGCCTAGGCTTAAAGTAGATTAGCTATATGCTAATTAATTTAACGCTATAAAAATACTTAAAATTTAGGAAATTCCTGTTAATAAAGTAAATTGCTTATAATTAAGCGCTAATTAATTATGGATTATATAATAAATCCGCAGTCTTAAGGTTTTAAGTAAAAAAGCTTATATAAAAAGCTTGCATTAAAGGATTATAGGAATGCTATTAATTTAGCTGCTAACTTATGCTTAAATAATTATTTCTTATTAGCTTGCTTTGGCTAGTATATTGAATTATAAGAGCTGGGGTGTATTAATTATAAATAATAAGCTAAGCCTTTGACATAATTAAGAGGCGCTAAGGTGTAATTAAATGGCTGGGTAAAGAGCGATATTTAATTTATAATTAAACCATAGTGTCCTTTATTTTTTATTATATAGCTACTCTTTAAGGCCTGCTATGGGAACTTAAAAAAGGAAGATATATTATGGTTTGGGCTTTGCTTATTATAATTAGTTAGTAAGCTTTGGTTTTATAAGAATAAGCTTTGGCGTGGATGTAAATAGGGAGTGAACCTTCTCCTTTGCACTTTAAATATAAACCCCATTTAAATACCTTACGGTAGACAACCCAAGGCTAGCTTATAACAATAAGTTAATATTATATATTATTAAATTAATAATAAAGGTTTTAATTATTAAATATTTTAAATATATATATTAAAAGTTTATTATTTTTATTATTTAAATAATAAATTAAAAAAATAAATTAAATATAAAATTTAAATTTAATTTTATTATATTAAAAAATAAATAAATAAATTTTAATTTTATTAAAGTTTTATTATTTTTAATTAAATTTAATTAATTAAAAACTTAAAATTAAAAATTAAATTTTTTTTTAATTTAAAGTTAAGTTTATTAATTAAATTAAACTAAACTAATTTCAACCCTGCTTATGTGTTTTAGCATGCTGATGATATTATTTACTAAAGGCAATAAAGATTCTGCGAGTCCTGGTTAGTTGCCATGGCGTAAAGTGACTCGTTTTTGCTAACGGCAGTCAAGATTCGGTAAACCCTGACGGTCTGTCGTAGTATTAGCGCGACTCCGTCGTTGCCGACAATGACAAAGGCCCAGCGAGCCCTGACTAGTTGTCATGGTACAAGCGCAGTTCCGCCACTGCCAAACAACCAATCTACGACCTGCAAGGAGGGTGAAATGCGCGAAATAATCCGATGCTGAATGCTGTGATCAGATGGGGGCTCTTTTGTCTCAAGTTCCGGAAACTTACGCCGCACAGCTACGTTAAGCCCTACGGAAGGACTCAAGTCAGTTAAGTTTAGGCTCTTATAATGCAATGATACATTTAGTATGAAACTCAAGTTGCCAGCTAACTAGAGTGCGTAGTGACAGCCTCAACTATTTATAGACACCGTGAGAGGAAGTAGATGTTGTGAATGGACGTCTCTTAGACCTGTTCCCCGTCTTCCATCCCCCCGATCCGAGATCTGGCTTCTGGGAACTCCAACGGGGAAGCTACATAAGGGTCCGAAAAAGATTTAGTAGAGTAACCTTAGCGGGAATTAAGCTCGTTGTGCGGTTAAACTCTGTTTGGGATATCTACGGCCTCCGTGACACAGACGGCCAACCAGACTCTACAGGCCAGCCCAACGCTCCCCCGGATGCGCCGGATAAGTAGTGAACGGGCCCTTTGGGTCGCCTGGATATCACCTGATGTGAAAATGCAAAGAATGCAAAAATATCAGGCGATTATCGCCGGGAATTGAGCCCGACGTGGGGGTCGAACCCACAACCTTGAGATGTATCTCTTGTCAGAATCGTGAGGTTCTTTCTAAGAGTCTCACGCTCTACCGATTGAGCTAGCCGGGCGCCTGTGAAGACGCCTTGGTCGTTAGATTGAGAGTTTCCGGTGGGATTATAATGTCCGTGAAAGGTCCAGTGGGCTGACTGAGCATGCAGGATTGTACAGCGCTAGTCTCGAAAAGTGCTCGCGTGGCGTCTGTGCCTTGGAGTGAAATGTGGGCCGTTGCGCCGCACACAGAGCCGGCCTCTGAATGGGGCGCGAATCGGCTTCGGGAGTCCGGGCGGGCCTCGAGAGAGTGGGCACGTCCTGGCGCCTTGACGGTTTGGTGAGCGTGACGACCGCTCGGGGCACGACGCGTAGAACGAATATTGGTTGTCTGTCTGTCGTTGTACAGATATCCTCCCTGTGCTCCGGTCGCGTTGTTACATCGTCGAGGGAGAGGTATCAAGGGCGCCCGTCTGTCCGGCCGTCGAGCGAGCCGAGATGAGCCGCCGAGTCCACGACTCATTTGAACATTCGGACCGAACAATGCTCAACAGTGAGCCGCCGCAACATCTGTGTTCGATATTTGGGACGTCGCGACCGGGCAGGTTGAGCCTTCGCGGCTGCATGGACGCGTCCGATCCTGGGAGTCGACGAGGGGGCGACGGAACACCAGCGCTGGCGTGTGCCTCTTTGATCATTCTATTTTCATTTATTCGGCGTCACGACTGGCATGAGAGGCTGGCGATCTGCGTGTTTCGCAAGATGGTGCTCCCGGGACTGATTGCGTACGGACTGTCGCACCGCTGTGCGGAATGGCTGCGTGCTTCCGCGTCGGACGAGCAGCCGCACGGCCCGTCACCCCTGCACGGGAGCACGTCTCATTGGCCGCTGACCTTGTCCACTTTGCTCCTCCCCTTTGACTACCACCACCTTGATGGTATGGAAGATCGCCTACTCGTGGAGAGTTGTACACTGCGAAACATTAACGCTGTACAAATATTTGTGCTGTGAAGTGGCTAATCTTACGGGCACTCTACGTGACAGGCATGGATCTCAAGGGTATCTCAGATTCCGCGGCACCTGAACGTGGTATCCCATGTCTCCTCCTTAGCGAGCTCCACCATATTCCTCCAGGTTCACATTCTCCGGCATAATCCTCCTGAGTGACACCGTCGCCAATCTCAAATGACAAACGATCGTGCTTCTCTTTCCAGCAAGAGACAGTGACGTGTCACAATAGACCATCCTTCTGATCCACTCCGTTTGAATGCCTACCTACCTGGGCACCAAATAAGGCTGAGCTCAGGACAACCTCGTCTACATTCGAGAAGGTGACCCACATTCCAGATCTGTCGTGGCTTCCAAATGGGATGAAGATGTCAAGCCAGCTTTCTCCAACGTCTGCTCCGAACGACGCTTGCCTCTGTTATCTGGATACTTCATTATCGACCATTCCAAGGCCAGCTACCTGTACCGTGTGCTGCTTTAAATGGGTTTCACGAGATCCAAGGGATATAACATGGGCTTGAATGTCTCTAATTTCGGATTGTTCTAGCAATTTCATGTCCTTGGAGTGTGGTAACACACCCCTTGCAGGCCGTCGACCTCCCCCCCCCCCCCACACCAGCCCAGAAAACACAAACTGCAAGGGTTAGGCCCAGCTCCAGGGCACAAGAAGGTGTTTGCAGTTTTCCTCCGCCCCGCCCGAGACATTCCTGGACTGGCGGGCGCCTCGAAAGGTTTTAGGTTGGCGGTGCTATTGCTCATTACGAAGCAAGGGTGAGATGTGCCTGTCAATTGTCTCAGGGCTTGGCGCCCGCCCGCTAGGAGGGCCTGGCCCAGGAAGGAAGGTCGATTTCTGCCAGCCTCACTTTCCGCTGCGCGCCGCGGTGCGTTCTTGTGACGGTAGACCGAGGCCGGGACACGCCTGGGGGGCAAGTGTCGGGGGCGGAATCAAGCCACACCTTGACAAGTCATCCATCCCACACCACCATCTTTGAAAGCATGCGGGTCACCATGGAGGTGGCTAAACTTTCCAGGGGTACCACAGCAACCGGTCTGGCATGCCCTTGCCTCCGATCCAGCCTATTGGGACCTGCTCCTTGCAGGCTTTGTCGTCACCTTTACCATGTACTGCCAACGCATACATGCCCGAATACCATGATTTCTTGCATCGCCTGCGGCCTCCAAGCATCATCATCGCCTTCAAAGCCACCTTTGCAGGCCAGGGCAGGGCATGACAGGGGCCCCGGGGCCTTGCAGACTCCGGGGGAGACACCGCCGTTGTGGCTACTGTACTCCATCTGGCTTGCATCTGACAGTCAGAGATCCCAACGAGACGGTATGACGTTTTGCTCCCAGCTCCACAGAAGGATTGGGCAGCACCCAAGTGTGGGGTGACTAGACTGTGGCAGCATCGACGAGAGGGGACGGTGACCCCGAACTGACTCCTGTTCGACGTTGGACCGCCTGTGATCAGTGGGACGACGGCCTGGTCGGGATTGGGAGTGGCAGGCGAGGGACGAGGAGGAGGGGCTCGAGGGGAAATGGACGGGAGTATCGTGAACACCGTCGATCACAGGCGAGGGAGCCCTGTGTGTCCCGTGACGACTAGCTTCACCGTAGATGCCCATCACACAGGGCTACCAGAGATTTTCCCGAGTCTTGCAAAGCTTCACGGCTACGAATTGGGTCCTGTGCCTCCGTGCGACCAGCTACACACTGTAGCCAGAGCGCGATGTTGGCCCGGGGGACTGACTGCTGAGGGCTGGGAGAAATGGGAGAAATCAGGCCCCCGTACAACATGAGCCTGACTCTTTGACTGACCGTGCCAACGTGCCGAGCCAGACCAGACCAGAGTGATGGCCGTTGGCGAAAGAATCCATTTTTCTTGGTCCTGTTCCTGAGCCTCAAGGTCTAGTGGCCCATCACTGGTCAGTATGACGAGTTCGTCTGATAAAAGATTCTGGCGCCTAACCCTTTTGTCTGTGACAATAAGGCAGTATCCATGGCTATGGGAAGGAAAGGCATGGATAAGAGGGCTGGGAGTGTGCTGATCTAGGACCAAGCTGGAGTAAGCTTGAGTTAGAGGTGAAAGGCTCGGTCGGGCACCCATTTACAGTCAGGAACATCGGCTTGCTTGCGAGGATGACTCCGGATGAGGATGCTGGACTCTCCCAACACTGAGCAAGGACTGTCGTGCCTCGTTCCAAGGGCCAGAGAGGGAAGGGGCCAGCTGAGGAGCTGAGGCTACCTATGCTACCCGCTACCTATATTAGAGCAGGGGAGAGGGAGGAGGAGAGGAGGAGTGAAGGAGCGGCACACGCACGCGGGCTGATAACACGACATGGACAGGCCGCTGTCGTGCCTGTCCCTACACTAGTCTAGTAGATGTCTTGACTTCTCCCGGCGCGACCTGTTAGTAAGGAAACACCCTACCCGGACTCGAATGAAACGAAACTTTGCTCCTTTTTCCCATGAGAGAGAGAGTCCGGGAGACACAAGACCTGCATGAGGTGAGGCTGGTCTGTCTGAAGGGGGTTGTCCGCTTGTCCCAGGGACTTCTCTTATACAGTACACACCCCGCCCGTCCCTTCCCTTTCCCACTCCCTCCCGTGCCCTACGGCAGCCAGTCCAGTCAGCCAGTCCTCCCGCCCTGCACTCATTTCCCGCATGAGAATCGGCATCAGCAGCACGTCAGCAACAGAAAAATAAAAGGCTCCTGTCTACTCGGAGACGTGGCTGCACCGCCACAGTAAACAAACAGCAGCCCTCATTGTCGAAAAGGAAATGAGCGCGGCCTCGTAAAGCCCCACGGTCATCTGGAGGGCCTGTGCGCATCATCCTGGGTAGCTCCCCTTCGCTGCGACATCTTTGCCTGGCAACGAGGCGCGAGTCGGTCCTGCGTGGAGACGGCCGACGAGCTGAATATCATCACATCAGCTTCTGTCAGAATCTTGATTCCCGGCCCCGAGGGAGCTTCGAGCTTTTGCATCAAGCTTCCTTTTCCAGTTCTCGAACCGCCACGCTGTTCTGAACCTGGTCTGTGGCTCGGCGCAACGGCTGCGGATTTTGACACGATTTGACATGCGACTATGACCCGGAAGACAAGTCCAGCCTGTTCACCGCCCGACCAGCTATTTTCCTCGGCACTCCCGGTCGTGACGGGCATCGGCGTGGAGGTGGGTACAGGAGGGTGCAGGAGTGGGAAGCTGGGCAGAGGCCGAGCTGTCATCAAGATTCAAGGTTCGGCACCAGCACCAGCACAAGCAGGACCAGCACGGCCAGCAACCGCAACAGAGCTGGGCCAACCGGGCACTGTTGGGCTCGGACACCAGCGCGATTCACCAGTCTCCTTCCCCGACTCCCAGGTTGAGGGCGCCAACACCTTTGCCAACGCGACACGCTGGTGACAACCCGACACATCCAATACCTGCCCACTAGCGCCAGTGAGTGAAGCTTGCACTCAACTCATGCGTGCACTTCGCCTGCCAATTCGTCCCAACTGACCGTCACCACCTAAGCAAGACGCAGCCTGCAGGAAGACGGTCACTTGGCCTTTTAGCCTGTCCGATCTGCCCGCCACCTGCTTAATCCTGCCCGCCTACACTGCCAGTCAGTCCCCGTCCTCGCGCCAACACCACCAGCCCCCTCGATTTTCCAATGCGACGGATCGTGGCGCGCCCTTGCACAACTGCGACTGCGACTGCGACTGCGACAACCACACCGGCCGTCTGGACCCAATTGACCTTTCCTGCTGGCTGTTCTTTTCTCTTCTTGCTGTGTACTGCCTAACAGCCTCTCCTGCCTGCGATTGACTTTCCCAGTGAGTCAGGAACCACACCCCCACATACCTGTGCTAGCCAGCCCACCATCTTCCTGCTGCACACGAGCTCCTGCCTGCTGGTGTGAGGGAGCTTGCACAGGCCGCGATACCCAAACTATCGGACTAAGACTGACCGCTCCAACGCCTCGGTGCTCTAGGCCGCCTTTTGTCATCCGATCACAAAACCTAAACTTGACTTTTCCCGTCACCACTCGCCCGGGTGGTGATCATTCACCTTGTCCACCACTTCAGCCCCGTCTGGTGATAAGGGAAAGGCGACCGCAAAGGTGACCGACCCAGGCCAATTCCCTTCTTACGACCGTTACGAACGTTACGAATCCCCCGATCCAGCCCAGCAGCGCCAGCAGCGCCCTCTTCGTCGATCGCAGACCCCAATCTCTCCCGAGCAAAGCTCCAGGTCGGGCGCGTCCACACCGCTGTCGCATCGGGGCCTGCGCCGCACCACTCGGTTTGTCGGCACACCAAGTCCGCCTCCAAACCCACCCGCCTCGCCTCCAAGACGAGTGCACTTGGAAGCAGTCTCGGTCGGTATCAGCCCCGGAGGACTCTTTGCGACAGCTGATCCGAAACGCACACCTGAACCAGCCGCAAGGAAAGAGCGGCAGCGACCTGTAAGACGGCTCTCCCAGGATCTTCTCAGCGACCCCCTCGAAGAGGCCTCGACAACTCTTCCTCCGTCCCTCATCCCTCCAAGAAGCTCATCCTCAAATCGAACCCACCGAAAAGCCGCACACCCGGCTGTGCACATCTCGCAGCATACTCACAGTGCGATTCTTTGGGCGCTCGAGGAAGCACTGAGACAGCCCAATCCTTTCACCCCGGATCTGATCGAAGAGAACGCGTCGATGGCCGATCTCCGTGGTGCCGGCGGCCAACCCGCCGTCACGAACGGGTTCTCCTCCTCGACGACGAGGCCGACGGCCCCACCAGCTCAGACTGGTTCTCCGTCTGGGATCAAGGGCCCGAGGATGATCATGCGGGAGCGTCAGGCTAGAGAGGAGCGCCAGCGTGCAGAGCGTGACCGGTTGGAGCGGCAGCACGCCGAACGAGGCAAGATTAGTGGAAGAACAACAGAGAAGAATGGCGGAGCGTAGGGCCCCTGCTGCTGGCGCTGGACCCACTACTGGCATGGCTCAAGGAGGCGATCCCTCCGCCTCCATACCCACACAAACGCTGGACCCTGCCGAAGGTACACAACGCAGGCAGCAACAACCCCTGGCGCCACATGCGCAACAACCAGCACTTAGACCGCACCAACCTACCCAGTCACATCGCCACTCACGATCCTCCGCCGCGCAACAGCAGCAAGCTCATCAGTTCTCCGGCGTGCCAGATAGCGGTGGCGCTGGCGAGCAGGTGCCAAGCGCAGCAACGGCGCAGCCTGGCGACGCCTCCACGACGACCAAGGCCCAGCCAAGGAACTCGTTCCCGCACGCGTTTGAGCGATGGGAGGCACTCTCAGCTCACTGGGAGGGTCTGACTTCGTTCTGGATACGGAAGTTGCAACAACACGCGGACGAGATCGATCGAGACCCCGTGTCAGCGCAACTTTCGCGACAAGTCAGCGATCTGTCAGCAGCTGGCGCGAATCTGTTCCACGCTGTCGTTGAGCTACAACGACTCAGGGCAAGCTCGGAGCGCAAGTTCCAGCGGTGGTTTTTTGAGACTCGTTCGGAGCTGGAACGGCACGAGGAGACAAAGGCGTCCCTCGAACGCGCATTGCGAGAAGAGCGCCAGTCCAAAGCAGCCGCCATCCAAGAGGCAATTGAAAACGAGCGTGCCAACTCCAAGACACAGAAGCGCGTCAACGAGATGCAGAAGGAGCTCCTCATATCCAAAGAGGAGGCACGACGCGCTTGGGAGGAACTAGGCCGCCGAGAGCAAGAGGAACGAGATCGCACATTCTCCTTGCAGCAAGGCCTACCTACTATCGTCGGAGGCGTGCAAGTGGTCCCGATGACCCAGGGTGTTCCCAGCAGAGGCCCCAGCACCCGGGAGTCACGACAGGCGCAACAGCCTGAGCTGCCGCCACAGCAGTATCCTCAGTACCCCCAGGCCAAGCCGCCCCCGCCGGCGGCACCCAGCTCAGGCGCAGGCGGAGGTTACTATCAGCCGCCACAAGAGATCGAAGAGGAGCGGCCATACACTGCCGAAGGAGGATCCGAGGCAGGCTATAGCGAAGGTGAGTACGTCATCGATGCTCAGGGCAACTTTGTTCGGGACTCGCACGGAGACAGAGTCCCCTACCGTGCCCCAGGCACGCCAGGAGATGATGACTCTGACTCGTGGACAGAAGAATACGAGACTCCTTCGGCACAGCATGGCGTTAGCTACCCTCCTTCGGCCTCTCAGTGGTCGGGGACGTACACCTCGGGCCAGCCTGACTATACAGGCACTGGCTATGCTGCCCCTGGCTGGGAGACCATGCCCCGCCACCACCACCCCACCCGACTCAGCGACGTGCTCGAAGAGGACGAGACGCGTAGCAGGACGAGCGCCAGCCAGAGCCAAGTCAGTCGGGCTTAGGCCTCACGGCAACTGGGCGAATTGTGTCGCTGTCTTGCTCCCGGATTCTGACGGCCCCTCGAAATCCTGAAATTCAAGATGCCGTGGTTCGAATGCAGAAAATTCCATGGTGCTTGACAGGACTGGTCGAAGTCACACGGAGGGCAGATGTAGTTTGGCGACGCTGACTACTGAGATGTGCTCTGTCGCATCTTTGGATTAGGTGCGGCGAGAATTTGGGAACCAGGCATTGGACACCTCGACAGCATTTTATTGCATAGCATGCATCGGCGGCATACGGCGACCAAGCTCTTTACTTCGTTTTATTTGCAATTGAGGCAGGGACGATGTGTTGTTATTAAGTGTACACAACCGACTGCGACTGATACCACATTGTACACCCACACAGAATCTCCTGTCTGTTCTACGCCGTGCAGATGCTCAGATCTCTGAGACAGGGGAAGGGAGGTCATATCTGCACTGGAAGGAGCTGTTGTGCGGGGGATTATTTCTTTGAAGGACTTTAATGCTCGGTCGGACTTATGGGGGCTGTTGGGTCGGTCAAAGTCTTGACGAAGAAGACGACGAGACCATGCAGCACTGGTATCCAAGGAACTCCAGGCTCTCCTAGGAACCTGTTCAGATCGCTCGGCCTCGGCATCTGAGCGTGGTCGCAAGTCTGGCCCACGGATCGAAGTGAAGAGAGGGAACACAGCTCGTCATCCTCGACTCCTTGCGCCGGACGGATGTCCCCTCTCGCCATTCTGGGCCGAGCGACGTTGGTCCCCTGGACCCACAACCTACCTGCCGCAGACATCTCACGCGGGGATGCGAAGGAGCAAGGATAATAGAAGTGGGAATGAGGTTGAAGACCAGAAGAGCGTATTGTAATTGTATATTTCTGTAGTAGCGAGAGTAATTATCAGAGGCCCGAGGCTGGCAGAAAGCCGGTGGCAGTAATCCTCGCACTTGATGATCCATGTTTCAAGTGATTGGCTGTATGCGCTGTGAGTGTTTATGTGAGGGTGTCCAAGTGCCACAGTGGGGTCGAGTGGGATGAACAAGAAAAGACTCCCAAGTCTGTTATCCCGATGCGCAAGTGACGGTGATCGGCGTGAAGTCATCGGTCGGGGCCCGAATGTGCGTGCAGTGACACGGCAAAAGAAACGCCGCCCCACCCACACCGCACCTCCTGCAGCTTGCCGTTCCGTCACGGCAGGGGTGGCTCCTTGGCCGGCCGGGAGACTTCAGTTTCAACATACTCAACAGTTCCAACTCGGCTCTCACGACTCTCGTACACACACCACACAAAGTAACTTCTCACTCCCGGCCTTTCTCTCCCTGGCTGTCTACCGCCGACGGAGCCCCACACATTTAACCACTCAACCGGCTATAACCCGGCGTGCACAAACCCCCTCACCGTGTTCTCTATCGCACGCACGCGCACGGGCAGGCAACAGAGAGAGCACCAGAGGCCACGATGAACGCGGCGTCGAGGGTAAAGGCGCTGCCGCTTCTGCGGTCCTCGCTGCTGGCCCGGAGTAGCGGCAGCGCCTGCTGCGGCTACTCCTCTGTTGCGGCTGCCCGTGCGCTGCCCCGGAGGACGGCAAGTTGCCGTCCCCCCTCGTCCTCGCTCTCGCGGGGCGTCGACGCCGCCGCGGCGAGGACCTGGCGTGCAGAGGGCGTGAGGTGGAACAGCACAGAGAGTAGTAGCAGCAGCAGCAGCAGCAGCAGCAGCAGCGCGAGCTCCGATGATGGCGGGAGCGTGGCGAGTTCGCAGACTCCGCTGGGCAGCGAGGCGGAGGCTCAACCTGCGGCGCCAGCATTTTCGTTTGCCTTTGAGTGAGTTCTAGGCTGCCACCTCGTTGAGTCCTACAGTGCGAAGCCGCTGACTTCTATACCAGCATCGATGGCGTGCTGCTGCATCCAAGCCAATCCCTGGTGCAACTGAGACTCTCAGGTTCCTCCAGCGGAACAACATCCCGTTCATCCTCTTGACGAACGGAGGGGGCAAGTCTGAGGCCGAGCGGGTGGCCGACCTGATGGAGAAGCTCGGCGTGGAGCTCGACGTGTCCAACTTCGTGCAGAGCCACACCCCGTACCAAAAGTTGCTCGACCCCGATGCGGACCTGGGCCACCCGGCATTAGAGAAGTATCTCGAGCAGTCTCTCGGCAGCAAGAGGTTCTCAGGGAAGGAGACCGTGCTCGTCCTGGGCTCTGACGCCTCCAAGGCACGGCGCATCGCCAACGGGTACGGATTCGAGTCGGTGGTCACGCCGGGCGACATCATCAAGGCGTGCCCGGAGATATTCCCGTTCGACCCGCTGCGTGAGTTCTACGACCGGCAGGAGATCCTGCCGCTGCCGAAACCCATCTACAACCCCAAGGCCGACCCAGCCGTGAAGCTGGAAGACTGCCTCAAGATCGATGCCATCCTGACCTTCAACGACCCGCGCGACTGGGCCGTGGACATCCAGCTCATCACCGACCTCCTCCTGTCGCACAAGGGCTACCTAGGCACTTACAGCAGCCGGAACGGCGACATGTCCCTTCCCCACCTGGAACAATGGCAGAACGACGGCCAGCCGCCCCTCATCTTCAGCAACATCGACCTGCAGTGGAGCACGGGCTACCACCAGTCGCGGCTGGGCCAGGGCGCCTTCCACGGGGCGGTGCGCCACGTGCTGCAAGATCTTATGGGCGGGCAGCAGTCCTGTGAACCCAGGACGTTCGAGTTCGGCAAGCCCTTCCCCGCCACCTACGCGCACGCCTGGGCCACGCTGGACCGGCACCGCCGCCGCCTCGGCCTGCCCAACCCCACGGTCGTCTACATGGTCGGCGACAACCCGGCGAGCGACATCCGCGGCGCGCACCAGTGGAACACGCACCTCAAGCGTTCGTCCCCGGACAGAAGGCCCGCGCTCGGCCCGTACTGGAGGTCGTTCCTCGTGCGCACGGGCGTCTGGAAGGAGGACGCCATGCCGCTCAAACACATCCCCAAGGTCAAGAAGCCCCACCGCGCCGTGGACGACGTACGGTCCGCAGTCAAGCTGGCGCTGGTGGATAACAAGTGGCCGGGCAAGTTTGAGTGATTGGTGGCGCGGGGCGATGTGCCCCCAGCCCCAGGGTGGGCGTTGGATAGGAGGCGGGCGTGCGGCGGGAGGCAGGGGCGTTCTCAACGGCTTACGGCACGCATGTTGCGGAGTATTGGCGGCGGGTTCTCTGGCATTGGGTGCGTTGATGACCAGGCGGTGTCTGACATTACGCTACTACTCTACAAAGGAAGAATCGTGTGAGCAAGACGAAGTTTCCGCGACTCTGCAGCTCGTCCATGCACCCGCTGAACCCTGCGTGCTTACGTCTTCTCTGTCGGCAAGGCCCAAACTCGGGAATATAGATTTCAGGGCCCTCCTGGCGAAAGAAACTCAAGTGGTCACCGTCCAGGCCGCTCGCCATCCAAGGTAGATGGCGTTGCGGGGCTGCCAAAACCGAAGTCGACGCCGTAGAAGATGTCCTGACCATACAGGAAACAGTAGTCATCTTCGATACTTGTCGGTCCCCTGCCCAGCCGCCCGCCACACCAGGACCGAACAGCTCCTCCAAGCCAGAGGGGACCAAGCACTGCGCGATGGATCTTTCTTGCCAGTGCACACCGACTTTCGCGGCGCACTAAAGCAGAAGTGAGAACTCGACACCGTCACCTCTTGGGTTACGATCAACCGACGGCGCGACGGCAACAAGCCGCCCCCCCCCCCCTTATTTCGCCGTGACACCAAATTTTGATGTTTTCCCGAGGGCAACAAGTAGGGTGTGATTCATTTCTCGTCTGTTGATTAGATTTCTGCAGGTTGTGCTTGCGCTGGCAATAAGAATGCTCGGCATCGGCATATTGAGGCTGGGACACATGAACAGGGATGATTTAGAACTGGCTCCCCGGTTGTTCCATCCAAGTCAATGGAAAAGCCGATTCCTGAGGCTGACTACGACGTCGCACTTGACGAATTTGCTTTTACGAGAGGATCATCGATCTGAACTCGGCAATGCTGGGGAAAAGCAAAGGTATGTAGGGGGGTCGCAGTGGGATGTAAGAGTTATAATGCGATGTACCCCCGCCTGGCTTGTTGGCCCTATTTCTCGCGAAGTTTTTGTCACCTTGCTGCCAGATCTTTTATCTCCTGGGGTAGGTGTATGGTTCTGAGGTTGCAGGCGCAAATTTGCACCTCAGCCCAGAGACAACCTGTCCGGGTCACCCGGCTTCGGCAGAGGAGCACCGAGAAAATGATCCGCCGAAGCGGGATGGGAAGCCGTTGGCAGAAAGCGGTGAGGAACAATCATGGGGAAGTCCTTCCTGGTCCAGATCAGGCCACACGTTCCATGCAAGTGAGTGCATCGACGAGGACTTGGTCCGCCCAACCGGAAGAGCTCCAGGCCTTGTCTTGGAGACAGAAGCTCGTGGCATGACAGGCAAGATCCCTCTCTCTCTCTCTCTCTCTCTAAGAGCAATCGGATAGCATCAGCAGCAGTAGCGTGAGAAAACCCAAATCCCCACCCGGGGAACGAGAACCTGATGTCTTCTCAACAAAGTCGCAAAGTAGAAAGTGCATCGCATCTGTGCTTTGGCGGAAGAGACCCGCGGGATGCCATCAGGCGGTGTGGTGTCGCGGGCGCGCGCACACATTAGACTTTTTTTCGCCTGTCTCTCCTTTCGGTCTGTTGCCAGTTTCCAGTTACTCCGTCGTGGAATGCTGCGACGTCCCTGAGGAGTACTTGCAGAATCTGCCCACCCCTTCTGTCGGACCCAGGAAGGACGCTGGAACAGAGTGGTGTTCGTCCGGGCTGGGCTGCAGGGGCGCATGGATCGTCGCTGTCAGCTGCAGGTGGCCCCCCCGGCAGCCGGGGAAGTTCTGGGCAGAGCCCCACAGGAGCTCTTCCCTGACGGTCGATGCTTTGTGTAGCGTACAGTACGGGGTACGATGTAGCCGCGCGTCTCAAGGCGAGCAGGCATTGCCGGGGGCATAGTGCAATGCGTCTCGCCGGTGGCTGTTCTCTGGACGGGGGTCAGTAGGTGCTTAATGGAGCAAGGCCAGGACCGGGACGGATGGGGTCTGGGTGTTTGCCCTGGGGACGGCGATGATGACGACGGTAAGGATGAGGCTCTGGGGGGGGGCAGAATCCGGAGATGCATTAGGGCTGCCAGGGGGTGCCTGACTAGAGATGTACTGTGTGTGTATGTAGGTGGGCTCCAGCACCGTACATGGTACGGCACATTGATCATGTAGGTGAGCTGCAGGTGACTGTGCAGACAGCAGCGAAGAGTTGCAGCCGCAGGGCCGGCGCCAGCGCCAGCGGTTAAATCTCGAGTGCGTGCATGCGCGCATCCAACATGCCGCCTGGGCAGTGTACAGTGGGCTGTTTCGAGAGGCGCCCCAATGTGGGAGAATTGTTTCGCAACCCGCAACCGCTCCCTAGAGAAAACCGGCGTCTATCCACGCGCTGCGGCTCCAAACCCCGGGGGAGGTCAAGTGTAGCACGGACGGGCTGGAGTTGAAGGGCGTAGCGCTTCGATATGACCCGACCATCCATTACCCTGCCTGGTGTGGTCCTGCCAGGTGCCCAGCAATTCCATCAGATAATAAATGCACACTCACATACACATACACTGGTAGGGGTTGGAAGGAGTGACAGGGGGGAAGCCAGCCCCCAGTGGGCGAAACGCCGCACGAAAAGGAACGCTGATAGGCAACCCCCCCTGCTGATATGCCCATGTGCTCTTGCCCCATGTCCGCAATTGCGCCCCTCTCCTGCCGTTCCAGTTCCCAAGTTCGCTCGCTACCTGCCGGTAGGTAGCCTGCCCTGCACTGCAAGCAGGAACAACGTCCAGCCCTCCAACAAGATCAGAATCAGAATCAGAATCAGAATCAGAACTAGCACACCGCAGGCGCGAGCGATCTGGAGTCTGCAGTCTGCAGGCTGGATTGAGACTTGAGGCGAGGACCGAAGTCTGGAGAGTTGCAGCCTTGGGATGCCCTCTGCCCACAACCCGCTTCCGCGCTTCGCATGTCCATGTCCATGTCAGCTCATTTCCGCTCAGCACCAAAGTCGGCGTCATGGTTCACCTGTCCTGTTGAAACCCTGCCTTTGTGCCATCCTCATCTGACTGACTGACTGACGGCCTGTCTGTCTCTGTGCCCGGTCCGGACGGCCCACTCGGGATATCACTCCTCCTCCCTGTCAACTTGCCTGCTGCTCGCTGGTCCTTCTGCTACCCCTCTACCCCTCTGCGACAGCTTCCATCCTCTCACACACAGCGTTTGTATGTGTATGCGTGTGTGTGTGTGTGTGTGTGTGTGTGTGTGTGTGTGTGTGTGTGTGTGTGTGTGCCGCCTGCTCCCCTTCTTCACCGACTTTATATGCTTTTGCGCTTGGAGGCTGGCTCTCTTCGCCCTCGGCCCCTCCCCCTGGCCTGGTTCCAGCCCTGGCCCTGGTCCTGACCCTCTCAACATCTCCATCGCTACGCTCGTGCTCGAAACAATTGCCAGGACCCGTTCCGATATTAATACCGACACACTCCTTCTATACATATCGATCCGGGGAAGCCATCCGTGCGTGAGGCTGTCTTGAACACCACACTAAAATAATAATACCCGTCCGACCCCAACAATCCCTTGGTTATTTCTACTAGTCTACCTGCTTCTCCTGATCGTCCTCTCGCTCGCGCAACGTCTCCAGACCAGCGAGCATCTTTGCGACCGACGCCCGGCACACCAAAGGCACACCAAAGGCACACCAAAGGCACATCAAAGGCACACCCAAGGCGAGGCAAGGCTCTGTTCAGTCGCCATTCGTTTCTGTCTGGGCACTGTCCTGTCCCGTCCCACCCTCGCAACCGTCGACCCCTCCAAGCTCATCTCACCTGTCAATCAGCACGCCTTTGCTCTTGCTCTTGCTCTTGCGCCTGCGCCTGCTCCTCGCTCCCCGTGCCGTCCAGAACGCCCATCCTTGTCAGCAATCGGCGCTGTCTCCGTCGCATACCACCCACTTCAGCTATCCGCGGCTCGGCCAGGGAAAAGGAACCGGCGAGCCATTTTCGCGCCTCTAAGCGCACGCCCTCGACAATCATCTGCCTGCCCTCTGTCTCTGCCTCCCTGCCCTTGCGCAACCGAGGCAGAGGGGTTCGCGCAAGGAGGGCGCAAATCCAAGATCGTGGTCCAAGACAACCCGCAGGCTTACCCGGAGTCGCTGTTACATTTTGGTCCCTCACTGGCGGGCACATTCGGCGCCTCTCTCCTGGGCCATCTGCCCCTTGGGTGCACACCTCCGTCATCGACCTCTCTGTATCACCACCACCCGGCCAGAGAGGAGACCCTCCGCCGACTGGGTTTTTTTTTTTTTTTTTTTTTTTTTTTTTATGGTTTTTTTACTCGGCTCGGGCTGCTTATACACCCCCTCGTTGCAGACTGCCCACCACCTCCACCGGCCCTGTGACGCATCTTTTCTCCCCTCTCCTTATCTTTGCTGTTCGGCAGGTCGACAGTGATTCCCAGTGTCCTCCTTGCGTGATATACGCTCGCTTCCTTGTATCACAACATAATACAAATCCCCAATACCGGCTGTCAGTTGTGATTCCCGGCCAGCCCCGCGGCAGATTTCGCCTGGTAAACCTGCGGTCAATTTGTGTGCGCCTCGTCAACAGCAATCTTACCCAACCCACAGCATTGCCATGAGCGCATCTGCTCCGGAACAATGACGCCGTGCGCGAAGCAGCCGCAGACGCTTCAGTTGAGGTCGCTATCGTTGTCCTCCCCCTGTGGGACGACTCGGCGCTGTGCCCCGTACCCCGCAATCCGATTGTGGGATTGTTGCCGTCTGCCTCCGAGTCGGTCGCACCGCAACCACTGTGGTTCTACACGCCCAAAACACACCCGGCCATCAGTCAGTCGCGTTGCGGCTTGACGGAGGTTGAGGTGCTGCTTTGCGAACCCGAGTCCCCTGGAGGGACCTCACCAGAGCCCACGACCCCTCGCACGGAGTTTGAAGCACACGCCGAGTCCCCACGTAGCAGCAGCAGCTTCTTGACCGCTTCCGCGACAAACCCCCCGGGCCCCCGCTCTCCGGACACACCTGAACTCTCGCCCGGGACCATGTCATCTACGTCGCAGGCCCCCCAGGCGGTCCCTGTCAGTCAGCTGGGCCTTTCGGCCGAGGTTGCGGTCCTCCAGCACGCACAGAGGGAGGCAGCCGCGGGCGGATCAAGTTCTTCACGCGCAGCCAGCCGTGCGTCCTCCCAGGGCCTTCTGATACTGGACAGCAGCTCCCTCGCCCAGCTGGGACGCCACTTCGACCGCCTCATGCAGCAGATCTCCCAGCAGCTAGATCACCTGACCGAGCAGTCCCAGATTGTCACCATGGCTGTGTATGACGAGGCTGGCAACCTGATGGACAACTGCGATGTCGAGATCCGGAGGTTCCATTCCATCATGGCGCAAATCGACGACCTTGAGGTCGAGTTCGACCGCATCCGCCACATTCGAGACATTGTTCGAGGCTACCGGCAGCGGGTGCAGGAGATGGAGCGCGCATTGGAAAGCTCCCAGCCAAGCTCGTCGCGGCATCATTCGAGCAGTAGCAGACACGGGCACTCCTCGCATGGCCACTCATCATCATCCCACCGACACCACCACGGCCATCGGAGCTCGAGGCATTGAGGTGGAGGACGAGAGCCGGAAAGGACGGGAAAGAGATATCATAAAAGAAGAAAGTTAGGCACCTGCGTCCTGGATCCCCGCAAGGGAAGGGAGGATCGGGCAGAACGCAACGTTCGAGGAAGACCACTGCCGGGCGACTGGAATATTATGAAGAAATTGGGGACACTGTCGTACAGCGTACTTGGCCGGGGCATTGTTGGTCAAGACAACAGCAAACACGGCAAACACGCCTCGTCTCACGACAAAATGGATTGGTTAGAAAATGAGGTCACGCGGCCGCATGGAAACACAAAAAAGGGGTTCATTCTATTTCGCGGGAGGAGGATTCCATTGCGAGAAAGCAAGCATTTCAATCGCGGGTGACTACAGGACCGCAGCTTGCCAGGGGTTAGCTTGCACCCCGAGCGAAGAGATCGATGTCACAAGGCCGTGCCTCTCAGTATTGAAGCCGGGCTCGCCCCCCACTCTATGTGTCGTCGGGGCAATGCCAAGGTCCTCAACGAGAGGTGAACGGTGGACGGTCGATGGCAGAAATTCCCTTATTGTCTTCTCCCATGGATGGGGTGGTCTATCTCTCTCTCTTTAAGATCGATCTGCGCCTCACGGCTGGACTAAGAAGGGACTATTTAGCCTCGCGGCAAGTATGATGACGACGATACGATGATACCGAATTCTCCTTTTTATTTTTGTTCCTCTTCATCGCCCCTATTGTTGCTTCACCCTGTCCGATCTATCTGTATCTAAAAACTGTCTCTTGCATGGCGGTTTGCCCGTTAGTGTGTACTTGTATTGGTGCGCGTTAGCTCCTCGGACAGCTGGGTGGGTGTGGGGAAGAGGAGAGAACAAGATTGTGTCTTGTGATATACCCCCATAGTTGAACCAAGGTCTTTGCTCCGACATGTGCTCGCTTGAAAACTTGGCTGGGGAATGATTACTGTTCTGAGCGGAAATGTCCCCCGCCTGGAGTAAGACGTTTCTTGGCCGTGCAGGCGACCAAAGGATCACCAGTTGAGCCCAGTTCGTAGTCAGTCATGCAACGACAGCGAATGATTCTTGAAAGGCTATTGATACAATGTTACCGCTTACATCTCAGGCTTGCTGCTTCCTCCTACCGAACTTGACACCGACGCAGCCCAGACGTGACAGACTTGACGATCCACCTAGCACCACAACCCTCGAAACGACAATAAAGGGCTCCCTCAATCCGCAGTCTTTAGCCTTAGTAATCAATCATCTTAATCCCCACTCGCAGGCCCTCCGGCAGCTCCTCAAGCTTGATGAGCCCCATCTGGACACAGTCGCCCCAGAAGAAGAGGGCGCGCTCGTGCGCGTACGAGAGGTAATCAAATCCCTCCTCGTCCTCGCCTCCACCGGCGCTTTCGCCGCTGCTGCCAGCAGCACTGCCCTCAGAGGCCACAGGCGAGGCCGGCGCCTTGTTCTGATCCACGTCTCCGTCTGCCTCGCTGCCCTCCGCGGCGGGCTCTGTGTACCCAGGTATCTTGGCCTGCACGATACCCCAGGCGACCCACTGAGCGCTGTTCATGGCACGCCACAGCCGCGTCTCCCTGACGAGCTCTTCGACGCGCTGGTCCGTAGCGCCCTCTGCGCGGCGCTCCTCCTCCTTCCACCCGCCGGGCGGCGCGCGTGCATCCAGCATGAACTCGACGACGGAGCTGCTCGGGTTCTGCGGCGTCACCAGTGGCGTCGCCGAGGGCGTGACGTCCGCGTCCGAGGAGGCGGATGCCGGTGCGGAGGACGCGATCTTGGGCCGGTGCTCGATGTACGCCTTGATGAAGCGTTTCTGCTCCTCAGTCGAGGGGTAGCGCTCCACGCTGCACGCGAACGGCGCGTGCGGGTCGTGGTAGTTGTACGCCCACTCGGTGAAGTGGTTCGCAAACTCGCAGCCCGGAAGGTTGGCCGAGGCGTACTCGAAGTCGATGACGATGAGCTGCTTGTGCTGGTTCTCGGGCTGCAGAAGCGGGGACTTCTCGTCATCTGTGCAAACACGGAGGATGTTGCCGTATTGTGTCTGGGAATTTGTGAGTAAGCGGTCTGAAAAATCCCGTAGCCTGAGCCCAGGACATCGAAGACAAAGGGAGACTTACGTCGTTGTGGGCGAAGACTAGCTTCTCATGGAGGCCTTCAGATCCATAGTACTGAACGAGAAAGTTCCGGTATTTATCAACCATGGCCTTGAACTTGGGCCATTCTACACCACACACAAAATCTGACTGCTTCCAAGAGTCTGCTCCCCCGGCTAGCCTACCCGCAGCATGGGCTGCAACGAGCTCGTCGAGGAAGAGTGACCTTCTTTCAACATTGTCCACCCAACTGTCCCAGTTCTTGAACAATGTCGGGCCACCGTCCCTCTCCTCCTTGAGAAGGTCAATGCCGGAGTGGAGCTCACGCATACGCTTGGCGATCTGCCTGGAGGTTGCTGATTGCCTCATTTCTTCAGGGGTCAGGGGCACGGCGTTGAAGAACTGCTCAAAGCGACCGTTTGTGAACGTTCCCAACATTCGGGGGCCTATCTTCTTCCGGGCCAGCCGCTTCAGGATGCTGAGCTCGTTGTCCCGATCGATCAGGTTTTCAACATGGGGCCCGTAAATCCGCAGCAACAGCTTCTGTGGCTTCTTCTTAACAACCTCCGAGTCGCCAGATGGCACGTTCTCCGGCGGCGTCACAACATAGACTGCATTGGTCAGGGCACCACTCAGTCGCTCAACCTGGATGTCATCGCCGGCGTCCAGGGCCACACGCCTCCAGCCTTTGAGCCGAAGCGTATGCGCCAGGCGGATGATCTCGTTCTTGAAGGTTGCCCAAGCTTGCCTCTCTTTTTCCTCGCGCTTTCCGGATACAGTTGAGTGGTCGTCTGCGGATGCCTTGCTGTATTTCAGCGTTTTGGAGTTGTCAAGAATAGCATCGCAACTTGGCACTATGGCATCTCCATCCACGTAGTCCGTGTCCGACGAATATGCTCGAGAGAGTTGCAGAGTGGAACGTGAAGAAGTCTTCTTGCGGTGCGAGAGTCGTCGGCCCAGTTTCGCGCTGTAGTGCGGTACAGAACTGATCCCCAGAGCAGCCATGCTATCATCGAGAATGCGCTGCAACCGATCCAGGGAAACATCGCTAGAGTTGGAGTCGATAGAGGCCGTCCTGCGCAGCACGTTCTCGACCTCGGGCTCCACCTCTGGCTCTTCAGCCACCGGAGGCTCCTCGGGTTGAGCCTTGTGCTTCCGCCGCGAGTGAAGGTGGTGGTGGTGGTGGTGGTGGTTGTGCTTCCGAGGCTTCTTGGTATCCCGCTTGGCCTTCTCACGCTGAAGCCATTCAGCCACCTGAGCGAGTAGCTTCTCGGACGCGCGATCGACCCTCTGGGAGCCACTGTGAAACTGGTGAGAGCCCTGCGACGGTTGGTCACCCTGGGCTGCAGCGTCTTCTGGGAGCTGCGGAAGGGACGAAAAGCTTTGGTTCCCATTAAGATCCAGAGTGTCAATGCTGCTTTGGCTGGCAAAGGACGTCCGAGATGAGTTCGCCGCTGGCAATGGGGGTCGGCCACTGAGGCGCTTCCCGCTCACGCTGGCAGCAAATTCCCTCCTCGGCCTTGGCTCCTCCTGAGCAAGGGGCTCAGGCTCAGCGATTTGGACGGCTAGAGATGATCAATGTCAGTAAGAGGCATGCTAATATGCTTACAGAGGCAAAGGAAAAAAAAAAGTCCCATGCGACGATTTGGAGAGGCGCCTTTGCATTCCGTCCGCTGAGACAGTCAAGGTCAACTCACCTCGGCCATGCACTCCAGAAATTACGGACACAATGATGAGATGGAATCCAGTCTAGAGCACTACAGGAGACCGAGACGACCAAATCTGGGGCGCACTGTGCTCTGTGCAGGGCGCAGATGCAAGCGCCGCATAGAACTAGTGGGAAGGTGAGAGCAGAGGCAGCTCGGGTTTGAGGGAGGTCTTACCCTTTGTCGGGCCACAAGGTGGTGTTTGGGCGACATCTTCCTCGTTCTTCAAAGCAGACCTGATAGGCTGGCCTTGGGCGTTGAGAAGTGGTGTTGAAGGCATTGTGATGGCAGGGTTTGGTGTGAATGCCGTTAAAAGTGCTGATGTGTTGCTGAGTCGTGGTGGTTGTGTCTACTCGGGCATGCAGCAGTTATGGCTCAGGTGAACGTGTTCCGAAAAAAAAAAGTGCGGTGAGGAGCATAAGGATTTAGGATCAAGGCCTGACAGATAAGCGCCGGGCAGGGGAACAAAGATCTTTCTAGGTCGAGTAGGAGCCACGGCGGACGGGATGCCTGCCACCGTTATCTTTGCTGGAGATGCAGGCGATGATACACGGTCAGAAATAGGCTCCTTTGTGTGCGAAGTGTGCGTTGTCGACGAGACCAGACACGATGTTGAGATTGGGGACGTGGGAATTGGACGGGGACATGGGCAGGGACAAGGGTGTCAGAGGGTTATCATGTGTCAAGAGCTTTTCCTCCCACGCTTGTCAATCGAAATGACAGGCAGCAGAACAGATGCAGTAACAAACTTGAATTGGATGGCATGAGGCTTGGTCGTCGCTGCTAGCCTGAGCCGTGGCGGTGACGTAAGTAGCTCCTCCCGCCTCTTGAGTCTCTCCTCCAAGGCCTAAGCCGCCAACGGGGCAGGCCAACTGGAACTGTGGCGCAAGCCTACTGGTCTTGGACTTGCGGCGCGTCTGCACCATAATACATCATGCTCAGTGCCACGAGGCCTCCCCCTGGATAAAAGTCGAAGTCATCGTGCAGTATCAATAAGCATGCGAGGCTGCCTTGGAATTCCACATGGCCTAGCGTCACATGGCTCTGAAAGGAAGATGCACGTCGAAGAGCCGCGCTGCAACTCTGCCAAAAGCATTGCGTGATCGACAACTAGGAACTATCCTCCAATCGAGCCTCGTCTTGGGCTGCGGGCTATGCTTCAAACAGCATCAGGTCAACATTCTAGATTCTTCCAAGTGGCTGGAATCCCCACTCGTCGCATCTGAGCCGCGTCAGCCGCGTCAGCCGCGTCTTGCCGCCGTCTCAGGGTCGGTCCGGATGTATTTTGTTTTTACTTGTGTCAATAACTTTTGTACAGGTTTCATACAATATACAACTAGAACCTGTCCATCTCTTGCAAGGTGTAGATCGCCATCGCAGACAGGTGTAGTCGGGTGAGTGGAGAGACCACGCCGTTTCACAAGCCTCCATCACTACTTCCTGAACTCGCCCTTCCACTCCCTCATGTGGCCAAGTATCACGCTCGATGCCTGGTCAGGCGAGTGTTGCCGTCCCAACGCCTCAACGAAGTCGCCCTCCGGATCCATCAGGTAGAAATATATGCTGTGGTCGACCAGATAGTCCTGTCCCGCCGGGACCTTTGAAGGTGTGCTGAAGTAGACCCTGTATGCCTTGCACATGGCCTTCACCTCGTCATATGTGCCCGTCAGCCCCACAAACTTGGGATGGAATTCGGCCAGGTACTTCTTAAGCTCCTGAGGACCGTCGCGCGCAGGGTCGCAGGTCACGAAGATTCCGTTCAGCCCGCCGGGGATCTCCTTCTCGACGTTGTCGAACATGATCGCCATCTTGTCGAGCTCTTCAGGGCAGATGTCCGGGCAGTGTGTAAACCCGAAGTAGACCTGTACGTGCGCGCACGCCCGGTCAGTCGTTATTCTCGTGAATTCGGGGCTACACGGCTGGTGCAGTGGGGTTGCTCACCAGGGAGTACCGGCCCTTCATGTCCTGCTCGGTGAAGGGCTTGCCGTCCTGGTCCACAAGCTTGAACGACCCGCCGACCTTTGGCTTTCCGACCGCTTTATTCGCCTCTGCTATGCGCTTCTTCTGCATGCGCTCCTTCTCATGTTCGAAATACCAGGTCAGGCCGCCGGCTGTCACAACGAATAGCACAAGTGCTCTCCAAGAAAAGGGCTGCGATTCGACATGAGTTAGCTTCCTTGATGATGTGCTCTATGCGCGGAAAGCGATTGGGCGCTAAGATTGTTTGCCTACTCCTATTTGGTACCGGCTCCTGGCCTCCTCAACCGACTTGTACTTGAAGCGCTTCTGCACCAAGGGCTGATGTCTCGAGGGCTGGTCGAGGTTATTTGTGAGGGCTGGTCGTCGAGTCAAGGAGGCCTGCGTTGAGGAAAGGAACCGCCGGCATTGTCGCGAGGGGACTTGTGTTTCCTGGAAGGCCTTCAGGAATGCCCTGGATGGGGCAATTGATCGAGACATGTTGCTTGTGGCTAGGGGAGAGGAGTTGCAGGCGAAAACGAATCCGCAGAGCAGGAGAATATCCACCAAAGTTTCACGCCACTTGGAGAGGAAATACACCAAGCGATGCCACTAGAGTCGGGACCGAAATCGAAAGCTCATCATCCAAAAAGCTACAGGGAGCTCGGGCCAATTCGCGACTTCTCCAAGTCATGCTGGGTGGACGGGTGGAGTCGAGCGTGGAGCCGAGCGGCCGCCAATCAGCTCTCACTTCCTCCACGCTCCCTGAAGCCGTGAAGGGAATGAATTGTTGAAATTAATGAATTCGCGGTATTCCATCCACTTCCTTTTGCATCAATCATCAAGCCTGCTCCAGCTGGTTTTTGACCGGCCTTATAATTCTGGCATTTTTCGACTTCTTCAGATCCAGCCGTGACATCCGGAAGCGGGCTGATGAACCACATCCTATGGATGCCTTCACAAGCTCACACTTCGCCTCCGCCAGCTATAGCCATGGACATTGATCAGGCTGAACCCGCAGTGGTGCAGGACATGAGCATCAAAAGAGAGACCAGCAATGGTGTAGACAGCGATCCTAGGATGTCGCAAATCCCAGAAACTGCAAACACGGGCTCCGCTGGCCCACGCTCGTCGCAACCGCGTTCGATGTCTCAGGCGGATGCCACACCAGACGACAAGTCGGATGTCAAGCTGGGGCCCACGTCCAGGGCCACCAGCAAGAAAGGCACGGCTAAGATCGTCAAGAAAACTGGCCGGAAGACTACCGGCAGCGGGACCCGGGGCGGTCGAAAGTCGCGTGGCGGTAGCAAATCTGGAGCATCATCCCGGGCCAAGAAGACAACAACCACCGCCACTACAGCCTCTCAAGCATCAGCCTCATCACCGCTAGGAGGGCCTCTGGCATCCAGCGAGGCAGGGGCCAGCGACGAGGAGGAGTCGGACCACGGGCCTTACTGCATCTGCCGGGGACCGGACGACCACCGGTGGATGATTAGTTGCGACATGTGCGACGACTGGTTCCACGGGGAGTGCGTCAATATCGATAAGACGATCGGCGAGGCCCTGATCCAGCGTTACGTGTGCCCCGGCTGCACAGACAGGCAGGGCATTAACGTCACTAGGTACAAGAAGACGTGCAGTCTTGAGGGGTGTTGGAGGCCGGCAAGGATATACGACGATATCCGCGGTGACGCGGACTACAGCGTGTTCTGCAGCGACAAGCACGCCGAGGATTGGTGGGAGCAGCTGGTCAGGTCACTGCCCGAGAATCGGAGTCTGAGGGCCAAGGAGGCGGACCTCACGAGGGAGAAATTCATGGGGTTGTTGAACGTGCCCGCGGCGCACAAGTTCGTTGAAGGCGAAGAGCCGTGGCATCTCGGCAAGAAGCCATTTGGTGAGAACATCCATCCTGCTTTCATCCTTGACTTTTGTTCATTCCGAGGCAGATGAATTCGATGGGTGCGGGATGATGTTTCCGGATGGACACTGACGATCAAATTTCTAGCCGTACCTAATGAGTTCTGGTCACATGTCGACCAGACTCTCGTCTTCACGCTGGAGGAACAGTCTTTCCTGGCTGCGTCCGCCGCAGACCGCTACGCACTAGCCGAGGAGATCGTGCTGAACAAGAAGATGCAGCAGCTTCTCGACCTGGCCAACGAGCGGCGCAAGGCCGCCATTTCTGAGGGCCTGGTCGAAAAGGACGTGTGCGGGTACGACACCAGGCTGGACCTGGTCGGCTGCCCGGAAGAGTTCGGCGTCTTCGTCAAGTCCGCGCAGGGCGAGGCCATCTACAAGAATAACAGCCTCGCAACGGGCGGCGGCTGGACGGAGGAGCAGGTCCAGGCGATGAAGGCCGCCGCCGCCGAGGTCGAGGACGGCAGGGAGTGGACCCTGGCCACAGCGGGCATGTGCGACCGGAGGAGGTGTAAGCCGCACGCCTCGTGGTACAACATCTTCACCAAGAGCACGCGGCACCTCATCAAGGAGCTGGCGCGCCAGGCCAAGGAGAAGCTCGACGCCGAGACCAGGGTCCGGGAGGCGGCCGCCACGAGGTATTTCAGGCGGAGGAACGAGAGGACCTCCGTGACCAGGTTGGATGAGATGGTCATGACTTGACGTACGTGACGACCCAACGGTCAGAAGGCGTCAGGTGAAAGAAAGGCGATACTAGGGTTCCTGTGGAATCATACTCGGAAGAAGAATCATCTAGGTCGCTGTGGTTGGGTAGACGCGGCAAAAGTATTACTATCCCGGAGCCGGCTCTCAGAACTCGGTTATAATGTATGAGCAGCTCTACCATCCGTGCTTCAGTCTCGTCGCCTCCCTGTGATGTATCATCTCTACAGGTGTGAATAGCATCGTCTCAGAAGCCCTGCATCGGTCCGGCCTCACAGGTCACTTTACCACGAGTCGATGTGCTGTGTGTGATGCTGACCGAGCCGGCTTCGCCGAGTCCACTGCGTGTTATTTGCCTCGTGGAATGCAGTGACGCTCTCCTCCTCCACGTTATCACAGGTCGAGCAGTCACCAGTTCGTCACGGTTCCCATCAACCTATCGAAGCGGTGTTTCTCAGATATCCATCCATGTGAGAACAAAGCACATCAGAAGGGACATCTTGGCCTTTGGGAAGGACGTAAAATGTGGCACACGCGCGTTGAACTCGATCAGGCGGGAGGTCTCGCGAAGAGGAATCGGAGGATGGAGGTCCATGGTGACGCGAAGAACGATCACTCTCGGGCTCGATAACCTGGACAGATCTGGAATTCAAGAACACTCTTTGACTCAGTCCTCTGGTTCAGCGAAATGGTCCCTCTGCGAAGATGAACAGATTGAGAGTCAGCCTGCCCTGTAACAAGGAGACGGACAGGATGGGGCACATGTTCTAATTCACAGCACGACGCTCAGTACGGATCAAAGGCGGAGCCAAATTATTCCCTAACATATTTCAACCCTCTTCAACAACGACGTCTCTGCTTGCTGTCTAGAAGAGCTGATTGTCTTCGTACAGTGGTTGTCATCCTTCCAGACTTACGGCGTCCGCCTGGCAGAATGAGGATGGGCTCGCCAGATCAGCCACAGGTACAAACCTGTAGGCAGGCCCCGACTGAGAATGTGGACGATGTATCAATGTATTGAGCACAGCCTCTAGAATATTAGTGAATACTACTCCTGCTGAACAGCATGTTGTTTGACTGTTATGTGCCACTCACGTCGTCGTTGACCGAAATTGGTTCCTGAACCTGGCTTGGTAGCGACACGGCTTAGAGCGTCTTCTCACCAGCTCGATACACCACACCCTACCTGTGGCTCTTTACATGACCGACTAACCCAACCATGCGTCTCATCTTCCACCAAGACCGCACCGCTCTAGGCCGCAACTTGAGGAAGCCCCATGCCTCAGTCTCAACCAGATCCACCAGCCTCAGCCGCAGACGATCCCCTCGCCGCAGATCATGATCTGTGCCTGCGTCCGAACATACCGGGGCTGCGATCATCAAGCCCCCCGTCGCGCCCAGGCAGAAGCGAACACGGATGGAAGCCCTCCCGCCCCTCCATCCCTCAGAAGCCAGTCCCACACACGAGAGCCCCAGCACGAAAGAGTTCGGTCGGGCACCCCGTACACGAGCGCGCAATCTCATCCCATCGTCTCACCCAAGAGGAGTTTAAACATCGGAGGAGCCACCCGCGCGCGATCCACGCACACCTCGCCAATCCCCAGGGTGCCCCAACGTGATGTTATGGGCCCTTACCATCCGCCGGCGGTCGTGAAGTTACATACAGGCCGCTGTGGACCGGTTGCCTTCGCAGAAACGGGAGGAGTTCTAAATCTGGGCACGCCCTCGAACGTCGCAGGGGCCGGCTGGGCCCCAGCCACCCTTGGGGGACGCGAATACGGGGTGGGATAGTGTGTTTTGATCTCCATGGCCATGGGCGGGAGGATGTACGGGGTCCCTGCCTAGAAAATCACGACTCTAGGGCCGTTTATCACGACGCACTCCCTTCCCGTTTGGTGCACTCTCACCGCTGGGCGTCGTCCCAAGGGGGAGGGGTGGAGGACCTGAGGTAGATCCACGTCATCCCTTCAGACGCCCCGCCGCCGGGCAGCCGTCCAGGCGATCCCTCCCTGTAGTGGATACGGGCACGTGCTGCAGGGCCTGCTGTTGCAAGCAGCTCACAACTGCCACTATTAATGACCGATTTGCTCGGTGTGGTATAACCCACATATACAGGACGGTACGGAACAGAACAGAACAGGATCCCCACAGCGGGCTGGCGGTCTCAGATCGGCCTGCGGGCCAGGGCCAGGACGGACGGGAGACGAGTCTCGGATCTGTCAGGGCTTCCCATGCTCCGGATCAGCTGAGTTCCGAGAGGCGGTCCCCTGGAGGCAGCTGTCATCTGGGGAGAAAACTGTCATCTTCGACATGCGGCAACGGTGGAGGCAAAGCAAAACGATGGGACGAAATCGTAAATAATGCAAAGGCCGTCCGTCGGTGAAGGTTGGAGAGGTGGTGTGAAGGAAGCTAACTCCCGGGCAGCAGATTTCGAGATGGCGCTGGCGAGGTGAGATCGCTGATTATGCTCGATCTCCCATATCTCGAGCCTCGCACGGATTCCAGCCAGCCTTGTTGCAATACCACCGTACCAACGTGAGCTGGACATCTGCACACGTGTAGCCAACAACTCGTGATGCGCAATGATTGCCTCAGCGACGAGATTCGCAGACGATCCTGGTGATCCTGGACCGATTCTCAGCAGGGCACCCGTTGATGGGTCCATGGCTTGGAAATCCCTGATACCTCCGCGCCGACGAAACACCATGGGGGAGGATGGGGGCAGATCTGTGGATGGGGCATGGCCATGACGCGGTGAGCACACATCAGCAAACAGGTCGTGGCCCTGGAAGACCCTTGACACTCACTTTGGTGTAGCAGGGGGGGGGGCTCCGAGGTAAGCTTAAGTGCTGCTCCCGAAAGCTTGGCCTCAGCTGGCTCCACTGTCTTGTCTCAGATTGGGCAGGGCTGCCAGACGCCAGCCTGCGGTATGACCAAAGGCGCGTGCGTGAAAGGCGGCCTAGGCTGCGCAGAGATGGGATGAGAAAGCGGCAGTCGTGTGGCTCGCCAGGTTGGTGGTCTGGGCGGTAGCTCCCGGGGCCCATGACGGAGAGGCTCAAGAGAGATTGGCAGCCTCGTGAGACAGGACGACAGGTTATCATCGCAACATGTCTACGGACGACGCTGCCACAGGATGAACGCTGCTAACGCCCACATAGCTGCAGATCAGGGACACCATCCCGAATTCCGGCGGTGTTTGATAATGCACCGCTGGGCACTTGAGGCGAATTCCAAGCCTTGGGACGCATCAATAAGACAGCGGCATATGATGTTCCTCCAGCCTGTCGTCAAAGTCACTGCCTCCAAGAGGTATGTACCCGCTGGGCACCCTGGACCCCGGCCATTTCATAGGGCTCAGTCGGATCTGCAAGGCCCAGCATAACTGAAACGCGACCGCCTTCAGGATGGAAGGCAAGGCTTAGCCTGCTAGCAGAACCGCGTTTCAAGCTCCTCTGCGTATCCAGCTCGTCACGCCTGGTACTGTCAGGGCTCTCTCACTCACTTGAGTCCGGCCCGACGGCCGGGGGCTCATAGTTGCTTGACACGGGTGCGGCCAGGGCACATGCTGGGGCATGAGGGGATCGCAGAGGAGTCCAAGAAGAGGCTAAAACATCCCAAGGCTACAAGGTGTTGGCCGAACTACACGTGCCCAGGCACCCAGGTGGGCACCGAACAGGCGGCTCGTGGCGATCTTTCTGGCCTGTGCTCTTTTTTTTTTTTTTTTTTTTTTTTTTTTTTTTTTTTTTTCCCTTTGCCAGTGACATGCTGACTGGGCCTATACCCTTTTCCTGGGACAGTCCACCTGGAACTTGACAGCCGTCCTACCGCAGCGACGGCCTCGGGAATCACTGACCTCGCCGAGACCACTGCAGGAGCTGCACAGACTGAGGCAGTTGCCCACTTCCCGTAGACACGAGGCACCCAATGGACTCTTCTTTTGCTGCCGGTTGATTCTCGGATCTCTTGGGTCACCCAATAGACTTCCACACTAGGCAGTCTGCCAAGTTGGAGGTTCAGTCGTACAGAGTGCACAGAGTAGCCGAGATCCAATGGCGAATTCTTGGGTGTCATTTCGAATGGCCTGGCTTTGCTTAGTCCACTGACATGATCTGATCTTTCAGACCAGAGAGAGCGCTGGTGTGAAGTCTGTCGAGCAGCCTGTGGCACGCTGGAACAAGAGAAACTCCGAGGTCGACTTGCCCCCCTGGTTCCCCGGCCCCGGCTGAGGAGCAAGCTTAAGCGCGGTTGTACTATGCAGTAGTACTGCTATTAAGTGTGCTAGTAGTTGTCAGGAAGCATCGTCACCTCTCACCAGCCGCGTGGACAAGCCCTCGGGCCCCTGGTATCGTAGCAATTGCCGAGCTCGGGGCTTGCAGCAGCGCTTTGGCCTCCTCCGTTGCTGGTGGTGCAGCGGCCCCATCCAAAGTTAATAACAAGAAGTTGGTGCAAGCCCATCCTGGCCGCTGCCTCGTATGTGCTGGACGGGGGCTTGTCGTCGGGGCAGGTTAGGGCGAGGTGGGAGGACGACGACTCAGGACCAGGCGACAGACGGCACAGCCCAGCATCGACGCAGGGCGCAAACCTGGCCGAGCTGGAGCTGCCACTGCTGTTGCTGCTCTTCTGAGGCCAGGGCGCATGTGCACCCATGGCTGAGAGCAGTTCGAGTCGGGACTGCGGCGAGAACAGACGGCGACGGCTCATGCACGTCGTCTCATCTGAAGTCTGGCTGTCGTTCGCGGTGGCGAGCACACATCAGAGCCAGCGGCCGTTGTGTGGTGGCATTGAATCTTGCCCGTGGCCCCGTCTGATGTGGTTTACTCAGGTAGCCGCTTCTGGTTGAAACAACGGGGCTGAGATGAAACATGGAGGAGGGGCTCAGACCACCTGCACACCGACCACCGTCCACCGTCACCGACGCCATTTTACTCGGCCTCGGTAGCTTCTGAGGCTCTGTCCAGCGTCAGTGCCGCTGCCGCGAGAGACCTGGGAAGGTTTGGAGATAAAGTTCACCTTAAAGCCATACCTGAGTCGACATCAGATAGCAGCGCGACGAGGGGTGGCGTGATGACGAGGGAAGCGCGGGACTGGACGGATTCGGTGTGGTCAAGATTGGGAAACCTGTTGCCTTGCACTGTAGGCAGCATGCACGGCCGAGGGGATAGAATACAGAATAATCTAGTCTACTGCTGCATACCTGCATGCTGCACAGTCGGGTATTGTGTGTTGGGTTGACGTTGATTTTGGCTGTTTTTGAAATAGACGAGCAGGGCCCTTGTCTCTGCTGCTCTGCTGCGGTGATCCGCAAGCGAATGGTGATCTTGGCACGGTGATTGGGCGGTGAGGATGCACCTCGGGGCTCTGCAGCATAGTAAATATGGAGACGGCAAGGGCCATTTCCAACACATCGGAACCTGTTGCAGCCAACCCGCGTGCGAGTCACAGCAGAATAGAGACATGGTTTAGTCGAGCACCTGCCTAACCACCTTGACTGCCTCTTGTCACTGTGTACCTAGGTAGACCAGGTCCTTATGCACGCAATACGGCGCCAACCAAGAGCTTCTGACACAGCCGCACGCACGTACAATGGCCTACTTGCATCTATGCTGCATTTATCCACCCGCAGCTTGCGGGCCGTGCACCTCTGGGCACATGTTCCCTCTGACTCCCAGGTAGCTGGCATCTCCCGTACAGCAGTCCACCATGGAGTAGGAGGATGTACGTAGGACAGAGATGAGGTACTCTACCGCCCGGTACAGGACCACGTCGGCACAGAACTCACAGGCCGACCTTCCTTGGACTCGCATATGGCAGTGATCTGCAGGAACAGGGGTCCTCCCACCCAGGCACCACCTGCAACAAGGGCATAGCCAAAACAGCAACGACGGGCACCCCCTACCTGCGCACACGCTGAGACCACAAGAGCAGGCACGACCGGCTAAGTCCCCAGTACCCATGCCCCGTACTGGCGAGATGTGCCATTCCATGTAGAGAGTACCTTTCGCCTCCGACAGCCAATCTCAGCTCTCAGCTCGCACTAATGCCCAACTACAGTACCTTTCCCACCATGTGGACAAGCGACCGTTTGACGCCACTCGCGCCAACAGCGACGCCGTCTCATCCTGGCGTCCAACGGCGTCGGCAGCCCTTGACGACTTCGACAACCGCTGCTAGGCCACATGTTATAGCATTCTACCTGCCTGGGCAGGTGGATATTAGGCTTTGCCACAAATCAATGCGAGGTCATCTCCTCCTCTAACTGTTGTCCCTGGGAACTGACGTGTCGCAGGCCCGGACCGCAGACAGGCATCTCCCAGACGGCATCGACGCCCCAGTGGACGTCGCCCGCGATCTCATCAAAGCGTATCGGCGAGCTGCGCCCGCAACCGCTTGATGTCCTTGTAATTGGGGTCATCTCGCGAACTGAGGCTTAACTTTCTTTGAATCGGCTCGAGTCGAGTCGCACAACGTCCACCTGGTCTTGCCCAGCTCTGGAAACACTTGACGATGTCGCCGCCAGCCGGCTTATCACCATCATGGTAAAATGGGCCCGGGCAGATTCTGCTGGTCGTGTTGGGGAACCCCCTTTTTGTCGTAGCTTGGATGAGAAACAAAACAGGAAGAATGCATGCCAGACAAGGCTTCGTTTCCGCACTCACACCTTTGGCCGCACAGTACGCAGTACGCAGGACATGACCCGCCAGTCCACCGCACACCGCACACCGCTTCGTCGAAAAAATCTACACGTACAGATACGCGCGCTGGAGCCTTGGTCGGGGAAAATACTGGGCTGGCCGCTCCCTTGGTACCCTCCCAAACCGCCCACCGCCCGAATACGGGGCGTTGGGCCTCAGGAACAACAAGCACCACGACAGCCGCAGCGGGCGGGCTTGCAGACGTCGGCGTGCACGACAGCCCGCAGCCCCACCCCCCCCCCCGACTCGGGTCGAGGTCCCACGGAGGGCGACTTAGTGGGAACCTCAGATTGCCGCAAGGGTCCGCCGATTGCGACGATCTGTATCGAGCTCGAGCTTCCTTCCCTTGCCTCGTGCCTTTGTTCTCCAGTTGCGATGCTAGCGTAGCCTCAGCGAGCCACGTTGTTTCCGGACCCTCTCGATGCCACTCTGGACTGCAAAGCTCCACGCCGTCCCGACCTAAGTTGCAATAACTGGGATCTGCAGGATTTGCAATAACGGGCATGTGGTTTATAAACTCTAACCGAACTGGCGCCCCTCGGGCGCTGGATTTGACGCCGACTCGCCAGCTGTCCCATATCCGAAACCATAATCATGCTGAGACTTGACAGCTCCCACAATCAGGATCGTCGGCCAGTGGCTGACCCCGTCCCCATACAGTCACGAGGCAGCCAGGAGGGGGGCCATGAGGGGCCCGGGTGGGTACGCAGATGCGTTGGAGCGAGTCAACCAACCTTGATTATGACAAGTGACAACAACAAAGATCGTCGGCCAGGTGTGGTCGGTGGGGCTGAGCGGAGGGAAGACGCAGAGGGCTGAAGGCTGAAGCTGTCCCCGAAGCCGTGCTGCCCGGATAGGCCCAAGGGACGGTGGGACAGGTGAGTAGAGACTGGTCGATGGGCGCTGCCGAGTCGAGTCCCAGGACGATTCCAGGCGAGCTCCACCGCCGCATGGGCGATCATGACCGGAAGAGGGAACAAGCAAAACTCAAAAGCCCAGAAGGGGGAGGGGGGCGGCCTGTAGGTAATTCGCGCGGCAACATGGGCATTCCAGAAACACGGAGGGGAGCAGGACGGAAACCTTAAAACACCACATCACCAAGTCAGTGGCAGTATAGTCAGTCGAGGGCCCCTATATCACGCACAAACAACCTATATCCTGACCCCTAGAAACGCGCGCTGAGCGCCGTTTGGAGAGCCATGGCCTTGCTACGAAGGTGAGGTACGCAATGACGGCCACTGTGACGGTAGCGACAGGCACCCGGAACATTAATTTTTGATATAGCCCGCCTGCTTGAGTCGCCGATCGCCGGTCTGGCTTGATTTGGAGGACGATCCCGAAGGCTTGGCCATGCGGCAATTTCCTTGTGGGGACGGGGGCGCCACGAGGCAGGCCAGCAGCACGCACTCGTGACGGGCAGGAGGGAAGGGGGATCCAGAAGCCAGAGACCTGCAGTAGCAAATCGCTCAGCCAGTGAGGCATACGACGCGTTGGCGCTGTCTATCTGGGGGAGGCGGTGACAAACCTTGTTGGTCGTTGAGGAGGTGGATTGGGGGAAGCCTGGGAGGGTGAGGGTGGGTGCGGGTGTGGGCTACCTACAGTTCACGACCACTAAACCCGCTACTGTACTTCCAAGTTAATATCAATGACAAACCCCCATAAACAAGAAAAGACCACCACCGCAGATAAACACAGAGGTAAAGAAGAATGGAAACCACACAGGGCAAGAGACCCGGGGAATTTCAAGAGGGCTGAACCGAACAAGGCTTCCCCGGCTCGCCTACCCCACACACACACACGCACACAGAAACTCCCACACACGTACCCACGCACATACACACCTAGTGTAGGCTCATACCTTTTCCATACCCACCCGCTCTCCTGGGCGCAATTCCCTACCCCCCGATCGGCCGTCTGAATCGGCACAACTCTAGTCAATCCTGGCGCTCATCACCGCGGATTCCAGCCCTGGCTGGGTCCCACGCGCTCGTTCATCACCATGAGGCCACGAGTCCGAGGGACAAGGGCGCCCGCCCGCCCAAAGTCCCATCCGGAAAGTCTATTGTGATGACGGGTGGCACTGGTGGTGTTGGTGCGCGAGTACCCGTCGAGACAGACTTTTGGGATCGTGAGGTGCATGATCTGTGCAGTATAGTTGCGTGCGACTCATGAAGAACTCTCCTGGCTTGTTGGCCGGAGCGGTGTCTTGGGATTGTGTTGACCCTCTGCGGGACGAGACCAGACAGTAGTCACTTCATTGTGGGGAAGACTCATGTTGATGACCAGTGATGTGTTCTCGAAATGCCAATTGACTGCTTTCTCTTTTTAAGCTTTGCCAGCTTGTCAGAAATGTGCGGGTACCTAGCGTACCGCCTGAGTCCTCCCACCCTCTTCCACGGGCAGAGAGTATCGTACATCAGCTCCCAATTGAGCAAATCTGATCTATCGATGTAGACCGTAACATGGGGAATATACAATAAGTTATAGTGTAAGCGAGTCGTCCTCGCGTGGGAATAATTTTGTCCACCAGCCCTGGGGGGGAAACAAGACCTCTTCACCGTGTCCCCTTTCATCCAGAAAACAATAGACCCTGTAGCGCCCGTGAAAATGCTCCCAGCAAGCGCGAAGGCGCAGACAGTAAACCCCAGCTCAACGCCTGTACCGTGGGGGAAACAAAAAGAATGTTTTGTCGAGACGTCCCGGGCCTCTTCAAACCCCACACCTTTCCCCCCGTTTGTGATGGTTGAGGGCATTCCTCTAACCCGTTTGTTGAAGAATTGGTATCATTCCAGGCAGCCTCCCCAGTGCCAAATTTGGCCATCCCGTGCCAGGTATTGCGCATAAAAGGGCATACCGCGAGGTATTCGTCCGTCTGATCATTCCATCTTCCAAAAGTAACCGTCGTGACTTTGTGGCGCACCAATTAAATGTACGTAGTTGAATAAGCTTTTGTGAATCGAATTTGTCGTGGCGACAAGACATTATTTTTCTCCTCTCTCTCTATGACATCAGAGGCGATCCGTTGCTGCTGGTCTCAAAGTTGTGACAGCCACGCTCATGTCTCTTCATGTTGCTGCGAACACTGAAGGCCTTGCCGCAACCAGCATGAGGGCACTTGAAGGGCTTCTCGCCGGTGTGGGAGTGGCTGTGAATGCGCAGTGAACTGGGCCTGGAGAAGGCCTTGTTGCAGGTCTGGCAGATGTAGCGGTCCTGGGACTGGGGAAAGGAGGCTGCTGAAGACGGCGAGATGTAGTGGTGGTGTTGCCAGGGGTTCGAGCCAGACGAGGGCATCGCAACGCCGAGTGGCATGGGAGGGAAGGCCTGAATCGGATGTGAGCTTGAATCCATGTTGGCTGACCGGGTGCGTGGTACTCACGTGAGGCAGCGGCCTTTGATAGTAGAGCCCAGAGACCTGAGGCTGTGGTGGGGGAGTGGGCTGCATAGCCGGGTAGTAAGACGCCATCGCGGGTGGTCCCATGTATGATGAGGCTGCGAAGGCAGACTGCGCGTACGAGGGCGCCTGGATCGGGAGGCGGGGAGCCATTTGCTGGCGTTGGGCCTCCGGCTCCACATGAGCCATTGCAGGTGCCGCGTCGTAAAAGTAGTTTGATGCTGCCGATAGTTGGCTCACAGACTTTGTCGAAGGCGAGTGGTAACCCTCGAATGAAGCGTCAGAAGACATTGGCGGAGTCGGTGGGAGCGCACCGCTGCGGGCAGCGACATTATTGTAGTGCGAGGAATCCGGGCGGGCATCGGCCTTGTGCGATGAAGCTGGCCGGTATGTCAGTGGCCGTTGAAACTGGTCGCGTCGGTGCCTCTTACCTTGTTGCGACGCCGGGGAGTGTTCGGTAGTCGGCGACCCTCCATCGGCCAGACCAAGCAGGTTGGAGATTGAGGGCAGGGAGCACTTCGATGTCTCGTCCATTGGGGGCGATGGTGGGCCCTGAGGTTGTCCGTATGCGTAGTGTGCGCTGGGCTGTGAGGCGTAGTGATTCGACATCATCATCGTTGCCATTCTGTTGTGATTAAAATAGGCTTCCCTCGCGGAGGTGAAGTTGAGACTGTTGTATACGGGTCGCGGCAAGGAAGCAATAAGACTAATATTATCCAAAGTAAGATGGAGTGGTTGAGAGAGGACGACCAGATCTGCGAGAGGATTTGATGCTGGGGCTGATGTATGTTTATGTTGAGATGTTCGGAGGGACAAGACGAGTGCCGAGGACAGAATGTGGGAGTGGTGGATATCTTATGTAGGTGACGACGAAGACAAGCCCGATGTGGGAATGGCAGGGCAGGTCCAAGGGCAGAGAGGCATGCTAATGAGATCTCCCGAAGTAGAGAGGCAGGGACGATCAAGCGTAAATCGATGACCGTTGATCCCTGGACGCGGATGCCGCAATAGCAGCTGTCACAAATTATGTGTGGGTCACCCTCTCTGTGCTGTGAGGTTACGACAAGGCCTTGGACGGAGGGGAATATCAGCGCAGGCGGCGTCCCAAGGTACTCGTGCGTAAACGAGGAGTACTCTCGAGTTCCCTCTGACTCGGGACGTGATCGGGGTGATCCTTAGCGGTGCTCTTGCATGGCGGACCCGTCCTTGCACCCCCTGCCGACAGCCCCTGGCTGCCACGATCGCAGGCAAGGGTGGTGGGGAACTGTCTGCAGACAAGGGTCCGACGAAGCGGTCGAGTGTCATGGTCGCGGCCGGGGGTCGGCCACGATGTACCCCATGTACCTGATGTATCCGATGTACCGCAGTACCTGGAGCTTGGGAGAAGATGATCGGTCTGAAGAACATGACTTGCAAGGATCTGCACTGGATCCGCTCCCGGACACTGGGAACCAAACGGCTGCCCGCCAACCCGACCTCTGCCTGTGGCCGGGAACATGTAAGATCATCCCAATCTGACTCCATTCGATGGAGAGCAGCGTGTGCCATAGTAGTGGGCTCGGATGGGGATGGGGGGAGGCGGAGGGCGCAGAGCGCGAGGGTGAAAATCACGGCACCAGGTTGGCAGAGATGCCGAGTTGCGACGAACCCATCCACCCATTCGTTCATACGTTCGTCCATCCAGCGTGCCCGGGCCAAGCGATTTCAACGTTTAGACTAGCCCGAAGGAGTAGGACGCAGGGCGCTGTCATGGGCCACCTTGCCTGTTGCGGTGTCGCTGCCGCAGTCCCAAGTTCGACGACAGTCTGTGAGAGACCCTGCTTGGACGGCAGGGGTATCCCGTCCCACCCACCACACACTTGAGACGAGCAGCGACCGGATTGTCCATTTGCCTGATAATGTTTGAGGCCCCAAAAGCTTCATCGGTGCTGTATGGGCTTGGGCTGCGACCGGATTGACTAGCCATCTCAATGCCGTCCTGCCCTACTAAAGCTGTCATCTCAAACCTGTAGACGTACTCCTCCCAGCGTTCGGATGACCGCTGTCGCCGTTCCAGAACTTCAGCCCTGTCTCTGCCTGGCGACTTGGTCTTCCTACCCGGCCCTCCAGCCACAGCCCGCCGCCCAGCTCTTCGAGGCTGGTGAGGAGGTGGGGGGGGGGCGCTCGAGAGCATGAGGTCTGCTTGGTACGGATTGTCGGATCTGATGCTGGTGGAGCGAAGGATCGACGGCAAATTCTCCTGGCCCGCAAACATAGGTATGCAAACGCGTCGCGGGGTGGTGAGTTACGGATGTGCTGCATGATGCATTCCGCCGCCACTGGTGACGGTCCCGGAGCGCCTCTGCGTGCACTGGAGGGTCTCATCCCCCACGCAAATGCCATGATAGTTTGCAGGCAGGTTCAACGGGGGCAAAAGCCCATCACGGCCACCGGCGCACCTGCAGCAACATGATTTTTTTTTTTTTTTTTTTCCCATCATTCATCCGTTGTGCATGTGTGGTGATGAAGCGGCAGGGTTTGTGACTTGACCGATGCGTCCCATGAGAGAGAGAACGGTAGTTTTCACGGGGTACAATTAAGCTTGAGTGAGCGTGGGTGGATTTCCACATGGGTGAAAACTTGGTTGAGGCTCTGATCTCCGTATTACGGTACCGTGGTAGGTGACGACCCGCATGGGGGCAGTGATGAGACGCGGCCCTCCAAATCTCAAACACTCTTAACCCAGGCTAATGTTTTCTCCTCGAGAAACGGCCGGCCGGGTTTCGAGACTTGGGAAACACAAGTCGGCAGAGGAGGAAGAAGAATGTTCAAGCCAGCATGTCCCGACTGATGTCCTGGGGCCTGCCATCGTCTGGGGGGTGCCCTTCTGTTGCCCCCCCTTAACACGGGTTGAGTATGCTTTAATTGGGGCCCCGCGATCGACGGGGAAGAAACGAAGAGGTCATCGTGGGCGGCAGGGGTCGGGCAGGGTGTGTCTTGTCGACGAGTCGCCTCCAGGTGGGTTGCGGAGGGCAGAAAGCATAAGATTGGCCTTGTGTTCCGAGGCTTCCGTTCCCCAGGCTGGAGGTGGCATGGCCACTTCTGGGACGGGCAAGGTCTGAGGACGACAAGGCGGGCGCGGGCTGTGAGGCTTGTTGTTGCTGGATGATCGACTCTGACGTCTTTCGTCCAATGCTGACTTGTCCAAGATGAGTTGATACCGCGGCACGATGCATCCCAATGCTCATGCCATCCCATCGTGGGTTGACGGCAAGGCCATTGACTTCGGCTGACATGACACGACACGAACCCATACATGGGCGGCGATGATCATGGACATGACACCAGGCACGTGAACGAGACCGTCAGGCGCGGTGTGCACGCCCGCCCGCGCAGACACGCTTCCAGTTTCCAATGCGTCCTTGCGGTGTGGACTGGCGATGATCGGCGGGCGTGGCCAAGACATTGGCAGAGCAGAGGTGAGGGCGGCATGGTTTTGACAACCGGCTCTTCCAAGCTTCCTGCTGAGGTTTGGGCAATGCAGGCCGTGCCTCGTCTCTACGTGTTCTATGCACCCGTCCAAGTGCAGATCTGGTCTGACTGTCTCGACGGTCGTGACTGCCATGTGCACAAGGTTCCCGAGTCGGGAGTCTGATACCTTCCAAACTGGCAATCGGTGTCATCGCCAGCCGTGCGTGCAAGTTCAGAAAGGAACGCGCCAGGGGGCGTGAGGAAACGGTGTCGCACCCCTGCGCTCAAAAAACCTCCTGCCGTCAAGTGAATGCACTTGTCCTTCTCCCACAGGCACCGTAACGACAGCGTCACATTCTGGAGGCGCTGCGAGAAAGCACGACCATTTGCTTCTGATGCTACGTACCCGGCAGTGTCTACTTTAATCAAGGATGCTTCTACCCCTTTCTGCAATATACTGCGCTGTACCACGATGTCTTCTTTGTGCCGTCGTCGACTGCGTTCGCCAAAGACGATCCGCTTCAATTGGCCGCGCGAGATCGACTCGGATCGGTAGGATCGCGGAGATCACGACCTGAACCCCAAGTGCCGTGACCATTGGGGGGCATTCGAGTCTTCGAGCGGCTTCCAGGATCCAGCCTAGTCCCTTCCAGCCAAAGGGAGTCACGCAGGTACTTTGGCGCTCTCCGGAATGTGGCTTATCCTGTGTGGGATTTGAGCCCTATATCAGAATGCACATATAGCGCCTCCTTGCGCAAGCTGGAAAGATGCGACCTGGCGACTCGACGTCGATCCCGCGGCGCCGCCTTAGCTCTGGTCGCTTAAATGCAGGTATGCATCTCATCAGACGTTAGCGGCTTGCAGAAGCCACCATTCAAGAGGGATGTGATTGGATTTTGTGTGGGCCATCTACGCAACCCCATTCCGCCCACCGACGGGATACCGAGGCAGGGACTGCTGTGTGACGCCTGCGCGGCTTTCGTTCAAGCGAATCTTGTCCTGTCGGGGGATATTGTCTTTGTACGATCTTGTTGATGATGGCCCAGTTCGGCTCTCGCTGGGCGAAACAACCGGTATGAACGACGCCGGCCAGGCGTGGTCCATACACAGGCCTGCCTTTTGGTGGTGACTAAGACCTCAGTCATCTGCGCAAAAGCACAACCGTCCACACGCACCTACCCGCGTCGTCATGCCAGAGGATTTGCTGACCGAATGGCTATGGCTGTGGCCCTTGGCAGGGTCGACGTGCTGCGCGGAAGCAACAGTCTCCGGGCGTCCTGCGGCTCAAATGCAGTAGCAGGGTCTCCAAGCTGCCTCGCTGAGTTCGAGTCCAGGCTCACAGACCTCTCTGTGACAGGCCCTGAAGCCTTGGCATCCTCTCGGGCTTGGCACCATGCATTGCAGTCCTGAAGCCCAGTCTGTTACGGAAACTGGACCGCCCAGTACCCTTTTGCCTTCTCTGGTGACGCCCTTGTCTCGAACAACCTCCCTGCCTCTTCGGAACTTGTCGATCACTGCTCCAGGATTCCAGTTTTCCGTCGTCCTCCATTGGCTCCTTGTCAAATGCGCACCGGCCATCATCCCATCCTTTCTCTGCCGAGACGCACGTTTTCAGCCTTGCTGTCAGCGATGTAATCACCACGCGACCTCGATATCCAGACCCAGGCCTTCTCATCCCAATACAAAGGGGTCAACCTTCTCCGCGGATGCGCCTAACCCAACATGTCTTAGGCCGATGTCACTCTGTAGATTTATTTTTTCAGACGAGCCGACATTACGAACCATGATTTGCGGACCATCCTGCTCCCAGCTTCAACTATTTGGGGCACAGTATAAGTGTGTTAAGCCTCATCCAAGCTTGGAATTACGGCTGGGATTGAAGAGACATCGCTCGGGGTGCTTCAGCGGTGGTGCCGCCGGTCGAAATTGACAGGCGGGGCCGATCATCATGACTTCTTCCACCCCTCTTAGATTCAAAATTAAGATGGCTCCGCCACCAAGAGCCCACGAGGCTGGCTCGGGTCGCATTTGCTGCAGGGCAAATGATGATGGGCCATCTGCCGATCACTCCTAACATGGCCACT